ATCCGGTCGGCGCTCGCCCCACGGGTGGAGATACATGATTAGAGTGGGATGCCGAGCGGCGGCGGTGGGACGCGGACTGACCCATGACTGTGAGCGTTGGGGAAGGAGTGAATGAATGCCCGTGACGATGTCATCGCCATCACGATGACAGGTGCACTGCCACAGTGCTTACCACACGTGCTTCCCATGTAAGTAATACTGGTCCGTTCCCCCAGTCATACCCTGACATACCCTGCATCGCAAGCCCTGATTGGGCAGAGACGTGTTATATTGCGTGGGTTTCAAGAGCGCTCCTGTTCAGCCCTTGAAGCTAGTGTGCGATGTATGGCCTCCATCGCAGGCAAACTAGTAACATCTGCGACACCAGGCATGAACATAAGCAGCAAGTGCTGGGCAAATGGCAGATGCAGCTGGCATGATGTCCTGATGACCTCCGTCGAGATCGGCCCCCTTTTCAAGTCCGATTACATTGTCTTCAAGAGCATATACAGGGCAATTGAGATACATCGAGATATTGGCTACATTTGTCGTCTATGATATGCAATATAAGGATATGGCTACTTCCTTCCCCGTACAATCAGGCCGCCGTCCCAACTGCTGACTGTCCAGCCTTCCGCTTCCAAAGCACGCCTCACAGCGGGCTTCAGTACACTGACACTATTAGCAGAATGGGCGCCACGGCCCGTGATGATCTTCAGTGGAGAGTCTAAAAAGAGGGAATGAGCACGGATGCAAAGGCAAAGGACGCAAGACGGGCTGACCTGCACCCCAAGAACCTTCCGACAGCACCTCATTCACAATGATCACTGCCTCCGACACGGTGACACCATGCAAATCCAACATATCTCCTCCACGCTGATGGCGAGAAGAATCAACGATCATCCGAGCAGCGTCAAGTGAATCACGTCGGGCCATTTCGCCGAATTCGCGTGCGCGCTCGGCATAATACCCCGCAGCTTCTCCCCGAGACCTCCACGGAACTTTGACCACGCCTGTGCTGCTTCTCTCAGCATTTTCGTTCCGTCGCCGAACATTCTCTCCCATTCGAAGCCGGTAAACGTCGATGTTTGACCCCCTTTGGCGAGAAGAGACTCCATTGACGTCCCGAGAGTAAGTAGGCACGTGGAACGGCTGGGTTTTGTGGCGCTTGGCATTGGGTATGGACGGATTGGGAATATTATGTGGTTTCCAACGCGACGGGACAGCTTGCCAGCCCCGAGTTTTCGCCGCCTGGGCCGGTGTTGTGGAGGAACCTCGATCGAGAGGAGGAGGCTGAGGATTTGGCGGACCAGTAGGGAGCGATGCAATACGTTTCACGACAGGCGCAGGCTTGGACCCCGAGTCAAAGAATTGAGGTTCATTGGCGACTGGACTGTGATACAAAACCCCTCGTCCCATTTCCCCTTCTTGGTCCAGGTCACGCAATACTCGCACCAGCTCAAGCGCGTCGTCGGCACGACCGTGGGAGGCAGCCAATGCCAGCTCGGTATCCGAAAGCAGCGAGGCATATGGTGAAGGATATGAAGGAAGCAAGATGTCAACCAGAGTGTACAATGCCTCAACTCTGGCAGCGTCTTCCTCTTCACCAGAAGAGCTCGATGTGGATCGTATGCTCCTCAAAGCAGCCACCAGGGCCTCGTACGGCGTGCTGCCCTTCGCAGGGTCATGGAAGAAGGACAAGAAAAACGATGGTTGATGTGGAGGGAGATGATTGGAGACATGAGTCGCCAGCGAGGCAAGCCGCGCCCAGGGATCGATGGTATCGTTGTCTCTCTTGGACGGAATGACCGAAGTGCCGTCCTGCTTTGCCGTTCGCACGACATGCTGCTGCTGGCGAATGTCCGATAACGCAATCTTTTTCTGATCTCCTTTCGGTTTGCCTTCTTCTTCACCGCAGCCTTAGGCCGATACTCGACTGTCTCCCATTGCGCAGCAGACTCGAACGCCGCCAAGGCAGCAAGCTCGTCGTCATCCAGATCTCTTTCCCGTAATTCCCGCTCAGTCTCCCTCAGACAAAATCGTCGCGATGATGTCCCACATGTCAATCTCGTGTTCTTCTTGCTCCGAAAGAGCGCTCAATAGCCGCTCGCGAGTTACGTTTGGCAGCACCATCTGCAAAAACGCCAGCGGAGTGTTAATGGTCAGCGATATACGGTCCGAAGGAGATCCCGAAGAGATTGTCGGAGGCGTAGTAGTGCAGAAGTCCCGGTTACTGTTCGTGTCGTCGGAACACGAAAAAGCCGCGTCCATTTCCGCCGAGGATTCGAATGTGGACTCATCGGCGTGTGCTGCCAGCTCGATGAGGTTGCTGCGCAAGGCTGAGATTTGTGCATCAATGGAAGGTTCATCCGGGGTTGGATTGTAGTCAATGTCGGCGAGAAGAGCGGCAAGGAGGGAGCTATCCAGCGGAGGGCAGAACTCTTTCTGATGGCTTCCCACTTCAATATCGGCTAATGCGGCGCTTCGACGGAGCCCGTACCTGAAAAGAGTCAAATATCGCGTCCATGGTATGTTTTACAGTGATGGATGGGGACGCGAGGATGGGAAAGGCAAATCACAATGGAGATATGTAGTTGTGTGCTGAGATTGAGATAGAATCGCTAATGATCAACCAAACAAGTGTCAAAGGTGGCAGTGCAGCGCATACAACCTCTGACACGCCCACACTCATTGTCCACCACTAACTACTATATTGCTGCGAATTCCTGGAGAATTACGATGCTGTTCTTTCTATCTTCAGTTGCCTTTCTGGTACTCATCTCCCTCTGTTCGTGATCTTCTTTCCCCTCGGCATCGCCGCTTACTGTACATACTTTTGACAATGCGCAGTCGCCTTCCGTTACCGCGAGCGTATCCTGAGCCGCATCCCCGACCGATTTATTCCCCGACTGAATCACTACCAACCCCTTTCGACCTTCGCGGAGCAAATTGGCGCGGGGATGTCGTCGGCGGATTTCGATCTGGAAGCGAACGTGCGAGACGGGGACAGCCGGACTGGACTCGATGAGTCTGCGTCTATGGAAATTTCAGGCATCATGAAGAGGGAACGAGTCAAGTGAGCATACTGCTTTCGTGCTCGAGCATCCCCCCCAGCTGAATATACAACTGTAGCTTCGATCAAGCCAGGTTGATTCGACAGAATCGCATCCTGGCGCAGAACGGAATCGATCCATCTGGTAAGCTGTTCACCGCATATCGGTTTTCGGGTGGGACTAATTCGGGATTGTAGGAATGCCACTCGATTCAAAGGCCATCACTCGCCTTTGAGTATCGTGTCGTGTCCTCCGTTGGAGATTCCCCTCCATTCCTCATTCCTCTGCTATTGTATCATCTCACCCATATGCTGCCCTCTCCGTTCTACTTCCGTAATGGAAGTTCCCGGAACACTTTTTGTATAACCACTGCTGTACCTTGCTCGAAACTATCCTGCCACTCTCACCTTCCGAACCTCATCTGCTCAATGTGTTGTTAGCCGCGTTGTGTCCGTCCTCCGGCCATACTCTGGACTTATTCTCACTATGACTGGTCATTACGGCTGGCGCACAAACTCGAACTTGAGAGCTTTGTCTCTCGGAAGAACATGCGCTTCGTGCCTCGTTCAGATGACTTGAGGCATGATCGAACGCATTAGAAGAGGTTGATTTGTGCATCTTCGAGCTCCTCCAGCTCAATAACTGTCGTTGCTTCACGAGAACATTGTGTATTCTCTGACATTCGTTAGTGGTGTATTTCACATGAAGTGCGAGGCCCTCATCAGCGAGAACTGTGATCATATAAACTGGTCCAGGAGTGCTCATGATATCTCTGTAAGCACTCCAGGGGTTGCTCAGCTCGGACGATAAGTTCTTGCCGGGTCGAGAAGAGAGTTTTAGCGACACTCACTCGACTCTTTCTGCCTCCACGTCAAGTCTCGTTCTCGAGCGCATTGCCCACCCGCGGGACCGTTGTGTCACGTTATCGCGCGCCGCCAACTGTTTTGATGGTAAAGCGAAGAAGATCGCTATGCCATTGACTCAATCCCGCGCCCAAAGCCTCTTGATCTTCTACCATGACGCCCGAAACTACTCTTGTTAACCCAGATCATGCCATACGACTAGTTCACCGTCATAGCAAACCGTTCTTGCTCCTCGAGCTGCCAACAGAGCTCATACTTGACATCCTCACACACGCAGCCTCTATCTCCAAAGAGGTGTATCGTACATTGCTGTTGATGAACAGACGGATCTACTACTTCGTTCGCGGCGAGAAGCTTCTCACATTGGTGCCGATTGTCCTCTCCACAGGGCTCAATTTCGAGTCATTCTCCGAGTATCTCAGTCTCCGCCTGGGGGAGTCAGCTTTGGTCCGCCACCTGTTCATCTTCCCGCGAACTGCATCCAATCGCACACACAACGCCCATTGCGTGTCGATCGTCAGCCAATGCACCGAACTGCGATCCCTCGGTTGCGGGACGACGCTCCTGTACCAGTCTGTGCTGGGCCTCGGCCATCTGCGACACGTCCACTGCGTCGATCTGACGCTTGTCCGATTCCAGGAGACATGGGACCGTCTTATGTCCTATTCCCCCCGCGCCATCCAGTTCATGCACCAGCTCCGAGATCTGCATCTCATCGGCAACTTAGACCACGTCATCTGGACCCAGCGCGGAATGGTCCCTAAGCTCGACAACCTCGTGCACCTGTCCCTCGCGTTGGGAGGATACAATCATCTGCCGCAACGGATGTTCGAGGACGTCGTCCGCTCGCCCAAACTCGAGCAGATCGTCATCACGACCAAAGTACACGGAGCAAAAGTAGGAGTCCACTCCCAGGTTTTTTTCGTTTTCCTTACTCATACCGACGGCAGGAGCAAGCGCTCAAAGACGCCGCGTACGACTTGGACAGCAGGTTCTCGGTGCTGCATCGCCGGCGACGGTGGAAGGAGAGGGAGCTGTGGATGCGAGCTGTGCGCAATCCAGACGCGTTCTGGGAGCAGGCCGCGCGAGAAAAGTATTTACCTCCCTCGGAGCACGACCTCCCCGCTCGGCGAACGTGAGGCTCGGGGTACTACTTTTTTTGGGGGAGAGGACGCGTATGTCCCGGAACCGATAACAATGTCAACATTACATAACGTACAGATGAAACAAGACCCGTAGCTACTCAGGCTCGCGCGCCGTACACGTCTTGCGGCAGCACACCGCCCTGGCCGCGGCGCGCGTTGGCCTGGGCCCATCTAGCAAATCATCAGCACCACCGCTGGGGAGAAACAAGCAGATGAGCCTACTTTTTGACACGGATCGACTGGATCTGGATGAAGCCGCTGGTATCCGTGGGCTCGAAGCCACCCATCTCGTCCATGGAGCTCTGTCGCTCGTCGTACAGACCCTCCTCGCTCTGCCGGCCCTCAACGACAACATTGCCCTTGTACAACTTCAGGCGGACGGTGCCGTTCACCGTCCGCTGGCTGGCCGGAATGGCGCTCATGACGAATTCGCGCTCGGGTGTGAAGAAGTGGCCGTTGTACAGAATCCGGCTCAGCTCGATCGTGACAAACTGATCCCGCAACGCACGGACGTTGCGGTCGAGGGTGAGACCCTCCAGGTCGATGTGAGCAGCTCGGAGGATCGTCGCGCCGGGCGATTCGTAGCACCCGCGCGATTTGACGCCAATGAACCGGTTCTCGACGATATCGATACGGCCGACACCGTGTTTGCGCCCGAGGGCATTAAGCGCAACGAAGATGTCGACAGCATCAGTGTACGTCTTGTTGTCACCGGAAATCACGACCTTGGTCGGGAGGCCCTTGTCGAACTCGATCGTGATGCGTTCAGGTGTTTCCGGTGCCTCTTCCGGGGCAGTGGTCACTTTCCACATATCGACCGGAGGCGTCGTGTTCGGGTCCTCGAGGATACCAGCCTCGTAGGAAATGTGGAACATGTTCTCGTCTGTGGACCATGGCTTGGCAGCAGTCTGAACGACGGGAATCCCCTTCTCGGCAGCGTACTCGAGCAGAGCCTGACGGCCAGGGAAACGGTTGTAGAATTCTGATGTGTTCTCCGTTAGTGCGGAGGAAGTCGAGGAGAAAAAGACGGGTAAGCACCAGGTAACCGCCAAGGAGCGATGACCTTGATGTCCGGCTTAAGACCGTAGAACGCCAATTCGAATCGAACCTGGTCATTGCCCTTGCCAGTGCAGCCATGGGAAACATAACTGGGAGTTGTGCGCATGAATCTCCCTGGAACATCGGGAGGCCGATGCAATACTCACTCGCAACCTTCCCGATCCGCGATCTCGATTAACCCACGCGCCGTGACCGGCCGAGCAAGGGACGTCCCGAGCAGATACACGTTCTTAAGCCGGCTTAAGCTCGCGTGAAACGGACACAGGGAGCGGGGACGCGCACCTCATAGATGCAGTTGGCTTGTACAGCAGGGTAGATCAGCTCCTCGACGAATTCGCGCTTCAGATCCTGGTGATCGCGCCTCAAGTCAGAACCCGATGGACAGTGGATTCCACATCCAGACGCACCGCCAGGAAAAACTTCTTGGCTCCGACTTTGAGTGCCTTCTTCTCAGCAGCGGCAAAGTCCTAGCACGGCATGAATAAAATGGTATGTATGAACGAAGGATAGAGCACGCACGTCATCTTGGCCCACATCGGCCATGAATGCGTACACCTCGTATCCCTGCTCAATCAGCCATGCGAGGATGCAGGAGGTATCTGCGATGAAGATCAGCTGAAGTGCAGGGCGATCCGACGCGCGACTCGCCCAATCCACCGGAATATGCGAGCAAAACACGTCCTTTGGAGGCAGACATTGCGGTTTGGAGAGAGTAATTAACTGATCGAGTCACACAAAAATTTTGGTGCGCGACTGGCCTCGCATCACAAAACCGACAGGTCGGCCGACAGATCAATCAGTGACATCATGAAGAGCCCCTATTTCCATTCACGACTGGGAGTTGAAAAGGTTGGAAGAACAAGTGAGATCCTTCGATCAAGGTCGAAAAATAGTCACGAACCATAGATTTTCCATAGCACTAGTCATGATATTTCCATTTCTTTTCTCTTTGAGTCAACATTCGGTCTGTCCAACTGGCTAGAGGATTCCATAGACAGCCGTGGGCCGAGGAGTACAACGGACATCAAGAACTTTCCTCGAACGCAATCTCGTTTGAATGTCCCAATTATCGGGCGGCAGGATAGTATTGGGGAGCCAATAGGAGGGATATGATGAAAATACTACAGGCATTCCATTTAAGTAAAAGTAAGTTCCGTCCACAATGACCTGAGGGATGTCTACATTCATCGATAGACCTGGAAGCTTTACGACTCTGAATTTCCTTCTGAGTGGCAAAGCCAGAAGCATCATTGACAGCGTCTCATTCATTGAATGAGAATCGGGCTGCCAGTCCCGTAGCCAATATCACAGCTGATTGCCGCTCAGGATATGTACTCATTCAGAGATTACATCAGTCAGAGAGGAGATCTCTCGTCACTGCTTTTCATCGAGCATACGAAATGACCAGGCTCATCAGGCGCCCAAAACATGTGTCATGATCATAATTTCACAAGCCTCATCATCAAATTCACACGGTTCGACAACCCCTTGTAGTCTCTACCCATCACCTACTGCAGGCACAGAATACGAGGCTCGACGGGTTCACGCTTGGCGCAGCGGCCACGGATGCAGTCACGTGCCTCCGGGACGGCGCGGACGGTAGGGCCGGTCCACGGGGGGCACGTGGTGGTAGGGATGATAATCTGTTAGGAATTGCGTATGAGATGAGTCGTAGACAGTAATAAGTAGATGATGCTCACTCTCGCCTCAACGGGAGCAGTGGCGACGACTGTAGTGGCCGCGAGAGCGAAGACGGCAAGGATGGTGCTAGCGAAACGCATTCTCGGTGATGTGAATAGGAACACTAAGGGCAGTTCAGCTGGGAGACCGGACTGAGGGAATTCCGACTATGCCGACTTGGATTTATACTCTGCGGAGGCACATAGCACGTGCGCGATAGCTGTTACAAGCATTATCTCTGCTGATGCGCTCACGTTGTCCCAGCGCTCATTGAATAGGAGTTTCTTTGATAAAGAGCGGTACCCATCGGTAGCCAGGTCCAACCGGGAAGAGTGAGATCAGTGAATTGAACCCGTTCCCGGGCATTCAGTTAAGCGAAGGCCAAGAAAAAGCCCATAAGCTCAACATCCATAGCCAATACATATTCTCTATCGACGATCATCTCATACAACTCGATCAGTTCGCTCCGTGGCACCGAAAACGCTAGGGCCCAAAGACATTTAGTAAGATCAATGATTAACCCGCGATCAGGAAACGTAAATCGCCGTCGAAAGATAAAAAACTGGCCTCAACAAAATATATCAATCCCCACTTGTACGGCGCTAGTTAGGGGGAAATCTAGCTCCGCCAAAATTCCACTCTGTTTTACGCCGTACCCGGGCTCCCCGAATCACTATTTAACACTCCTTGTGGCGGGCAAAAGTCGAAAACTCGAGGATTTTCGAGTGCATTCCGGAGGATGTTTACATTGAGTATCCGTGAGCTTCGACTGCTACCTGCCGATTCGATCGATGGAAAATTGGAAATTGACTCTGTGCCTCTTGATGGAAATAGCACAGCCGCTGATGTGATGCAAGAACTCGACGCCTCGTGGACGAAAAAGGAAATCCTCTCCAACACGACAGCGAATGGACAATGGTACACTATGTAGATAACTGATACATCAAGCTGAATCAGAGCAAGATCCGCGACTAATCAACCAGACGGAACCGCACGATCGTCTTCTCGCCCGGGAACCGCCGGTGCGTATCGTCCGGCAAAACTGCCACCTCGAGCTCGCCTTGCATCGTTCTGGTTCTGTGCCCAGTCGGGTCAGAAGGATGGCCTGCCGAATACCGGACGCTGATGGGCATATCTACATGGTGCGAGCAGGCGAATCGGGTGACGACGCCGCCCGGGGGCCCGAGGATGCTCACCCAGCTCGTCGGATCGAATTCAATGCCGCTAACGTTAGCGATCTCGTCTTTAACGGCATGCACCGCCTGCTCCACGAGATGCCGACGCGAGACGACATCCATGTGCGGCGCGACGACGGAGAACTCGCCGCTGAAGTCAAACATGGATTGTGACGGCAGCTGGGGGGCTTCTTTGGCGGTCCGGGCGATGAAGTAGAGAGACTGGGCGCCTATGAAGTCACGAAAACGGACGGCGAAGTCTTGCAAGAGATCCTGGCAGCATTGGTACAAGGGATATGGGGAAATCCGTTTGCGCTTCTTGGCAGGCTCAGGTGGCTGTCGCATTCCGGTCAGAACATGTGCGGCAGATGCGATGTCACGACAAACCTCTGGAGGAGCGTGGACGAGCTGCTTCTTCGGTCTGTCACGCTGCACGGTGGTGATCTTCTGCTCGGACAATGGTTTCCGCCACAGACACTGCTGGCATTCAGTATCGGGCAGCGCATCCGCCGGGACGAGGACTCCGCAATCCGCATGCACGCATCGACCAGGCACGTGATACGGAGTTAACGGGTATTCGGCAGCATCCACGACCTGCGATTTCCGCTCCTTGACCAGCTTCCTCTGCTCTCGCACTCGGCACAAGCCGCATTTGTCCCACTCATACTCTGTCGCCGGAGGAATGATATGTTCACAATAGACACCCGCGCATTGCCTCGCGCCAGCCATCGCAGCACACCTGGGCCTCTCTCTGGTCATCTTCCCGCTCGGTAGAGCAACTGGCGTACGTCGGCCTTCGTCCCATTCTCTTATTAGCCGTTGTTCCATCTGAGCTCGGTAAGCAAGCGGCGATGTCTCCGTCACCTCCGGGTTGGCCGATGGATCGCCGAGCACAGCGCCGACTTGAACGAGAGCAGCGTGAGCGGCACCGGCTGCAATCTTTCCCAGCCGTTGTCTTTGATATTCGCGGTAATGATTGCGACATGCTTCACAACACTTCCAGCGGTATTCAGACAATGGAGGGAGAGGCGTTCGACAACGAGAGATGGTACAGAACCGCGCTGGTTCTATGAAAGTGTCCGACGCCAGAGACAACTTGGCGGGCTTCGGAGGCTTGAGTATCGACTGTATTGTGACGGAAGCGCATGTGTCCGTCGTCAGAGCTGATTCTGTAGCAGGGCACGCTTGCTGCATGGACTCTGAGCGCCGGGTAGAAGCTTCCGACGCAGCGGCAAGCCCCGGAATGCGAATCTTGAGAGATGATGTTGGAGGGCTGTCTTCATCGTCCGTTTCCCCTGCCGAGTTCGTGAGTTCCGACAACTCGCTGTCCCATCCGCTAGGCCTGGAATCCGTCGTGTCTTCAGAAACGCTCTTCTTGACGTTATCGTGGCGATTCCCGCTGCTCTCGTCCTTCCCACCGAGAACAACGATCCTCCGCCCATCGGTATCCACAATCATCTCACCCGATGGACCGGCCTTGCCCACAGGTGTGAGTTTCAGCCTGATCGTTACTCTCTTCTGTGGTGTCCCCCCGGGCTTCCCAGCTGTCGCAGCCCGTCTTGCCTCGCATGTCTTGTCCTCCTTTAACGCGACGACCCGGGCTTGACTCTCCGCTTCAACTCTGGCTTCCCGTTCAGCCTGGTGCTTCTCCTGCATTCCCATCCAGCTCCCTCGAACGCAGCCCAGACAACGCTTGCCTTTAACCGTGACCGTGTTCTCGCACCCTATCGACAAGCACGTCAAACGCGACTTGCCGGCGACCGCGAGCATTGCTACCGGCTGCAAACCCGGTGGTAGAGGCCTCGCACCAAACCCAGGGACAAATATCTTCCCTGTTGGCCTTTGAGCTGGCCGAGGGCCAACACCACCCTCCATTGCCTTGGTACGATAATAGTTCCCGGATGGTCTCTCGCTCGAAGGGCCGGGTATAGGTGCGGATTTAGGCGCATGGCGGTATTGGACCGCGGGAGGAATCCGGTAACCAGCGGCGTTGATGGGGTATGGAGGTCGACCGCGTTTGCGAGGAAGACTCGGCTGTGTTACTGCAGGGATCCGGGACGAGGCAGGATGTGAATATTGCTCTCTGGGAAGCACAGGGAGAGGTTGTATCGGTGTGGTCACTACAGAGGGCTAACAGAACATGTTAGCGCCGTTGCGAGGGGTGGCAATTCTCCAAGGCTGCAGAACGCAAACGCAAAGATGATCCCGAACTGAACGAACCTCGTCATCAGGATATCTCAGCTCCATATCCAGTCCCCAGTCCAGATCTTCGTCTTCGGTCGATGGAGGAACAGGGTCGATTGAGGCCGGCTTAGTCTGAGCCTGTGCAAAGCAGCACCCCAGTCAACGAAATGGTATCAGGTTGGGGATAGAGAAAAAGATAGAGGACAGCAGGAAGGCAACGAACGATGCGGGGGTAGATCGTCCTTCAGTGGATATATCCAGGCGCGATTGGGCCCTATGAACTTTCGATCTGCTGACGCGACTGGAGCGCGTCAAAGACGCGACGGAGCTAACCAATTGCGATATCCGGCATACCTTGTCAGGTACAGGTACAGAGCTCGTTCCAATTATCGTGTTTGAGACAATTTCACCGCGCACATTGAAGTGAAATAGGGGAGGAGGAAGAGAGGGCGCCGGCAGCTGCGGCGTCGATGAAGAGGACGCAAGACCAGACTAGAGCAAATTCGAGTCTTCCAGTCAAGATCGTGCCTCTTATCCGGAGTGATAGTGAAACGCACAGGACAAACGGAGCAGGTGAATGCGGATGAATGACCATTTTGGCATGCCACCAATGCCATCGGCGCGTTTCCTCCTGTCGAAACGCTCCAAGTGGTGCTTCTCGCACAACTAGATAATGGCGATGGCGAAGAAAAAAAAGTTCTGAGAAAAAATCGGCCACAAGTTACATGGATCGACAAATGCGCAAATAGTCGACAACATTCAGTGTGTAAAATTTTGATGATCGTCGGCAGTGACCGAGGAAACAATATGTGCAGGGGTCTATTAGATGCAGAAATGATATATACCGACTATTTACGGTGCCCAAAGGAGGAATCAAAGTAATATCCAGGTCCACGTCTCTCCTTATACAAAGTTGATTCCATTGCTGTACGCTTCAGAGTCGGATGTGTCGTAGACGTCGACATCCTCATCAACAACGACGAGCTTCCGAGCATCGATACCTCCGGCAAGTAAACCAAATCCAAAGCGCTCTGACACAATCCACCGCACCGGATGAGTCTGCAGATCACGCAGTTGATCCCGGATGAAGGTGTGCTCGGCGTCGCCTTCAATGTGTGACGGCGGCAATGACACGTTCCATCCGAGATATAGGCTGTGTCGGCCGAGCCCAAGGTGCGGGTCATCGGGATCGAGAGAAGAGACATGTGCAACCAGCCCATCCTCGTGCGAATAGCTCATCCCAAACATGGTCACTAGCGCGGGGGAACATCCCCGACGAAGCATCTTCCACATAGCACTCCGGGCATTGTTGAACGGGACTACTCGTGATGGCGGCTCCCAGCGAGGGAAATCATACGCGACATCTTGATCAGAGTACTCGTCTGAATCGATTTCGCCTTGCTCTTCTTCGGAAGCCGACACATTCTCGCTGTCCGTCCCGCTCTCATACATCCGATTGTCATCCATCCAAACCAGCTCGTAAGGATCGATAGAATCTGCACTGGCGGGCCCATAATATGGTCCCTCTATGGAGCTTGCATCGGATCCGTTTTCGTCATCTTCTTCATCTTCATCGTTGTCTTCGTCGGAAAAGCACATCAATTGCAGCGACGGAAACAGGCCTTTCCAGGGATCCACGTCTTCCATCATGGTGGACGCGGATGTCTCTGGGCGAAGCAGACCGACCATGTTCTTGATCACGAAGACAGGAACCGGACGGCGCGTAATGCGGCCGCGGCAGCAGGGACACTTTTTCTGGCGTCGCAAGGCGTAGTCAGGATCGAGATCCATCTGATCGTCGTGTTCGTTCTGGGGTGCAGACCGGAACCATTGTTGCAGGCAGTCAAGACAAAACATATGACCGCAAGGTGTTAGGCTACGGCAATGAGAGTATGTTGGAAGCCATGAAACGGATTAGCTTACAGATATGGCCGCGTGAACAGCTCAATACAAATCTGACATTGCAGTGAAGACTCGACGGATTGTATCAGCCCATCATTCTTCTGAGCTTTCGAGGTCAAGTCAATGATTTGCCTATCCCGCTCTTCTCTGGCTGAGATCTCGGATTGCACTTGCAATTTGAGTTCTTCGACCGTCTTGAGAGAGATGAGCACTGATTTCAGGGTCCAGAGGCTATCACAGACCTTATTCTGCTTTTTCAGCTGCTTCTTGTAGTCATGCACCAACTTCTTCGTCGCCTCCAGATCCTTCCGCATCCGATCATACTCCGACGAAGGTGTCACTGGCCTTGAGGGCACAACTTCCGATCCATGTCCGTGCTGCCTTCCCTTCCCTTTCACATCTGGCCGGGAGGAACTTTCCGGCCTGGGGCGCAGAGTAGATGAAGAAGGTGCGGAGGAGCGGTGGATATGTTTGGGAGGAGTAACGATGCTGATAGCGCCCGCGCCAGATGATGACGAGGGCCGGGACTTGATTCGCTGACCCCGATCGACAGTCGCTTCCGTTGGGATGGCGAACGGACTGATAGCGAAATCAGTCGACCGCTTACGCTTGATATTGTTGATAGGAGGGGTTTGGGAGGTTGAGAATGGATCGAGAAGTCGACTCCGGGATGGGGATCGAGACTTGCTTCGCCGTGTCGAGGGCTCAGCTGCTGAGTGCATGCGTGGAGTCGGAGTGGCGGGGGCAGAGGTTTTTCGGCTCGCCGTGCTTCGGTTAGGGATCGCTGCGTTACGTTCCAAACGGCTCATGGATTCGACAGAAAGAGGGAAGAGGTGCAGACGAATTGATGTAGGGGGTGGGTGGCAGAAGACGTAGAGAGCAAGCTGGTCCACGCGTTAGAGGAGGAAAGCAGTGGGCCCTGCTCTCTTCATAAGCCGAGGGGCGTCGTGGCTTGAAACACGGTCGGGCCAAAGAGGTGGCCCTGGGACGACAGGTAAAGGGAGAGCGAGAACAATGTGGTGCTGAGCTTTCTCAGGAATGTGACTGTAGCGGCGATCAAAGCACCAGCGGCAAATCGGCGATCACACAGCACAAAGACACGTCTTATTAATAATATGAATTTATAATTTAATTTTGACCAAGATATTGATTTATACTATTCCTGGCCAGGTAAGGTAGGCGTCATCAGGAACCAGCACCCCTTACTAAGCGTCACAGAGTGACATTCCGTGACGGACAATGGCGGCGGCCACAGATAAAAAATGAAAGATATGTTCAGATTGAATGCTTAGGGAGGTCATTAGAGCACCTTGTATCTGAACGGAATCTGCATAAATGGTCTCTGAGGTCCATCATGAGAGGTCGAAGATTTTCCCATCAAACATTTTCTATTGATGTTCAAAGTGTTTCTTAGCCAAATGCAGCACTTTTCAAGTTTCGGACCCAAAATTTGAGGCTGTCACGTGATGTCCCAATTAGGAAGTGATGACATCTAGCACTAGAATAGGCTACATCTTCAGTATAGAAGCTCAATCTGTTCGGATTGCAGCTATAGGTGGCAAAAAACTGCTGTTCAAGTCTTTTGGAGGCGTCACAAAGCCATAAAAATCAAAGTATTTTTTCGGGACCCAAGATTTGAGGCGTGACAGCATGATGTCACATGCTTAGTAAGGGGTGCTGGTTCCTGATGACGCCTACCTTACTACAAAAGCGATCTGGAGTTCCCCGCTTCTTTATCCAGGCATTCCATTTAATTTAATATAAAAACAAGCTCCTTGAAGTCATGCGGCTTTGCCGCAGCTGCCTCTGGTCCGGAAGTAAGACCTGCAGGTGAACAGGATGGACAACATGTTGCAATGCATATGCTCACCGAGGCAGGAGGGATCTAACAGAGTACATATGACGTTTGAATAGGCCATATGGAAACAACCTAATATTCGAATTTCGTGCTCATTGACACGGTGGTCACGTACACGTGCTCAGCAGTCAACGTGACCGTGATACCGTGTAACTTCGACTGAACGCTCGACAGCGCTCGCTATGACCTCGCAATCTATTCGAGATTATCTCACTAAGGAGATCCTCATCGAGAACAACATTGCCAGTACAGTTATGCTGTATGTTCGCTGTGGCTCACGCATCTCTAGGTCACCTTCCGTTCCCTTAGTCGTGCCTTCTCGTTGCATGTAAATCTAGCGAAAAAGTGGGCTCTCCGCTTGGCGCTCTTGTCGCGACTGAGTCAAATCAAGCCATCTCGCTGAGTTCCAGGCAACCGATCCTGACAGGCTCCACGCGACCTACCTTCTGAGCGGCGAGACGCAGAAACCGCCTCCGAGCCGCCTCAGCAAACAGGCCGCGCGCAATCAGTCGGATGATGTGGACATGGAGGATGACGATATGACTATCTATGCGCCAGTGCATGATGAGAAGGAGGAGGAGGAGGAAGAGGAGGAATACATTCCGCAGATCGAGATGATGCTGGTCAATGAGAAGGACCTCGAAGGCGCGTGTACACAAGCTCTGGCTTTGATACCGATTCGAACTGCTTCCAGTTGCACGAGCCAAATTCGAATCCTTGGACAGTATTCACGTTTATAGTCTTTCCTCGGCCGTCATAAAGGTGCAGGTGTCCTTGCCTCTCTTCGACAGTGGGCACTCATCCTTACTCTAGGATGCTGGTCTACTCTGTACACCCACCGACTTTGTTGTGCGGAAACTCGACGACCAGAAAGGCGACGAATTGGCCAAGGTGGTAGGGCGGATAAGCTGCGCTGCCGTGCAGGTTCGTCTCCCGTAGATGATTGTGATCATTCACGTATCCTTTCCAAGGTATCTAACAAACCCATCCAACACTGGGGCAACAGGAATGCACCGACCGCTGCTCCTGCTGTTCCTGCCGCAGGACCATCAAAACCAGCAGACACCACAGCCAAAAAGCAAGCCGAGGACAAATTGAAGGGGAAGGAGAAACCGAAAGCCACGGGCAAGCTCGATTTCAGTAAAGCTAAGACCAAGCCGCCGCCGGAGAAGAAGGAAGAGAAATTCAAGGCCGAACCTAAATCCAAGGCGAAAGAGGCCGTGTCGCGCCAACCATCAATGGCCAAGACGACGTCAGGGAAAGTCCAAGAGAAGATGGACGAGAGTAAGGTATGTGAACGAGACTGCTGACGTCGAGTGTCGATATGACCTCTCCTAGAAACGTGGTCTCAAGCGCAAATCAGCCCTGGCTTCTGAGTCAGAGGAAGAAGAGGAGGTAGAACCTCCAGCAAAACCACCCCCCAAAGCAGTCGTCGAATCAGCCTCATCGTCCGTTCGAGCTCGTAAAGGAGTTATCTTGTCGGACGACGAAGACGATGCCGCGGCACCCAAATCTAGGCCGATACGCAAGGGCAAAGCGAAAGCTGTCGTACCAGATTCAGATTCTGAAGTCGAAGAGCAGAAGAAACATCTACGTGCGATGATGGATATCGACGATGGTGTGTTTCAAGGGAGATTGTGGGGGCTGCACTGACTTGACTCGCAGATGATGTCTCGCGAAGCTCTTTCTCGAAACCGCCCTCGCCCGTACCAACAGACGAGGGGTCGGATGTGGATATGGAGGAACCGGAAGAAAAACCAAAGCGCGCACCCGTGAAACGCAAGCCTAAGAAAGTCGTTCCTATCGGGAGCAACGGCCTGAAGAAGAAACGCGTCGTCAAGTCGAAAGCGACGATAGATGAGAAAGGGTATATGGGTGTGTACAAAAGAGGCATGATTGGAGCGCTACTCACTGTGCTTTCCAGTCACGCAAGACTACTCGGAGTACGAGACTGCAGATGAAGAGGGACCGGAAGAGGTAAAGAAGGAAACCAAACCCAAACCTAAAGCTAAGGCCAAGGTCGACAAGGCGAAAGCGGAGCAGGAGAAAGCTCCGGCCAAGAAGACCGAAAGCAAACCCCCCGCAGCCGCGAAACCAAAGCTGAAGCCTTCAGGACCTTCCAAACAGGGAAATCTGTCGGCGTTTTTCGCAAAGAAGTAGATCGTGTCCCCGCCTACATGTTCGCACGACCGAATCGCATGGTGCCTTACCCTGTCTATGTAAGGATACATGGGCAGTAGATACTTAGCACTGCAGTCGATGTGTATCCCCTTGATAGCCAGATAAAAGACCGCGCAATGGCTGAGCTTGCTCCAGTCTCATTCCCAAAGATGCGTCTGTCAGCCTCCTCGTTGCTTGCCGCCGTGCTGTTTGTCGGAGGGCCAACGGTGCTTGCGCAACATGCCCGCGCTCCTAGCGTCGCACAATCGGCTGGACTGGTGAGCTCTACGACACTTCTTAAATAACAGCCATGATAATTACAATATCGCACATAGCCCCACCCCAGCATCAAATGTCCTCCCATCATCTGCAGTCCCATAAACGAGGTCGAGCCACGAGATTGCATCCGCGGCAGATGCGCGAAGCGATATGCTTGCGTCAAATCGGAGCTCATCGCATGCCCGCAACTTGATTAGAGACCTCTTCATTGCATGTACGTAGTAAGAGACTCGGATAAAAATTCATGACTGTCACGAGCGGGCAAAGTACCAGGAAGAGGCAATTAGTGATTTACACGTGATCGCGTTATCGTTACATGTTTGTGCATGTGCTATAGAGTACAGCTTCGGGGGCGTGAAGCACACGCGTCAAGCGGCGAGTTCATTCCAGTCCTTGATAATCCAGCTGTCAATTTCAGACTTATTCCTTGTGTTCTTGATGAGCTTGTTGCCGTCGTAATTCAGGCTGATCGTATGGCCGGGCGTGTCAGCCAGATGTATCCTGGGCACGATTGTGAGCAGGCCTGGTCAGCAAAGCGTCACTTACAACGTCATTGTAGCGGGGTTCCCGATTCCGGGCGTCGGCTCGAATGAGACAAAGGTAGGGAACTCAGCCATCGTGATCAGGTCCGAATCCTGGCTGGCGGTCGCCAGGAACATGTCGGCTGCGATGTGGAGGATCGAAAATGCTCGCGGGCCAACTGGGCAGATATAGAACTAAGACGTCCGACGATGTCAGAAGCCTTGCAAACACGATCCTGGATGAATGCCCTTACCCGTTGGTCGGCGTTCAGAACCGGTTTGGCTTGGGACAATATCGGCGGATCTTGTCGAGCGCGCTGGAAATTGGAGTATTGGAGGCACTGTTTCGTGTACGCGTTGAAAAGTCGGATGGGAGTGCGAACTGGTACAGGACACCAAGGAATATGCGGACTATGAGGATGCCGTCAGATTTACTGGGGTGGTGGAAGAGAGAGAAACACGGCGGACCTCTTCAAAGTTTCTATGGGACCCACCGCCGCTCGCATCGCGGCCACCTCACGTTCAGCCATTAGCCGCTTGTACTTTGCATCCTTGAGCTCGAGCTCAAGTTTTTCAATCTCTTTGTCCTTTTCTGTCTGAGGAACGCCAGCAGCGAGTTCCTTTTTCTGCTTCTCATCGAGCAGCAGCTTGGCTTTGGCCGCCGCTTTGGCCGCTTCAGCGTCAGCGCGTACCTTGGCGAAGTCCTACAGATGGCTATGAGCGGCAAGGCTGCGGCAAATCGGCAAATTTACTGGAAGCAGAATGCGGAATACGGCCGGGCTGAGATACTGCCAGGAACGATCCGGATCACAAGCAACTTTGGGATCAGCAGCGACGGCATCTACTTCGCGAACGATCTTGATCATCTCGAACCGACAGTCTCTCCGGGCCTTGTCGAGTGAAAACGTGGTGTAGGTGTATGGATTGAGGTCGTTGGGAGGCAGCGGCTCTTCGGCTTCGATCCCAATCAGTAGAGGAGGAACATACGGGGCTACGCGTGCCGGCGCTGGCGTCACTGGAGCTGGCACTGTCGTAGTTGGTGTCGACACTGAGGATACTGGTGCCTGCACTGTGGATACTGATGTCGGCAAAGGTGCAGAAGCAATAACCGCCTCAGAGGGAGCATTGTCAGGTTGAGGGCTACTGCTCTGGATGGGCTTGTTCTCGATGAGCAAAGTGCTGCCGCTGCTAGGAACAGGGTTCGAAGGCTGTGCTAGAGCACTTTGTTCCCTTGCTTGTTGCTCCAGTCGGGCGCGCTTCGCTTTGTATTTCGCCAGTTGCGCCTCGTAATTGGCCTTGGCCCCAGTTGCCAGCTCTTTCAATTGCGTGGAAGAGTCGTTGGTGAGTGTTCCTGTCTGGTTCTGTTCGATTTCCCATGTCGCTGGGCAGAGCTTAGTCTTCGAGCAGGTCGGTGAAAGCGTGAATACCTTGCTGGATGTTGCGCCACATAACTTTGTAGTCCATGTAAGCATCGAGGAGCGCAGAGGAGTATACCCCAGCATTCTCGTAGTCTGTAAAATCGTCAGCGCGCAAGGCAACAGAGACAAGGTCAGAAAAGTCATCACACCCAGCGGAGACCCCTGGATACTCTTCGTGTAGAAACTCTTCAAACTCGTGTACTTTGTCAGTATGGCGCTGATCTACGATTATCTTTGGTTCGAGACGCGTAGCCGCATACACGCACTTTGTTTTGAGGGGACATGCCATCACATGTTCTGGGAACTCCATTGCCACACTCTTCAGCGAGGAGAGCGTCCAGTCCGAGACCGTCGCATCCTTGATGTCTCCACCGCCCTTCCAAGAAACGGCAATGGTCGTCTCCCCCTCGATCCCCTTGCTCGCGTCCTTCTTCTCCAACGCGCCCTTCCCAGATACCGAGACCGCCGAGAAGTTCATGTTAACCTCGAGGTCCCCTTTGATTTCCTTCGTCTTCGAGCGGTCTTTCAGCTTGATGGAGATGAGAGCGTTGAATTCGCCGCCTTCAGTGAAACCTTTGTCCGGGGGTAAGCATGGCCTGGATTTCGAAACGACTCGAGACGCGCTGGACTGACCGGAGATGAAGGAGTCCCCATACACGCGGTTGAATTCTGAGGCAGGCAAATACGGTATAGGAGCGAATTCAATGAGATCGGGTGCCGTGCGCAGCTGGTTCGTGACGCGCACTTGGATGAAATAGTTGATATCGCTCTCTTGGAACTTGTTCGTGTCGATGAACGAGGCGGAGGCCTTTCCGCCACCGCCAACTGCGTCACATTTGATCTGCAAGGACCCTGGGATGGCATGATCATGAAATTTCTCCGAGGTCGGGAGAAGTTGACGCGCCGCTGACGTTCAGGCTGTCTGAAACCTCGCTGATTCTGTCCACGAACTTGGCGGTCCATGTCACGTCTTGACTGATGTCCACGTTCCCACCATCCAAGCCGGTCATTTGCCCGAACTTGTACTGCGGTCGCGCAATCCGCTCAGCGCTCTGAGAGAAGTTCAGGAACGAATCTGTCGGTCGATGCAGCTACTCACCGCAGACGCGCGCACACCACCCTCCAGCGTAACCGCGTCATTGATGCACAGCTGTTGGGTGAAGGAGTTGAAGCTGCCTCTCCCATAAGCATCGGTCTATCTCGAGTCAAAGGAAACTCCACGCACCCCATCCCAAGCCGCATCGCGTCGTTGTACGGAGCGAGTAACACGGCCATTTTTGCAGCGGCGTAGAGTATTAGGGACAGAGTCAATGTGTGTTCACCCGGACGGCATACCCTCTTATGCGACGATCCATGGCTTGCCCGTGACGGGTTCTTGTTGATTGGTCCTGGAACTTAAGGTACGCACTAGCCGATGTTCAGCACGTCAGACAGCGCAAATGATCGCGTAATGAGTCCAGTCTCCGAAGAGTCATGTATTTTGATCATGAAAAGTGGCCACTGAGAGGGAGAGAGGCAACTTGGAAACCTTGTGGTAACTTTGAGGTGAGGTTGTGTAAGTAGCAGGTCATCAGTTTTGATACTGATGAGATTCACCTTGCGATGAGATAAGCTAGACGTTCACGTGAAGACTCCCTTGTGTCCTCCGAAACCCGTGTTTACGTCAATGTCCTCAGACGAATCAACGCAAAGATCCACTGCGGAACGTCCCAAGTCATCCTTGCGTCGCTTACTGCCGCCTCGTCTCATGGCTCTGTAGTTGAAGCCAAGGAAGGGCAGCATTGGACTGACAGTACTAACGCCCACTAACTCGAAACCTCCGCAACAGCCTGAAGACGGTTTCTCTCTCAAGCCTCTTTTGGATGCCCTCGTGAGAGAACCTCTCGACGCGCGCGATGAAGACGAGGATTAAGAAGTCGGTCTCAGCTTGGAAGGAAAGATCGAGGCGCTGTTGCCTGACTATGTGAGCGCAAGGACGACGATATTGCAGAGGTCCGCTGAGTAAGACGTCGCGGTGTGCACCAATACCGTGCAACCTCCTCTATCCTGTCAATCGCATGTACAGGGACGCTTGCTGAGACCGATGACGCGCTCCGAAGTGCATGAATTCGTAAGTGAGTCAGGGTCCGGGCGCGATGGAGAGGGAGAGTCGTTTTGGCCGCTGCCGTCCGTAGGCGCAAGGTAGGATGGGTGAGTGCTCAAGGTCTTCCAGGCATGACATACTGAGCCAACTGCCATTGGCAGGAGCGGCGGAGAGCAGAACTACATCGAATGCGCGATTTCAATATCCGCACTCAACACGATGCCACTCTCTCCACCTACTGCGCTATCGGCGACACAAGAGGCAACTGCGAAGGCAGCTATTGATGCGCTTGAGGCAATACGAGTAAGGCCGTTCGACAACTCGTCCCTGTCGCCACTTGTACAGCACGAGACGAGGTCTGGACGTGCCTGGTCTTGTTTCGGTTGGCTGGGAAACAAGAGCCACATGGATGTAACGTCTTCAAGCACCAGACCTTGTTGCAGTGGGTCATCTTTCTCTGTCATTGGATCCTGAATGCTGTGGCTGTAGCTTGGATCGCGATCACCTGATCAAGATAGCACTTGTGTACTCAGGCTACTCCTGCGCTCAGCGCTCATGCTTGGCAGATTGACTAAATTAACGGACTTCTTCAAGAAGTCTTCTGGGTTGACATCGATGAGTACTAGTACTGAGTGCCATTATTCTCTACTCGTTCCTAGTTTATGATGCACAGTGTGAGACAGTGGCCGAGTGCGTAGAACACGCTTCTGAACGATGTACTTGGATTGCTATATATGCTCGAAAGGTCGTTGTAGTCGAAACATTGAAAAGGCCTAAAAATATCCTACCCAAATTTTCTCGCTGCTCGTGTGGGATGGGATAAGGCCAAGATTGTTTTGTACGGCGGCAGCGTGTAAGGCTTCTTTCATTGACTAGTATTAAGCTGAAGCACGCTCATGCATCGCCTTACAACCCTCGATCCTTGCCAGTACATGACACTGCATATCTCGATTAACAACTTTGCCATTGTCAGTGACTCACGCCGATAATCTTTGTGGTATCACCACTCAGGTTCAAAGCGGTCGGGTCTGTCGCTGGGTTTACCGTGGACTTGTACCTCCCAGTTCCTGCGCCTCGAGAAAGGCTTTTAAACTCATACCGACCCAATGCTGATAGTGGAGTATACAAATGAAGTGGGATTGGGTTGATTGGTAGATTGCAAGGGGATGTCTTTCGACTCGGCTTGCGGCTGGTCTGATACAATTGTATGTGCCAACTATTTCCAGCGCATCGCACTCATAGGCCCAGTGTGGCACTATGGTGGGCCGGAAGTGACGCCATACTTGCCCCCCTGGGGCGACCGGCGTTTCTGAGGAGTATATGCCCTCTTCGTATCCGACGCAAAGCTCTTCGAGCTTCTGCCTAAATCGCTTTGGTCAGGTTACTGCATTCGACGACCGTTTCTCAGGCTCTCTCACGAGAAGGGTTTCGTGCCGATAATGTAGCCGGTGTACTTGATGGAAGAATTCCGGGGGAAGACGGCCAGAGTCGTCTCCGGTGGTCAACACGAACTTCTGAGATGAATGTATGTGCAGCTGGATTCCAGCGGCAAGAATCTTCGCGACATCGACGTAAATGCAAACGTCAGCGCTTCCGGCAAGGCCTGTTCAAGAAAACGTCGATTTGGGTATGGAAGACGCGAAAACATGCCCACTTTGGCTGAGTTTTCGAGGTGCTCGGGTCGGAATGAGGTGGAGGAAGTTGTCTGCAGGGCTTTTTTGGAGTCCGAAAGTTTCTACACCAAGCACATGAAGCGAGAAAATTCAGCTTTAGCCATAAGAACCTACGTATGAACTTCCAATTCTCCAAACTAGTGGTACCAGCCAGGTGGGGCAGTTCTTTGACGGATCGCACGCGTCTAAGTCTCGTGTCTATGGACTGGAGTGCAGGACGGATGAGAATTCAAGTGACGATGAGGAACTGATACTCACAGGAATGGAGTGCTTGTGCCTGGCCCGCATCCACCACATTTGCACTCCGGTCCGCTCGTCTCGCTCCAGAACATGTTGGAATAGCCCCCCTGCCATCTCCAATGCCCTATCGAATTCCTCGGAGGGCATTCCGCTAAAACGCGGGCAGTTTTTCTGTGAAACGGCTTAGATTGGCTGGTAGCAAGTACCCAAGCTCCCGACATACGATGTGATCGTGACGAACGAAGCCGTTGGGCTGAATAGGCACATTCATTTTGACTGCACTGTGCCGAAGGATCCAATTGAGTGTCTTGGAAAAGTGGACGACGGGGTCCGAATCCTGTTCGCCTTCCGCTGGATCTGGATGAAGTTCGGGTGACGACCGGAGAGGTGTAGTAGTCGCGTCGAGAGCCTCGGTGTATATGGGCCGACGTAGGTGGAGTATGCGAGCCCAGATACTGCGAGAGACGGCTCCCCCCAAGACTCCTCCAAGAATCATGGAACGGGGCGCATGAAGACCACGAAATTTTGTTTGCCTATGTTGTTCCCACTTCTCACCTCGATTGACCAAGACGTGGCGCGCGAAACCGTCTCCCATGTCCCACTCACACACACACGCTCCTGGAGAGACTCACTCTCACTCACATGGCCCACCACAGCAGCAACAGCAGCAGCAGATGCCGCCACCGCCTCCCATCGACCCTCAACTGCAAGCAATGATCGACGCTGACTTCCAGCAAGTCGATGTCGCGCTGTCAGCGGATAATCACTCGGCTCTCTGCGGAGCCCATTCATTGGAGAAATGCGCAGACTGTGGTGTTGACTACGTGAACATGAACCGACTGTCACGAATCCTCGCTGTCAATCCGAACCTGCTGTGTCCACCGCCCGCGAATGTCGTGTCGCAGAAGCTGAGCCAGATGGTAACCCAGACGAAGGACGAAGGGAACGTGAGTGCTTCCGTCCTTCTCACTGACACGTAGCTCATTCCATTCCCACCGGCTTGCCAGACTCTTTTCAAAACGGGACAACCTGGTAATGCGATCAAGAAGTATACTGCTGCGCTCATGTACGCCGTACAACGACCGCCATGGGAAGCAAACCAGTTCATGCGCGAAGAGCTCTCCACCGTCATCTCCAACCGGTCAGCCGCATTCCTTGAATCAAAAGACTACGTGTCTGCTTTGGCGGATGCCGAAATCGTCATCCAGCTCAAAAGGAATTGGAGCAAAGGTCACTTCAGGAAATCGAAAGCTCTCGTAGCTATGGAGAGATACCATGAAGCAGCGGAGGCACTAAGTTTGGGTTTGGCCTTTGAACCAGGCAATGCAGTACGTGGCGACTTTCGTACAGTCAAACTCCTGGAGCTCACACCCAACTTAGGAACTTGTGGGATTTCTCGAAGAGATTCAGAAGAAAATGACGAGCAACGAGGAAAAGTCATGATATCGGGTTCAGGCGGAGTTGGTACACACATGTAGGATTAGATTGGACCCCGCGTGGTGTTCCGAATAATTAATTTATCTTCCCCTTGGATGCCTTGCTCTTCTCGTGGACTGCCGGTTGCTAGCGGTGCGCTTGTTCACATAATTTGATATGCTATATGCTTGACATTCAAAAATTTCCTTTTTCAGAGCGTAGATGTTGACGGCTGTCAGTGGTTCGCCTATTCTGCGATGATCTTCCGAAAACCCTTCCTTCATAAGTTCGAAATAGCATCAAAATCCGATCTCCAGGAGATGAGCGTACTCCAGCCGGTGACCGCTCAGTGCACATGCAAACTGCAATATTGCAATTAGCGCCAGGCCACTATTGATAACACGAATTTGAAGGGACAGTTGTGGTCTCTTCGCAGGAGACTTCTCTATTCTGTAAATCCTATGTCATCCCCACGGAACTCGGAAACCACTTTACCAAACCGTCACCCTCTGAGCATCCGAGATTTGAACGCGATGATTACGTTGTAGCGTCATGCATGTGACAGGAGTGATCAAATGTCACAACACATTCTCATCCTCTGGTCCTGCTCACCCCGGGTCGGAGTGTATCGCGCATTCTCTCAATCCAATACGTCTATCACGGATACCGTTCTTGACTGAACGTGGTCCCGACTCTTCAATGATAGAAGCCGAGGAACAAGGTCGGTCATCTTATTCTGTTACCTCTCTCAACGCCTCTAAATATCGACATTGCATCTTCCCAGACACCTGTCGCATATGCAGCGCGCCGGCAGAAGAGGAGCAGCCTCTATTCTATCCATGCAAATGTTCCGGGACTATCCGGTATATCCATCAGGATTGGTGCGTGTTTCGTCCCAATCCCTTTGTGTACATATACTCATGTGAGCAGTTTAACGACATGGCTGGCGCACAGTAAGAAGAAGACATGCGATGTGTGCAAGCACCCGTACTCTTTCACCAAGGGTAAGCCGCAAAACTGCGCTTTTTCCTGCGCACTAATCACTCCGTTCAGTCTATGCGAACGACATGCCGTCTAGGTTGCCGCCCATTCTGCTCCTACGACGAGTCGCCCAGCAAGCATTCTTCGCGATGCTGTTCGCTATCCGTGCTGTTGCAGTTTCCATCATCTGGCTCGCGCTTCTCCCGTGGATGACAGTGATGACTTGGAGGATTTATTTTACACTGGGCGATTCTGCGTACGTTTATAACTTCATCTGATGAGTTGTCCTCAAGTCGATGCCTATAGAGCTTGGTGGATTAGCGATAGACCCCGACCGGCAGATGTTGCAGGACCACCCAATCCCTTATACTCGGTGTTTCACCCTGACCCTGCGGCTCCGGCGTCAACCAGTCTTGTCACCCGGATTGCGACCAGCCCTCTGTGGGCCTCTCTCTCCACAGACATCTTTGCCGGTCAAATCATCGCTTCCCTTGTCGTGCTCACCTTCGTGGCCGTCTTCCTTCTACGGGAGTGGATCTCTCAAAACGCTAGACCGGGCATATTTGACGATGAGGAGGGTGCCCCAGCGCCTCCAGCGCCTGTTATAGCGCCTGCAGTGGCACCGATACAACTGCCACGGCCGGAGCGGAGACTGCAGCGGCTTCCGGAACCTTTTCTTGACGCCAACGAGCGGATCGCCTTTGCAGAAAGGCACCGGGAGATCTTGAGGCGCCAGGACAGCGGGGTTGAACTCAATAGCCGAGTTCGTGGGAAATCGGTTGGAAAGGACGAACTGCAGGATCACAACAGGAGTAGCAGCTCTCACTCGAGCCGGCGCAGTGTTTCGGAACCACCTCTGCTGCGCGACTCCCCTGCTGTCGATTCCGTATCTGGTAGTCACAGCAGTAGTGGCACTGATGCATTGTTGGATCCGGACACGAAACTTCCGCCGACATTACCGGCCGTTCTGTCCAGTTACCAACAGCGTCGGCCGCCACTGCCGGTAACGACACCAACTGGTGAAGACCCCCTCGTACTGTTGACGCCAACCCAACCCCCGCTGTACTCACCGCAGCTCGCGACGTATCGGGCGCCAGAGGAGTTGGAGGCAGGGCCTTCGCGAGCGTACTTTGACGAGGCTGGGTCTGACTACAAAGGCAAACAGAAAGCGAGCGCCGAGCAGATGGAAGCCGAACACGACCTTTACTTCAAAACAGAAGAAGACGCCGAGATGCCGGCCTTGCAATCCACAAGTGATTCTGAGGACGACGAGCCCGTCTTTGATCACTCCCCAGTCGCTGAAAGCCCGGAAGAGGAAGAGGAAGAGGAAGAGGAAGAGGAGGAAGAGGACTATGCCGACATGCCCGTTTGGGAGGCGATCGAGATCGAGGACGATGAAGTGGCCGAAGTGGGGGACGGAGAAATGATGAACGAGGACATGCGTGTCGCATTCGAAGAGGATGACGGACATGACGATCTTCCGGAGGGTGATATTGAGCTGGAGCCCATGAATGCCCCAGCTGGCCCGCAAGATGTTGTGTTCGAGGGCGATATGAACGACGATCTGGATGGAAACGTGGATGATGACATGGAGGGTGCAATGGAAGGTGAGGACACGGCCATCTTCCGGCTACACTCAGCAGTTGAGATTTGTACAGCGATTGGGATGCGAGGCCCCATCTTGGGTGTAGTCCAGAATGTGCGTATCTGCGCATCGTTCTGTCTCTGTATGCTTAGTTTCTCAAGGCGGCGCTCATGATCTTTGTCCTTGACACTGCGATCGGGCTTCTCGTATGGCTACCCTTCACGCTGGGTAAATCAGCCGCCCTCCTTTCGGTGCGCACCAACATCTTGCCCGATTTCCTTCTTTCTAACGTAGCTCAGCTAAATCCACAACGATTCTTCCAAATCATCCATTTTCCCATCCGGGCAATGCGCATCATGACAGACCCCGTCGTAGACGTGATCATGTATATGGTCGCGTCGCTTTTGGTTCCTATTGTGCTCCGAACCAGCCTTCGTGCCGTACGGCTTGCATTTGGCTCTGTGATGATGGTGGCCGGATTGGTCATCGGCAAGGCCAAGGTTGCACAGACTATGCAAGGTTTCGACTTACTGGTTGACCGTGTCAAGACACTCTCTTTTTCCTCGAAACCCATTCCAGACGTGGAAGAAAAGGCGGCAGAGTCCTCGATTTTGACGTATGTCATGAACGAGAGAACCGAACCGTACTTTGCAGCGCTCGGCAAAGAAGTTCGGGAGGGTGCAGAACAGGTCGCGGACACTTGGACACAGCTCGCGTTGGGTCACGGGCCAAAAGAGAAAGTGTTTGCTGTCGTGCTGGGGTACTTTGTGGTGGTGCTGATGGTCGCGCTCTACCTCAATCTCTTGACCGTCGGGAACATGAAATCCGCCGGCCGAGCAGTGCGGACAGCCGTCCGGGAACAATTGCTGGTGTTGAAAGTCGCTGCGTTTATTTTCATCGAGCTGGCGATCTTCCCATTTGGGTGCGGAGTCGTGCTCGATCTTTGCACGGTCTGGCTCTTCCCCGAGGCGAACTTTGTCTCTCGACTCGAGTTCTTCAAGCGGGCGGCGCTGACGGCGATGTTCTATCATTGGGTTGCAGGGACGATGTTTATGTATTCGTTTGCCGTGCTGCTTTCTGCATGCAGGACTTTGATGCGGCGGGGTGCGATGTGGTTCGTCAAGGATCCGCAGGACCAGAACACGCACCCAATCAGGGACATCCTCGATAGACCCACGTTGACGCAGTTGCGTAAGATCTTCATCAGCGGGGTCATGTACTCCGTCGTTGTCGCCGGTCTGGTCACCAGTGTCGCGGGACTCATTTGGGTGGGGGATCGGTCTGTACTGCCTCTCAGATGGAAGAACAGGTGAGTGTATTGCACGTGCGTCCTGTTCGCCTGATTCGAGATTGCAGGGAACCACTGTCTAGCGTGCCTGTCGACCTGCTGTTCCTCCATGTGGTTCTTCCTTACACGATGCGTTATTTCCGGCCTCGATCCCCGTTGCGCAGGGTTTCCAAGGCCCTTTGGAAGTTCGTTGCCCAAAAACTGCGCCTCTCCTCGTACTTTTTCGGCGGTCGCTACCCGCTCGAAGAGTTCACACCTGCCAGTTGGTCGGGGGTGCTCTTCCCCGTAACAGATTCAAAGGATGTGTTCGATGGCACATTCCGACGAGTTCCGGCTACCGACAACCTTGCGCTCCCTCGTGACATGCGCGCGACTGTGCTTGTAAATGAGGACGGTGTTCCGATCGATTTCGAGGCCGCTGAGCTGATGCGGCGCCAAGACCAAGAGGCGGTCAAAGCGAAGCGCCTGCCGAAGGAGGACTACACTGTCGTGTACATGCCGCCATACTTCCGCTGGAGGGTGATGGCCTTCATTGGGACCCTCTGGGCGACGGGTTCGCTTGCCCTGGGCCTTGTGATAGCTGTGCCGATGCAGTTCGGGCGCGGGTTCTTCGCGCTGATTGTCGACCGGGAAGTCCACGACGGCTACTCGTGGCTTGCCGGCGTGTACCTGCTCTGGGCGTGCTATTTATTCGGCCGTGCGGTGGACCGCTTGGACAAACGCCGTCAGCGCAGAGGTGGAGACGACCCCCGCGCTGATCTGCGACTGCTTGTGATCAAGCGCGGATTCCTATGGGTGACCAAAACCGCATACATGATTCTGGCTTTGGGGGTGATCATCCCAACGCTCATTTCGCTCGTTATCGCCTTCTATTTGATCTTGCCGATGCGTCTGTTTGTGGATCCAAGCTTGACACCCCGCATCCGGTTTGTGGATGAATGGGCCCTGGGATTGCTCTACACAAAGATCATCATGTTCGTCCAGCGGACCCAGCCGCCGAATCCCATCTCCAGAGGGATACAACATGTGCGTTTTCTGTTCTTTGTGATATTCTTTTCCGTTTCCTGATGGGTTGTCAGATCAAGAACAACGGGTGGACACATCCTGAGCCGTTGACGGCCACAAAAGAGGTTATTGGTCCTCTGATACTCGGTCTGGCGGGAATGATCGTGCTCCCCGGTGGCGCGTTCCTATTGGCGCAGCGGTACTTGCCATTTGTGCCTCAGAACAGCACTCGCATCTTATGTATGTCGATTTGCTCCCACTCTTTATCTCGCCATCTCTTACGCTCTTTGCCCTCCCCCAGTCATGGAAGTTTATCCCATCATCTTCGCGACAGTCGCCGGTCTACGCTTTGGTTCTGTCTTGTTTGAGATATTGGGTGTCTGGTCGCAGTCCATCCGGGATAAAGAGTTCTTGGTCGAGATGCGCCTGAAAAACCATGAGCCGGAGGGCAGCTCGTCTCGTCTAGAGACACGTAACCCCGTGGTGGTGCAGAAGCGCCCGGAGGAAGCGGAAGAACCAGAGGGGGAGGATCAACCCGAAGAGGAGGAGGAGGACATGTTGCACTAGCATTGTATGATTTTGTATAGTTACACATCTGAACGCATCCAGAAACAGACAGTTGCGGTTCATCGCGTGCTCACGTGATCCACTAACGAGGCATGCCGTCACCGTATTACCGACTCCTGAAATCAGACTTTACGACGCAGGGTCATGCTTGACCGTGTCCAATTCTCTTTCTCGAACTTTTCTTCGCCTCTGTCTTTCAAGTCTACCCGTCTGGTCTCGTCTTCGCCCCCTGCTGCCCCGGATGTGGGGCCACGCCAGCATGGCGCTGTCCTACCGACGGAACTGATGGAGCGCATCATTGACTTTCTATGCAACGACAAACGTGCTCTCCTCGCATGCAGTCTGGTCTGCCGCAACCTGTTCCCGACAAGTCGGTGGCATCTATATACGCTCCTGCCGGTTGTTCCTGTCTCTCTTACGTCGAGTGGGCTTGGGGGAAGGAAGATCAACACTGCGGTCGCGCTGAGTAAGTCTTGCGTTGGAGTGCTGCTCTCTTTCCGATAGATGAGTTATTAATGCGATGGGAGCAGCCAACGGGACTGTGTTGTATGGGACCAATGACGGTGTGTACGTGTCGGACCCGGGCAGCGCGCTCAGGCGCGTTGTCAAAGCGTCCAGTGCTGTATCTCAAATCGACGCGCTAGAAAGCCACAATCTGCTGCTCATTCTTTCCGGCGAGTCTGCGTCCTTCGGAGGACTTCGTGGGCCTGCTGCTGACGCTCCGTCCAGGCCGACGTCTTTTGGGCGGCCCATTGAGCATCATCCGGAGACACCCGTCGACACAGCAACAGCCGTTCACACTCATCTCGTCCGATGTCTCGTTCTTCAAAGTGGGCGATCATGGCGGGAAGCGCATCATCTGCGTCGTCTGCTCGGGCCGCTTCACGAGCCACTACGAGCTCATGGAGGTCCTGCCCGTCGCGCCGGACGGTCGCCAGCGCCCCGTCGCGCAGCCGTTCCGCTCGTTCTACCTGCCCGAGCGCGCGCATGCCGTGCACATCGGAAACAAGACGATCGCCGCTGCGCTGCGCTCGGGCTTCCAGTGCGTCGACCCGCTCTCGCTCGCGACGTTCCCCGTCCCCATCGATAACGACGGCCCGCACCCCAGGCGCGGCGACATGAAGTGCCGCGCGATGTTCCGGGTGGATCAGTCGCGCTTCCTGATGTGCTACGACCAGTGTGCGTTCTACATGGACCGGACGGGAATACCGTGCGAATCGGAGCTCGCGATACGGTGGGCGGAGACGGCGAAGCAGTTTGCGCTGGTCACACCCCAGTTGTTGTTGGCTTTTACCAGGAGCGGGATGCATGCGTGGAGGGTCGATACGGGGGAGCGGGTGCAGACCGTCCATGGGATGGGCATCGGGCTGCTCTCTGTGGCACCCAGTGTGCTGATCAAGCTCGAGGATGGGACCGTTGTCGCGCTCAAGTTCACCGAGTCCCGGTAGATCTGCCAAATTATATATGTAACTCTCGTTTTGTACAGATTACACTACAATCATCACGGATTTTGTATCAGAGCCCAGTCGAGCCAGATTCTACGCACCCAGCGTCGTCGTCGTGTGATTCCGCCGGTACTAGGGGAGTCGACGCTGTTTGCAGGTCGTGGGGAGCTCCACGAGTCATTGGAATACACCCAGCCATCTGGTCAAACTCAGCACCACCGCAGATGCGGACAGCAAACCAACGCACCTTCGTCTCCGAGCTCTAGATCGCCATCTGACGCGTGTGAAGTGCGTACCCAAGATGCTTCCAGATCAGGACGCCAGTCTTCGGTTAGCACGAACGACCAGCCGTGATCGAGCGTGAACGTGAGGTTGCTGCTATCCGCGGTCATGAGCGGGGGAATGATAAAACAGAGGGGATAAAGCAGCTGGAGACGCACTTGACACCGCCCTGCCCGCCGAGACCGCTCCATCCGTCGCGGCCACGCGTCCACGCCGCACGCTCGCTGTCGCGCAGATTCGCCTTGCTCCACTCGGGATGCACGCCGTCCCCGGAGGCTGTCCCGTACCGCTCGTTCTCCCAGAGCTCGACCTCGCGCATGTCGGCGACCCAGCACTGGTCCGTGAGGTTCGCGTCGTCCAGCACGCGCACCGCGAGCGCGGACCACGAGCGCGGCAGGGCCGAGCCCCCGCTGTGGGCTCTCCACGCCCATTGCCGGAGTCGGCTGAGGACCGGGCTGGCGTCGGCGTGCGTGTGCATGAATGCGATGATCGCGGGCAGATGCGTCTGCACGAGGGGGTGGGTGAAGGCGAAGGGAAGGATGCCGGCGAGTAGAGCGACTGTTCTGACGGGGAAACTGGGGAGAGAGACGAGTGCGAGGGCCGGGAAGAGCGAGAAGACGAGGACGGTGAGGACGTGTGGTGTCTGCGGGGAGCGGTTTGTGATGTAGGGAAGATACCGTTGGACGAAAACCTCGGCATCGGCACTGGAACCGCGATTAGTTGAGACCGTCTCGAGCTTGAACAGAGAGACGCACACGAAGCCCATGAGGTTTTGAATTGCTTGAATGTTAGCCTGCCAGTCGACTGAACCCGTTTCAGCCGTGGCGTCTGTCGCTGGCGGGGGCTTGCCAGTTGTTGTCGGGTGGGTCGCGAGGATTATTGCAATCAAGAATATCTGGGGCAATAGAAACAGCAGTCTGGGGAAGAAACCTACTTAGGATGAGACTTTTGTTCGCAGACCGAAAAGAAGAAAACGCAACGCACACAGGAACGCGTAGGCAGCAATCCACACGCCCGTGACCTTCCATCCCCGCCGCCACATCACAATCTCCTCAATCCTATCCTGGAGCCAGAACACCGGCCCGACGCGCTCGACGAAGCGCTTGAAGTTGACCGTCAGGATCGGCACGGAGAGCGGGTCGCGTGAGGACAAGAGGGCCGCGACATCCTGCTGCTTGCCGCGCGGATTCGGCACATTTGGGCCCGAGTGCACCGCACTCGAGGGTAGTGTCGACAGCAGCAGCTGGGGGAGGAGATTCACGGCGTTCTTGCCCGGGGAGCCTGTGGATGAGCTGGAGTCCGAGCGGCGGTGCAGGACGGGCGGCGGCGGGTGTGGCACGGACGTGACGACGGGGAGAACGCGCTTGAGGGACTTGGGCTCGTCTTTGTTGGCCGCCCTGTCCTTGATCGGGGCCGAGGGTCGCAGGCGGGAGGCCGACGCGGGGACGTCGATGTAGTCTAGAGTTGACATCACAGCGATGACGTGGTTGGCAGCTGTCAAAGCACTTGGTCGAGCAATGGGTGTCCAAGAATGGTCGACCCGCCGGGCCGCAGTGTTCATTCAAGGATTTTGCTCCACAGAGCAGTTCCTGTGGATTGAATCCCGAGAAGATCTCAGCAGTTTCCTTCTTCGAATGATGGGGTATGCAAGGTACTCGAGAGTGCGCCTCAAGTGCGCCTACATAGCAACTCGTGGTGGATGCGGTGACCGCTGCTGACCTAAGCAAAATCGATCGGCACCATTCTGGGACATGATCTCCTTCTCTGGCGTGTCCCACTCAGCTGTCTGATAGACTCACTTTATCTCGGGGATCAGACGAAATGCACGCCTATGCACACTTAGCCGACCGAACCAGTATAGCCGTCTGACCATCTTTGCACGCGACCACGAGAGCTGAGCCCGCGATATCCGCTATTGAGAACTCGCCAAGGTTCTTCTCCTTATGTTCTGGGCTTTATCCTCATAAAGACGCGTGGAAGAACCTCCGCCATTTCCACGACAACAGTCGACCCATATGTTGACTAGTCTTCTGGAGGCGATTCTTCTTATTCCCGCGTGCTGTGTTTCCGGACGCATGCTTTGCGATAACGCAGATGCGTCCGGCTTATATGCAGTGTGTAACCGAAGAGACTCTCCTCGCTGCTCGACACCATGTTGTGGCTCCCGGCTCTCGCTCTCGCTCTTGCTCAGATCTCGGCGGCGAAACCGGTTGTGAACAAACGATGGGACGACATGGCAGTGAAGCACGCGTGGGCGGAGGTCCCCAGCGGATGGGAGTACCATGAGGCGCCGCCCGCAGACCACCTCATTGAGCTGCGTCTCGGGCTCAAGCAGGACCGCATCGATGAGCTCATCGAGGCGCTGTACCAAGTCAGCGATCCGTCGCACGAGAAGTGAGCAGGACAATCAATCCAGCCGAGCCGAGCCACGGACACTGATTCGATTGCGATAAGGTACGGCCAGCACCTGTCGAAGGAGAAGGTCGACGAGCTCGTCGCCCCGCACCCTGACTCGCTCGAGGCCGTCGAGGCGTGGCTCCGGCACCACGCGATCGACCCCGCCTCGGCGCACTTCCGCTCCGGCGGCGGCGAGTGGGTCACGTTCCACCTGCCCATCGCCAAGGCCGAGCAGATGCTCGGCACGACGTACGGGGTGTACCGCCACGCGGCCTCCGGCTCTGACGTGGTCCGCACGATGTCCTACTCGCTCCCCCGCGAGCTGCACAGCCATATTGATGTGGTCACCCCCACGACGTACTTCGGCACGATGCGCAGCATGCGCGCGACCAGCTTCATCAAAGCCGGCGCCCCAGTCGTCGAGACCGACACGGCCGCCGAGGAGCTTGCGCTGAATCCATTTGCGGTGCCGTCTAGCTGCTCGAGCACCATCACCCCTGCCTGCCTGCGCGCGCTGTACAATACCGCTTCGTGAGTGCAGGATCCGTCGTGTGACGAGTCCCTCTTAGAACTGGGCAGATATGTTCCCAAGGCTGCTGCTACCAACAAACTCGGCGTCGCCGGATATCTGGAGGAGTTTGCGAATGACGCTGGTGAGTGCCGACGGTATCTTTCGGGCATGTTCATGGTTGATTGATATCCTGTAGACTTGCAGGTATTTCCGGATTGCTCCCAAAATATAGCAATATCACTCACGATCGGCTTCAGACGTTCTTCAGGCGATTCCGGACTGATGCCACTGGCGGCACGTTTACTCACGTGCAGCTCAATGGAGGTCTGAACACTCAGTCGGACCCTGGAACGGAGGCTAACCTCGACATCCGTGCGTACCTTCTGGGTTTCAAAATCTTTCCTTTCTCTCTCTAATAACTGCTCCAGAATACACCGAGGCGATATCGTTCCCGACTCCCAACATCTACTACAGGTACGTCGCACCATGCCACCCACGTGGCGAAGTGCTGACCGCCATCAGCACCGGTGGATCTCCTCCATTCAAGACCGATTCTGCCACTCCTTCCAACTCCAACGAGCCTTACTTGGATTGGCTGAACTTTATCCTCAACTCGACGACGATTCCTCAGACTTTCGTACGTTTGATCTGACATTCCCACGGTTGGACTTTAGTTGATGGGATCATTCGAGACCACGAGTTACGGTGACGACGAGCAGACTGTGCCCATGGACTACGCCATCAGTGTTTGGTAAGTCGCGAGTGCTGGAGGAGCCGAGGAAAACTGAGTCAGCATTAGCAACCTGTTTGCGCAACTGGGTGTCCGAGGCAGCAGCATCATGTTCTCGTCGGGCGATGACGGCGTCGGCGCCGGCACCTGCCGGACCAACGACGGCACCAACAAGGTCCTCTTCCAGCCGGCGTTCCCCGCATCGTGCCCCTTTGTCACGACCGTCGGCGGCACCTTCCGCGTCAACCCGGAGGTCTCGGCGAGCTTCTCCGGCGGTGGATTCTCACGGTGCGTCGCGTGCAGGGCTCCTCCCTCCTCAGGCTCATTAAGGAAACAGGTACTTTGCGCGTCCGTCGTACCAGAGCACGGCCGTGTCCAAGTTCGTGACGGGACTCGGCACGAAGTTCGCCGGGTTGTACAACACGACCGGCCGCGCGTATCCCGACGTAGCCGCGCAGGCGGAGAACTTCCAGGTCGTCATCGGCGGAGGAGTCAAGTGCGCGGTGCCATTTTTTCGGGAGCCCGAGTGAGCTGATATGTGAACTTCCAGCTCGGTTTTCGGCACATCCGCGGCGTCGCCGACCTTCGCGGGCGTCGTTGCGCTGCTGAACGACTTCCGCCTCTCGCAGGGCAAGGCCCCGCTGGGCTTCCTGAACCCGCTGTTCTACGGGACGGCGGTCTCCGGCTTCAACGATATCACCTCCGGGTGAGCAGCCCGCCTCTTCCTCCCACCCCTTCCCTTGCTGATTGCGCCCAGATCAAACCCGGGATGTGGCCAGACGTGAGTGCTTCAGTTTCGTTTCGTTTCGTGCGGTTGACTAAGCGTGATGACAAGTGGCTTTACGGCGGGCACTGGCTGGGACCCGGTCACTGGTTTGGGCTCGCCCGACTTTTTGCGTCTGCAGGCGCTTGTGTAGGGAGCGGGGCATGTAAGTGTCGTATTCTATGTATTGTACGACAAGAAGATTATATCAATGTCGGTGTCTATCCGGATCGACCGGTTCGTGAGGTTTTGCCAGTTCAAGTCTACACGTGATCTGGCGCGACGCAAGAGCGCAGATTTTGCTGGTCTTTAGCCATTCATCCTAGACCCAGACTCCATTCACACTTTTTCGTGTTCCATGGCAGCTAGCCGCTCCTGCTCCATCACAATACTCGAGAACCGGCTCCGCGCGCGTATCCGGGGGCCGTAGAAAAACAGCACAAACGGGATGGGGACCATGACCGTGGCGATGAGCGCGAACATGGTGTTGGCCCACGTGTAGCCGAGCACCGCGAACATGTGTTTCGTGAACAGCGGGAACACCGTGCCGAGCAGATTCCGGCAGAGGCTCTGCCCGGCGAGCGCGGAGGAGGCAAAGGGGCCGTAGCAGTCTGCGAGGTAGGAGAACACGGCGAGGTATACCATGAACGTGGCCCAGATGTAGAGCTGGACACGCGATTAGTTGGAAAGGAGAAAGGAAATTGGGAGAAGCTTGGACGGACCGTGACGGCGATTGCGAGCGAGATCCAGGGGATGCGCGGGAAGGAGCACCAGGCGTAGATGAACATCGCCAGGGGAAGCACGACGGCGGCAGCACACGCGCAAATGAGCCTCGCTTCGGGGCCACGCCTGCTGTAATATTTCCTGGGAAAACATGAGCATTTGCCTAAAATCTGGTGAATTGAGACAAGAGCATACCGGTAAAGATGCTCTTGGTAGAAGTTGGTCAAGAATCCGAGGGAGGCACCGATACTGTCCGAGATTGAGTGGGATCAGATAGCACTGATAGAGTAGACTCTCACACGAGCGTCAGGAAGACCGTGCCCTCCTGTCCGATGTTGAAGTTGTGGAGATTAGAGAATTCTCCCGGGATAGATCTGCGCAACTAGTTCTAGTGGGACGGAGGTGAGGATGAGATTCCAAACCCACTCGATCATGCAAAACATCACGCCCCAGAGGAAGCCGATCCAAAGCTGCAGAACTATTCAGCCGTGGCGTGAGACATGAGTCTGCGTGACTGACACTGAAACTGGAGACGACGGGCTCAGTGAACAGCAGATCTGGAGATGCAATCAGACATCTTATCGAGAAACACTCGACTACATGGCATACGGATTGGTCGGGTGCAGGAGATATATATTAACGTCGACAGCTTGATCTTCTCGTCTTCGATCCTTGCACGGTACCTGTGATCGCCGGTCTCTTTACGGACTTTTTGGGCGAGGCGGACGAGGAGAATCGACGATCGCGTCTCGCGCATGACCAGAAGGACGATGACCGTGTAAACGCCACAGTATCTGTTGCGATGTGAGATCTCATTAAATGTTGGTAGAGACGCGACTTCACATCATTTGTATCCATTCGATCCATCGCCACTCTAGTCTGGAGTTCATCTCCACCCAGCCGTAGACAACAGGAGCCAGCCCGGTCCCACCCAAGGAAGCGAGAGAGAAGATGGCCATGGGCAGACCACGTCTATGTAGGGTATCGGAGTTGTGCAAGTGGCCAGGAATATCGAGACTTACTCATGTGGCCGCCAGATATCTACACATGGTAAATGAATAGCCTCTGGAAAGCACATCAACTGTGCGTACCTGCAATTGTCCCACCGACCATCGTAGCCCAGGACGATCCAAAACCGCCCTGGAGGAACCTTGCTATAGTCACAGTCTGAATATTCTTAGCTCTGCCCTCCGCTCAGACCGGTCAATTATTCTCGGGCCTGGGAGACTCACAGAGCAATGGGGAGATAGAGGATGGTAAAGCCGATCGCTGATGCGATGTATATCGGCTGCCGGCCGACTTCCTCGCTAAAACTGGACGAAACGAGCGGGACGAGACTGAAGCCGAGAGGGAACACGATGAACGCGACGGTGGCCTGGAACTCCGTGCAGTTCAGATCCCGCTGGTGTCGATCGGTCAGCCCCCTATTCTTCAATCGTTGTGGGAATTTCACCGTCATGGAAGCCGTCCCCATCGTGAAAGCTGTGGCCGAAGAAGCTGGGAGACGGATGAATAATACTTGGCAAGTTGAACAACGTGAAAACGGACCGGCCATCAGCGTCGAGAAACACGCCAGTGCCGTGACGACCCATTTCTTCGAGTTGGGCCAACACACGGGGTCACGCGGGTCGTTTGGCTCAAACTCGAGCTGCGGGAGATGTTCAGAAATGACTCTCCGCGAAGATTCGGTCAATTGAGCGCACGTAGATCGCCTCTTCGCGCTTTCCCACGTCCGATTTAACTGATCCCAGCTCTGCATCCTGCACCGAGGTCAGTCGGGCTGCGCGCGGGTCGTCCGGGAGTGCGATCCGGGGGTCGAGGCTCGGTTCGTGGACGCTGCTGGCCGTCTTGAGCGCCAGGCCATCCACTGAGTGCCGCGGCGTGAGCGTCGGGCTGGTCTGTGCGCTGGCGTCCATATCTGGTAAGGAAGAAAGCAGCAACAGAGCGCGGGCGCCCGTCTCAAGGCGATCCGGCGAATATATGAGTCAAGATCCAGCTGCGAGTGTCATCCCGCATGATCTTGGGACCAGGAGGGGTCAACTTGAAGCGGCCGGATGATGATGATGGGACGTGATCGAAATATGGGGCCCCCAGATGGAGTGGTCGCCGTGTTTGCCGGCAGCGTGCGATGCTTCGACCCGTCGAAACACCGAAATTACAGCCCTTCTGATTGAGTGAGGGTCAATCTGGAAGCTATCGCTCCCTACCACTGCAACTATTCAAGACTAGGGCTGGGTAAAATTAAGATTTTGGCTTGTAATTTACGTCTTTTTTGCAGGGGGTCTGTGGTAAAATACAGAAGGCCTGTATTTTATGTAATTTACCGGCGCCGCCGGCCCGAAAATTTACGGCAATTTACTGTAATTTACGCCTGTAAAGTATGTAATTTTGGTACATTTACCACGCAAGGCCCTTGCGTGCCCATGACACATCTTCTGGCTTCCACGGCGCCTGTGGAACAGCAGCTGTTGTGGCTTTACCCCTGCTACTTCCTTGCTGAGCACCGGATGGACCGTCCTCACTAGGGAAAAGACGACCCAGCAATGCACCACATTCGAGGTTGATGCAGGTCTCAATAGACAGTCGAGTGAGATTTGTGGAACGGAGCTCTTGATGAGTATCCTGATCCATAGAAGCAAGAACCGTGCTGAAACAGGACAGGATTAAGATGAAAATTTCAATGGATACCGCCACATTGACTTAGATGGCATATCCTGATTTTAAATCAGAAATCATGTTTCCTTGGGCCTAGATGGGCCTTGAGCAAATTTTACAATAATTTACACCCAACCTGGGACCTTCCAGGTAAAATATGTAATTTACACTGTAATTTACCGTAATTTATGGGTGTGTAAATTACAGACCGCAACTTTACCCAGCCCTATTCAAGACACGGAGAAGGTTGAGTCTATCCGGGCCGGTTTTCCGGTCTCATGCACGGTCCGATCGATTGCGTGTGATCCGTTCCAAATTTCTCCAAGACAAGGAAAAAGATCAAGGTATCCGACAAACACCAAGCCATCCAGTGTCTTGAAGTAGTAAATATGGTTTTGAAAATCCGAGAAGATCGAGTCGAATCAGTGCACTCGATTGCACCTGTTAAAGAGTGTACCGCAGAAATCGACATCGCACCCGGGCGCCATCCACTGGTCCAAGAGGTTTCAGAGCAGCAATTTCACGGATCCTGCAAAAACTCCCTCATTGGCCAAGCTGTGGGGCCCGAGACTCATAGTCGCCATTGCCGATTCATAGGTTCAGGAACGCGAGCGTTACACAGTCACGGGTCGTGGTCGTGACTGATGGCGCCGTCATCTCTCATCTTCCCATCCCCAACAACCATGACCGTGAGTCCATCGAGTACAGACCGATCGCCCTCCTCATTCACCGTCCAGGATCTTACATATTGCTACCTTCACATGTCGCACTACGACCTCATGGTCATAGACACGTTGGAGACCACGGAGTATCTCAGAGGAGACCCCATTGTGGATGGCAAGCCCACACGTGTACCGAGCCGCGTGTTGCGCATTGACATCGCGCTTTAGATCTGGACATCCCAGTGCACATGGTGCCTCCCGATCCCGAGACCTCTGAAGGTACGCGCGCCACGTCGCTCCACTAACTCGCGGGCACTAAACCCCCAGCAGTGCTCCCTTCGCAAGCCCACCCCTCGTACCCGTATGGCGATCCAACCGACCCGAAGCACCCTGCGTCGCGCCCCCGCCCGCCATACGACCCCCAGTCCCGCGCGCTGTACGAGGACATGGGGTACGCCGGGGGTGGCGTCAACGGCGCGTTCCGCTGGCGCGATCTTGCCCTCTCCGAGCTGCTCCCCCTCGACCCCGCGAAAGAGGAAGCCGTGCGCGCGATCGAGGCGCGCAAGATGGCCAGCGGGGCCACCGCGACGGCGGGCGTCCCGCAGGCCGGCGGGGGGGCGCAGGAGCCGGCGCAGGAGCAGGATCGAACGATCGACGAGGAAGACGCGGAGGACGATGAGGATGAGAATGCGGAGGATGAGGAGGAGGAGGACGGGGAGGGTGATGCGGAAGAGGAGGATGAGGAAGAGCAAGGCTGAGCTCGAGCCCGAGCCACCCGTTACTCGATCGCTGTGAGATCTGGACGCATCTCGTTTTGCGCTTGGCATCCGCGTACCCTTCATCGGGATACAAACCACTACATCTGGCGCCGCTGGATAATGTGTTCGCCCTTCCCTTCGTTGCACCGGTCACAGTGCTGCGAGCGCTGGGTCATCTTCGGGCGCGACCTTCGCATCACGGAGAAACGGAATCTCAAAACCGCCCGAAACGATCCCGTGTTTCGAGTCGTTTCGATCGGCTCAGAGCGTAACGAGGCGGGATGGATGCAGTGAGCGCTGGTTGCTCTGACTTCATTGCTTATGTTTGATCCGTGACATGTATGCTGCCGCGGAATCTTTTGAGTTTGTGAATCTTGTGGGAAGCAGGTGGCTCTCACATTCGCGGGATCGTTACGACGGTTTCGTAATCCCTCGTTGCGCACCTACCGCTCTTTCTTGGCTCCGGATTGATTCGTCGAGGGCGGGCTCGGCCTTCGTTGTCCGGGTAAAGCAAAAGTTTCAAGCCAGTGAGATGGTGCATCTCGGTGACGACGACATAGTCAAAAGCTGAACCTATATGGATTAATGCAAGTAAATACGAGGCACTATAGCGCGACCGAAGAGTAAGGTAAGGACATCTAAGACTATTAGGAAAAACAGAGCTAGGATGAGAGCAACCACGGCAGAGAGCGAGGGGGGCATATGTATGAGTTAAGAATTATGTAGGCGAAATTATCTGTAAGAGAGGAAGTATGCCGACAAGGCGGGGAGATCGTTGGCGCCCGCCTCTGTGTACGCCTGTCGGCGGGCGCCGCTGAACTTGAGCGCCACCACGTTACCGCACCAAGCCTTCGGCGCGGCCCCCGACGTGATATGATAGATGGGTCGGTTGATGGGGGATCCCTTTGCCAAGGCGATGGGTGAGAAAAATATGTGCAGCGGAAAGCGCAGCGGTTCGCCGTTGAGGCCTTGGGTGAGCACGACGCTCTCCGGCGGCGAGTCGAAGTACGCCTGGAGCAGCGGCACCGGGCAGACGGCCTGGAGTCCACGGATCTGAGCTGGCGGACGGCATTTCACGGAGATGAATCGTGGTCGTTCTATGGCATTTAACGCGTCTGGATGCCCGAGGGAATATCGGCAGCGCGTACCTTCATCCGAGACGAAGAGGACACCGGCAGTGGATATGTGCTCGGCCTCAGTGGGAGACGGCGTGGCGGTCAATCGTGGGCTACTCTGCGGCGAGCCTTGGCATTGTTCTCGATGATGCGGCCAGTCCTAGAGCTGGGCATTGAGCGAGACGGTCGGGAAACCGGAGGCGACTTGCCTGTCGGTAATGCTCTTCGGAGCAATACCACGCATTCTGGCAGAGACTGCACCAATGGGTCGTGGGCAGAGAGCAGATCCGACAAGCAGTACGCGTAGAAGACGGCATAGTTGGAGTTTAAGCCGAAAGCTGCGACAGAGAGGGAGAGGGAGAGAGAGGGAGAGAGAGGGAGAGATGAATACGCCCTTGAGCTGGGAGACATACCGTCTCGGTCCACCCTTATATCCGGCAAAATATCGAGTCGTCGTTTGAACATGTTGCCTTGTTCACAGTGAGATCGAGATTTGCATCAGTGGGTCCAGGAACGCTGTGAGAGGAGAGATTGAAGGTCGACGTGGATGGGAAAGAGCAACGTACCCGTATGTAAGAAAAGAGGGCCATCGGGATCAGCACCCTTCCTGTCGTTCCATTTGCGGCAAAGTCGCTAATGAGCGTGACCGCACACTCAAATGCATCATTCGCTCTCCCACTTATCTGGCAATGATGTAACCTGAGCAAACGAGTACGTACACATCCTTCTATGTTCTTGATGCCTGAGCGCATGGGATCCATTTTGGAAGGCCGGAGATATTCTCAGGCATCAAACGAGTGAACCCCATTATCCGATTGTGTATGAAAGGTGCCAGGACTTGTAACGACGTCACAAAAGGGTCAACGCAGGCCAATGTTGGGACTCATCGACTTGTCTAGCACCGAAAATGAACCCAAGAAGCGAAGCTAGATGTTTGTCCAAGTAAGGTATGCCGCATTAAGAACCAGCACCCCTTAGTAAGCAGCGCGTGACGGTCACGTGACGGTCAAATCCACGGTCCGAAAAATGCAGCCCTTCTTTTTTGGTATAACGATGGACTTGTATGCACCAAAAGTGATCCAAAATGGGTGTCCCAAGGATAATTGAGCTTTTGTATGGCTACTATGACTACAGAAGGGGTTCTCGACGCTAGTAGCACTGCCACTTCCCAATTAGGAAGTCACGTGAATGGTCAAATCTTCCGACCCAAAATTAAAAAATGCTCAGTTCAGTGGGAAATCACTTTCTACAATAAAAGGAAACTTTTGATGCAAAATGCTTGAGCCTCATATCATGCTCTCCAGGAGGCATAATGAAAGATTCGGTTCAGATAGCAGGTGCTCTAAAGGCCTCTAGAAACACCTCATGTGAGTGCTTTGGCTATATTCCCTCTGTGGCCGCCGTCATTTTCCGTCGCTGTTTGTCACGGTGTGACGCTTAGTCATGGGTGCTGGTTTCTAATGCGGCATACCTTAGGCCGATCTCAGAGCAATATGTGGCTGTGGCGATCGTCTCAAGGCCTAGGCCCGTATATCTCCGGAAGTGCTTCCGTCCATTCAACATTCGAAGCCTCAGAGAGGCTCCCAGATATGCACACCACTTCTGCTGGTTTTTGCTCTCAAATAATTAAATGAGTGTAATGGACCAGAATGACAGAGAATGACTCAGACATCTGCGGATCCACAACTCGCGCAGAAGGCCCGACTGACTGAACTTCTGTAAGCCGACCAGCACAAACGCCGGGAGTATAGCAGTGACTGTGCAGCTCGGCGGAGATCTCAACATTTGTGAAACGTCCACTGGGCCGTTTCCATGCAAACGCTTGCTACAAGTTCTTAGTACCGACCATCGCACGAACCAACTTAGCGAGAAACCACCAAGTCACTTTCCGGCCAGCAGAAAAGACCGCCCACCGGGCAACGGCGGAGGAGATCACATCCGGCAATCCTTTCGGGGTTTGTAAGAGAAAAAAAATGGAGGACTCACCCCAGCTGCAGGCTGTCAATCAACGCTGAGACTGGATGACTTTTTTCCCTGAGACAGACATCAGAATGACTTGAAAAAGGCTGTCTAGTTGAAACACTGCGAGCTTAGTGGTTTTCCAAAACAGTATCGCGAGATTCCTAGTCAAGTCCCGGCCGCGTGAGTCCTCGCGTGCACGTGGTGTGGCACTCAGTCCCTATCGCAGCTAGAAGTGTACCGTTAAAGCAGATATGGAGCCCGCTGAACTATGGAACGGTCTACCGCCATGGGTTCCAGGTCCGGTCCAGCCCAGTCCAGTCGCCTTGGACTCTCCGACCCGAGACCCTCAACCGCATCTTCAGAAAGGAAACCATAGATCACGTGTCTGTGTGTCACAGCTAACGGTCACGATCGCGTCCCCACTCAACCACATTCAGTGCAACCCACCAATTTGCTCCATCCAGCATGTCCGACGATGAAATGAACATTGACGACGGTGAATCATCCCATCCCACACTCTCCGTCTCACTGAACAAGATCTCCCCATCCAGTCGGTGCTGGAGGTGCCGTTCGCAGACGTGGACGTGGATTCCAAAACCCGGGTACGCCTGCCTGTTCACGATGCGACACTGGCATTCACTCTGACTGCGCCATACCCATTCAGGAGGTAACGACGGAACAGTTACTGCGGAGCCTACGTACGACAGAGTTGAGAGCTCGCATGCTAAGGACGATACCCGCGCCGCCCGATGCAAGTCCCTTTCTTCGACCCTTCGTCCACCTCACATTGACCCTGTGCATCCCTGCAGCCGTCGAGGGGTGGATAGTCCTGGTTACAAATGTACACGAAGAGGCAACCGAGGAGGACGTGACGGACAAGTTTGCTGAGTTCGGGGAGATAAAAAACTTGCATCTCAATCTTGATCGGCGCACGGGCTATGTCAAAGTCCGTCTCCTTTCTCTCGCTTCCAACGCCGCTCAGGTGCTGACCGCCCCGTCAGGGATACGCCCTGGTCGAGTATGAAACAATGAACGATGCTCAAGCTGCTATCGACGGTGCATCGGGCACCACGTTGCTGGAGCAGACTCTCCAATGCGACTACGCATTCGTTCGGCCGCCACCGACCGGCCCGAAGAAGGGGGGAAGAGGACAAAGAGGGCGCAGTGCTAGCCCAAGTCGCCGCCGATGAACATGTACCTTACTTAGTTATCAGCATTGATTGTAAAGAGCGTGCAATCGTTTTGCGTTTGTTGACTAGTGTGACTGTTGTGTCACGCGTCGCATCTTGCCCCAGCACTCACCCGTGTTCCAATGCCTGTCAAGTCTGCGGCAAGCGAAGACCAGACGAAGTCGAAGAGATCGACCCCTGCTAATGGCAAGAAGACTGGCTCCGAGGCTGGGGACAGCGAGGGTGTGAGCGATGTGGCAGAGACGGAGGAAGCAGAGGGCGAAGACGACGAGGAGGAAGAGTATGAGATAGAAGTCATCCTGGACATGAGGAAGGAAGGTGGAGTACGTGTCTCCCTGTCTTAGACGATGCATATCGTGCTCTCGTCGCGTCGCTGACCACTCTTGTACAGGCAAAAAAGTCGTACTTCGTCAAATGGAAAAACTATGGCGATGAACACAATAGCTGGGTCACTGAGGAGGATGCAGGGTACGCGTCCAAGCCTTAACCTAGATACCTAGTTCGTTGACTTGAATGGGGCACCGTCTTCACAGCAATGCCCAGGAGCTCATCGACGAGTTCTTAGCTAAGCGCAAGAAGAAGAAGGACGCCGCGGCCGAGTCTACAAGTGCACGGAGACAGGGTGCTCGCTCCTCTATGACTGCAGCGAACACGACGGATGACGCGTCCGACGACGAGTCTACGTCCGTTGCCAAGAAGCGCGGTCGTAAGTCGGAAAGTGCCCAAGCTCGTTCAGCTAAAACGGGAGGGAAAGAAAAGGCCGACGAACGACCAGCAAAGAAGCAGCGTACGAGCAGGAAGGCGACTCAGGAGCAAGAACCGACAGAGCTCCCTGCAGAAGACGAGCTTGGGAACATGTCAGAGCACATGTCAGTCGCTTCCTGGGACCATCTCGTCGACCGGATCGACACCGTTGAACGATCTGGAAAAGAACTCCAGGTTTATTTTACCTTGTACGTCTCTCTACCTTCTCCATGGCCGGTCGGAATATTCAGAGCGGGAAATAGGAAAGATGGCCGACGTATCAGAGAGCAGTCTTCTGTCTGCGCGGAAAAGCTCCCTAGGATGGTGTGATCCGTGTCTTTCTTCTGTTTATTAACTGGCTCACTATCGCGTCTTCAGTTGATTGACTTCTACGAAGCCAACCTGCGGTGGAGGGAGGCTACCGCCGCGAATTAGAGCGCCTACTCGACGATCTAATAGGATGCTTTCGAAATTGTTGTAGTCTTCTCTGTGCACATCTCCAGTCATACTGACGCCTCTTATCTCTTGGTCAAATCCTGTTTCTGACGTGGTTATGATTCGATGTCGTACACCATTGCAACGACAGAGTAAAATCCGAGGCCGGGGAAGGTCATTGATTGGCGTGTGTCACGCTGGGAAGAAGAGGCTTTCTCAATCCGCGTTCTCCTCCTCGGATGGAGATATAGAGGAAACATTGACATCACTTCAGGATGACAAAGGCATAGGCATAAGGTATGCCGCATTAGAAACCAGCACCCATGACTAAGCGTCACACCGTGACAAACAGCGACGGAAAATGACGGCGGCCACAGAGGGAATATAGCCAAAGCACTCACATGAGGTGTTTCTAGAGGCCTTTAGAGCACCTGCTATCTGAACCGAATCTTTCATTATGCCTCCTGGAGAGCATGATATGAGGCTCAAGCATTTTGCATCAAAAGTTTCCTTTTATTGTAGAAAGTGATTTCCCACTGAACTGAGCATTTTTTAATTTTGGGTCGGAAGATTTGACCATTCACGTGACTTCCTAATTGGGAAGTGGCAGTGCTACTAGCGTCGAGAACCCCTTCTGTAGTCATAGTAGCCATACAAAAGCTCAATTATCCTTGGGACACCCATTTTGGATCACTTTTGGTGCATACAAGTCCATCGTTATACCAAAAAAGAAGGGCTGCATTTTTCGGACCGTGGATTTGACCGTCACGTGACCGTCACGCGCTGCTTACTAAGGGGTGCTGGTTCTTAATGCGGCATACCTTAAGCATGCGGAGGCTAAGTAAACAAATGAAAGCAAATAAGTTATCCAATCCAATGACGGCCATCCGACAGTGACAACAAACTGATTACAACTCTTCGTGCTCGACAGCAGCAACGTAGTTCCGCATAGCCTCCTCAACTTGTTCGGAACTCTTGCCGATGAAGATCTCGGCGGAATCAACATTTACGGTCTTCTTCTCCTCCGGCTCGATGGGCAGAATCGAAACTGCGGGGTCAGCCTCAGCGGCTGCAGTCTCCCTGACAGAGGTATCATCTGGCACAGACGACTCCTCCGCCGGTGTTTGCTCCATCGGCGTCTCTGCCAAAGGGGTGTCCTCTTCTTCAGGCGGTGGAGTAAACAAAAGCTCCGCGTCCTTCTTCATACCCTCTAGCCGCGCAGAGAAGCCGTTGACGAGAACAACTAGTTCTTCGTTCAAAAGTTCCACTCGCTTCAGGAGAGGGTCGATCGGGGGATGGGAATGAGTTCCTCCTTGAATTTCAGAGGCTTCTGCCTGGAACTTCTCTCCAACTACAAAAGCTGTGTGATGAGAGCTGGATTAGATGCAAGGAGATTGGACGCACTGCGAGCAAGGTCGTGGTACACTTGCCAATCCATCCATGTTACATCGGGCAACCAAGACAAATCAAGGCCCACGTCACCCTGCGCTTGACTGCAGGCATCCTTGACTTCTTGAATGATCGACATTCCCTGAACAACAGATCAGAGATTAATTCCAAAGCTGCACCCAAGTTTGCACTTGCCTGGGCGACTTCATCGTTCTTTTCATCGGCATGAAACTGCCCGATGACTGTATGCGTCTCGGTCACCTTGTCCTGGAGCTTGTTCTCGACCTTGGCTGTCACAGCCTGCCACTTGCCGGCCCGAGAGGCGTAGTCCTGGCTTTTGGACTTGTGCTCCTTCTTCAGATAAGACTCCAGTCCTTTGAGGAGCTTCTCGCCCTCTGCTTCCAGTCCCTTAAGGGCACCGCCGACTCTAGTGCGGACATCGTCGATCTCCGCCACACCCTTCTTGCGCATCGACACGAGCATCTTGCGAAGGTCTTTCCCCTTTTCCTGTGCCATCTTGGTCAATCGCTCAGTGGAACGTGCCATGCGACTTTCAACATCAGCCCGATCCTCGATAGCCTTGCGAGCCTTGATAGCTGCTTGCTCAGCCTCCATTCGCGCTTCAATTTCGGCAAGTTCCTCCGGCGAGTAGTACGCTTCATCCGTTTCGGTTATTGGCGCCTCAGGCTCCTCAACGAGACCAATGTCATCCAAGAAAGAAAGGAGTTCGGGGTCCTCCTCCTCCTCGGCAACAACAACGGCCTCGGGCTCGGCAGCGGCAGCTTCGACTGGAGAGCCCTCGTGGACGACTTCGGCGGGCAAGTCAGCTTCGGATTCGGATGCGGCGATAGCGTCGGCGATTTCTTCAACGAGTGCCGACTCCATGCCATGGGCTGACGCAATGACAACAGACGCGGCAGAAATCTCCTCGGCGACGCTTGCGGGTACGGCTTCTTCAGTCACTTGAGCAGCGGCAGAGAGAGCAGACGACGACGAAGACACAACTTCGGTCGCGGTCGGCTCCTCGGCTGCAGTTGACGACGGGGTTACAACAGGGATGTCTTCTTCAGCAGTGACTGCTGCCGCCGTGGGCTCAGCAGATTCGGTTGTTGTAACGACAACTTCCTCTGTCGTCGCTTCGGAATAGACGGTGGCAGATTCTGTGGTTGCAGCCGTCGACGTGAGGACCTTCTTCGGAGTAACAGTAGCCGGAGGGGCTGGCTCCTGACCGCTCAACTCGAGCACCTTGTCCCACATGCGGATCACATGCGGATCCACATACGTGCGACGAGCCTGTCCAGCTTGAGCAGCGATTGCTGCACCCGCGGCAAGACCATGCTCCAAGCCTTTGAGCAGATGGGGACGCGCGACCTCGTAAGCTTTGATCGCGTGCGGTTTCACCACAACGTAGGCTTGCAGAATCCGGGGCTGGACACTATCCGAATAGGCGCGGTGAACGAGAGTCGCGTATTTTTGGGCTGCTAGTTGTGCCTGGAGGATATGTGGTGCAGCGCGAGCAAGGTAAGGGTCCAGGTGCGGCTGTGCGTGTGTCCTCCATCGGGGGACAACGTGTTTGCGGAAGGAGGGCACGATAATTCGATCCCAGCCAACGCGTTTGGCATGTATAGCGTAGCGGACTGCTGTGAGAGTGATAGGGCGCAGAGTAGTTCGTTCGATCCGGGTGGCCGCTTCGACGTAGGGTGCGACGGAGGGATGAGACAAGGCGTGTTCGAGTGGAGGAAGAACATAGGGCTCGAGGACGTGTGTGCGGTATTGAGAAAGGGATCGACATATCGGATTTGAGAGCTCTTCGTCGTACGGGCAGTTGGTGAAAGCGTAATACACAAAGGAAAAGAAGAAGACATAGAGCAGCGTGTCCCACCAGCTGCGCGATTGCTGAGAAGAAAGACGCGTCAGCTTCGAGCTCCACCATATCGCGACACGATGCAGGCAGGAGCTTACGTGCCTTGGCTGGTTTTTTATGGTGCTTGTGCTTGTGCTTTACTTTCGGATGAGATTTTGGTGACGTCGTTGTCTATAACGGTGTGAGAACGAATGAGCATTGCAAGCATGGCCGAAAGCACTAACGCTTTTTAGTGCGGAGTTCGTTGCATCCTTCCCTGTTGATATCTCTGTTCCATTCGTAGTCGAGTTCGCTAACGTCGATGACGTTTTGGGCTTTGTCGCACGGGGGACTTGGGCGGTTGAATTTGTGCGGGAGCCAGCCGACACCGGGGCGACTGGCGTCTTTCGTTGTACGACCATCGCGTGGTTCCGTTGTAAATGGAGCGAGGATGAGAATAACAAGGAGTGAAAGGGAGTCGGTCAATAACTTAGTAACTCCAACGACGTGGAACTGATGCAATGCTTGTTTGGCTGTGTTGCACGCATCTTTGTTCCCCCATTCATCGCAAATGGCGGCATCTGTTCCGTCCAAGTCTGTGCACCAGGATACCACGCATACAGTAGTATCGATTGATGTTTCGGGAAAAACTCCAGGCGCTTTCAACGTGGCTTCAATCAAGCTGAGCGTCCTGTCGAGAGGCTCTGCTCCCCGTGGAGGTAATTGCGACATAATCTCGGAGCCCCGCGAAGGGCAAGAACATGACCTCCACGACCAGGCCATTCTCGAAGACACCCTTCATCTGATCTTCCGCAACTAGCTCGCCCTCGTCAGAATCTGCCTTGTAATCCAAGCCCAATTCCTGTAGCTTCTCCTTCACGCGTTCCACCAATCTGATGCCTCCTGCTACGTTCACGGTCGCCTGTGTCATGAGCTCGCTGTACTGTCCTCTGTCCGATGCGTGCATGTTCTGATGGTGGTTCGTGAGCGTGTCGAAGCCCTCATACGTGATGTCGCATGCATCATACGCTGAGGACGCTTCGTAGTGACTGCGGTAGGACACAGTCACCCACAGCACCTTAGCTTTGGCCTGTATATCACGCATCTCGGATTGAATATCCATAGCTGACGAGGTGGAGAGAAAGGTGGATGTATCCGCGCCAATCGACAGCGCTGATACGAAATATGACCCGTACATTTCGTGGAATTGATCAGGAGACGCGGCCAAGATAGTTCGAGACTCCGCGGAAAGTGTCGGCGATGAGGAGAACGTGATGTGCCCTATTCGCAGCGATGCTTGCAGGGATACTTTATTGCTCTGCATTCATCAGCCATCTTCTGGAGTGAAAGCTTAACGCGACGAACATCTCTATTCATGGCTACATTCTTTGCAAAAGCCCCGCGACCAGACGCGCCAACGAGAGATCCTCCAGCTGACAGATTCATGCTCATGTCGAGATGCTCATACGAAGATGCGCTGGCTGTAGATGAGCTCTGTCGAAATGAGTTCACTGCGTCGGCTGGTTTGAAGGTTATGCTCGCGCTAGGAGGATCCAAGAGCCCGGCAAACGCAGACGGCCGAAGCCGCAGGTCGCCTTCGCCGGGTTTGGAGTTCCCCGTCTGAGAGATGTCGAGGCCTGTCCCCAGCACGACGCGTTTGCGCGTCCACGGCACGTACACGGGGGTGTTCTCGTGCGCTTGATACGGTACGCTTGGGACGTTCGGGTCGAGAGGTAAGAGCTGATCCAGTTTTGCGACATCAGACATATCGAGTGGGGGAGAGCTGGGGGCTGCCGGAGGTGAAGAGAAGTATTAGACAAGTGTCGGATTCCGTTCCTGAGGGAATCGCTTTGCCGGATCATCAGTGCTGTCCGCTAACTAAAGGGACAGGGCGAAGAGACAGCTGCATGGGCGGCATGTGAAGACATTGCAAACAGCAATGAATTATGACAAGAACCAGAGATAGATTTTAATGCAGGCCCGGGAACGAGGAGACTGTCTAAGGAGAGCTGTGCAGAGAGAATAATGCGAAGCCTGAGAGCGGCAAGGCTCCTCGGGGCCGACCAGGTAATGACGGGATCAGCTGACGGAGATAGCCGAAACGGTGGCCGCGCTTCTCTCTGCCGGTGTCGCGGTGCACCTACACAGACCTATACTTGCTTTACTCTGTGCATGTCAGCTGCCTGCTGTGTCCTCTTATTCGATATGAAACAAAACCATCAAGGGAATCTTCCATACGCGCTGTGTGCTCATCTCTTTGAAGCGCGAGGCACAACAACGATCCTGTTGCCATTGCCCAAACACGCAGAATACTCCGGCATTTAGGTCACTCGAGGCGCGCTATAAAACAAGCGGGCTTGGGAAAGATGCCCCAGATATTCTACCGAGAAGAGACGCTCCCAAGATGGCGATGCTGCTCGCTCCGTACAACGACGCGATGCGTCTAGGCATGGGGTGCGCGCGTTTTATCTCACCAGAAGATCCATGAGATTGACATGGACGCAGCTTCAACTCCTTCACTCAGCAGCTGTGTATCAACGACTCAGTCCGTCTGGAGGGCGGTCAAGGTCAACCCGCAGTAAGCGTGTCAGTCTCGCGTCGCGTCGCTGTGCTCATCCTCTCGGCACAGTCAGAAAAGAATCTGCGGCCTCAATACAAATTTGGCCAGATGTCTGGTGCAGATGGTGGAAACGTCGATATTAGTCAGGATGTCACCTGGACCGCCAAGTTTGTCGATAGGATCTCTGAGATCACGGACAGCTTGAATGTCGGTGGTAAATGACCCGCTTCGCTCCATGGGACCTTACGCATATACTGAATCCGCTACCAGGTTCTCTTCAAATCAAATGCGATGCGATTGGAGGCGGTGGGTCGGCGTCGGCGTCGTTTATCGACACGAACAAGTTCAAGGAGTCGGACATCAACTACTTCATACAAGTGCGGGTGACGAACCAGCGTCTAACAGCGCCTGACTTGACGGATTTCGACCCCATCCCCAATCTCCCAGCATCCGAGTTCAATCGGGTGTACGGTGACTCATTCATCTCCGGGTTCACTGAGGGCGGCGAATTCAATGCCTTGATCTCGATCAAGCTCAAGGACCGCTCAAAGGCCAAGGAAATCAAGGGTGAGCTCGAGGTGGGCCTCAACTTCTCCGCCGTCTCTGTTTCGGGGAAAGGGAAGGTGGAGAAGACGGACGGGAGCAGAGACATGCAGGGCGAGACCACGATCGCCGTCTCGTGGAAAGGCGGAGGAGATATCAAAGACGCGACTGTCACCGATTGGACCCTCGAAACGCTCAAGATTGTGGCCATGGAGTTTCCGGAGCATGTCATGGCTTGCCCGATGAGAACAAAGTTTGCATATCACTTTGACTTCGAGCCTCGATTTGCTGAGTGTCTATCAGCGCCATTCTCACCAAGTATACGGGATTGAAGAGCTTCTACCAGAAGGGTATCAAAGGCTCTCCGCTCGGTGCGTCTCTTGTATCTCCCAGAAGATCTCGCTCATATGCAACAAGAATACGACAATGCTGGGGTGTACTCTTCCGCGCTGCTTGACGCTTACATGGATTATAAAATTATGTGGCGCAATATTCAACAATGCAAGTGCTTGCTGATCTTCCTTCGCTGTTGTACTTATCGCTCGCAGCCGCGTGGGAAGTTGAACAGAAGCAGTCAGCCCTTTTCCCCAAAGACTCCAATGACGAACTGGCGCAGATGGGGCTCGAGGCCAAGACTTACTTCGAGAGGCAAATGGAGAAATACAAGGAGAAGAAAGCCCGGTTGGAACAGCTGGGCATGCGAGATCAGAGTGCCGCGTTTCCTGTCAACAACAGCCAGGGCGCTCTCCAGCCTGCGAACTCTGAGGAGAATGAACAGGCACTTGTCACGACAACCTCGCAGCCCATATGTGTTGCGCCGCCCGTGCCAGCTCCTGCTGCAGCGGTTCCCTATTCGCCTCCGGCGCTGGTCGAGCTCGAGTCACAGGAACCGCTTCCCCCGAACGACTTCGTCCCTTACACAGCCAGTTTGTTTGGTCTCGACAAGGCCCGGCGAGACTGCCGCTTCGAGATGATCAAGATTGTACGCGAGGTCGATGCGGTCGCAGACGACCCCAGAGTGGCCTGTGACCCAACCCGCGCCTACCAGTTCCTCAGCCCAGCCGTGTTCCGGATGCTTCTCCCGGTGTGTCGATCGCGCTGTATTTGAGATCCTCTTTGGCTCACGATCGTGTAGACGGTCCGCAACTTTGACAAGGCACGTGCGGAGGCAGCCTTAGAAGAGACGAAACGCATCCAGGCGCAGGCTGACCAAGCTGGACGCGGCGATCAGAAAGGCTCTGAGAAGTATCAGCAAGGGAGACAGGCTGTCGATTCCGGCTCTCACAGGAGAATGGATTCCCGTGTAGGCAATACCCGCATGGGTGGGTCGCGCAATCAGAACCAGACCTCCGATGTGCGGCGCAGACAGCAGGGCCCCTCCGATGAGCCATGCGAACAAGATCAGCCTTCTGATGTGCGGCGCAGACCGCAGGGCTTCTCCAATGGACAATGCGAGCAGGACCAGTCTTCTGACGTGCAGTGCAGACAGCAGGGCTCCTCCGATGGGCAATTCGAGCAGGATCAGTCTTCTGAGTGCGAACAGGGGCTCCCCTCCGACGAGCAATGCAAAGAGGAGCAGTCTTCCGATGATCAGTATAGGCAAGAGCCGCCCTCCGACGTGCAGCGTGGAGACGAGGACGTGCAGTGTGATGACGAGGGAATCCACAACGAGCCTTGCGAACAGGACGAAGCCCTTGACGAGGAATGCAACAATAGGGACTCGGCCAACTTTCAGTGCAGAGAAGATCGACCCTCGGACAAGAACTACAAGAACGAGGACTCGACCGATTCGCGGTGCGACCAAGAGTTGCCGCCCTCTGACGAGAACTGCAAGAACGATGAGTCGAACGATTCTCGACGCAATTGGGAGTCGCCGTGTTCTGGCGAGCCATGCGAAGAAGAGCAGGCAAGCAAATCACAGTGCGAGACCGGCGGGCATGCTGCAACCGGGGGAAACGAGTGGCAAGATTCGCAGCAGAATGACCGCAGTGATGCACAAAGCGCGGTCATCGAAGATTGCAATCGGGGCCCAGTCGACGCGAGCAACGTCAACCCGGCCAATGGCAACGGCGCCGGTGTCGATAACGGATCGGCCGATGCACAGAATCGTGGAGTGTATGCTGACAAGGGGAGCCAGCAGAGATTCCCGGACTGTGTCGCTCCACCCCACAGTGAGCAAGAATTTGAGGGACTCAAGCAAGAGCTCGCGGGTGCCAACGAAAAACTGCAAGAAGCCGAGCGCATAACGGACCAGACGCGACGGGCCGTAGCTCCTCTAGAGACGCTGAGACAGCAGCTGAGGTATGTCGACCAGATGTGTTTCCGGGGCGATGATTCTGATCCCTCTCTTTCTCACACAGTCCTTGGAACGGCTGGTGCCCGGTGCCCGTGCGCAGTCATGTACGGTTCCGGAACGTGCAGACGAGGAAGTGCATGGATTTTTTCTGGAGCGACGGCCGTGGAGGCATGGATCTGTTCCAGCACGAGATCAACACCGACTCGAACCAGCGGGTGCGTCGTATTTCTAGATCCGATGATCTGTTTTGTTCATCCATCCTGTTGCAGTTCGAGATCTGTCCAGTGGGCCCCCGCGCCTTCTCGATCCGTCACATCGCATCCGGGAAGTTCGTGACGACGGCGAACCAGGTGTCGTATGGGGTTTACTTCACGATGGGTGGCTTCCCGACCTTCTTCACCTTCGAGGCGATGCTGCAGGACGGGAACTACACCGGGATGTGCATGTAGGCGTTCTGCTTCGGGGATCTGCGGGATCGATCTGACTGAATCTGGTAGGGTCCACATTGCCGAGATGCCGGAGCACACCCTCAATGTCGAGGGCGGGGGAACCAACGACGGCGCAAAGATTATTGGCTACACTGGCGATAAGACTGACAACGACAAGTGGTACATCAAGGACTTTGACGATATGAGCATCTGAGCGTTCTATTTAATTATTATCGTACACCTCTCATTATCTAGTTTTATCTTCTTGCGCTTTCCGTCTTGCATATCAGTAGTTAAATCTATCCCATTCGTCAGTGGCAGTGCTGAACAATTGCCACCAACTCTCACAACCAGACACTCTTTCCAGAATCCAATTCTATCCTACCCGCCTTTCCTTCCCAGACGAAACCGACTGAAGTACGCATAGCGCACAAGTTGCATCGAAACCGAAGCGGCAATGCGGTGCTCCAGGCGCGCGCGTCCTATGCAGATTATCTGATGCTTAACCGACTCTATGAATGAGATGGATGATCATCATGCGAGTCCTCTGGGCGCGCAATGTTCTCTCTTATCCCCCTTTTTGCCGCCTGTGCTCTTGCCTCGCCGTCCGCCCTTCAGAAACGGGTAGCACCTGTCGTGGCCTCGACAACGAGCTACGGAAACTTGGTTGACACGGGTCTGAACCGGGATTCATGTTCTTCCGCGGCTTGGTGGCCAGGGACGGTCGTGCGTCTCTTTCTACGGTGCAATGTTCTGGAATGACCAACGAGTTTGCGTTGATAGCTTTGGACTTGCCGTGACACCCAGATTATCTCGGCAGGAATCGTACAGCTCAAGGTGGTCCCCAACACTGCCTCGTTTTCTGGGATGCCCAGCAGCCCAATTTCACTGCAGCCGCTGAATCCGATCTCCCCCACGCCCTTTGGGACGCCCTTCTACCCTCTGCAATCCAACGAGTGTCCGCCACTCGGGAACTGCGGCAACGGCACCCGGTACGTGGGCTGGCCGGACACGGGCCCTGTGGTCGTCTTCGACTTCAACAACGGCGTGAATGCGTACGCGGTCGTCGCTCGCCAGGCGCTCTCTGGGCTGAGCGTGCTCAACGCGCCGGACTACACCCTGTATCACCTGCTCTCCACATCGCAGACGACAGCGCTGCCCAGTGTGAGCATCGATGCTGAATCGTTCTGGAGCGCGACCCAGATCGGGTACGGCTCTGCTGCGAGTGTCGTTGCGAACGGATATGTGCGCACCCTCTCTGGACTGGGTTGTTGTTCAGCCCTCTGATTGATTGCGGCAGGCGTATATGTATGGAGCGACGCCGAGCAAAGCTCTAGCTGTCGCCCGCGCGAAGACGGATGAGTTCCTCGGTGCGATCGATAGCAAGTCCAAATATGAGTACTTTGTGAACGGAGGTTAGTTGCGACCGTGCGCCCTATTCTTTCCCCATCCAACCCTTTACAGTTTGGACTGCTACGGCACCATCGATCAACACCCCGAACATCGCTTTGGCCAATACCCGCTCTGTTCAGGGCACTATCTACTACTCGAATAAGTGGCAGGTCAGCCATTCCGCTGCTATTACGAGACACCTGTCTGAACCACGTCCAGGCCTTTGTGTGGATTGGCGGTGACGGATTTCCCAATGCAAAATTCTATGTCTCGACCGCTCCTGCTCCTGAAGGGCCTTGGACGGCGCCTCAAGTAAGTCGCCATGCTACTGTGTCTGGATGGAGCACCCATTTATGATGTCTTGAATCCTCAGCTTTTCTTTACTGGGGCCGTCGGTACTGGAGCACTGCCGGCTTATTCTGCTGTCGCCCACCCCGCTCTGACAGATGGCACTGGAAACTACATATTCATCGTGCGTCTGATTTCTTGTCACTCATATCAACACTGACGCAGATGGTGCAGACTTGGACGAAGACGTCCCTGGACTCCGCTGGGTCTACAGTCTATACCCAGCCTTTGGTTCGCGTCGACTGGCAGTAGCAGTAGATTTAGTGCTCCTAGGAATTCAATTACTTATCATTTGGATCCGGATACTTTCTTCGAGACACGAAAATCACCATACCGCGTCGATTACATAATCAGCCATCACCTTTCTTCCTCTGCGATTTCGAGGCGTGAATGCTCTCCCTCCTGCTCGGCCTGCTATCATGCGGCCTGTCTGTCCTGGCTCTGCAGGAATCGGACGCCGGTGTGATCGACTGGCATAGGCCCCTCATCGGCCTCCCGCTCGCACCACCAATATTCCACCACGCAAATGTGAACGGCACGACACAAAGCGTGCTGATTGTGCCCACCGCGAGCAACGTCCTCGCGGCGCTCAACGCGACAGATGGTTCTGTGGGTGCGTGGCGCTGCAGCGTTCCTCCTCCGCGACGCAGCTGATGTGCTGTCCGGCGGCCAGTATGGCGACACGTATTCGATGCGGCGGACGGGCTGGCGACGATGCGCGTGGCGGGCGACGCCGTAGCAGCTCTCTCCGGACCCGGGGCGTCTAACTTGAGGGTTTTCGAGGCGCTCACGGGGCTCTTGGTGAGCGAGAAGAGGGTCTCGGCGCCGGTGGAAGGGGCGCAGTCTGGTGTGGACATCGCGTTCGAGCAGAGCAGCGGGGACTCGTTCGTCCTTAACACCAACTCGGTCTCGCGTTTCGGGACGAAGGAGTGGAAGAATGCAGAAAAGCTGGGCGAAGCGTGCGTGTGCCGACTGGCGTCGGCGTCTATGGACTGATGTCTGCACACACAGTGTAACGACCTACTCTCAACTAGTCCACCAACCCGATGCACTCTACGCTGTCGGACAGTCTAACCAGGCGTTTTGTCTCTACCTGTCCTCGTACGATCCAGAAACGGGTGCGCACATCGAACATACATACAAGCACCTCCCACCCCGAGTCGAGTCGTTCCTCACGGCAGCCGACGTGGTCGTGTGGGTGGACCCCGTCACGCAAAGCCTCGGCTTTGTCCAACTGGTCCCGACGCTGAAGAACCCGATCCGCACCGAGCGTCAGCTGAAGTGGATCGCGGTGATCGACGTCGACCTGGGCCGGTCCGGGATGTTCGTCGGTGTGTTGGCGGATGGGGCGGCCCGGGTGCTGAAGATCAAGGAGGGCGGCGTGGTTGAGTCGGTGCATGTTTTCCCTGCGAACGACGGGTCGGAGGCGATGTTTGCGGGCGGTGTCAATGCGGAGGGACACCCGTACGTCGTGCGCATGTGGGAATCCGCGTCCGGAGTGCGTTTCACGCCTTACTTGTATTTTCCTGCGCTCATCATGCCTAGGCAACGGCAGCCGAGATTTACTCGGCCCAACTCGAGGGTTCAGTTGAAACATCATTCCTGGTGCCCGACTATAAGTACGGAGAGGTGGTCAAGCTTGGAATTGATGGATCGAAACTCGTCATTGGCACGACGACCGGTGCCATCCAGCTCTGGGACGCGGGCCAGCTGGTCTGGGCTCGCGAGGACGGTCTTTCTGGAATCGATGTTGCCGCATTCGTCGAGCTGCCCTTGCCAGAGCGCGTCGCCCGAGCCGACAGCGGCGAGTCCTTTTTCTCTCGTCTGCAGAGGCAGATTACTGATGCCAAGGTCTGCACGCCATCCACTGTTCGCGCGTTCTGCTCTGACTCACATTGTGCCAGGACTTCCCGCACTATCTGGCTGCATTCGCTCAGCGCTTTGTCACAGGCACACAGGAGGAAATTGTTGTTTCTGCAGCGAACGGTGCGCTGGTTAGAGATGCGTTTGGGTTCCATCAGATCCTCGTTGCGGCCACAGCCCACGGCTCAGTCTTTGGGTTGGATTCGGCTACTGGGAAGATCCTCTGGTCACGCGTCTTTGGGTTAGGCTGGGCTGGAGCTGGCGTTGGGGGCACGGTCCGTCCGCTCAAAATATATCTCGTCGAGGGTGAAGCGGAGAGCAAAGCTGTGATCATCATCGCCCAAAGGAAGGCTGCGAACGTATGTGCCTCTGAATCTTCCAGTTCATCTTTTTTCAAGTGACTAGGGACTCGTTGACACCGTGTTGTTCAAGATCGACCCGCTTACGGGCGCGTCGATGATTGATGTTGAGCAAGACTCTGATCGGCTGCTCGAAGGGACGGATGTTATCTCTGGCCCGCTCACTGAGGCTTTCCGCTTGCCCAATTCGGACATCATTATGCTCATCGACGATTATTTCCAGGTTGGCCCTCCCTTCACGTGCACAGGTTCTCTCTCGTACTGACCGCTCCCAAGATCATTCCCTACCCAAATACCGCGAAAAGCTCTGCGGCGATCGCGAAGCTGGCTCCGAAGTTGTACATGCCATTCATTGAAAAGTTTTCGGACGGTCCGCGGGTCGTCGGACACAGCCTGAAGCTCGATCCAAATATGTCCGACAACTATCTGGCGTTCCGCACGTGGGGTCTCGCTCTCCCACGGACGGAGACCCTGGCGGGGCTGGTCCGGCCACACGTCGGGCCCGTCGCCTCGCTGGGCAAAGTGCTCGGCAACCGGACGACGCTGTACAAGTACCTCAACCCGCGGATGTTCGTTGTTCTGACGCAGGACAACGCTGCTGACGAGGCTGCCGGGTGTGGGCTCCGTGTCGTCGATGGGGCGAAGGGCAGCGTTGTCTATGAGGCTGTGTTGCCCCGGGGCGAAGGCGGGCTGTGCGACGTGCGGGCGACGCTGGTCGAGAACTGGCTGGTATATCATTACTACGATGCGCAAGTCGTCGCGCAAGGCGACACCAAGGGATGGCGGGTGGTGACTGTCGAGCTGTACGAAGGCCTGCTGGATGAAAAGACACAGAGGTGTGTAGTGGTCATTTTGGTTCTGACTGTGAACGTTGATGAGAGATGGTGCAGCTCTGACATGTCTGCTTTCTCCGCCGACGTCATGAAGGTCGAGCCGTTGGAACAGGCATACGTCTTCTTCCACGGGATATCCGCCATCGGCACCACGTCGACCAAGTTTGGTATTACGAGCAAAGACATCATCGTCGCCACCCACAACCACAAAATTCAGGCGATCCCGCGCCGGCTGCTGAATCCCCGGCGACCGAAGAACCGTGCGCCGACTGCCGAGGAGCAGCAGGAGGAGCAGCTGATCCCGTACGACGTGCTGCTGCCCGAAGACCCCCGCCGGACGATCTCGCACAACTACGACGTCGCGGGCATCCGGCACATCATCAGCGCGCCGGCGCTGCTCGAGTCGACCTCGCTCGTGTTCGCGTATGGGCTCGATCTGTTTCTGACGCGCGTCGCGCCGTCGAGCACGTTTGATATCCTGAGCGAGAGCTTCAATAAGGTGCAGCTTGTGCTGACAGTGTTTGGGCTCGGTGTGGGCATTGCCATTGCGAAGCCGATGATGCGGCGGAAGATGTTGCGGGAAAAGTGGTATCAGAAGTAGATTGTATTTCTTTGCTAACTTAATTTTTGCGCGGAGGGGACTGGACACGCACACTTGTCAGATGTAGTTTGATTTGGAGACCAGTTCAACTCGAGCCATGTCAGAGCCCGCAAAGTCTTCACTTTCTACCTGACACATATGACATACGATACAGCAATGCTTGCTATACACTTGGCTGCTCAAGCCGATGGAGCAGCTGTAGCCTGCGCAGCAATCTGCGTGTCAAGAGCGACAGAGACCGTGGCGTCGCCCGAGGTCGCAGCCACGCCAGCCTGTGCGATTTCAGTTTATTTTTCACTTGAGGACGAGTCATGGATATGCGAGACTTACAGAAGCGGTGTCACTCACGCCAGCCGCCGCTGCCGTTGCTGAGCTGTCGGTTGCATTGGCTGCTGAGCTAGCCGTCGTGTTCGAAGAAGAGACGGTCCCGGTCGAGTTCGTCGCGCCCTGCGAAATCCAGATCAGTCATCTTGGAAAGACAACCGGAGTAGAGGTGGGACACTCACAGCACTGGCAGCGGCGCCCTTGCCTTTTTTGCCCTTGCCTTTGCCCTTGTGGTGCTTCCCTTTGCCCTTGCCTTTGGCCTTGGCTGCGGCAGCGGTCGCAGCACTCGAGTCGACGACGGTGACGGTGACGGTGACGGTGCTGCTCCCACCCGCCGCCGCGTCCGTCGCGGACGCGTTCGAAGCGACTGCAGTGCTGTTGTCCGCGACGGACACGGAGGAGCTGTTGCCCGCGATGGACACCGAGGAGCTGTTGCTGCTGCTGCTGCCGCTGCCGTTGGAGATCGAGTCCGTCCCCGCGCTCGAGGTGCTGTTATCCCCGGCGGACACCGAGGAGCTGTTGTTGCTGTCCGTGCCAGTCCCCGTGGCCACGGTGCTGTTGTCTGCGATGGACGCCGAAGAACTGTTGCTGCTGCTGCTGCTGCTGCTGTTGGAGATCGAGTCCGTCCCCGCGTTCACAGTGCTGTTATCAGCGACGGACACGGAGCTGTCGGAGGCTTGCGCACGACCCTGTTCCGGGAATGGGGCGTAAGTGGCGAACCGTCTCAGCGGCCAGGCAAGATGCGACGCACAAAGTGCAGGCTGACGGGGGCGGCGACGGCGGAGCCCGCGAGGGACGCGGCGAGAGTGAGAGCAGCAAAGGAGAAACGCATGGTGAAGAAAGCGAAAAGTAGGAGATGTGCGCTGCACAATCAAGAAATCAAGAGGTATTTGACCACAGGTCGGGAGTGGGTAGTGAAAGAAACGGCCGAGTGTGGGACGAGCACTTGCACCCTTTTTGTACCAGCGCGGGGAGGATTATTTTGGAACTGGAGTAGTGATCGATGGATGCCTCATGAGTGGATATCGCGAGCAACGACAACCGATGCGAGAAAGATTGCATTATGCACGGCAGTTTGCGAAGACCCAAGATAGATCGTAGAGACCACTTGAGAGAGCAGGGGTGTTTCCACGAAACAGATGAGGGCAGTTCGGCATTGGAGTCGCAACGCCCGAAAGATCTGTTGACCGCAGTCGTCCAATCCAGCCAGCGATGACTGCCATGGAGCTCCAGCAACAGTCCCACAGTGTTGTTTGTCAACATCTAAATTTGCCATCACTAGCAGTTAAGTACATACTTAGTACAAAGTGGGCATGAGTTTATTATGAGCTACAGTTGATCGGTGATACATACACAAGTACATTGGGCCAAGCAGAGAATATGTGGTACGAATCCAAGACGAACAATGGGCTGCGACTCGCGAAATCACGAAGCGCAAGTGTGCATGGCAGCGAGGGTGCGCGACCACGAGACCTGGATGACACGGTACAGGATCTGGTCCACGACACCCAGCGCACAGGCGTTCTGCCACAGCCCGTGGATCTTCCCCGCATGCGCGAAGAGGAGGAGCAGGTCGGAGGAGCACGGCGGCGACAGCTGGGTGACCAGCGCAGACACCTGCTTGGTGTAGAGGTACGCATATAAGGCAGAGAACGTCTCCGGTGAGGGAACCTTGAAAGGAACCACGGGAAGCACCACGTGCGCTGCGGATGGGTCGTCCGAGGGAGGGGGAGGCATGCTGGGCATGTGGGCGCAGTGTGAGGCGAAGACGATGTGGTGCACCGGATACAGACTGACTGGGCAGGTCTGGCCGCGCAGGGAGCCTCCGTGCACAGCCAGCATGTGTGTAGGACATGCCGCCTCAATATCCCTGTTCTTTGGGATGCGCACTTCCTTCGGGAGGGAAGACCTGGATACCGAGGTCTCCACTGCTCTCACAGCCGCACACAATCTGGGGCAGTGAGTCTATACGGGAAATGGAGAAAGCAATGAGTGAAAGAACGCACGAAGTCAAAGGCAGGCGGTCGCGAATATACTGTGTTGGGACCTTCTCCAACTGAGGATATGCTGCGACCAAAGGCGCGCGCGGAACGTCGTCGACTACTGGACACAGTAGGGAACACGGGAGAGTGATCTTCGAGGAGCTCGCAATCGGAACAGCGTCGACGTTCACGTCAAGCTTGACGCCCAGCGGTGCACGTCGCTTCATCGATACAGCTCGTGCACGGGCTGCACTCTCCTCTTTGACTGCACGAGAGCGGCGCGTGTTCGCGGTTTGGAGGATGATGGCAGGAGAATGCATTTCTAGAGTGATAGCAGAGCACTAGTGCGCGAGAGTGGACTTGAGGCTGGAGGCGAGCTTCGGCGACGGGTGCCCATTGTCCTCAGCCATTCGGACATTTATACGGGAAGGAATGATGCAAGAAGAGAAAGCAATCCTACCATCACCAATCAGCACATTGTGGTTACTCGCATTGTCCAATATTGCCTTTGTGGGAAGTATCCTTATTAGGCAATTATTTGTTCATGTTATGCAGCTGGAACCGTCGTAACCGAGGGCTCCCTTCAGCGGCTTATTGTATGAGTATTGAGCACGAGAATTCTTCTCAAGAGAGCTTGCGCGTCAGGCGACGTCGTTGGTGCTCGACTGCTTGATGCCCCAGACATCTCATATCAGTCCATGACGGGTGTCTCATAAGACAAAGCAAGGAGATGTCCGGACGAAAGACCAAGATCGGCAAAAAGGGAACGTCAAGACAGCACTGGAATGGGATTGCGAGCCTCGTGGTCACTACTGGGACAAGGGAAGGTGCTTTCAGACTAAGCATGATTGAACAAAAGAAAGGCGCGGCCAGCCGAGAGACAATGTACTGTAGCTGGACAGCTGATTCATCTGACAAGGAGCACTAGCCCCGAGTGGGGGACAGATTCAGAATGAATGTATCGAGCGACCATTGTGCCTTGTCTTCACAATTGTGCTTGCAGTGTCCCTGTGAGAGAACGATCGCGAATGATGCGCCGAGCCCCCAATTCCCACGCTCTCCATCCCGTCCGACTCCATTTTGTTCATGCTGCGCCATTTTGTCCGGGCGTACAGCACGTCAGTCGCGACCACCAAACACCTTCTCCGCGATGTATTGCGGGAAACAGCCCAGCCCGTCGCAGTCGTCACGTCGTTCATGCCCGCCGACGCGTCGGGCGCAAAATTCCACGGCGCCACGCTCTCGTCGTTCACCTCTATAGCCATGGACCCGGTCCCGCTCGTATCGTTCGCCCTGCGGATACCGTCCCGCATGGCACAGTCCCTCAACGAGTCGGCCTCGGGGCACATGGTCGTCAACCTGCTTTCGCAGACGCAAGCTCACACCGCAATGGTGTTCTCCCGCGCAGATGTATTCCCCCGCCCGTTCCTCAGCACGGAGCACACATTAAGTGCGGAAGGGCTGCCCGTCATCTCGGGCTCCGTCGGAGCGCTGACGTGCAAGCTTGTTTCCAATGGGATTCCCTTGCACGATACACGATGGCTGGCGGAGCGGAAATTGGACGGGCCTCCCGAAGCATATGACGGGGACGGAACCGTATCTGAGCTCTTCATTGCCCGAGTGGTGCGCGTCGAGACCTTTGATGCGCAAGCTCTACCACTCGTCTACCATAGACGGGAGTACAGCACTACTCGAACTCTACTGGCGGATTCCATTGGCTTATGATGATGACACAACTTATCCTACTCGCCATACTCGGAAATATACTCCTCATCATACTCCGCCGTCCCATAATCAGACTCGGATGCATCGATCGCTTCAAACTCGAGGAATCGCGCGGGCAGATTCCCGCCTCCGATCGTGACTGGATGAAAATTTTAGAATGGGTGGAGGGAGCGAAGGTTGCAGACGTACAGAGGCTATAAAACTCTGCGCCTGTCAGTTCCGGCAACTTCTGTCTCTTGGGTGCATTCAGTGGGATGCCCAGTCGCTGTTGTTCTGTTTAGCAAAGAGTGTGGAAAACCTCCACATGTGGCTTACCCTGGGTTGCAACCGATTTGTTGTGCGCATTCTCAGATCGCAGGCCTCCGCGATACCATCCGTGTCCTGATCGTCCAGAAACTCCAAAAACACGGCTTCACTGTCGCAGAAGGCGTCCATCGATTCGAACATGCGCAGAAGAGCCGGCGACCTGAGCCCTTGAGCAAAAACTGACTTCATCTTGCCCTCCTATCTCGCGACTCAGCCTAAAAGCAACGCGGAAAGAAACTGAGTGCGCACCAGGCCGGGAATCTTACTGCACTTGTCCATCAGAACCTTCATGGCACTCGGACCCCACTGCGCGGGCTGCTGGGACTGTTGCCACGACTTGCTCTGCAGGATGATGCTGGCAAATTTGTTGGTCCGGTCAATCAGTGGGCCCCAGTCGCTCAAGCACGTCCGGACCCCCGCCGAATCGAGCAGATTGCCCGTCACGATCCGGTCGAAGCTGGCGTCCTCGAACGCAGGCAGCGCACCGACGCTGATCCCTTTCGCGAGGATTCCGGGATCGAACGAGGTGACGTGGATGTCGATGTGGAGCTCCTTGACGCGGCGCGCAAAGTCCCGCAGCTGGTCTTTGACGTGGAAGAACAGACAGCCCATGATGTCTTCGGACATGACGCCGTGTTTCGTGCCAGAGGCTTGGACGGCCGAAACGTCCCAGCCGTAGAGCGGATTCGCCTCCTCCTGGGCCATCCAGATGCCCTGGGGATTGAACATCAGCCTGTGCTCTCCATCAGCTGACACGCCAAACACTAAAGAAAACTCGGACGACATGCCGATTGGGTTGAGTGAAATGCGTGGTCACGAGCGAGAACGGAGCCAGGATCCCCGTCTCCCGAAATCTCTCGAACGCCATTCTGTGCGAGGGCTTGAGCCCCGCGTAGTACTTTTCTCGCGTGTCGAGCTGGTCGGGTGCGACGGTCACATCCCGCATACTCCGCAGGGCAGTGTGCAGCGGGTAATTCGACCTGACCATCTCCAGCAATCGCTTGATGGCCGGCGAGGGCTGCACGGAGTATATTCGGCCGTCTCCGCGCGTGTTGAGACAGCGCTGGAAGGACAGATCGGCGTCCGACTCGCCCATCGACGAGTCGTAGATGAAATCCACACAGCGCTTCATGTAGTTCGCACCGGCGGCTGGTAGCGCCGCCGAGTACAGAAGATGTGTGCAAAATTCGGCGGCTTCCTGATTGGGGTTAGTCGCATATGCTAGACTAGAGAGCAGAGAGACGTCATACTTCTATCGAAGGCCCTGAGCTGAGTAGAATGAATAGCACGACCAGATTCCGGTTGACATGAATCGGATTTGTGTCGTTCAGGAGCACGTCGCAAAAGCCCGCATAGTCGAGCGGTAGCCCGTTTATAGTTTGCACCATATTCCGGATGTCACCAGAAACTAAACCTTGTTGATCGGAGGGCATCGGACGAGTTGTGCCAACCACGAACCTGCGAAACACAGCTTGAGGTCGGTCGAGTGGTCCGATCCCTCGTTGGTCGGGAGCTGCAGACAGTCCATGCCGGGCACATCACCCCAGAAATCGACCGTCGCCCTGAAGAGCGTGACGAAGTTCGAGGGATGCAGGAATGTCGGGTCTCGCCCTTGGGTGACCCACGCCGGCTGCCAGTGGTCGCTCATGTACGGATGGGAGCAGGCGCCGCGGTGCCGGCTCGCATGCTGGTTCTTGCATTTTTCGGAGCAGTACTGTCGGCCGCATGAGCGGGAGTGGAGTCATGGATATTGGCAGGTCGTACCGCAACAAGAAGGCACTAGGGAGGCTCTGTGAGCAACAAGACGGCGCTGAGCGAGGCTGCTCGGACGGCGCACCTTTGCACAGACGATGATTCCCCGCCCGGGACAGCACTTGGTGTTGCTCGCGTTCGCGCACGGGATCTGCGAGATTGTCCCGCCATTCGAAGCTGATCCCATGCTGAAGGACATCAGATGCTCGAGGCTCTGGATTTTGTCGCCAGATGCTCCCCTGTCCCGCAGCTTTCGAAACCCATTCAGGACAGCGTGGTACCAAGGCTTCGGGGCGACCATTCCAGCGCCGCAGTAGACTAGCCTTGAGAGGAGACGGCTAAATTTCTTATATACATCCTCGTCGAGCTTCTAAAAAGAAGCAGACTCGCTCCCGGACCATTGACTAAAGGATCAGAGCGAACCAGGGCCTGCATTGGGCATTAGGCAGGGACGGCCGGGATCTGGTGCGGAGATCGTTGGCAAAGAGTACAACCTTTGCGCATCCTGCACCCAGCTCTGGATCCACGAAGCTCCGACTTCAAGTTTGCCCAACTCTCCCTCTCACTCCAGGTCCGAGCGCGACGGCGGACAAAGCTTGTTGTGCCGCGGCAATGAAAGATCTGTCCTGGCATGTCTTTCCACCATCCAAAGGTGTTTAGAAGGGACAGCGGATGACTCTGAGATCACTGACTCATGAGTATGGAGACCTGAACTTGGCCTGAACTTCCAGTCGAGAAAGCGCATCTCCTCACGTGATTAGCATACAGCGATGACATCCATCGAATCCGGTATATTTATATGTACATGCAAAATTACAATGGATAAATCAGCCCATCCTTTGCATCCCGGGCCTGTACGATCTCACGCTGGCATGTGGAGACCCAGGCCCAGCCAGCACGCGATTGGCCGCCGTATTCATGGCGGTATTCATGGCCGTGACCTGGGCCAGCTCATCTTCGTCCTCTTCAGGAATCAGCGAAGGCGGCCCTGGTGTCTGGAACCTCGACGATCCACCGGCAGTGGACGACGACGCGCGCGAATTGGCCCGCTTCTTCTGTTTCCGACTGAGATTTGTCGTGGCTGTGGCTGCGGACGACGAGGCCACGGACGACGGCGGGAGAGGATATCCTGAGGCCGAAGCCAGCGACTGTCGCGGAGTGGCCGATCCGACTGATTCCACCACGAACGAGGCTGGATGTGAAGGCTGTGGTGCCACTGGTGCATTGCTGCCTCCAAACGGGAATTGTGCTCCCGTCGTCCATGGCGATGCCGTGCTGTTCATATTCCGACTCTGCGGCCGTTCAATTTCGAATCCGTTGGCAGGAGCAGAAGTTCCCCAGCCAGAGCCAGAACCAGCAGCGCCCGGAGGATTCGCACTCGCTTGCCGGCTTTGCGGTCGCTCGATCTCAAACGTAGCCTGTCCAGGTCCCCATGCACCGCTTGGACCCAGCGACCCTGCTGCGCCAGTGGATCCCCACGGAGATGAAGCTGGAACATTGGCGTTCCTGCTCTGCGGACGTTCAATCTGGAAACCAGATTCCACTTGGAATCCGGCAGGCCCCAGGTGTGCTGGGGCTGTGTTCCCAGCAGGAGCACCTCCTCCACCTGGGGCTGGGACTGGCAACGGCCCTGATGAAGCGTTACCGATCATGCCACCCATCATCCGATTCCGGCTCGGAGGTCGTTCGGGTATGACATTCGCGCCAATGACAGAGGGCGTGGTCCACTGCGCCGCCTGTTGCGTCGCAATCGTCGGCGGTGTCATCGACATGGGCTGGAACCCGGGCGGATACCTCACACCCTGCGCAAAGACTGGCAGCGGACTCATACTCGGCATTATCTCTCTCTCATCACCCGAATCAGACTCATCATCCTCCGTGTCCGAGTCGCTCTCCTCGTTCTCTTCAGGAACAACAGGCTCGTTGGGCGACAGAAATCCTGGCCTCGTCGTCGCCGAATTCGGGTTGCTAGCAGAGGACGGCCGAGACTAGATGATGCGAAAGTAAGTTGACGACCCTGAGATGAAAAAAGGTAGATACCGGAGGCTCGATCGTGATATGAACCGAGCTCCCACTCGATGACCGGTGCAGATTGGAACTCAACGTCGGCCGGGTGGGATTCGCGTCGGCGTAAATCCCTTGCGGAGTCGAACGGCCGCGAGTCGAAGCAGAATGAGGACTCAGCAGCGCAGAGGGCGTCAAAGACCGTGCCTAAACATAAGAGCGAGATGGAGAAAACGGACGATCGACGCACCCTATCCATGTCCACACTCATGCTCGTACTCCGTCTCCATTCTTCAACACGCCCGCTTCTGTTGGCTGACGCCGCCGGCGACGGCGACTCCGAGTGCTCCACAATCGGACTCAAGTGGCTTCCGTTCGGGGCGGCATTGTCGATAGGAAATGAGCGCAAACCCAACGTTCCCATGGACGTGCCTGTCGCCACTGAAGCCGAAGTCGCACTCGAAGGTGTCCGCGTTTCACGTCGATCTGGCATGGGCTCAACTTGGAAAGAGCCTGGAATCGGCTGATGGGCAACCGGCTGCTGAAGAATGGGCTGCTGATAAGGAATCTCGACGCGGATCGGAGGTGCAGGCATTGGGATGATAACCTGAGGCGCGGGATGCTGGATTGGCGGTGCAGGCATTGGCACAAACGGAACCTGTGTCTGCGGTGCTGGCCGCTGTGGCTGCTGCTGCTGCACCGTAATCGGAGGCGGAGGCATCGGGATGATGGGCACATTTGAGTTCCCGGCCGGCATCGCCCGCGAGGAGAATGGTATCGCCCTTGACACAGCAGGCCCCGCCATCAATGCATCTACAGGAACTGTTCCTCTGCCTGGTGCCAATCCGAATCCTCGCTCCGAGTCCAATGTAAACATCGATCCATTGATTGATCCGCGGGGTCGGGTGCTTGCGACAGAGGGTGGCCGGTTTCCAGTGACCGTGAAAGGAGGAGGGGCAGCTGTGCTGGCCCGAGACGCGGGTCGAACACCAGCGCTGATGCTGCCTCGTCTGCCTGGGATGCTGCCCACATTGATTCCTGACGCTGATGCAGCTCGAGTATGAGCACTTGGTGCCGGAGGAGGTCCAGAGGGAACCCCGGACTCGACTACCAGCGGTGGCGCACCACGAGAAGCGGGACGTCCGCTATCAACACTGAAACGCCTTTGAACGGGTGCTTGACCCCTCGTTGATCCTCGCGAGCTGGCAACAGATGGTGCACGATGGATTGGAGGGGGTGCTGGTTCTGGAACAGGCATGATGACCGGCTCGGGCATTTGAATTGCAGCACCGAGCTCCAGAGAATCCCTCGCTCGTTGAGCGGGCACACTAGCTGTTTCTCCAGAAGTCGTTTGTTCCTCGGTGACGGTCCGGGACTGGGCTTGTGCTTGTGCTTGGGCTTGGGCGCGAGCGATCCTGTGTGCTTCCCTCTGGCGCTCTTTAGCTCTTCTTCTTTCTTCCGCGGCAATTTCTCTTTGCAGCAACCTCTCTCTCTCCTCGTTCTCTCGTTGGACTCTTTCCACCTCCCTTCGTCGACTATCCTCGCGCTCTCTCCTTTTTCTCTCCTCCTCGGCCTTGAGCGCGTCAGCTATTCTCTTCCCTCGACCAAAACCCACATCCCAGCCTTCTCGTTCCCCCTGCTCCTTCGCAGCTCGAACGACCATCTGCATGCGCATCTTTCTAGCCGCACTTCTGGCATCTGCAGCTTCTCTCTCCGCATCGTCCCTTTCCTGCTTCACCATTTGCATCGTCTGCTTCGTTCTTTCTATCTCTGCTTGAGCCGCTTCCAGCTGCATCCGCGCGATCGCGAGCTCCGAGTGCAGCTGCGCAGAGGCCTCCTGCGCCCGGGACGATGTATCCAGCGCGTCCATCGCGCGGTCCAGCGACAGAGACTCTAGCGCGCGCCGCTGGGCTTCGGAATCTGCGAGCTGGCGCGCGGAGTCCGACAGCTGTTGCATGGCATTGTCGAGCAGGCTCTGCGGTTGCGCCTCCGTGCCTGTAGTGAGAATAGAGTCGCGCTGATGCGGGCGACGCGTGCTGAGCAGCGCCAGAACTTCTGCCGCACTCGGGAGCTTCGACTCGTGGTCGTGGTGCTTCTTCGACTTGTGCTTGTGCTTGTGCCTCTCTTTGCGTGGCCGTGGGGTGGGTTCTGGAGCAGCCGTGAACGCGCCTGCATCTTTCGGAGGAGGGGCAGGTGGTGCATCGTGCACTATGTGATTTAGATTTGGATTTAAGGCGTCGGCCTGCGTCTGCTTGAACGACAGGTGTGGTGGGTACGGGAGTTCGGTGGGCTTGTAGTAGAGCGACGGTCGGTTCTGGCCTTGCCCTTGCGCAGCTTTGAAGGTCTCAAACCGAGTACTTTCGAAGTTGATTCACTGGAAGCAGGAGACACATTGTAGAGCAAGCGAACGTACTCCTCGTACTCTCCTTCCTCACTGGAGAATACTGGCGACTCAGAGCCTTGACGCATCACGAATGCCGGCGGGAACTTTGCTGCCATCTTATTCCTCCTTATTCTTTTTAGTATTCTTCTGAGCAGGGCTTCAGTTGCGGTCGGGAGGAAAAGAGGCCGGTAACGAGAATCGGTCCGTGTGCGGAGCACAAGAGCTGTTCAACATGGTTTCGCGGTGGCACTGCAGCTGTCAGATGTCATCGATCGCTTTCTCTGTGGCAGTTCTCCAATAATGCATCGTGACCACATGCGTAAGACTTGCGACCTTCAAGCGAGCCTTCTTGAACCGAATCGAGGGGTTTTGGCACCTGAAATACTGGCCCATTATGCTCAGCCTGTGTCCGCGATATCCTCTGACGTCACTAAGCTTGCAAACACGAGGCTACCCCAACGAGTCAGACGTCGATCGGGCGCGTCACAGGCAAGTTGGGCAACACTATTGGCCACCAAATCTGGCCTCGGCAGATAATATGTGCATCGAAGTACGTACTGGGTAATGCCGGCCAATATGATCCAAGCCACGGGGAGGAGGAAAGAAAGACCAGGTAGCTACCAGGTATACACCAGATATAATGATTATAATACGCACACCAGTTGCAGTCCGCTCTATCTATTCGGAATTAGAATTACGTGGCATCAACCCCAGCTCCATCTCGTCGGTCTCCTCATCAGCTTCCACAACGACCACTTTCAGACCCTCCGCCATCTCACGCCTTACACAAAGTTGCTCTGCGACAATGATCATAATGGCGGCACCGGCGAACATGATTGACCAGAAGAAGAGCGAGGTGGGGATGGATGCAGAGTAGTACGTCGTTAGCACGAGATGGTTGAAGACGAGCGTCAGCGCGAAGTCGAGGATGAGGCGCGGTCGGCGGATGAGAGCATACAGATACCATATACTGAGAACCAAACCACCGAACATCAGCGGCGGGTTGCGATCAGGGGCACCGTAACCGACCGCACTCACTCTGCGGAACACGCCAAGAGCCAGCAAAACGCGATGACCCACCCCCGCATCGGATCCGTGCGCCCGTCCCACTGGTCTTCGCGTAGCCCGAACCCAATCTTGCGCCCCCCGCTCCACGCGCTCGTGTACGCGTTCCAGCGTTCCTCGCCCTGCATCCCGCGCACCGTCGGCTGCCCCGCCATCTCCCGCCAGTCCATGACCATGCCTGTGCGCGACGCGTCTCAGAGCGGAAGAAGCGGAACTGAGCACGGGAAGACGAACCGACGTTGGCAGCCCCGCCCTCGTAGTGCAGAGACGACGGCTCGGCGAAGATGGCCAGTAGCAGCGGGACACATAGCGATAGTGTCAGGTAGTGCAGGCTTTGCATCGACACTATCTGACGATTGTTGATGAATTTGCGGCGGAGGCAATGATTTCATACCTGAGATATTAGCAGGAACGGGTCCCAGTTGGAGTGAGTCGTCTTCGACATGAGCACGGTGTTGGACCGCGGTAGAGAGCTGTGAGCGACAGCAGTTGTTGACCGAGCCGATCACATTTTCCGATCAATATACAAACAGGCGTCAAGTTCAATTGTTCTATGGGACGGCCCATATTCGAAGTGCGACATCAGGACCGGGTATCACGATAGAATAGTCCACAATTCATTTAATAATTCTCCAGTCGTCGTATCCACCCTAAGAGTGATCCTCTGCGAGCTGACTCTCCGCCGGGCGTTCGATTAGTATGCTCTGGACATCTACTGTCCGATACTTCTGCTACAGTGTATAGCTGCGGGAGAATGAGATAAAAACGCTCTCCAGGAAACCCACATCGTAGACTGACCGAAAATCAGTCTCGCCAAGTCTCCTCCGATTCAAACGCTCGTAGGTCACCATTGCTATGATGGACATGATAAAACACAGTCCAAAAGAACTGAGGGCGACAGCTAAAGGAGCGCAGAGCGTCAATTGAACAGTCTCATAAGACAGTAACCGATAGACCGTCTCACCGTGTCCCAGTCTGAATTTCGGTGCATCCTGAGTCCGATAGACGAACGATGCACAAATTCTGAACACACACAATCACATATGAGCAGCGAACGAAGGAGCGAGGCAACCGCGCCAAAAAAGCACACCCACCCTCCGAGGTTGCCGGCCATCCCAACAAGCCCGAACAGCACCGCTTTATTCAGCGACCCCGGGGCATTGTTCCCGCCCCACGCTATCGCGATCGGGATGGGCGGGAAGAGCCCCACCGCGACGGCGATGCAGCCGACGTAGCCGATCACGGCCCCGCGCCTCGTCGCAGGGTCCGTGCAGATCAGGAGCACGTAGCCGAAGATCCCGACGAGGCTGGAGCCGACGAGAAAGGGCCCGCGGAGGCGCACGCGATCTGAGAGCGCGCTCAGGGGGATCGTGATGGCGCATGCGGCAGCGTACGGGGGGATCGTGAGGCTGACGGGGATGGCTTATCAAGCAGATGACCAAGAGAATGAATAGACTGCGCACAGCTGGGCATGAGTAGACGAGAATCCCAAAGAGGAGATGATCGTCCTAAGGGCAAATGAGTCACCATTCCCGGATGGGTTCCACGCCGTCGAGGGACTCACGGCAAGAACAAGGTAAATGAATACAGCGGAATCAGCAGACTTTGCGCGTGCATGAGCTTGTCCGTCTATCGACCAGCGTCTTAAGAGTTCACACACCCAACATAAAGCACCGCCTGCATCCAGCTCAGCGGGTCGAACACCGTCTGCCACACGAAGCGCATCTCGAAATGCGAGGGCTGCCCTCCAGCATCGCGCTTCAGTGCTTCAATCACTGTGCTTTTTTCCGAGGAAGACAGGAATTTGGCATCCGATGGGCTCTACCGGAGGATGTCTGACATATTAGTGCATGGTCGTGGCATATGGCACTCACATCACACATCGCCCAGAATGCGAAGCATGAGACGAGGACAGTGACTGGAAGAGAATGGGACACGTTTCGTGGGTTGTGCATGCAACAACACCTACGCAATCCTTCGAGAAGGAACTGTAAATTCGATGAGAACGAATACCCCGCCGCGACGGAGAATGCGACTTGCAATCCAAGACCAGCCATGAAGCCCGCCGATCCTTATTTATCAGATCAGCACTTTCCAGAACCACGCGCCCGTACGAGGACTCACCCGTTCATTTTCTCAATACAGAACGCCAACAGTCCACCGAATGCACCTGCCAAGGTTGCGGCGCTGAAGTAGCTCGCGATTCCACGGGCCTGTTGGTCGCGGCAGTACCAGCAAGTCACATATAAAGCTGCCCAAGCACCAGGTCAGCCCCGGAACATCCTGCCCGTGCACATCTCACCGAGCGCAGGCGCCAGTCCGGATTCCGCGACGCCGAGGAACACACGCGCTCTGTCAAGTTCGCAAGATCGCCTAAGTATAGCACAAGTTGGACACCGCGGCGCGCACATGATCAGTCCCCGCCATGTCTTGACGAAGGCCATCGAGACCACTGCATCGCATTCAGCTCATGGTCAGCTGATGGCGTGGATCCCGCGCACTGATGATTCCCCAAGCGAGGGTAAGTCCTGGGACTATACGCGTTTCAATAAAGCAAGACCAGAAACACGACTCGCAAACTAAACACGCACTCCATATCGACGGGCGTACACACTTGGCCACCACGTTGCTGCATAGGAAAGACAGGCTGTAAAAAAACCCGGACTGACCTTATTCCAAGAATGCATCGCTCACCAGGGCGCCTCCAGGAGAGCATACGTCACGAAGAACGCCGCCGCCGCCATCTGGTACCGCATCCCCGTCAGATCGAGGTCCTCGGCCATCCCGGCGATCTGCACACGCATCAAGTCTAAGCATCCCAGGCAAGGAGGGACAAAGGCAATATCCAAACCCGGGCATTTCCTAAACGAGCGCAGAGGGAGGTGAGCGATACGAGGGGACTCCGCGAATGACGCTGTACCGAGGTTACTCCGATCCCTGCAATAGAAAGCTGATGAGCCACACAGCACAGCACAGCGGCCCAGGCTGGCTGTGGATAACGTACAGAAAGCAACACAGATATAGCAGGGTGATAAGCGGGATCACCCGGAGGTCGATCTTGCGGCGGATGCGGGGATCGAGCCTCGAATCTATGGAGGCCGGGAACTATATGCTGATAAACGGAGGACGTATCACTGATACGCGATAGTTTGCCGACATAGGATCAATTTCATGATGCGCTCCATGTCATGATGCGCTCTATCTGGACGGCTGAAAACGTTATACTAATGACCGATGTCTGAATCGTGGATGGCCGCTCGGCAGATATTGATCAGATGATTGACGCAATGATCAAGACCCCAGGTAGCCGACTATCGCAATATCGCAACATCGTAATATTCGAAAAGCGCAACATTCAAGATAGTGTAATATTCGAGATAGCGTAGTGAGCATGTAATTACTGTAATTCACTAATCATTTTCGCGGGAGTCTTCCTCATCCGAGAACCATGCGTACAGATCAGGACCAACAGCTTGCCGCAGCTGATTGATACGACACGCACCCGAGCGATCCGTTGGCCGAGAAGCCCTCTAGCAGCGGCGACTTGACACTCAAGTTGGTTTCCAGCATGTACCCCCACTCGCGCTCGATCAGATCAATTGCCCGCTCGCCCTTGCCGGCCACAAAATGCGCTTGGATCTGTCGCGCAGGTGACACGCAAACCACAAACCACCAGCGCAACACGCACCTCGAAGCCACGGCCTGATGGGCGTCCAGAACTTCATCAGCCCGGCGCTCACGGCCTTGTTCTGTGCGTCCGATGTCGTGAGGTTGTACAGGACCGCGAGCGCGTTGCCGTCCTGCGGGTGGATGCTCCTCGGCAGGTCGTTGCTGCGGAACCGGCCCGCCGCGGCGTCCCACAGCAGGCTGTTGAACGCAGTTTTGATCTTGGTCGCGTTGGCGAGGTATGTGGCGGGGAGGGAGACATTGCCGAGATGCGTCGCCAGGTCCGCCGTGGTGACGAGCGTCTACGAGCTTGATGAGCGCGGATACATGATGCGAGAGACAGAAATCAATCCTCACGCGATAAAGCAACGCGTTTGCCGCAGAGTTGTGTCCGGCGCCGCTGGCCCTGCCCCAGTCGTTCGAGAGCGCAGACGAGACGTTCATCAGGCCGGTCAAGTCCACCTGGCCCTCAAGGAAGCCAACCGCCTTGGTGTAGTTCGCCCAGACAGACTTGATGAAATCGAGGTCGCCCGTGTACAGGAAGTAGTTGTGCGTCCCAATGAGCGACCACGAGATGTACGTGTCGCTTCCCTGGTTGTTCAGCGGCGGCCCGGAGTACTGCAGCGCGCCAGTCGTCAGGTTTTGCGTGCGGAACATCACCATCAACGAGTTCTTGGTCGGCTCCATGTCGCTCAGCGCGACGAGCTCCGTGTGTGTGGAGATGCCGCAGTCGCCTGATCCGTCGCATGAGTCCGAGGGTTAGATCGCGTCCATGAGCATGAGGGGTTACCTGGCCAGATGTTCCTGACAGTACCAATGTCATCAGCAGGGATTGCACACACAGATCGCGACCGACCATTCCTCACCTGTCGCGTTTTGCACCATCGACGAGGATAGGCCCAGTGGCAGCTCCTCCCAAGGCATCGTTGGACCAGCCACCTACAAATGTGATCGCACAGTTTGAGTCCAAAATTCAGATCCACGCCGACACGAACCTCCTGCTGGGCACGGCTCCTGTCGCGCCGTGTGGGGAGGGATTGTGTTGGTCTGCACCCTATAGTGCCTGCTAGCGGTCAGCCCCCACCCACGCCACGCTCTGCCACATCAGCCAGCAAACAGGCGATGACGCACCGGCGTACCAGATCTTCGTGAGGCAGTCGATGTCGTGGAACCCGGGGTCAGGTGCAAAGAAGTAGCCCGGGTACGCCCTGAGATCATCCCAGTGGGGCATGAACGTGATCGCCAGCGAGATGTTCGAGATCGTCAGCGGGTCCGCGCTCGCACTCACAATCGTCAGGAAGCGGAACCCGCCGCGCTGCTGTCCCACGGTCTGCGTCAGCAGCCCCGTGGCTCGCGGCACGTGGAACGTCTGGATTCTGTCCCAGTTCTGCAGCCGTGCGGGCTGGCACGAGTCGTCCAACTTGAGCGGGCTGATGAACTCCGCGGACTCGGTGAACGACAGTGAGAACTGCGACTGGGCCGTCGCGTTGTTGATCGTCAGCGACAGGATCCCCCCAAGCTACAGTATGGGTGTGTGAATTGACCCTCGACGGCGCTGTATCAGGGAGGCCGCGCACCTCCTTCCCCAGTCGAACACGACGTACGAACCGCTGCCCTGGAATGTCGCCTGGGAGTCCGGACTTGCGACGAGCCTGCTCGCGCCGGCGACCCGGCCGCTGATCCTATCTCGAATGTTGCGCTTTTCGAATATTACGATGTTGCGATATTGCGATAGTCGGCTACCTGGGGTCTTGATCATTGCGTCAATCATCTGATCAATATCTGCCGAGCGGCCATCCACGATTCAGACATCGGTTATTAGTATAACGTTTTCAGCCGTCCAGATAGGCGCATCATGACATGGAGCGCATCATGAAATTGATCCTATGTCGGCAAACTATCGCGTATCAGTGATACGTCCTCCGTTTATCAGCATATAGTTCCCGGCCTCCATACGAATCCGTGCTTTGCTGGTCTGAGACGTCAGGGTCGAGTTTCTTGTCCTCGTCCATGTAGCGAAAAAGAAGGGCTGTAGAATAGAGCTGGGATGGGATGGGATGGAGCGGATGGAACAAGGGTGCGCGGTGGCAAGTCGGCAGCCTCTTTATAAGTAAACGCCCGAATGCAGCCAGTTATCTCCACCGCGAAGAGCTCCAAGCTTCAGAGGGGGGCGCGAACAGAAGACTCGTCCATACGCTATCATCCGTGCGTGCATGACACCGGCGGTTCTGGCCAGATAGAAGCTGGCTGTCTGTGTCTATGCAGAACGCCGGTTGGGTAGATCCAGGGCGCGGGTGGGAATTAGCGGCTGGAGCGAAAGTAAGGTTCCGAGGTCCATGTCTTGGCTTCACATAGTGCAAGATGGTTTGTAGTATGTAGAACCCGTGAAGTTTTCGTGGTGGGTGGCGGTCGGATGCAAGCCACAGAAGTTGATCGACATAACCTTACAGTAGATCCAACCGTCGCCAAACAAGTGCAAGCATATGAATAAGATGCAGACAATCTCCAACGTCCTGATAAGTAATATAATCTACCATCCACGCTTCCTGCCCCCCTTTCCCCATTTCTCAGTCAAGAAAGCAGTCATATACTCATACACCTCCCGGTTCGCCCCGCGCCTGTTGATCCCGTGATCGCTGTCCGTAAACATCCTGAACCGGAAGTTGCGGATGTGCGCTTTGGTGAACATGTCCAGCAGATGCGCCGAGTTGCTGAAGTGCACGTTGTCGTCCGCACTGCCGTGCGCGAGCAGGTAGTCCACCTTCTCGAACGCGGTCACGTTCGAGATCGAGGCGTTGACGTAGCCGCCCGGATTCAGCGAAGGGAGATTCATGTAGCGCTCGGTGTAGATCGAGTCGTACATCTTCCAGCTCGTCACGGGCTGCACCGAGACTTGAGGATCATCGCGCATGGAAGGGGTGGAAACCACTCACCGCTACAGACATGGCCAAGGAGTGGATGCCAGCATCAGCCTCGACCACCTTTGCAGCCATGAATCCGCCGTACGACCATCCCCAGACACCTATCCTCTTCGGATCGACATAGTCCCTCGCGGCCCAGATGCTGATTTCACTGTCAGCGCTTCGATGTGCACATAAACTGTGGAAGCCTACCGAGCAGCCTCAATCTGGTCCTTGGTTTCCCAGAATCCGAGATTGCCCTTGACAGGGTTCCGCAGAGCCCGGCCCTTGAAGCCCGTCCCCCGCCCATCGACCGTCACGACGACATACGAGTGCCCGCAGGCGAGATACTCTGCCCAATCGCCTCGCTGGAAGGACAGGTCGACCATTTGACTGAACGGCCCGCCGTACACGTAGAACAGGACAGGATACTTGGTGCGGCCGCTGTCGTCCATCCGCGGGGGCCGGATTTCACGGACATTCAGTTCTGGAACACGTCGTGAGCGCCGCGAATCCCATCCCGAAGCCGCAGATCTCACCGAACCCGTCCACTTCGATGGTCGAGAACGACCGGGTCGGTGCTTCGTACTCCATCGTGACATTGGCCAGGCGCTCGTTCGTGGTCAGGATGTACTCGAAATCTGTTGCCCGCAATCAATGGCTGGCCTCCAATCACACTTACTTCTTTCTCACTCACCGCTGTTGTTGGCTTGGATGACAGACTGCGTAGGGATGCCCGGCCCATTGTAGCTCAAAAGGTAGAATCCTGCTTCCGGCGAAAAGTCGGACGAGTAGTAAGCCGACTCTGAGGTATCCGTGAGTGCGATGGGGGCCGCAATCTTCGGCTTCGTAGTCGCAGCCAGGTTGAGAGAAGGGAGGGCAACAGAATACAGGTGACGAGACGTCGAAAGAGGATTGGCTGCTTCAAAGTAGCTGCAGTTTGCATAAGCATGATCCATAAGAGACAGCGCAGAAAGCTTACACGATTCCCTTCTCGAGGTCAACACCCTTGACGCCGCGGGTGACCTCCCATTTCCCGGAAGTAAGCCAGATGGGCTTCGAGCTGGTGGGCGGGCTGAACAGCGCCAGATGATTGTACCCTTCGGGGCTCGGGACGACATCCAAGTACGCGCCAGACGACGTGCCAGCTGAAAGGGTGCTCACGAGCGAAGAGTGGAGGGGATACATATTTTGGAACTTGAAACCATACGTCAGCCGCAGCGAACAACGTAGAAGGCGATCAAGAAACGCACGCTGTCGATCCAGCCGTCATCTCCCTCCTCGCCGTCTTTGCCCAGCTTACGGACAACGATCCCGCGCGCCCTTTTGGACGAGAGAAGCGACGTGGATTTGTCCAGCTTGTCGAACAAGACCACACTCCCGTTGTCCGCGTTCCTGTTGACCTCCTTCAGAATGAGGGCAGTATCCGAGACCCATTTGATCTCCGAGATGATGCTGTCGTCCTCCTTGTGTCGCCCGGCCCAGTCGAGCATGAGAATCTCTACCGACGGCTTGCTCGTCGCGTTCTGCTCGACGAGATAATGCGCGAGGTCAAACACGGCAACCTTGACCAGCGGATTCTTGTATCCCGGCTTCGGGTATTTCATCTTCACTTCGCCGGGGTATGGGACGACGGCATCCGAGTCCTCGGTAGGATTATAGATAGGGAAGGTGTACTCGTCGACCAGGCTCTCGTCGAAGATCAGGAAAGACAGCTTGGTTGAGGAGGGCGAGAACCACAGCGCGTGGTCGCCGGAGAGGATCTCCTCCTCGTAGACCCAAGAGGGCACGCCATTGAACAATGACGTAGAGCCCGTCGTCGTCAGGCGGATGGGAGCCTTGGCCGAGGGAGAAGGCAGAATGTAAAGATCGTTTCCTGTCACGTACGCGATGGATTCGCCCGTCGGAGACCACGTCGCGTAGGACACCGTGGGAGGATAAGTAGGTGGAATGAGCGGCGTGGTTTTCTTGGACGCAATCTCGTGGATGTAGTAGTTCCCGAAGCTGGAGTGCCTCCACAACTGCGCCAGGGCTGTGAGCCGGATCGGGATGGGATTCAGCATGACGACCCACCTTCTTATGGTCCGACTTGACGAGGATATACTTCATGTCCGGAGAGAGTTTCCATGTGGCCCATGAGAGCGGCAGCCCGTTCTAGTGTGAAGTCAACTTCAACCAAGGTACGCCTTCCGAGATAGATCATCCACGCACATTATTCACGTCAAACATATACACAAGGTCCTTGGTGACGTTCGTCTTGAGGTCAACCAGTTTGATATAGCCGTCCTCGAAAATCGAGAACACACCATCTCCCGCTGCACGTCGATTCAGCTTCCACTCAGAGCCAAACGGATCTTTGACACACACCTTCCGGCACCCAAGCGAGACTCCGTCTGTCCACCGCGAATGTCCCATTGTAGACGTGGTCCATGGTGATTTTGCGCACACCGGGCGGGCGGTAGGTGTTGCTGACGTAGGAATTGGCCGCTATTATCCCGATGAGCGCCGAAAGACCGACGAGGGACGCGAGGGCGATGACGAGCAGGCGGACCGAGCTTGCCCGCTATACGCACAGTCAGTCCTGTGCAATCAGTCGCAGCGGAATGCACGGCGGACTGACCTTGGGGAGTGCGCCCATGCCACGCTCGGCCACACTAGGACTCGTCGGGGATGTTTTCTCGAACAGCAGCGCTTCATCCTCCTCATCTGAACTCGGCGCGTCGAACGGCCCGTCCCCGTAGTATGTCTGCGGACGGACGTGCAGAGGCTGCAGCGTATGCTTCTTCAGGATTTGATCGTGCTCTGGTTCATCGTCGGGGTCGTGCAACAGCGGCTCATACCGCGTGCTCGACATAGAAATGAGAGATTAAACGGCGGAGAATTTCACAGGGAGACGCCAGGAGGAGGTTTAGTAGATGCGGAGTCGAGGGAGCGAGGCGGTTGCTGCGGCCCACGCGAGTGAACCGGATAACGAGGCTGACTTGCAAAGGAATGAATTGATGAAACCTATCGCATCATCATTTATTGATCCGTGCTGATCAAGCCTTGATGTTGCCCTTGGACCGACTACGTGCATATTTACATGAATTAGTACTGTAACGGACGGCTTCGTCTGCGGGACGGGACCTCTAAGATAGCATCTTGACCACGCTCTCAAATACGGCAAATGTGACCATATTGACAGGCACCGCCCGTAGTAGAGTGGGAGCCAGTCCGCGGTAGAACACGCCCAAGCCCTCAGCACGGTACGAGTTGACGATAGCCGACCAGGTAGTGCGATACGGATTCAATACAGAATCTGATGCGCCTTCCCTCAGAGGCCTTATCGCGGCAGAGTGATTCAGGCTGGTTCCTTGAATCCGAGTCTTGACGACGTCCAACGGAAAAGTGGCAAACCACCCAACTGCACCGCATGTCACCCACAATCCGGGCCACTATGCGAGGTGCTCACCGATTCCAGCCACTCCACCCGCGACCAAAACTGTCCAGCCACCATCACGTTCTCCTGGTCGCGATAGCAGACGAAGAGTAGCTTCGTACTGTATGCAAAGATCAGCCTGATAGATATTGCATCCCCCTACACTGTTGCTAGATCTCACCGAGGCAAAGTATGCGCCGTATCCGCAATCCCTCAATGCTGTCGATACAGCCCCACGATACAGTCCGCGCAACCCATCCGCTTTGACGATGTCTGTGGCGATGCCGCGCACCGTCGAGCTATCGATGCACTGTTGCTGCCGGATCTTGATGAGCTCGGTCGGAGTCGTGACTACGGCAGAGACGATACCGCTCCCGATTCCTGCTAGCGTGATCTGGGTCAGAGTCGCGTCGTTGGTGCTTCCGGGACACTGTAGTTTGAGAAAGAAATTGTAGGATGCAAAGACGAGACCATTCATGAGCGCCACCGTGACCTTGGATTCGATCAATCGAGAGATGAGCGGGGGGAGCAGAAGACGCACCAAGGGTGAAGTGATGCCCTTGTACAAGTCTACAAAACGCTCCTCCCTGATAATGGTCCCGATTGCACGCGTCGTCGAGCCCTTGTAATGTTCCGCCAGCTCGGGCGTCTGTAGTCTGACTTTAACTGAGGGTAGTCACGTTACCGTCGTGTTGTCTCCGAAAACGCAACATATCCGACGGACCTGTATCAAACGGGAAGCCCGCGACGAGACCAGCGGTCCCGCCCAGTGTGCCCGCAAAGAAGTCGACGACTGGATTTAGCCCTGGATCTTCGCATGAGCGCTGCAGCTGATCGTGTACGTAGAGTGAGAAATAGTTTACCTTGTGCGTCACCCATGTGACGATGAACTCTAGTGCGCGGGGAAAGCGCGGGAATCCCCAATGGATCTAGAACGAAGGGGAGATTACATATCCGATCATGTCTCACATCTGTCAATCGATAATTGATTGACGTCACTTACGGCAACCTCCGAGTACCGTCACGATTGCGACTGACGCCCAGGGCGTTGCTTTCGCTGGCTTGAAGAGCCGACCCGGAACTGTCAAAGCTCTAGCTTCCATGTCTAAATTTTAGCGGCCCGGCTACGGTCCTGGAAGCTGACTGTGCTCTCCTGATAACAGCACTGTCTATCTGCGTGTCTTCCGCCAACAAATGTGGAAGATACAGCAATCGCGGGCCGATAAGAGTCCGTCCTTGCCTTGCAAAGCTTCGGGACCTTTCGCAGCTCGCATTTCTCTGGCTTTGATTGGCTCATGTGCTCTCGGACGTGGGTTTCGAGCGGCCGCTGGGTGTCACACGATCAACGCACCCCCAGATCATTAACGGACAACAGTCGTCAATCTCGCCATTAGGCAGTCTTCGAATTCTCTTGGACTCTTTCTGCGACGATCCAACTCAGGTCCTGCTGCCCCCTTTTTCAGCGGCGGGCTTTCCGGCTCGGCGTCCGCTGACACAAACTTGCAATCGAACGGAAACAGCAACACACAGGTCTCGGAGTCTTTCGGGGTATTGCACGGAGGGAAGAGGCTGCTGTTCTATAAACTCGATGGGAAATTAGCCAGGGGCCCGAAGATACTGTCTTCGAAGAAGACCACGTTGGTTCGTTGGGCTCCCGGGTCACTGCTGTCGGGACACGGGCTTTGGCATTTCGGAGCTCGCGTGACATCTCTTGCCCTGGCCGGGCCTAGTACAGAACGCACGGGAGAACGAGAGAGCGTCCCCTTCACTTTTGCAGACGGAATTTAGTCGTCCAGGAATAGCGCAGATAACAAATGCGGAGGAGGTCGAAGATACGACTCCGCAACGAGTCCCTGGACCAAGGGTCCTTCGGATACCAGGTTCCACTGGCTTTCGCTATCTCGATCGTTTACGTTAGACATTGAGGGATTGCCAGATGATATCACAGAATTTGGCGCTTCTGTGTGAGTAAACGTATAAGAACGGACAGAAGTCACAACCTCCACTCAGCACTTTTCATGTCCCATACCACGACCCTGGAAAAGGTGAGTCCGCCCGCGACATCGCATGATGCGACACAGCTGACACAGATCCCAGCGGCGTCATCGTCGCCGCACGCTCTCAGTCGTCTCCATAGGCAGCGCGGCAAAGATTATTTTGGCCGTGCAGGCGACGAGCATCAGCACACCCAGAGGCGCAGCGACCGGCGCCTTCACCATCACTGGCCGTGCCCTCGACGCTCTCCATAGTCTAGCACTGGACCCGGAGGAGAGCACCGACCCCGAAGGTGACAACAACGACGAAGATCCGACGCAGACGTTACCGCACGACTTGGGCTACCCCGGCCACAAAACCATCCCCTCGATCAGCCGCACAGCGTCATTCGACAGCGACGGAGCATATGTCGGACCGGTGGGACAGCAGAGAGACAAGGGGAAACTGAAAGCAAAGCGTCGCGTGCTGCCAAGGATCCCGAATGAATTCGTCGCCGAGCCGTCCAAAGCACGCCACCACCGGTCATTCTCGTACTCGACAGGAGCCAATCTGGCAGGCATCCACCCGGTCCTTGAGACTCTGGAGCAAGGTTCTCGGATAGGCACGGGGCAGATCGCTTGTGCTGGGTGTGCGAAACAAGGAACGAACTTTCCCCGATGCATCCAATGCTCGAAATTGTGGTGTTCGAGACAATGCAGAACAGGCCCCTCGCATTCGTGCAGACCGCGGCGGAGTACAATTCAGTAGTTTGTCATGAACGTCGTCGTTGTTTCCATGGGCTGGGGGACGATGCCACGAGTTGCTCGCACTAAGACTCATCGAAGGAAGGGACAGAGTTGCGTTAACTCCACGATCAAAGCTGAGATCATACACCAAACGATAAGATGATACACGAGGGATCATGATGCAGCAGAACCCAGCACAACATCGAAGAAATGGAGTGAAATTGCGTAGAAATACAGTGGATGGATACAAATGTTAGTAGTGGAACAATAAGATGGAGGGTAGTTTAGATATGTCGATGTTCAGGGCGGCCTGCTACGCCTCATCCACGTCCATGCCCTCCAGGGACACACCCAAAGACGCTGCTCGCTGATAAAGCATCTCCTGTTTTGCTTCGTCTTTTGAGAAATTGGCCAGCGTGAGCAGTGCCTCGGTATACAGCACCAGCAGCTCGGAATCTTGCTCGTCCTCGCCGGCAGGTGTCTCATCCGCCGTAGCGCGCTCAAAAAACTCGACGGCACGCTCCAGAGCCTCTCGGGTATCATCTGCATCCTCGCAATCTAGCACCCCTTCAAGCGAGTCCTGCGAGTTCCAGCCCTGCGTCTCGGCCAGGGCCTCCAGCGCCTCGACATGAGCTGTCCCCACGACCAGCCAGCACCGACCCCGTGCTCTGGCCACGACGCTGGTCTGAGTGGGCACCTGATTCAACACGCTGTCCGCCCACGTCGCCCACCGCATCCGCTCCGAGGACTCGGACAAGCGTTCGGCGATAGAGAGCACCTCGTGCGCAATTGTGAAGAGCTCTGCTGACCGGCTGAAAGGCGGCGGATGTACGTATCGGTCTCCGAGGTTCTGCGCCGGCGGATTCGCATGCGGCATGAGGAAGATCCCGCGCGTGAAATGATCCATGGCCAGCAGCAGCAGTTCGTCTGGCGGAGTGGAGGCGAGGTTAACTCGGCGGCACGCAGGAGAACGCCGCATGGCAATGACAGCGAAAACGGAAGTCGATGACGACGGCCACTTGGGTTCTGGGGGCATGGACTGGGGATGGACGAGTGACTGCTGCTGCTGCTGCAGGCGCAGTGCGGCGTCAGCCACGCAGAGAAGCGTACGGCCCCATACGAGGGCCATCCGCCAATCTTCTGGAGCTTCACAGCCGCGTCCGCTCGTTCGGCTTGGAAGGTTCTCCCCCATCTCGAAGACATCCAATGCCGCAAGCCAGTACGTTGTTGCGTCCACTGGTTCTTTGGGCAGCACGATCGACGGGTCCTGGGCCACTAGATTGCCCATGAGGAAGAGCGCCGTACCGAGCAACGCATGGAACGCGGTCGGAGACTCGCGGCACTTGCTGCGCGGCCGTCAGCGACGCGATTAGAATCAAGGGGCTTCCCAGCTCACCATTTTCTCGGGGGCTTGTTCGCAGGTGAGCTGGGCAATGCTTCGGGAGTGCGGGAGCCAGGTGTCGCAAAGAGGACCGAGGGATCTTTGTACAAACGCAGAAATCGGTGGCACTCGTCTAGCACGCCACGTAGCAACGAAAGCGTTTCATCGACATTGTCGGCTGCAGAAGCTCAACAATGCGGTTCAAGGAGCCAGGGAGTGTCAGACTCACACTCGTACTGCTCAACGACGGTCGCAAACGATCCCTTCAGCTGCTCCCACATGGCGAAGTTTTCAGGGTCAACCACAGTGTCGGGTGAGTCCATCTCCTCGTCTTCGTCGTCAGAGTGATTTGAGGGTTCGGGAGTGCACTCGATAATATAATATCCTAGGTCGTCGCTGCTAGCGTCGCTGGCGTTATCAAGTCGCTGGCGTTTAGCAGGCCGATGGTCGTCCAAATTAAAGTCCTTATTGGGTTTAGGAGTCCCACGCCCCTTCCACAATCCGCGGGGGCGGGCGCGCGTCGGTGCGTCCGGGATGGACATGGTCAAGGAGGGGAACATCTGTGAGAAGCAACGGCATGATGACTATTGAAGCGATGTTTTTATTTCCCTTGAGCTTCAGCAGCCAGGGAGATTCCAGGCGCAGTGGGCTAGAATGTGTGACATGTGACTGTTCCCTTTTGGGTTGGTCGATGGACGTCACATCCAGAACATTGTACGTTCTCTGCGCCGAAGCACGGGCTGGAAAACATAGGAAACCCCCGACGGGTGGTCTGTGGACGTGTCAGGTACGTCTTTCCTCAGTCGCTGGGCCATGAAAGTCAAGGCAGCGACAGGAAACTAGTCCCTGGTGGCTGGCCCGAATTGCCGGGGGGAGTCCAGACCGCAATCTGACTGGTCCATCAAATCCATCTCTGGGAAGCCCTGCTCTCATTGGCCGCCCCCCATTGGCTATGCAGGCATCCTGCTGGATCCTGCCCGCGATTGGCTGCCCCAGCTCCCGTGAGGCTGTTGACTCAGCGGTCTAGTCGACGACACATCCGGGCTGTACATCCGACCCAATCCTGGCTCAGAGACGCCTGGGAGTCGTTACTGCGGAAGTCCAGAATGTGGGCGCTAACACATTCTGGACTGGCGATTGTCACAGAGATCAGTGCAAGGAACAGCAGCTGACGGCCCTCGCAGATCAGCCAGACACACCGAGACCCTCCGTCGATGTCATCGGCGCCCCCAACTTGGGCTGATCATCGACCACGATGTCCGCCGAGACTCTCAACGCTCCACATTCCAGAACGCAGGGGCTGTACGACATCGACTGCGAGCCAATGCGTTGCCTGCACGTCCGGTGGCCTATCAGATTAGAACGATTCTTACATAAATACTTGCACGCTCGGACATCTCAGGTCTGGGCTCTGTGTACATGACAAGAATTCCATTCTTGTGTGCACAGCCAGCCTCTATGCGCTTACTTACCGGCGCCAACGGGCTGCCTTGATTCCCGGCCCAGTCCCTACTATGTCATGCAAACATTCCATCGCATGGACGCGCTTCGCTATCACTTTTGAGCGGTTTTGAAAGCTTTCACGGGTTAGAAAGGTTGAATGGTGGGATTCCGGCCAACGTGAGCTACTGCTAGTAAGGCTTTATAAAGTAAGAAGCCTGTGGCTGCTGACCACTCTCGGAGCGTCATGCCAGAGCCTTCCCTAACCACCCTAAAGCGTTCCCGAGAGGCGTCCTCCTCCTCCCCATGGACCGACGAGCAACACATGACGAGTCTCTCAGAAGCGGGGTGGATGATGAGATGGAAAGAGGGGAAGGACGCGTGGATGGCGGAACGAGTGGGATGGCAGCAAGCTGAGCACCACACGCAACTGGCGACTAAAGGTTCGAGATCGCGTCTCCCTCTCACTCCCTGCATCGAGCCGCTGAGATAGGCGTAGATATGTCGCCCACTAAGACCGGGTTGTTTCTCGTCCCAATACGCGTCGAGCAGAAACGGCGCTGGCGGGACAGATGGCGAGGACGCGCAACTGGGAGACATCGTGATGCATCACCGCAGCTACTCGTATCCAGAGCCGCTTCCGTACTGGTGTAGCTTCGAATCGGACTTGACCCGTGAATGGCGCCTTGCATGCTGTCCAAGCCAGTGATAGTCGCGGGTAGTTATTTCCGTCCAGCCCCGATGTAGTCGAGATGACTGGTGAATTTGACTCACCTCGATGTCATCGTTGATAGCTGTTCCTTGGACGTTATGGTCCATGTTCGGAGCAATCGCTCTACCAGGACATGGGCTTCGGGGATCTCCGCTCTGTATCCGCTCGGAAGTGTTCTCGTAGACATGTCTTCCAAGCAGATGGCGTCAAGACGCGAAATAAGCAGTCATGTGACGGCGTATAATAACACCAACAAAGCATTCCACTGGTAGATAATCATATTTTTACTGCTCCACCAGCTCTACTCGAGTTCAACCTGTCCATGGACTTTTCTCGCGATTCCGAAATCATGGGAACCCAAGCGGTATGACGGTCGAGATTGTCCTGGGCGCCATCTCCATCGTCATCCCCCTCGATGACCAGGCTTTGGGATCCTGGATTCGTACCCATGGCAGACGGGCTCTGTTCTTCACTCTGCTCATACGTACCCCAAACCTAAACTCGACGTGGATCATCTTCTCCAGCTGATCGTCTTTCTTGATTTCCTTGTGCTTGTAAAGTTCGGGACTGGGCTGGACTGTGGCGTATCTGTTGCGGTCACGTCTCTGCGGCGAGTTTGATGCTCGAGAAGATCTGCGGGGGAGATACCATGGACAAGTGGCGGGTGCGTTATGGCGCGTCCGTTGCCTCTGTGGTGACCAACACGCGCGGCAGCAAGGTCATTGTTAACGACTCAGATGGACATCAGCCAACTCTTAGGGTCGCCACTATCCTCTACCAGTTCCCGGTATCTTCCGCGGCAAAGTTGCTAGGCTAACACTCGTGCTTTCTAGCCAGATGATGGCTCTCGAACCCGGTTGCTCAGTGCGTTCTCTCCCTCTCGGATCTCCATCGAACCTGGCCACGGAGAAAACAGACCGGTGCTCAACTTGCGAGTGGGTGGGCACAGCCGCAGAACCCGCCCGTGTTCTGAGAAACCGAAGCGACCACTGCAAAGTCCAGTTGTCGCCCGTGCGGCGAAGCACGCCACCGACGGTCAGCGTGTTCCTCTGACTGCTCAATCTACCGATCTGGAATAGAATCAAAGGTGTATTTGACATCGATACATGCATCGCAAAGATCTAGTATTCAAAGTAGAGGCAGTCGCATGCGAGGATGCGGCACCGTTGGATGAGACAGCGCTGCATGCGATCATAGATGCAGATGCGACTGTGTTTGCGTTCGAGGAGACCACGGCGTTCGTGGGCGACCCTGACCCAGCCAATCCAGCCGAACCGATTCCAAGGCCCCACTGAATGCGCTGTTCGCGGTAGTCACAACGGAGGCTGCCGCCGCAGTGTTGCTCGCAGGGCTGACGATGGGACTGCAAAACGGCCTCTCCACTCCCTTCGCTGTATTCGAAGACGACAACGTCACTGGATGCGACGGAGATCACGAAGCCACATTGCTGGGAACTGAACGACTGTACTGGTGCGCGCCGAAAGAACAGACGTTGAATCATATAAAAGCGAGTCAGTGGCGTTACAAAGAACGGAGGCGACGTCGCGGCAGCCGACGGAAACAATTGACGGCACAGTGTTGGAAATCGAGCTCGCTGCACTGGACGAGGAGTAGAGAATCAAGGACTTGTCACAAAGAATGGATTCACCCGCACTCGAGAAATTAACGCTGCATCGCTGCAGCCGGAAGAGATAGCACAGGCCACATCACTCGGGGTTAGTCGAGCGTCGCTGGAGAACGCCGCAAGAATCGAAGCGACATTGGATGGAATAGACCCGACAGTACTCGAGAGGTTTGATGGCGAACCGCACCCGCTCGCTCGGCTTGAAAGGCTTTCACCCATCTCAAAAACATCCAACGCCGCAAGCCAGTACGCTGTCGCGTCCGCGGGCTCTTTGGGCAGGACGATCGACGCGTCCTGAGCTACGAGGTTCCCCATGATAAATAGTGCTGTGCCAAGCAGCGCGGGGAACGCCGTCGGAGACTCGCGGGACTCGCTGTGTGGCTGTCAGCGACGCGATTAGTTTCAACCTATGCTTCCCAGCTCACCATCTTTCTGGGGTCAAGTTCACAGGTGAGCTGGATAGATATTCGGGAGTGCGGGAGCCAGGTGCTGCGATGACGAGCAAGGGATCTTTGTATAAATCCAGAAATCGATGGCACTCGTCTAGCACACCACGTAGCAACGAAAGCGTTTCATCGACACTGTCGGCTGCAGGAGCTCAACAATGCGGTTCAAGGAGCCAGGGAATGTCAAACACACACTCGTACCGCTCGATGGCGGTAGCAAACGATTTCTTGAGCCGATCCCAGATAGTGAGGGTTTCAGGTTTTGCAACAGCGTTGGATGAGTCCGTGTCCTCGTCTTCGTCGTACGAGTGATTCGAGGGCTCGGGGGTGCACTCGATAATACAGTACCCTACGTCATCGCTGGCGCTATTAAGTCGCTGGCGCTTAGCGGGCGGATGGTCGTTCAGATTCAAGTCCTCTCGGAGTTCAGAAGTCTCGCGGTCCTTCCACAATCCGCAGGGGCAGATGGGCGTTGGTGTGTCAGGGGTGGACATGGTCAAGGAGGGGAATCTGAGAAGCAATGGACGATTGAAGCGATGTTTTTATTTCTCTGGGGGTTCAAAAGCCACGGAGATTCTAGGCGCAGCGGGCTTGGACCTGGACAGCCAATGGCCGGCGGCCAATGAAGGTGAGCATCGTATGAAAGAGATTGGATGGACCAATCGGATTGCGGTCTGGAACTCCATACTCAGCGACTCGGGCCAGTCAGAATCAAGACTCGTTTCCTGTCGCGTTATGACTTTCACGACCCAAGCACTCAGCAAAAATGTATATGATGCTTCCAAAGACGACATAACCGAGGTTTCCTGTGTTTTTTATGTCCGTGCTTCAATGCAGAGGACATGGGACATTATTTGTGTGACGCACATCGACGAGCCCGAAACCTGTTTGCCATTGGCCAGCATAGCTTGTATTAACTTGGTGACCCAGCGGTCCAGTCGGGGATAGATCTAGCCAGTCTATCCGGCCCAATCCTAGCTCGAAGACGCCAGAGAGTCATCACTGAGGGAAGCCCAGAACACGAGCGCCACCCGCGCTATCAGGTCTGAGTACCGACGATGTCTGTCGAGACTTGTAGAGGCTCCACGTTCCAGAACGTACGGACTGTAGGCTGATGACCGGGAGCCAATGCATTGCTTGCCGCGTTGCCTCCACAGACAGACATCATGGTGACCCATGAGTCCTGCATCCACTCTTTATGATAGTTTGAGCTATGTTCCTTCCGAGTATCGAGGCCACCTGCAGATAGGATCAACACTTGGGTCGTCCACTCCAGTGTTGAGGAATGTCAGTCGCTTGGCCGGCCGTGAGATTGAGAGCGCGAAATGGATAGGTCACATCCGTCTTACGTGAACCAAACCGTCTGAACCTGAACCGTGGTTCAGGTTCGGGCTTAGCCCCGAACCGAACCAAACTCTGACCACTAATACTCAGTTCGCAAATCTGGAGCAGAATAAAACGTGTATTTGATATCAACACATACATTGCGAGGATCTAGTATACAAATGGACGATGCTACTACATACATGACACTGCTACGATCCAAGTCCACCAGCCAAGATCCTCACAAGCTCTGGACGGCAGCCTGGAAGTGCGCCCACGCGGTAGCCGATGTCTGCGGCCACAGGAGGTGCAGCTGCCGGACGCTCTCGAGCAGCGTGAGCACGCTCGGGCGGATCTGCTCCTCCATGTCGTCGACGTTCACCTGCGAGCCCAGCAGCGCCACCTGGCGCGCGACGGTGTTGATCGTGGCGAAGAGCACGAGCGCGCGCGGCGCGTCGGGCGCGGAGCCGAGTATGTCCTTGTACGCCTGGATGTAGATCGCGACGAGGTCGAGCTCGTTCGCGAACAGCACGACGTCCGTCACGGCTGTGTTGATCGTGTTGGCCTGCGGATCGAGTGAGCCGGGGGGTTTAAGGAAGTAAGGAAGAGAGAGACGCACCACTGTATCGCTTAGCACCAGCGGACCCGGGGCAAAGACATGCAGCACGTCGATCAGCGCCGTGAGCGAGCCGATCAGGTCGCTGCCGGCCTTGTTGGCGGCGATCAGCGCGTCGTCGAGAGCGCCCGTGGCGCTGGCGGCGGCTGAGCTCGTCGGGCTGGCGGACGCCGACGCAGGCGAGGATGAGACAGCGCTGGATGCGATGGTGACAGATGCCGATGCGGCAGCGTTTGCATTAGAGTACACGCCCGATGCAGCAGCACTCGACGAGCCGCCATAGACGGCCGTGGTGACCACCGCCGGCACGACGCCGCCGACACCGCCTCCATAGACACCACCAACCGCAGACTGAGACGCAGACGCCGCCCCGGAGACCGAAGCACCGGCCGCGGCCGAGGCAGAGGGCCCAACGACCGACCCGCCGTAGATGAGTTGCGTCGCAGCAGGCAAGGCAGCTGGCGAGCCGGAGGCCATCGCATTGGCTTTCTGGTTGCTGTTGCTGTTGCTGTTGCTGCTGCCGAAGATGTGGGTGATCTGCGACGCGAGCACAGCCGCAGCGGACGATGCGCTCGAGACGGGGATCACGCTCGATGCTCGGGACGCGGCTGCTGAGGCAGCGACGGGGCTGCTCGTCACGACGGACGGTAGAGGAGTCGATGCGACGTTGGCATTGGCCGCGGAGAGGATGCTGCTGACGACGGAAGCGACGTTAGCGGCGGAAGCGCTCGCGGCTAGAACGAGCGAGAGTCAGTCACCACTTGTCTTTTTCGAGAGTGGAAACACGACACGCACCTCCAGATCTTGCGGCCGACGCAAGAACACCACTCAACACACTGTTGGAAGATGCCACGACGGACGCAGCCGAGACGACGGCGCTCGTCGGCGATCCCGATCCCGCCAGTCCACCTGTAGCCGACGCCAAGACACCACTCAACATGCTGCTCGCGGGACTGACGATGCGCGTCTGCGACGCAAGCACTCCGCTCAAACCGCTGCTGACCGAGACGGCGTTACTCGCAACTGAGGCCGGGGCGTTGACACTGCTCTGGGACGCAAGAACCGCACTGAAGACGCTGTTCACGGAGGCGACGACGGACGCAGCCGATGCGACGTTATTGCTCGGGAGGACAGCGGCTGCCGCACTGGCACTGGCGAGCACACTGCTGACTGCGCTGCCAGGTGCGACCGTGGCGGAGGCGGCCACTCCACTCAAGACGCTGTTGGCCGAGTTGGCGGCTGACACGGCCGACGCGACGTTGTTGGGCAGCCCGCCGGCAGCGCTGGACAGAGCTGAAAGGACGGATGCCAGGTTGCTGTTCGCTGCGCTGGCGATGGACTGGACGTTGCTCGGAGCCGCCGATGCGCTGGGGCCTACAAAGACGGAAGATAAATAATCACTGTGGCTCCAGATCGCGATGAACTCACCGTTGGATGCAATCACACCACTTGGGACTCCGCCAGCTGCAGTACTCGAAAGAGCAGAGAGAATTGACGCGACATTACTGGGAATGGAGCCAGCAGCACTCGACACGATTGACGGAAGCGCAGACGAGGCGGCGGATGCGGGGACACTGGTCGCCGCCGGGACGAATCCAGCCGCACTCGAGAGCGCGGAAAGGATGGAGATGACATCAGACGGGAGCGAGCCAGCCGCACTCGAGGCAACGGATCCAGACAGGCTGCTGGGAAGAGCACTCGACGACAACGCGGAAAGGACCGACCCCACCCCGCTGGGTGCCGAGCCAGCGGCACTAGAGACAGGAGCGACGACGCTGCTGCTGCTGGTGGAAACTCCGCCAGGGAGAATACTCGACATCGCAGACAGAATCGACGCAACAGCGCTTGGGAGGGATCCAGCCCCGTCACTGGGGACCGGACCGGCGGCACTCGAGATGGCGGGCTGCGCATTGCTGGTACTGGGCAAGGCACCGGCAGCACTGGAGAGCACCGATGCTGATCCGGCAGTCGCAGAAGCAAGAATACCACTCGCGTCTGTGGAGAAGAGGAGATCAGAACGAACATCTCACACGATCAAGCTCGGCATCACGCACCACTGGCAATCACTGATGCGACATCACTCGGCAAGGATCCCGCCGCACTGGAGAGCGCCGACAAAATCGACGCGACGTCGCTGGGCGGCGAGCTGGGCGCACTGGACAGGGCCGACGCGGAAGCGCTTGGCAGACCCCCGGCGGCGCTCGACAGCACGGACAAGATCGCAGAGACGTCGGAGGGAAGCGGCGCAGCGGCAGATTGGACAGCGCTAGAGAGGGCTGGGCTGGGAAGAAGAGACGCGGCAGTGCTCGACAGTTGCGTGAAGACGAACGGGATCCTGGACGGGACAGCTGCGCTGACTAAACGACGTGTCAGCGCGAATGCAGAGACGGGAAAACCAATCGAGAAACGCACCACTCGTGGCAGACGCGACGACTCCACTCAGAACAGACTCTGCTCCACTCGGCACAGCTCCAGCAGGGGAAAGCGCCGAGGCAACGTCCGACGGCACAGCCGACGCAGCAGCACCACTCGACACAGCGCCCACGGCACTCGACAACGCCGAAAGAATGGACGCAACGTCTGATGGCACAGCAGACGCGACCGACTGCACGTTGCTGGTCAGAGCGGCGGAGACAAACGAGCTGGCAGCTGAGGCCACGTCGCTGGGGATGGCACCAGCCGCGCTGGACAATGCAGAAAGAATCGAAGCAACATCGGAGGGCACAGAAGATGCGACGGCCGATTGGGCACCGCTAGGCAAGACGGAGGCGATCGAAGAGATGTCCGAGGGCACGCCGGATGCGGCAGCAACACTCGACAAGGCGGATAGAAGCGATGCCACGTCTGAAGGGAGAGCCGACGCAGGGCCACTAGAAAGGGGCGATGCGATGGATCCCAGGTCGCTCGTCGCACTGGCCAAGATCGATGCGACGCTCGTCGGGACTAAAAAGAGCGCAGATCAGATCAAGTGAAATCGGCAGCAGCAGCAGCCAAAGGCCAACACACCTGCAGAAACGATAGACCCTAGACCACTCGTGGCAGACGCGACGATCCCGCTCAACACAGACTCGGCACCGCTCGGCACAGAACCAGCCGCGCTCGACAGGGCCGAAAGGACCGAAGCGACATCCGGGGGGAGGGCCGAAGCAGAGGATGGCATGGCAGAGACGACGGATCCAAGATCGCTCGTGATTGACGCCACGGTACCACCCGCGGCGCTCGACAACGCGGAGAGAACCGACGCGACATCAGAGGGAAGCGGAGCCCCGGCACTCGAAAGAATCGACGCAGCATCGCTGGAGGCGCCGGAGATCGCCGAAACGACATCGCTGGGGACCGAACCAGCTGCACTCGAGAGCGCCGAAAGGACGGACGCCACATCAGAGGGAAGAGACCCGGCAGCACTCGAAACGACGTCGCTGGGAACGGCGGAGGCCACTGAAGGCACGGCGCTGGACAGAGCCGAGAGGATGGAGGCGACATCCGACGGAAGAGATCCAGCTGCGCTAGAAACGATCGACGCAACACCACTCGAGGCGGCGGCGGACACGACAGACGCAACATTACTGGGCGAGGAACCGATGACGCTCGTGGCTGACGAGACCACCCCGCTCAGGCCAGATGCGACATCACTGGGCAGCGATCCTGCCGCACTGAAAAGCGCCGACAAGATAGAGGCGACGTCAGACGGAACAGATGCGCCAGCGCTTGACAAAACGGAAGCCACGTCGCTGGGCGCAGCAGAGGCGACCGATGCAACATCGCTCGGGACCGACGCTACCGCAGAGAGAATCGACGCGACATCCGAGGGCAGAGAGCCACCGGCACTAGACAGAACGGACGCGACGTCGCTGGGAACTGAGAAAGTGTAAGTGTCCGACGACACAATGGAATGGAAAGCGGAAAGCTTACCAGCTGACGCAAGCGAGGCGGCATCACTAGGCACCGAGCCAGCCGCGCTGGACAGAGCCGACAAGATCGAGGCCACGTCCGAAGGCAGTGATCCAGCTGCACCAGACAACATCGAGGCGGCATCGCTAGGCGCGGCAGACAACACCGAAACGACATCGCTGGATGCGGCCGAGACGATAGACACGACATCACTCGGAACCGAGCCAGCTGCGCTGGACAGAGCCGACAGGACCGAGGCGACGTCAGAGGGAAGAGAGCCTGCGGCGCTGGACACTACGGAAGCGGCATCGCTCGGCGCAGCCGAGATGACAGACGCGACATCGCTGGTGGGGACGCCTGATACGATCGACGCGATATCGCTCGGAGCTGATAAGCAAGAAAGTCAGCTCCCACTGTCTTGTGAGTGAGAGGAACAGAGCAGAGACACACCGGCCGAAACCACCGAGGCAGCATCACTGGACAAAGCGGAGAGAATCGAGGACGCGTCGGAGGGGAGGGATCCAGCTGCGCTCGCAACATCGCTGGGGGCAGCCGAGACAACAGAGGCCGCATTGCTCGGGACTGATCCAGCCGCACTAGAAAGCGCCGACAGAATCGAGGCGACATCGGAAGGGAGGGACCCAACGGCGCTCGAGGTGACTGACGCTGCTACATCGCTGGGCAGAGATCCGCCGACACTGGTGGCCGACGCGAGAACGCCACTGATGGCACCCGAGGCGACACCACTGGGCACAGACCCCGCAGCGCTGGAAAGCGCAGACAAAATGGAGCCGACGTCTGATGGAAGCGGTCCCCCGGCGCTGGACAGAACCGAAGCAGCGTCACTGGGCGCGGCTGAGATGACGACCGAGGCAGCATCGCTGGGGACGGCAGGAGAGACAACGTCGCTGGCGGCCGCTCCAGCTGCGCTAGAGAGCGCCGACAGGATGGACGCGACGTCCGATGGAAGCGTTCCGGCGGCACTCGAAACAAGCGGGGCAGCCGTGGTGATAGAAGCCACATCTAGGAAATGTTAATACTATGTAAAGAACGTCTGGAGCGAAAGCAACACACCTGCTGAAACAACCGAAACCGCATCACTGGGCAATGATCCCGCATCACTAGACACGGCCGACAGAACGGAGGCGGCATCAGAAGCCAGAGATCCTACGGCGGTGGACAACACCGACGCAACATCGCTGGGGGCTGCGGATGCAACAACATCACTGGGGACCGAACCGGCCGCACTGGATAGAGCAGACAGGATAGACGCCACATCCGAGGGCAGAGACCCCGCCGCGCTCGAGAGGATCGACGCGACGTCGCTGGGCGCGGCAGGAATGACGGAGGCCACATCGCTAGGGAGAGCAGTCACTGGAGAGGCCACATCGCTGGAAAGCGCTGCAATGACGGAAGCCACGTCCGATGGGAGGGACCCCGCAGCACTGGATGCCACGTCGCTGGGGGCGGCCGAGATCACAGACGCGACATCACTCGGGAGGGATCCGGCGGCACTGGACAGGGCCGACAAGATCGAAGCGACATCGCTGGGCAAAGGACCCGCAGCGCTCGAGAGAACAGACGCGGCAGCAGACACGATAGAACCTGCATCCGAGGCGACGGCACCGACAGGGACTGCAAGGAAGATTTAAGCAGCAGGCTCGTGTGCAGGGACAGCGCAGGCAAACTCACCATCACTGGGCAGAGATCCAGCTGCACTCGACAAGGCTGATAGAGCGGAGGCGACGTCGCTGGGGAGGGCACCGACATCGCTCGACACGACGACACTCGGGGCAGCAGAGACGAGGGAAGCCAGGTCGCTGGTAGCGGATGCGACAACGCCGCTGAGCACAGACTCCGCACCGCTCGGGACGGATCCGACCGCACTGGACAGAGCAGAGGCGACGTCGCTGGGTGCAGCGGAGATAGCCGAGGCGATATCACTAGGAGCAGCGGACACAACCGAAGCTACATCGCTAGAGACAGCGCCAGCAGCGCTGGACAACGCAGAGAGGATGGACGCGACATCAGACGGCAACGCATCTCCCGCGCTGGACAACACCGAAGCCACATCGCTGGGCGCTGCGGAGATAATCGACGCAATGTCGCTCGGTACCGCAGAAACGATCGAGCTGGGAGCTGCAGCGAGATCATCAGCACCGGAAAGCACGCCAATGGGAAGCAGCCAAACGCACCTGCAGACACAACAGAAGCAACGTCACTCGGAAGCGAGCCCGCAGCGCTGGAAAGGGCCGCAAGGATGGACGCGACATCTGAAGGAAGGGATCCTGCCGCACTCGAGAGGATAGATGCCACATCGCTGGGGGCCGCGGAGATCACCGAGGCAACGTCGCTGGGAACAGCAGAGACGACCGATGCAGCATCACTCGGGACCGACGCTGCCGCAGAGAGAATCGACGCGACATCAGACGGCAGAGAACCACCGGCACTGGACAGAACGGACGCGGCATCACTTGAAACTGAGAAAGAGTGAGTGTCCGAACACCTGATGAGAGAGGAAGCAGGAAGCTGACCGACTGAGGCAACTGGACTCGGAACTGAGTCGGCTGCGCTGGATACAGCAGACAAGATCGCGGCCACGTCCGACGGAAGTGATCCAGCTGCACTAGACAACACCGAGGCGGCATCACTGGGCACGGCGGACAGTATCGAAACAACATCGCTGGGCCCGGCCGAGACGACAGACACGGCATCACTTGGAACCGAGCCAGCCGCGCTGGACAGAGCCGACAGGATCGAGGCGGCACCCGAAGGAAGGCTTCCAGCTGCACTGGACAACATCGAGGCGACATCGCTGGGGGCGGCGGAAACAACCGACGCAGCATCGCTAGGGACTGTGCCGACTGCACCGAACAGCGCGGAAAGTATCGAAGCGACGTCCGACGGAAGGGATCCAGCAGCACTAGAGAGACTGGATGCGACGTCACTGGGGGCAGCCGAAAGGATAGAGGCGGCGTCACTCGGAACGGCGGATGCGATCGAGGCAACATCGCTGGGCACTGAGCGAGATGTCAGTCCTTGTAGGTCTTGATAGAAGAGGACACCACGCACCAGCTGTGATCACTGAGGCGACATCACTAGGAACTGATCCCGCGGCATTCGACAACGCAGAGAGGATGGACGCAACATCCGACGGAAGCGATCCAGCAGCACTCGAAACAATCGACGCAACGTCGCTAGGGGCGGCCGAGATGACAGACGCGGCATCACTCGGTAAGGAGCCGAGAGCGCTGGTGGCCGACGCGACAACCCCACTGACATCCGATGCAGCGACGTCACTAGGCAATGATCCCGCGCCGGTCGAGAGGGCCGACAGAACCGAGGCGGCGTCGCTGGGCACAGCAGAGACGATCGACGCCACTTCGCTGGGTGCCGAACCCGCTGCACTCGACAAGGCCGAAAGAATCGAAGCCACGTCCGACGGCAGAGATCCTGCAGCGCTCGACAGAGCAGAGGCGGCATCGCTTGGAACAGCAGATACGATCGAAGCGACGACATCACTGGGGGCTGCAACGAGACAGAGTCAGCTCCCCCAGAGTGTCAGAGAGTAATAAGCGGAGACACACCAGCTGAGATCATCGAGACGGCATCGCTTGGCAAGGATCCCGCAGCGTTCGACAAAGCAGAGAGGATGGACGCAACGTCCGACGGGAGGGATCCAGCTGCGCTAGAGAGGACCGAGGCGACATCGCTCGGGGCGGCCGAAACGACGGAAACCACGTCGCTCGGCACCGAACCAAGAACGCTCGTGGCCGACGCAGCAATCGCACCAACATCAGACACAGCATCACTAGGTGAAGATCCGGCAGTGTCAAGGAGGGCCGATAAGATGGAGGCGACGTCGGAGGGGAGCGAACCCGCAGCGCTGGACAGAACAGACGCGACATCACTCGGGGCGGCAGAAACGACGGAGGCCAGATCGCTGGAAACTGACGCCAAGACTCCGCTGACGTCGCTGGAAATCGCACCAACCGCACTGGAGGCCACCGAAGCGATCGATCCGGCATCGCTCGAGACTGGACCGAGATAAGCATGAATCCCCAAAGATACGCAGACGATCACGCACCAGCACCGAGAACACTGGAAGCACCCGAAGCAATAACACCTGCTTCGCTCGTTGCCGACGCCACAACGCCACCCACAACACTCGTCGCCGACGCTACGATACCTGAGAGCGAGGGCAGACCCGACGGAAGCACGACGCTACCACTAGCAACAGACGCCGCATCGCTTGTCAAACTGGCGATCACGCCTGCGGGGAGCGAAGCAGCGGAGGCAGCAGCACTGTCGACGGCGGACACAGCCGACGGAATCGCCGACTCCACGGCGGAGACAAGCTATACCACAAGGTGAGCAACGAGCAGCTGAAATTCGAGAGAGCTGCGGGACGCACGCTGGCCGGCGCACCGCCGTTCACAACATCCGAGACGACCGACGACACAGCAGACACGATCCCGCCCACGAACGCAGCCAGCCCTCCACCAGACGGAGCCAGCGGTGCCGCAGTCGCCGACGCGCTGGCACCATTGCCGGGCAGAACATCAGAAACGACGGTGGGATCCACGGCACCGCTGGGCACAGCAACGATGCTCGACAGAACCGCTGCTACGTCGCTAGCAACCACGGAGGAGTCGGCGAGGACACTCGAGGAGACTGGGTCGGCGGCGGAAAGAAGGCTGGATGCAGCAGGCTGGGCACTGGACAGCAGACTGTTGGTGTCACCAGCGAGACTGGAGGCGGCCGAAGAAGCACCACCGAGAATACTGGAGATGAGGGACTCGACAGATCCGACTGCATTCGAAGCGGCGGGGTCGGCAGCGGAGACGGCGCTTGAGGCGGCAGCCAGGACACCAGAAAAGATGGGATCGGCCTGGGAGACGACGGCGGATGCAGCTGGAGGGACGCCGTTCAGGATGCTCGAAACGGAAGACTCGATGGCAGCAGCGACGCTAGGAGCGAGCGTGACGGCTTTGGAGAAATCAGACGGAGAACAAAGAAGGCTAGTGAGGAACACGCACCACCTGCAGCGACACTAGGGGCTGTTCCTCCCAATATACTTGAGACCGCAGATTCTACAGCAGAGACGACAGCCGGCACATCTGACACCGCGCTCGAAACAATTGGATCGACCTGAGAGACGACGGCAGAGGGGGCACCCGGCGCACCACCTAGAATGGTTGACACCACAGATTCGACAGCAGAGATAGCCACCGTGACACTGGAAGCTGCGCTAGGAACGGCCGCGAGGATGCTGGAAACGATGGGGTCCACCTGAGAAATCGCAGCAGAGGGAACAGTCGTAGCGCCAGCGAGGATGCTCGAAACTGCTGACTCGACAGCGGAGACAACGCTAGGGACAGGTGCAACCACTTCAAGGCAAATAAGACTAGTAGCAGAGATGTGAAAACGGGACACTCACCGCTCGAGGCAGCACTGGACACAGCCTGGCCCAAGAGACTCGACACGGCGGACTCGACAGCAGACACTACAACCGGAACATTGGAAGCCGCACTGGGAACACCAGCGACAATGCTCGAGACGATGGGATCGACCTGGGAGATGACGCCGGATGCAGCTGGCGGAACGTTGCCTAGGATGCTGGAAACCGCAGACTGGACCGCTGAAATCACCACTGGAACTTCGGAAACGGCGCTGGGCAACACGGCGGCAACACTCGAAAGCGCAGGGTTGACGACAGATGTGACTAGATGAGATAAGATTAGATACGCCAGATGAAGAAGAACGAGGGATGCTGACCACTGGGAACAACCACAATGACGCTCGACGCAGCGGGGTTGGCTGCAGAAAACACACTGATGGCACTGGAAACGGCTATATTGGCAGCGGAAACAGCTAGAGGGATATGATAAACGCCCCAGCAAAAATGAAACGAGGGAGATAAGACACACCAGTGGGAACCACAGCAAGCACGCTCGACGCAGCCGAGTCGACAGCCGAAACAGCACTGGGGACAGAGCCGACGACACTCGAAACGGCTACAAGAAACCCACGTCAACTGGTAATACCATGAGCAAAACGCGAACAACATACCACTTGGAACAGATGCAGCAGCACTCGACACTAGAGGGTTTGCACCAGCCAGGACAGAGGAGACGACATTCTGGATTTGTGCCACGAAGCCGACGATGCCTTGTCCGTTACCGCTCGACGGGACGGAGGCCGATGCGGAGACAGCCACTGACGCCGAGACAGCCGCTGACGCGGAGACAATGGGGGCCGCTGATGCCGAGGACGCAACCGCAATCGCAGAGGACGACGCAGCCGGCGCAGAGGAGGATACCGACGCAAAGAGGAGGCTCGAGACGGCAGGCACCACTCCATTCGCTCCGAAGCTATCCAAAGCGCCGTTGCCGGACACACAGTTACCGTTCGGGCAACCCGAAGAAGAAGAAGCGGCAGCAGACGACGACCGAGCAGCTGCGACGACCAAGGACGACTGAACGACGGCGGGGGCGGGGGCGGCAGAGGAGGATTGAACAACAGCACTGGAAGACTGAACCGGGATTGCCGAAGTCGAAGTCGAAGAGGCGAACAGTGCGCTCGAAATCGCTGAAAGGACACCACCGCCACCGACGGCATTGGCGACGCCACCACCACTGACACAGTTGCCGTTCGGGCAGGTCGCCGAGGAAGGCACGGCCACAGACGACGATGGAACGAGCGCAGCAGCAGCAGCAGCAGCAGCAGACGAAGACTGAACGACCGCGGAAGCACTTGAGACAGGGGCAAAAGCGGAAGCGGAGGAAGATGCGACAGGGGCCGAAGATGAGGACGCGACAACAGCAGCAGCAGCGGCAGATGAAGACGACCGGACTACCGAGGACCCAGCAGCCACCACCACCGGAGCAGACAAAGCGGCAGGAGATGCTGACGAAGACGCAAACAACACAGAGGAAAGCGCTGGAGCAGCCCCGCTGAGACCCGCGGCGTTGGCGACACCGTTACCCGACACACAGTTGCCGTTGGGACAAGCCGAGGACGACGACGACGGACTGGCTGCGACAGCAGCGGGCACCGCGCTACTCGACTGAGATCCACCGCCGACAGCGGCATTGAGCGCATCGCCGATACCACGCTTGACTGGAGAGGCTGAGATCGGTGCGGAGAGGGAGAGGAGGAGGATATGGAGGAGGAGGGAGTTCTTTTGGCTCGTCATCTTCGTTAACAATTCTGCAGGTCGGGAGCGGCGTCAGTCTCAGAAGCGGCAGATCAGTCGGGGGGACGCCGCACCGTAGGAGCTTTCTCTATCAAAGCTCGTTCGTAAACACCGGTCAAATCAACAAAGCAGATGGAAGCAAAATGCAGTGCTCGTGAACTCGTGAGAGGTCGTGAATATGGATGTCAAGAGACAACGCGGGGAGGGGGATCCAGAACGCGGAGCGGTGCTTAAGTAGGCGCGGCTAAGTGAAACCAGCCTCCATATTTTGGCCGACTGACTCGTGCTGCTCGAGCTGCATCTGTGAGACATGCATATCCGCGGAGAGTATGATGGTATGCTCGGTAGAGCGTAGGCACCGTATGAAGAACAGAAAGAACGCCGGACAAGACCCAAGAGTCGCAGCCTATGAAATGTCCCAAACCTCACGAATAATAGTGATCCAGGTGAGCTTCACAGGAACACAGAGATAATGCAAGGTCTCAGACAGCCGCCGATCGCGACTGAGCATCGCAGTCCGCTAAGGCAGAAAATCTGTGTTGTTGGGACAGGAAAGACATGCAGGGTTGACCAAATGAACACAAACAAAGAATGTGGAAGCGGGGACGTAAGTAGCAGGGATTACTTTCTGTAGATTAAAATACACTACTTACACATACATATGTTGTCTATGAACAGCTACTATCTAAACAGACAAGCGTACAAATCTGGACTCTCCCGCAGCCTTTTTGACGCGATTCATGACTGCTAAACCCTCTCTTTCTTCGAGGACGGCCTCAATGAGGATAATGTCGACGCCATTACGCTCCAGAGTTAAGAGACCGTCAAAAAGACGCTGAGCCGCTTGCGCAGGGTCAGATGATGGCCCCAGTGAGAATCTCTCGAGATGCAGTTCGCCGGGGGGATGGCATAATCCCAGAGCGGAATCATCCTGCGCCAAGAGGCCCACTTTGACTGCCCGATCTGGCAATCGGAGCGATTTCCACAAAGCCTGCGCATCTTCCCACTCGCGGTCTTCCCGCCCGTCGCCCGACGTGTAGATCAGCTGCACTGGCACCGCAGGGGAATAGTGCCGATACTTCATCCCGGGTGTCGTCGGCGCGCTCTCGATCGCCTCGTCGGCGTAATCGCGTCGATGGACCAGAACCCGCGGCACCTCCTCCCCGCCCAGCTCCTCCTGCAGAACGCGCTCCAGGTCCTCAACCGTCACACCACCCGGCCGCAGCACGCGAATCGCGCCGTCCGGATGCAACCCGTCGACGACGGTGCTCTCCACCCCCACGCCGCACGCGCCACCGTCCAGGACGATCGCAACGCGCCCCTCGAGATCCCGCACGACGTGCTCCGCGCGCGTGGGGCTCGGCTTCCCAGAGGAGTTTGCGCTCGGCGCGGCGAGCGGCGCATCGGCGAGGGCGATGAGCGCGCGCGCGACGGGGTGCGACGGCATGCGGACCGCCACCGTCTTCTGGCCCGCGGTCACGATGGGCGGCACGATCTGCGCGTCGCACGGGAACAGCAGCGTCAGCGCGCCCGGCCAGAAGCGCTTCACCAGCGCCGCGTACGGCCGCGGCAGGGTGTAGCCGCGCGGCAGGAGCGTGCGCAGCATGGGCAGGGACGAGACGTGCACGATCAGCGGGTTGTCGGCCGGCCGGCCCTTCGTGGAGAATATCTTCGCCGCGGCGGATGCGTCGAGTGCGAGTGCGCCTAGTCCGTAGACCGTCTCGGTGGGGAACGCCACGCACTGGACGTTCCGCACGAGCTGGGCCGAGGCGGCTTCCAGTGCGCGCGCGGTGTCAGGGCAGGTGATGGTGGGAAGAGATACGGAGGCGGTAGAAGGTGGAAACGAAATCGATGACGGATCGCATTTGAGTACACGAGTGGTGAGCGCCATGGACTTCAGTCGCGCTCGAAGCATAAAAAAGTGAGATGGAATCAGATGACGCACATCACGCCGCATCGCCACCGACTGATCATTTTTTCACTCAACACCTACGATCCCAAAATGGTAACTATCAAAAATTGGAGATCTACTCTATATTCACGATATCAAAGCCATCTTCTCGTCCCACTGTAAATCTCCCGACCACTCAATAATTCGATCCTCTCCCAAGATCGACATGTCCTGGACCTCCCGGAATGGCTTTCCAGCGCTTTCAATCGCATCTGTCTCTTCCGCGACTCGGTCCAACCAGTCACGTGCAACATCAACCTGGCTAGAAGTCATGTCTTGCTCCCGAAACGCCCAGATTGCGCGGTCGGTCCCGTGGGTCACATATCCTGTGCTTCGATGAGTAATTTGAGGACTAAAATTTGTCCAGAAACCTGCCTCCAGTACGCAGTTGCTCTGGTACCCATCGAATTTCATATCGTAAGAATGGAAATCCGGCCTGATGCAGGTCACGTGCCAAAACGCGAACCGGAACATGGACCTGGAGATCGCTTAGGATCTCTCCAAAACGCTTCTGCGCTTCAGAGCTGGTTGCTTCGTTGGGTAGCGGTTCGTATTTCTCCATCACCTCGTCCACGAAATCCTTCTCGAAGTACCGCTCCAGGTTGGGCGATATATCTCGTGCCGTTTGGACGGGGTGCGCAATCGAATAGAGGTACCATTCTTCGGTCAGATCCCCCACAATGATGCTTTTTATGCCTTTCTCGCGCAGGCGGCTGGCAAATTCCGGTGAGCGTTGCCATTCCATTGGCGAAGGACTGGACGGCAGCCAGGAACCGTCCATGCACGCGCGGAACGTGCCATATTTTGTGCCAAGAGCATCAGTCTCGATCGCCGCTGTGATTCGGGACGCAGGAACCGCGGACAGCTTGTCCAATGTATCGGACGCAGAAGGATCCAGTGCGAGTGCGTGGCACAGCGCCTCGAATTGAGGGCGCAGCTGCGCCGGTGTTCTAGGATCACAACTAATCGAAATTTCAGCTTCACATATCTAGTTGCAGAGCGAGTTTTGTACAGTATGGCGTTTGATTGGAGCGCAGCAGAGCTGAATGGCGCGGAGACTCCATCGGGAAGATGCGACGCGTGATGAAGAAGCTGATGGACAGAATGGGCACCTGTTTTGAAAACGTAAATTGTGTTGTGGCCTAAACCGTGCGGTGCATACCAGCGGAGAGTCCGGTGACTTGAATTTTCTGTGGATCGCCTGTGGTATAATGGGTTTGAACCGCGCGCGAACTAACTTGCAAACGGACCTCCAAAAGACTGGATATTTTCCTTGATCCAGAGCAGTGCCAGCCACTGATCCTTGAAACCGAAATTACCAGCGATAGCCGGCTTGTCCGAGGCCAGAAAACCAAATGCAGACAGCCGATATCCGATATTTACCCATACTTCGTTCCGCTCAGCTGCAATGAACTGAGCCTGACCCTTGAGCCCGTGCGGGGATCCGAATTGCAAGAAGCTCACGACCATGAGCACGAAGATGAACTCATCCAAACAAAAAAAAATGAAATCACCCCCCGTGGATATAGACCTTGACCGGAAACGCCTTCTTCTCTGGGAACGCAGGCGGCGATACGATGTTCAGAAACAGCCTCAGGGAAACTGAGAGGCTGAAAATGGATGCGAGGGGGGTGGCACCTACGCATTTTCGGTCGGTTCTCCAAATCCAACCTTATCTTGGAACGGCGTGTCTGCGACCGACAGTCAGTTATGAGCACCACAGGGGGAGATCGGAGTGCGTCGAGGATCCCTACCGCGTGCCTGGCCGTCGTTGTGGGGCTGAATCGCGTCTGATCGCGGACGTCAGTGGATGCGTTATCGATAAGGCAGAGGGGGCGTCGCGCACAGGCCGACTCGGTGGTATACTCGCGATCGGCGTAGCGATAGCCGGACGGGAGCGGCTGCGCATCCTGGAATCGCGCGGGCGGCTGTGCGTAGGGCACCTCTGCGCAGATCAGAGGCTCAGTGCCGCCGCGACATCGGATATCCGGCTAGATACGACTCACCGAGAAACACCGCGCTCCCGTTGGCGGCACGAGCGCCTGTGATCGGCCCGTACTGGGTGTCCAGCCGGACGCGCGGACTGTCCTGGAGTTCGTCGTGGAGATGCGGCGACTACCGTTCTCTGGCAGGGTCAAGGTCTGGAAGACATCGGCCGATCACGGAAAGGTGATGGGGTCCAGGTGTGATGCGTGACTCCGACGCTTATGAGGGCTTGCTTACTCCCCAGCAGCGCGCCCACATTGATGACTTTCATCGCAACGTGAGGGTCAGACGCGTCGGCGCGTCGCGCCAAAAGACTAGCGATCAGACCACATTCATGTACTCAATAATGATTTTGTCGGTACACAAAAAACCCGCACTGGCACTGGCAGCAACCACAATATAGTCATACTCATATCTCGATCGACGATCTCTCAGGCACGCAGAGGGTCAAGGTATAGATAGTAAGCGGGTGATCAGCGCTTTCTGGTCCCGGTTTTGTCCTTTTCACCTTCGAGTCGGACTCCTACGTGTCATGGGGATCTGTAAGAAGTGCAGCAAAGACTTCCCTCGACTGGCTTCGGATGTGTGCAACCGTTGTCGGAAGGTCACACCCGATATGAACGCTCCTGACATACAGGCCCTTTTTGTACGTGTTGCTGTATGCTTCATAACGCATATTTGATCTCACTCTGGAAAGTCTATGGCGTTTTGTCAATCGTGCTCCACCATCTATACCCTGCTCCAGGAGCCGCTCTGTGCTAAATGCGTTACGGATCTCGGTACATCGTGGTTTGCCAGTCATCTGGAAGGCATTGACTCATGCACTGTACTTTAGCGGCTTCAGAAGACGTCCCGCGCTCGATTTTGGACATCCCTGGAGCCTTCGAGCAGGTCCAAAATCATCAAAGTGGGGAACCCATCTCAGCACAAGTTCGGGATCTTGCTGAGCACTATAAACAAACTGCGTCCGATGTTCGTTTAGGTAACAAGCCCCGCGTGATGAACACAAACCTTCAGCGCACTCGAAACGCGCAAGTTGCGCGTTCTGTGGGCACCACAACCATCCAGTCAAACACCACTGCTGCCATCACTGCTCTCACGGCTACAAAAGCAGCTGCAACCGTCCAAGCACAACGAGAAAAGGGAAAGAGAATTTATGTGGCATTCACTCTGGGAACGTTGGATCCTCAGAAGCCGAACAAGCAGATGTCAATGGTGCGTACTTATATAGCAGTCCACTAGCTGTGATCACGTTGGGTCGATTACTGACCGATGATTAGATTCCGACGACTCGATTGATGTATGACTTGGGGGCCCTTCCGACAGAACCGGTATTCAAGGTGTTTGGAGAGTGCCTCTCTCAGCTTAATGAGAGAATGAGAACGGATGCCACTTTCCCTTTTTGTGTTGATCTAACGAGGTAAGCACGAAGCTTAGTACGATCCTAATACCTCCTTCTGAACTGGTAACCTCAGAGAGCAAGTAACGTTTCACAGCGCGGAGAAAGCAAGTAATGTCTTTCAAATTGCCGACAGCAGAATTGTGGAGTCTACAATGGGACAGCTATTCACGTATCTTGAGCAATTCATGAGCAAGACTTCAGTGGACGCTCGAAGAGTGGAAATCCGGATTGTTGCATCAAAAGATCTTGTCGTATGTACTACTGCATCGTTCTGCTTCTCTCTCTCTCACTTGTGTACTAGTATGGAAGCGAGGACCACATCGAACACGGGATCGGGCCTGGTCTCAAGTCAAGTCGCCGAGCCGTGGCATCGAAGGTGACAAACAAGAGCACAACCGCCAGCACGGCCAGCATGGCCAGCACTGCCGCCCTGAGGACCTGGACACAGACGGTGGCTCAGTCCAGCCGCGAAACTCGATTCAGTCTATGGAGCATTGGCTCAAGGACACCACCCATACCAGTCCCCTTTCTGAGGCCGATGGCACCCGACCAGTTCACCAAACTCAAGTTCAGGCGTTACAAAGTATGTCGCACTGGCAGTATCATCAAGTTTCGACTGCCGGAGGCAGATACTCCCTTCGAAACAATCTCGGTTGCAGCGGATTGGAAAAGGGGGTCGCAGCTGTATCAGATAGGCGAAAAAAGCTTTCAGACAACTGGCTTCCTGGGCCGAGGCGCTTCCAAACATGGCATATACGTACGAGGCCTCTTCTGCATCAGCTATTTGTCCGTCACTGATATCTGCCATATGTAGGCTCGTCTCGGAAACAAGGAATACGCACTTACTCAGAGCTCCTGCGAAACGGGCGAGATCAGTGATTACAGCAATCTGTCCATGCTGACCGATGAGATGCAGAACTTGGAGCGCGGGAGTATGCTCCTCGCCGAGTTCCAGAAACTCGCTGCGGAGAAGAGAGTGAAACTACCACGTGAGCTCCCCACCTATCTGAATCGATTCTCAGATCCGCAGCTGACATTTGAATGTCAGAGATGGCATTCAACTCGACCGGAGCATTCATTGGGAGATTCGAGCCACTTGTTGAGGCGGATGCTCCATTTGACGATCCTTTGCCGTTCTTGGACTTTCTGGCAACGTCCTACCTCCCTGTTGGAACCGCTGAGGCAAAGATCGAGAAGTTCACTGGAGGCCATGATTGTGGAAGTCCGCCCGGTCCGAATGACACTGTTCTTGGGGCCCTCCATGCATTCACGCACTGGATGGTCCTCTACACCTCGCAGAACTTTGTTCTGACGGATCTACAAGGTGGGAAACGCTCTGCCTGCTCCCTATAAACCTTTCTAATGTCCCTTTACAGGCATGTATGATGCGAGACGGGTTCTGACGCTTCTAGATCCTCAATCCCATTCCTCGGAACGAGACCAGGAGAAGCGTCCCTTCTGGGATCTTGGTCCCAACGCAGTTGTGAATGTGCTTACACACCACCTTCGTGACTGCGACGACAACAGCTTCTGCAACAGGCTGGGACTCAAGTCGCTTGACTTTACATTCATCGACGATGACAACGGCTCTGAGTCTATCCGTCGATCTTTTGAGTCTGATGTAACTGTTTCACCGCGCACGTACAGACCTGCAAAGAAGGCGCGAACTGAGCATTCAGACCCGGAATCCGAAGAAGAGCCTCCTGCTCCGGCGCGTGGTCCCCTCCGTCACGGTCAGTCAGAAAACCATAAGTACGAGGTTGGACAGTCACTCATACTCGACATAGGATTCCCGCCAGAAGATTGATAGAATACATATCGAATTACTACACGGCTGAATACAATACTAGGCGTTGTCCCCATCATCATTGACACTGTCGTTGACTTGATTAGGGAGAAAGCGATGAGGAAAAAGCAGGATGAGCAACTGATCAAAGATAGCCCATCCGTTCTGCGATGTAACCTGAGAGTAACCCAACTGTTCGAGACCAAACTGAGCCATGTCTGCAAAGTCGGCGGTCGCAAAGCTGAGATGCTCATCTGCACCCAATCCGGCCTTGACTTCGGCAATAACATCCATGTCGATTGGCTGGAGCTGCTTGACACCCTTCCACAGCTCCGGGGTCATGTACGCATCAATGCGGGACATTCCCGATGGGCCGGGCTTGTCGTCTTGCTTCCTGATGCGAATTCCGTTTCGCAGGAGGACCCAGTTGTCGAGCTCGCGTTGAAGGATTCCAGACCACAGCCACCTGACAAGCTCGCTAGCATATGGTCAGTGATGTGCACAAGCTTTGAATTGGCTGCAACTGACACTTGGTCATCATCCTTATCGTCGTACGTCCCATCGTTGATCGCTTTTGTGAACAGCTCTGCCACATTATGACCCCAATCGTTTCGGAGTCTCAACCAGGTCCGCTCAACAGTGATGTTGTGTACGCTTCGAAGATATTGGTGGGCCTTGATGCCACGGTCGTCAAGCTCAGGAAAGTATATATCACTAGGGATAGCGTCAGTTAGAGGACAGCGGCGCTACAATCGTCTACTTGCCGAAGCGACTTGACAATGCCATACAACATGGTCGTCTCGGAGCCACAGTCTGTCGTTGTTGTTTTAGGAACTCCTGTGAAACCGTATCAGTATGCCGTTGCTCTGAATGGAAGAACAGTAGACCTTTGTATCTCTCGACGAGGTCAAGGAAGATCCATGCGATCACTGACCCCAGGCGGTTGTTGGGAAGCAAGTACGCGCCAAGGATGTACATCGTAGCTTCGTCAACCCACATGTATACTCCGAAGCCAAACTTGACGAGTTTGTCGTGTCCATCGGCAGACCAGCGGTGGTCAGGCCCGAGCAGCATTGGCTTGGGCACGCGTTCAATGACCTTGGCGGTGGGATCCCGTTTGAGAAAGCCTTCAGGACGGTGCACATGCATCCAATGATCAACCGTCTCTCTGAGAGAACAACATCAGTGTGCATACACTTGAGTATTGGGAAAACACAATCGCGCCGACAAATGATGGTTTCATCGTCAAAGGCAATTCGATGCCATATCGTATTCACGCCAGCCATGTCACTAGGGTCCTTGTTCAGCTGATCGAGCACGAGCTGCTCAACAGCCTCTGGTTCCATGGACTGCTCCGTAGTGGCACCGCCTGTAAAACCCCACTCCTTCCTTCGACGCTTGACAGTGGATTCACTACAGTCCAATGAGACAGCACATGACAGATTGAAAGTAAAAGACATACCTAGTGTGAATGTCAAACTGTGCGGCCAAGCGTCTTACCGCTTGCACGTTGCTGGTCTTCTTCTCCCGATGCAGTATACGCAGCGCGTCTTTCAGCCTGCGTTCCCATTCATCGTCTGCAAAGTTATCAGCCCATGCTAACAAGTGCCATGGATCATACCTCGCTGATGCTGGTTGTGTCCAGCTGGATTCCGGTTGTGCGAAGACATGCGGTGGGCAGCGCAGGAAGCGCACAGTCGCCTTGATGTTTTCGGAGCACGTGGGTCAGACGTCAATTGGGTAGTTTGATCATTGATACAGAGGCAGCAGACGGCAGTGGGTAGACGAAGAGCAGAGGAAAGACTGGATGCATAGCAACAGGGGTAGGGACAAGGGAGGTATTCGCGTTCGAAAACTACCACAAAGCGAGCAAAATCACTATATATAACATAGATTGAGACCAGGTCCCAGCGTCTGAAGCATTGCTCTCAGTCTCCGAGTCAAAGCTTGGAACGCACCAGCCATTAAGCCCTGCACGACCACCACTTCTCTATACGCATGTTTGTAGAAAAGACCAGAGCGTGAACAGTGATGATATGCATGTCTTGAGGTACACGCGCCAAACGTCGAGATTGTCGTTGCAAGGACTGTGGCTATCGGCTGGCCAGACTGTAGTGTCATTAAGAAAAGAATGCCAAAGAGCAATGAGGATAGACGTACCATTAAAAGTAAATAGACCATGTTCTTGGTCTTGGGCAGCGCGGTGGAAGTCTGTGGCCACGCCCTTTACACCGGTTTTGTCGTCGCCTTTCAGTCCCGGTACGTCGTTGTCGTCAGGCTCGGAGTTACTGTGGGTTGATTGCCTAAAGTGGATTGAGATTGTCACAGCGGAGAAAGTCGCTCATACGCACATACGGATGACGGAGTGGCTGGAAGGAAAAGTGTTCATGTGCAGAGCAGTGGACAAGTTCTACAGCCCGGTCCAGCGCACATGCCCTGGACACCAGGGAAAACGTAGTGTGTCGTAGGCTGCTCGTGATAGAACAGAAAGCCCTTCGATCGCAAATGAGGTGGAGTTGCTAAATTCAAATAGCGGACGCACCTCTCGTAGTCGCGACGGCCCCCATCGTATTCCTGGACAATCCAGCTGAGTCGGCCAAAACACAATCGGGAGACTCACCATCTATCCACCGCTCAATCCTGACCTGACGTAAAGCGAGTGGGAAACGCGCAGGACGCACCGGATAGTCTTGCACTCACACCCATAATCTCGGCAGTCATGCCCTGCTCTTCCCATACGTAAACAAACCCGGGAACGATAAGCCCTCGCTCCTCGCTGTCGAATCTCCAGGTGACCATGGGCAGAATGTCGAGTCCGATGATGTAAGCCACAGCTCAGAATCCTACTCGCGTCGTTTGTCTCCACCTCTTCCTCCAGCCCCAGTTGTCATGCCGAGTGTCAATTCCGATTTTCGTCTCTTCCTGAAGCGCTGGGACCGGGAATCAAACACACCGGCCAGTGGATTCGTAGTGAGGCGAAGGCGTAGGTGAAGGTAAGAGCGGAGGAGTGCGGCTGTGTCAACGTCGAAACGTCCAAAAATTTGATGCCGCAATCGACACTGCCACTGGCGAACCACTGGTGGTTCATGCACCTGGGCTCACGCGCTGACGTCGTGGGCCATGAAGAGCTCAAAGAGAAAGTGGCTTGAGTCCCAGAGGGAAGTGCGTCTTCAAGACCATCGCCGCTTCGGCCGCCGGCAACCCCAACGACTACGACCACGTCAGCAGGATGAGGAGCATAGTCACACAAATGTATGGCGGGGTGCCAGCCAAGACAAAGACCCCACATACTCAGCGATGCCATCGCTGATTTGCCTTATTCAGACCTTGACCCTGCCAGAGAACGGTAGGCGACATGTTTCGCGGTCGGTGGGGTCGAGTCGGTCTGCGTTCAAGCCTGGACTGTGATTCGGTGGGCGCAACAGGAAGCTTGGCGACAAAAATGCGGCCAGTGCACGGGGTTCTAGATCAATCTTCTTCCTTGGAAATCAGACCAGATGTGCTACGCGATGACATACTACTCGAGAAGCAGGGCATGAAGGGCATCAAGTATTCGGCATGTTGTCAAACTTTCGAGCGACAGCGGTGACGGTTCACTCAGGAGCTGCGAGCGATAGCGGGCCGCGGCTTGGTTGCAAACGATTGATAGTATACTTTGTTGTTATTTGTCTCTCGATCTCATTCGCTTTGGCCGATGTTCTCACCCGGCTATCTGGCCCAGTGCGATCTCACGAGTCTAGCAAGGAATCTGATCACCTCCCGCCTCTTCGATACCGCTGATCCCTATCATATGTCTTATCGCGAATTTCTCAAGGTCGTGGTGGCGCGTCTGCCTCATCGAGGCGATCCTGTTAAATCTCACTGCCGCCTTATCTCATCCCTGCCTTTCTTCTCGACTACCCTATGGACACTCCCCCAAAGTCAGAGAAGCTTGCCGCAGAGTCGGCATCCCTCGCGGAGCCGGTCGCGGCTGTCTACCCCGTCGATGACAATGCGAAGCTCGCCGAGCTGGGCTACCGCAGCGAGTTCAAGCGCGAGTTTTCGCTCTTGGAGACCTGTGCTTTCAGCTTCAGCATCATGGTACGCGACTTTTCAACAGCAGCAGCATTCCTGCGTTTCTCATGCATCCAATCCAGGGAATCGTGGCCTCGGTCTCGTCCACCTTGTCGTTTGGGCTCGTCAGTGGTGCGCAACGACTGCTTCACCCGACCCGAGAGAAAGCTGAACATGGTGATTGACAGGCGGTCACGTCGGGATGGTGTTCGGATGGCTCATTCCTTGCTTGTTCGTCGGGTTTGTGGCGTTGAGTATGGCTGAACTGGCTTCGTCGATGCCGTATGTCGTATCCTCATTGATTGGCTGTGGACGAAACTGACCGACTACCACGTCTCCGCCAGGACGAGTGCCGGACTGTACTACTTCTCGGCCAAGATGGCGCCCGAACGTTACGCGCCTTTGGCAAGCTGGATCACGGGTCCGTTTTTTTCTGCCGGAGTTTCGAGGGCCTGTTCTTGAACGTTTTGGGGCAGGCTGGGCCAACATCACGGGCCAAGTCACCCTCGTCTGCTCGATCGACTTCACCTGCGCCCAAATGATCACGACTGCCATCGCTGTCAGCTCCGACGGGGCGCACGTCCTGTCACTCGGCGCGACGTACGGCATCCTCGTCGCGATTCTCGTCTCCCACGGGCTGGTCTGCTCTGCGGCCACGAAGATCCTCGCGCGTTTGAACATCTTCTATGTCATTATCAACGGCGAGTCTGTACGTGGTTCCAAGCGCTTTTTGATCCTAGTATCCCGTATCAGTCGGTACTACGTTCGCGGCCATCATCGCGCTGCTGGTCGCGTCCGGCGGCAACAAGGTGTCCACTAAAGACGCCTTCACGTTGTTCGAGAACAACACGGGCTGGAGTAACAGTAAGCCCGATTTTTTGTTGGAGTAAGCACCATGACGGGCTGATTGCGTTCTAGACGGATGGGCTTTCATGCTGGCTTTCACAGCACCGATGTGGACCTTGACGGGCTGTGCGTATCCGACACGTGTTTACACTTAGCGTTTCTTGACATCCTGACAGATGACTCTGCGGCCCACATATCTGGTCCGATCACAGCACGTTTTGGCCGCTCTCCTGTTCTGATGCATCTCCACAGAAGAGACGACCAATGCTGGCCGTGCTGCTCCCATAGCCATTCTCGTACGCCGATGCTTATCCTTCACCCCGTCTAGCAGCTGACGAGGAGCAGGTTGGAGTCGCTGCCACGGCAAGTCTGGGCTGGATTCTTCTGATTGCCACGTCCTTTGTCATTCCTTCTGTCGGCGATTTACTGGGCACCACTCTGCCGCTGCCGATGGGCCAAGTGTTCTTGAGCGTACTCGGCAAACGTGGGATGCTGGCCATTTGGTCGTTCATCATCGTCGGTGAGTTTTGGAGCAGGTTTTGTCTCCCGTCGATCGGTAGCTGATTTTTCTCCCAGTACAGGTGTGCTTTTTCAGCCTGGGTTTTCTCATGACCCGATGTTGATGGAAATAGTACGTGACTGGCGCAGCCCAAGCTGTTGATGCGTCCAGAGTCGTCTTCGCTTTCGCGAGGTAAGGCCACGGCACGCCAATTTGAACATCACCTGATCGAACTTTCGCGACAGAGACCACGCGCTGCCCGGGTCGAAATGGTGGAAGAAGATGAACAAGAACGCGGTCCCGGTCAACGCGGTGTGGTTCGTCATATTCTGGTCAGCCATCGTCGGGCTTCTGGGCTTCTCGACTGCAGCCTTGACCTCGCTTGCTGGGTGCGTCCCGCCGCTCCCTCGCGTTAACGATCATCCGATTCTCACCTCGTGGCAGCGCGTCTGTTATCGGACTGTATACTTCGTACGCCACCCCCATTTTGCTGCGCATTACCTCCGGCCGCGACAAGCTTGTCCCCGGCCCGTTCTCCCTCGGCAAGTGGTCCACCGTCGTGGGTGCGATCGCCGTGGCCTGGGTCACTTTCGTGGTCGTGCTGCTTTTGTTCCCGCCCGGACAGAGCGCCACCGCGCAGGACATGAGTGCGTCCTAGTCCACTGCGCCGATCCCCACCCCAATACTGATTGATGCAACACCACGCAGACTACGCCGTGCTCATCGTGATGGCCATCTTTATCTTCGCCACGCTTTCGTGGATCGTGTCGGCTCGGAAGTGGTTTAAGGGCCCGGTGCGCACGGTCGACGAAGCACCGATTAGCGAGAAATGACGCGGGGCCCTTTCTTCACATACACGTTTTGTTCGAGATCCAGACAATGAATAGAGATTGCCCAGATAAGTGGGAGACCCTCTCTCGTAAACAGTCTGCCGATTCCAATCTGAGTGCTATTGCCATCCCTGTTCTTCAGAGATCGGCGATTATCGGCCGACGGTTTTCAACATCCCCGAGATCCCCGATCACCTTCCGAGTTCGGTCGGTGGTCCCTGCTTTGGGGGCCAAGCTCACAAGATCGTTCAAACTTTGAAATTCGTGTACAGAAGAAAACATAAAGGGGCGTAACGAACTATATTCGATTCGACGTAGATTCATAACTGGAATCGGCGCCTCAGGCCTGGATCTTTCCCAGGGGAGTCTTCGCCATCACACTCATAACCTCGAAGAGAATGTCTGCAGCGGCCATTGTCGTAAGCTCCGCGTTGGCTGAATAATTTCTCAGACGAAGTTTCACGCGCGGGAGTGATAACGGATGGGCTTACTGTCATACGCGGGAGCGACTTCAACAATGTCTGCCGAGACGATGTGCAATCCCTCGAGGCCCCGAAGGATGGTGCGAAGCTCCCGGGTAGACCAGCCGCCTGTCTCTGGGGTACCGGTGGCCGGCGCGAAACTGATATATAAATGGTGTCAGCACGTTCCTGTGGACGCCAGAATCAGAAAACGCACGCCGGGTCGATGCTGTCAATCTGGGCAAAACAACGTGTGTGTTATTTATTGAGCAATCGCGGCCAGGTTTCAGCACGATCTGGGACTCACGTCGATGGAGAGATACACGGGGCCGTCCCCGACGGTGTCCCGAATCTTGGAAATAATCCCGGCAGTGCCTGGGAGGACCGACTATGAGATAAGATAAGGAAATAGGAGATCGCTGCGCGCACCGAGGGTGTCGATTTCACGAGCCTCGATGCGCTGGAAGCCCGAGGCGTCGTCGTTTTCGTAGTCCTCCGGGCCACTCAGGGTCGTGCGGATGGCCCCGTGCTAGAGAAAAACAACAAACTAGGATCAAAGCATCGAGAGGAGCACGGGAAACGGAAAGGGGAGGGAGGAAGGGAGACGAAGACTTGCAATTGACGATCCGTTCCTGATCAGGCCCTCTTGGCTGGCCCAGTAGAAGTACGTGCCGTGGTTGATCGCGGCCTGGTCGCTCGGCGCGCCACCGAAGACTGAGGGCTTCCACGTGTCTGCAGCGAGGTGAGCCGTGACGCGAGGTGCGAGCGAAGTTCAACTTGCCGAGATGTGAGTCAAAGTGGATCACGGAGATTTTGCCGTACACCGAGTTAATGGAGCGCAGGAGCGGGAGGACGATGGTGTGGTCCCCGCCCAGGGTGATGATGCGCGGATGGTGCTTGCCGTCGAGTGAGAACGGGAAAAGGGGCTGCCCGGTGAGAGAGCTGTTGCCCAGAGGCGAGAAAGCCTGGCGTTGCAGGAGAGCTTTGTGGCCACTGATAACAGAGTCAGTGTCGCTCAAGAGCGATGTCGAAAAATACGCACTCCTCGATCTGTTGGATGGCATGCTTGTTGTCGTACGGGCTGCAGAGAACTCAGCCGACGAAGGATGGAGGGTGCATTGGCCTCACGTGACAGGAATATCGCCGCAGTCGACGATGCGAAGGCCCGACTTGAAAGGGTTGATCTTGAGCGGCACGTTATAGCCGCCGTAGAGCGTCAGACGACGGCTGCCCTCGCGGATGCCGGAAGGGCCGAATCGGGCACCTGTCTGACGTTTAGAATCGGGTTAATCTCTCAAGACCTGCGACTGACCCGGGCGGTAACTAAAGCCAGATCGGTGAACAGACAGAGTAATGGAAGTCAATTGTGCCTACCTGGTAGCTGTGTCCTGGTGCACGAATCAGCGACAAACAGACACCGACGCATTTCGGAAGGACGTACGAAGGGTGCGCCGAGGAACGCAATGTCGAAGGGGATATCGCTCTCGCGGCCGAGGCACTGAACCCAAGGCAGTTTGGCAAAGGTGGTGATGCCCGAGAAGATCGAGTCCGCAGTGACCTCGTCGTTGAAGCCGCGGAAGGTGTCCAGGGGGCCCTTGACATAGCCAAAGGGCATCTGGTCCTCGTGCTCATGACCGTCATGAGCAGCGACAGAGGAGACGAGAGCAAGCGCAAGAGCAGCGAAGAAAAACTTCATGTTGATGGGGGTGGAGAGACAGTAGTCGAGCAGATCTGGGGGCCTCGCGAGCCTCAGATATACGAGCGAGATTTGTCGATGCGGATCAGGTGCCCGGGCTGCCAAGTTGTGAGATTGTCCTCAGGGTGGCCGAGGTTCAATCCTTTCCCGGTAAGATAAAGGACACAGAGAAGATGTGTATGACGAATAGAAGCCGCGATCGTGCCACTCGTTGTCTCCAAATCTACTCGTGTTTTGCCTTGAGGCCGATCGTCTAGTCAAATGATTTCAAATGGCCAGATACAGACTGACAATTAACTCCCGGTTCCCCGTAGAATTCCTCGCCTAAAGATAGGCCGACTTTCGGGAGATAAGCCAAATCCAGTCGTCCTCATCCGACCATAAAAGCGCATGCTCAACAGGGGTCCGATTCGATCTTCTAAACGTACAGGGCACACTGCAAAAGAATGTCATCAGCTCACGAAACCAGTCCCCTTCTTCAGGGCGAGTCGAATGGCGGCCTTGTCGCCACCTATGAAGCCGTCGCAGACGAAACAAGTGGTACACAAGCAACATCAACTCCACCGCTGACCGCCTTCCTTTTGTGGTCGCTGTGGCTTGACTCCATCCCAGGCAGGTAACTCTCGTCTGGAAAAACTCATTTTATTCAACGTTTATGTTCTAGTCATCCTCTCCTACATCCTCCAAAATTCCATCCAGACGGTCTCCGTTTTGATTGCAGGGCGCTTGGGCCCCGATGAACTCTCGGTGTCGGCATTCTCGCTGATGCTTGCCTTCGTCTCTGGCTAGTGCGCTTTCTCCTGACGCGAGAGAAGTGATCCCACGTTCATCTGCAGGATGGTGCGTTGCGCTTGGCGGTACCACGGCGCTGGACACGCTCGGCTCGCAAGCGTTCACGGGCGGACGCGCGAAAGACTTGTCGGTCCACTTCCAGCGCTGCATCGCCATCCTCTGGGTCCTGTTCATTCCCGTCGCTGTTCTGTGGTGGTTCATCGAGCCAGTCCTGCTCGGCCTCGGGCAGTCGGCTTCGTTGAGCCACGACGTGCAGACGTTCCTCAGGGTGCTCATACTCGGGGCGCCGGGTTACATCGGTGAGAGTCGATTCAGATGAGCCACCCGGTCGTCGAGACTGACAGCGGCTAGGATTCGAGAGCTTGAAGAAGTACTTGCAGTGTCAAGGTCGGTTGAAATGTCATTCGAGATCCTAGTGCTGAACTCTTGCAGGTATCATGGGTGCATCGACCGCAGTCTTGGTGCTCGTATTTCCTATCAACGTCGGGCTTAACATCGCCCTGATACATCACACGTCGCTGGGGATTCTGGGGTCGCCCCTGGCCTTGTCGATCACATACTGGCTCTGCTTCGCCCTGCTCGTGATCTGGACTTGGCGGTCGCCTGTGCACGCGCAAAACAAGACATGGGCCGGCTTCCAACCATCGGCCGTCTTCAACCTCCGAAGCTGCTATCTCTTCTTGCAGCTCGCCATTCCTGGAATTCTGATGGTCGGCACAGAGTGGTAAGCGCTGCGATGGTGTGTTCAGTCGGAGGGGATTGATTTGTCGTAGGGCTGCGTTTGAGATTGTGGCTCTGGCCGCCGGTCGCCTCGGTGCTATTCCCTTGGCGGCTCAGTCCGTGATCATGACCACAGATCAGAGTAAGTTGCGGTCCAACTTGTTCGCACAAGAGGTCTCAGTCCGTCCCATCGTAGTTCTGAATACCGTTCCATTCGGAATCGGGGTCGCAGCGTCGGCTCGTGTCGGCAACTTGATTGGCGCGCGTTCACCAGCTGGCGCGAAGCATGCAGCCCATGCTTCTGCTGCGGTAAGCGTCGTTGTCGGCGTGTTGGTCATGACAGTGATGATGGCCACGAAAAACGTGTGTCCTGCCTTGATTCTCGAAGCGTCTGTAGCTGATATGTCTAGGTGTACGGATACTTATTCAGCGACGACACGGATGTCGTCCACCTTGTCGCCCAAGTGATGCCGCTGGTGGCATCGTTCCAAGTGGCAGATGGCCTGGCTGGCTCTTGTGGAGGTGTTTTGCGGGGCCAGGGTCGACAACATCTCGGAGCGCTGTTCAACTGTGTCGCATACTACGTGCTCGCCCTTCCGTTCGGAATCACGCTGGCGTTCCATCCGCGAACGCAACTAGGGTTACAGGGTCTCTGGATTGGCCAGGTCGTCGCGCTGTTCATCGTCGGTCTTGGAGAGTATTACGTAGTGTGGAAAAGCGATTGGGATCTCGAGGTGCGGCGTGGGATAGAGAGAAACGAGCAGGAGGGGAAAAGCGCAGTGCCTACGAGTTAGGCAGGAATGACTAGAAGTAAATATACTCGAGTAGACACATGACCAGATCAGAGTCCAGACAGATTTGTACAAAGTACAAGAGCAATGGAGGGCAGCACAAAAGATCGACGCTAGCAATGCAGATGTAGAATTGACGCGGAGGGCAAGTTAACGAGTACGGCAGTTGCTTATGACGTCCCGAACGCGGCCTTGTATAACTTGCTGGTGGGACTCTGTAGGAAGAAGCAGGAGTTTGGTCAGCTTTGTTCGTTGATCTGATTCTATTTCGGGACCAGGGAGACTGTGACGGACACGTAGGTTCAGAAGCGCATTCATACTTGTACAACCACGACGCGACTTTTCTGAAGACACATCCACTGCGGCCATGCCCAAGGCCTTCCCACTCCCTTCAGACCTCTCGCCGGCGACGGTCTCCAACACCGCTTCGCTTTTGAGAATCGTCGCTCTTTCCCTCATCTCCGGTGCTGCCATCGCGTCCCGACTGTTTGCGGTCATTAATTTCGAGAGCATTATCCATGAATTGTGCGTTGGCACGTCTTCTCACTCTCTGCTTCACCTCCTTACCTCTCCGCAGCGATCCCTGGTTCAACTAGTGAGTATGAGAATGCACGTCGACGAATCACCTCAAACCGTTTCCCCGCAGTCGCGCTACCCGCGTTCTCGCTTCCCAGGGTTTCTATGTGCGCTGCTCCTTCTACATAGCGAACCTCACACTGAATGTCGTCCTAGGAATTCTGGAACTGGTTTGACCCGACAGCATGGTATCCTCTTGGACGTGTCGTCGGTGGAACCGTGTACCCCGGATTAATGGCCACGAGCGGTGTCATCTACAACTTCCTCCGCGCTCTCAACCTCCCGGTGGACATCCGCAACATTTGTGTCATGCTCGCGCCCGGCTTCAGTGCGCTGACGGCTTTCGCTACCTACCTGTGCGTGCGGACTGCAATTCTTCATGGCTGTCGCTGACAAGATGCAGCTTCACCAAGGAGATGAAAGACGCTAGCGCTGGTCTCCTCGCTGCTGCGTTCATCGGTATCACACCCGGTTATATCTCGCGTTCCGTCGCCGGTTCCTACGACAATGAAGCCATTGCAATCTTCCTGCTCATGTTCACGTTCTTCTCGTGGATCAAAGCTCTCAAGTTAGGTAGTGCTATGTGGGGAACCATCTCTGCGGTGTTTTACTTCTACATGGTGGCGGCATGGGGTGCGTTTTCCAAATTCTCTACAATTACTATTGCTCAATGACGCAGGTGGTTATGTTTTCATTACGAACATGATCCCCCTCCACGCCTTGGTTCTTGTCCTGATGGGCCGTTTCTCGAACCGTCTCTACGTCGGGTACTCGACCTGGTATGCGATTGGAACGCTTTCCAGCATGCAAGTCCCTTTCGTCGGTTTCCAGCCGGTTTCGACCAGTGAACACATGGCTGCTCTCGGTGCGGCATTTTTTGCGTTCATATGTGCAGTTCCGCTAACAATCGGGCTTCCTAGGCGTCTTTGGACTGTTGCAGATTGTTGCGTTCACTCAACTTGTTCGGTCGCATGTGTCTTCTAAGCAGTTCCAAAACCTGCTTTTCCTGGCGCTGATCAGCGCGGGCGTTCTTGGAACTTTCGCGTTCATTGGGCTGACATACCGGGGAACGATTGCTCCGTGGACAGGTCGTTTCTATTCTCTTTGGGACACGGGCTACGCGAAAAAGTGAGTGTCACATTGGATCAGTCTGAAACTGGCATCTTATCTTTGGCAGGCACATCCCCATCATCGCTTCCGTCTCAGAGCATCAGCCTACCGCCTGGCCTTCGTTCTTCATGGACCTGCAGTTCCTGATGTTCCTGTTCCCTGCCGGTGTTGCTCTTTGCTTCTACCAACTGCGTGACGAGCACGTGTTTGTGATCATCTACGCTGTGATGTCCAGCTATTTCGCTGGTGTCATGGTGCGATTGATCCTGACGCTGACGCCTGTGGTCTGTGTATCTGCTGCTGTCGCCTTCTCGACTTTGCTCGACACGTACGTCGATGCGGAGGAACCTGAAAAAGAGGAAGAACCTGCTGCTGGCGCTGCTGGAGACTCAGCTGCTGCCAAGAAGGAGAAGAAAGCGCCCGCTACTAGCCTCGCCGACATTGTTGCCGCGGCACCGTCTGCCAAGAAGGGTGTCTTCGGAGTGGATACTCGTTTGGCTGTGATTCTGAACGCGGTGGGGATGCTGTCCTTCTTCGTGTGGCATTGTACGTGGGCCACCTCGACGGCGTACTCGTCGCCCTCCGTTGTGCTCGCGTCGACCAATGCCGACGGTAGTCAACACATCATTGACGACTTCCGCGAGGCCTACTACTGGTTGCGTCAGAACACGCCGGAATCCGCTGTCGTCATGAGCTGGTGGGACTACGGCTATCAGATTGCGGGAATGGCTGACCGTCCAACGTTGGTCGATAACAACACCTGGAACAACAGTGCGTCCATCGGCCAGCATGCTTGGTGCCATATGCTCATTGGTCGATACAGCTCACATTGCGACTGTCGGCAAAGCCATGTCGAGCAGCGAAGAAGTCGCTTACCCGATTCTGAGGAAGCACGACGTTGACTACGTCCTGGTCATCTTCGGCGGCCTGCTGGGCTACTCGGGCGACGACATCAACAAGTTCTTGTGGATGGTCCGGATCGCGCAGGGTGTCTGGCCGGAAGAGATCCAGGAGCCCAACTACTTCACGCCTCAGGGCGAGTACCGGGTGGACGACCGCGCCTCCCCTGCCATGAAGAACTCGTTGATGTACAAGATGTCGTACTACCGCTTCGCCGATCTTTTCGGCGGCGCCCAGCCGACAGACCGAGTGCGAAATCAACAACTTCCCGTCAAAGGCCCTACGCTGGATTACCTCGGTGCGTCGGTCCTGGGCATGGATGCCGGTTGACTGATGATGATTCCTGCAGACGAGGCTTACACGACAGAAAACTGGATTGTCCGCATATATCAAGTGAAGAAGGAGGATGTGCTGGGTCGTGATCTGAAGAGTGCCAATTCGTTCACTCAGGGAAAGAAGAGGAAGCGAACGAAGCCTGTATCTCGGAGACGAGCGATCTGATAGTCAGTTGGCTGCTAAAATGATATTGGAACATTTCGGAGACTGGATTGGCCGACGCAAACGGGATACGTCCATCGTGTGCCCATTTAGTGTATATCCTTCCTGTTGCTGTGCAGCACACCACACGTTATCGGTCTGAATGTCAACTTGTGGGTTTGTGCACGCGTGCTTCAATACATTTGCGATCTGGTGTGCAGGCCCAGCCTGATATGCGCCGCGTTTCAAGCAGTCCAGGGTTGCATTGGCGGGCCAAGATGACTCGAGCGGGTGCGACAAACTAGCTCCGGAAGGCGGCCCGGCCGCCGGGAGAATCTTCGAAGACCTCAAGCTTCGCTCACTTCTGACCACGCCCTCCACATAATCTCCCGCTGTAGGCAACCTGGCGCGCCGCATGATGCCAATCCACGCGAGATTCCTACACAGTCTGTAATTATCTCACCCGCCTTGGTCTCAAATAGCTCTGGTGCCAACATCCGGCGCGTGCTCCCATCAGGGTGCCATATGGCGCCAGCTACTTAAGACAGTAGAGGCCGCTCTCCCCCTCACGCTACTCAACGCGAGACCTGGCCCAGCTCTCTACCATCCTCAGCTCAGCATACTATGTCTCTCCTCCGCGACATGCTCAAGAAGCCCAGAGAGGGCACGGGCGCAGGGCGGCCCATGCCAGGCGCAGGCGCAGGCGCGGTCCCGGCAGCACCCAAGAAGAAGAAGACGGACAGCGCATCGATCATGTCTGCCGGAGCACGTTCGTTGGTCGGATCGCTGTACTCGCTGACGATCGGCGGGGAGCGTGTGCAAAAACGCCGGCGGCCTCAGTTTTCCGATCTCGGTGCGTCGGAGCGTTTTGTTGGCATCTGCAGCCGGGCGGTGAACGTGTTGGCAGGTGCGCCGGAGTGGCACCCGGAAGATAAGGTACCCATCCCTGACGACATGCCGGGCACCGTGTCCAGAAGTGACATCGGCGCGTACACCGTCGCTCATGGGACCGTGCTTCCGCTCCGTCTCGACGACAAGAGCCACTGGCTGTCGCTCATCCTGTACAATCATGCGGCGGAGACGTCGCTCGCTGCGATGTACCACAACGAAGGCGCGTCCAGTGCGATGCGATCTCATCTTGTCCTCGGGATTGATTTTGATTTCTCCGACCTCCTCCAGCCAAAATCTGCGGCGAACTGCGTCTTTCTATAGAGAAGCCAAAGAGCATTTCAAGCCTCGATATCTGGGTTCGTGGCCCCATGTAGCCCGTATCAGCATCATTCTGACCGCGGGGATCAGCTGGCAGCAATTGCTCCCAATGGACAGCTCCTGAGCCTGACTGCCAATCTCTGGTCCCGACACAAAGGTGACCCAAAGCACCCGGGCGCGAAGAATCCGAGCGTCTTCAAGGACAAATTTCCCAGTGGCACTTACGTGTTCCCGTTTGAGCTCCCTGCGTTCCCGAGATTCGTCCAGGTGTCGCACCCTGACCACGAGAACGTGAGCACACGTGGGACCACATGGCTGGCATACGTCTCGCTCACATCCGCCGCAGCAACGCGGGATGGTCGCGCTGCCACGTCTGTATTCCTTCTGTTCTGTTCGATGCGGTGCGATCCGGGCTGACGGCCCCTCGTACAGCGTCGGGCAAGGTCAAGTTCACATGTGGCGTTGGCGTGCGACGAGACTCGGTCGGCGGAATCAACGAAGACATGGACATGATTTTGCAGTACATCCCTCTCACGCGGAACTTGCCGAAAGCGCCATCGCCGTTTCCTTTCCTGACCTCCCGCGAAGAGTGGCCGTTCAAGCGCGAGTCGATCGGCGGCTGGGTGCTCACGCCGTTCGGCGGTCGGGGACGAATCGGGACCGACATCGTGGAGGTGGAAGGAATTGTCCGTGGCAATGGTGCTCCGGGTTCCCTCGACGTACTTACTATTCCGGCAGCTCGGCGTGCAAGATCCGGCGGTTTTTCAGGCTGGACAGACTGTGGACTTTGTGCTTCTTCTCTGGTCGAAGAGCGCGGATGCCATCACGTTGCTCGCGCAGCCAGCCGCAATCAGCGTCGGCCACTACAAAGCAGATTTGATGCCGTCCTCGGAAGCTCTGCGGCCGCGTTCGCAGTCCCGACAGACAAGGACCCTCGAGCGCACAGCCGATGGACGGATCTGGCTCGCTGAATCCGGACGACCGGCGCAGGGAGAGTCGGCTCCTCCGCTGGTCTACCTCAGCCACGTCCCAGAATTGGCGCCGCCCAGCTCGCCGAAGACCCCGACTCTACCGTCTCGAATGCAGAGTTTCGTTTCGGCTGATGACCCTGAGGAGGAAGAGAACCAGCTGGAGGCGGCAGATCAATTTGACGACGCATTCGGCGACACCGAGCAGATTGTTCGCCTTGAAGGGGAGATTATCATCCCTCCATCAAGGCCCGTGAGCTACCGGTACACTGAACTGGGGCGAGAGGTATATTTCTTTGTTTGTTGATCGAACCGCTGGTGGGCCAACTGCTTCACAGTACAGTCTTCAACTACACATCACACACCCTCAATACGCCCATATCTCTCCGACGGGGGCAGGTCTCGTGGCTGAAGTCCCTCTCTGGATCACTGCCGATCGACCCATCCACAGCGGCCCAGTGGACCTGAATGCCGATGCCGACTATCTGGCATCACTACCCTTGAAAGGTGCTACTATCCCCGTGGGACCTGGGGCAATTCGATGGCCGAAGAGTGTGGGAGAGCGTGCACGCCACCCTCGTGGCGGCAAGCCCAAACTGGGACAGGCATTTCTTGGCTTGAGGTCACTCCCAGGACAAAGCGTGGGTGTATCATAGACGGGACCATTTCATAATCCATCAGATGAGTGTACTTATTACTTCCGCTTAAGGGAACAATGTTTCCTATTTCGGAATCAAGGTCGAACGTGACTCTTTAGACCTGAGGGACCATCGCAGAAAGCTGTTCAGGCAGAACCGGACGTTTGAGCCACTCGTCCATCCAGCCACTCTGAGCGCCCTGGCTGTGCTCGACGCTGGGCAAGGCAAACACGGCTGTGACAAGCCAGATATCCTCGGACCCTGAGCTGTGTTCTCCCATTAGAGTCGGGAGGACGGCTCTGGGCACCATCAGATTTGAATTTGCGTCCGTACGAAGGGCCACGCCCTTGCGTTCCTGGCCACCGACTGAGAGGATGCCAACGACACCCGCCTCGGATGCAGCTCGGGCCCGGCCCGGCCCGGCGAAGGTACCAAAACGCTCGTCACTAGATTCTTCATCCAGGGGATCTAGGTGTCTTCCGTCTTCACGCTGACCGTAGACAGCAAACCCGCCCTCGGCTGAAGTGAGCGACCGGCCCGTCCGGATCCGATGTATGCGCAGGTGCCATAGCGGTGCCGCTGTGGAAGGAGGGACGAGCCAAGTTTCCACAGCGACGTCTTTCCACGGATACCACATCGAGCGCAGCCAGCCGACACCCGGGCCCTCGAACCGCGCCTCCCGGGTGTCCCGTCGGCATTTCCAGGTCTCCCCTCCGTCGTCGCTCAGCGCGAGCGTGTTGTCGCCGGCGAGTTCCTCGAGGGTCCCGTTCCCGACGGGTACGCTGTAGCCGAACGCTGAGGAATATGCGAGCTTGCCGTATTTGGCTGGGCCTTGCTTAACGGGGTAGGAACACTGTTGGCCGGAGGACAGGATGTAGCAATGTCCGCCGAGATTGGTGGCGATATGCAGCGGGTGCTTCAGCGCCTTGGTCGTATTCAGTAGCGTGGTCGGATACGGCTCTTCTTCGGCAGTCCAGAAGGGATGTGACTCGGGAAGGGAGAGAGCGATGAACGACTTGCAGCACCAGTACGGGGATCCCGGCGAGTTGTAGTTCTCGGTCATGTTGTGATTGGGATAACAGTACCCGATGGTCAGAGTGCCGTCGCTGTTGAATGCCCCAGCTTGCTTGGCCCACCATCGGATGTTGCGTAGTTGTATTCCTTTGACAACACCCCATGTCAAGGGGGCCGGAAGGTCGACATCGGCAAAAGCAAGTGCACCCCAGAATGCAGACATCGCGAAACGGTACGTCAAACTCCTGCCGAAAGGAATCGCACGACCTGGACAAGGTTCAGAAGAGAGGGTGCATACAGCCCGAAACCGTACCCTCAGCATCAAAGTAGTGCACAAAATCCAGCGCAAATTGGCGAGCCCTGTTCCTATATTCCTCGCAGCGCACTGGATCGTCTTTCTGAGCCAGCTTGGAGTAGACGAGCTGAGCATACTGAATCGCGAACGAGGATGAGTAATAGTCGAGTTGCACAACACCCTCCGGGCCATCGCGAGACCACCCATCACCGATATAGAACGTATCGAGATGGTCCATGTCCGCCTTCATTCGCTCAGCATCGAAACGCGAGGAACCTGCTCTCGACAAGCCAAGATTCGCAAAGACCTGTTGACGTGAGCGAGAGCAAGCCGTCGACGGGACAGGATGCTTACACGGAACCAAAGCCAATTCGTATTCGGCATCTCCTTGTCATTCATCCCACCGAGCCAGCGTTCAAAATTCATCTTGGCTTCAGGCGAGAGAGGATCCCACAGTTTCTCCTTGGCCACGGCAATGGAGAATCCAATAGCAGAGCATTCAACCATCCGCTGGTCCTTGTCCCGCATCTCGCCCCAGAACTCCTCGTGCCCCGGATCGCTGCCGTTCGCAAACCCCCTCACCCACCGCTCGGCGCCGGCGTAGTGCCCCCCGCCAGCCAAGAACGACGCCAGCCCCCAGATCGGTCTGGAGAACCCCTCGAGCTGGGCAGCAGCTTCGTCGTAGTGCGTCGCGGTGTGCCCGAGGTGGATCCGTGCGCCACCGGGAGAGGTGTGCGCTGCCAGGGGATCGAGGAGACCGACGAGGAAGTCCGCGAGATCGGACTTGGTTTTCAGAGGATTCGAGGAGAAGGGTGACGTTTTTCCGAATGAGTCCATGGTGTGAGGTTAGCAGTTACCTCGCTTCTCTGAGAGAGTTCCAGGCCTGGAGAGTGGAGTTGAAGATCATCAGGGCCCATCTCAGAATACCCCGCACGCGGTCCGATCGGGCCGGCCTATTGCGGCAGTTCACGTAACACCTCCCACGATAGCCTCTCAGTTGCGGCGATGATGCCAATTACGCGGTGAATCTTACCGTGTCAGATCGGATCGTTGGGACCTGAAGCATGACACCCTGGTGCGAGCGCCCAAGCCAGAGCCAGAACCGCTTGTTCCCAGGCCTTGGGATCTAAACCTCCGCCGCACGACGCACCTACCTACTACTCCATGCCGACGAAGAAGGGCCAGGGCGCGACGAGCATCTTCCGCCAGTCTCTGTTCCCACAGCAGCAGAAACTCGCGGGGCTGCTCGTGACCGACGAGCTCGAGAAAGCGCTGTTGGAGTGCAAGACACGCGTGGAGAGGATTGCGCGGGACTGCCGGGCGCAAAATCGGCGGTTTCGGTGCGTGGATGCTGGAATCGCGGGTGGCGGGTATTGGTTCAGCGTACTGACACGGCGCCTGGTCTGTTTCCCAGCGACATTGAGTTCGATCTCGAGAACGACAAAGATCGGTGCGTCTGCTGCGACCCGCGCGGGGCGCGCTAATTCATACGAGCTCCGTGCCAGATGTCTGTTCGGGCTGTCCACGGAAAATCGGCGTTTCAAGCCCTCCGATGTCCAGCGCGTGCACCAGATCTTCCCCGCGCCGTCGTTCTACATCGATGGCGCGCACTCGGGGGACATTGTGCAGGGCCGGATGGGTGACTGCTGGGTCCTCTCCGCGCTATCGACGGCGAGCACGGCCGAGGGTCTGGTCGAGCGGTTCTGCGTCGCGCGGGACGAGCGGGTCGGCGTGTACGGGTTCGTGTTCTTCCGGGATACGCGCTGGGTCGTCGTCATCATAGACGAGTACGTACTGCATCTGCATCCAGAGTCGCCGTGCTCTATTTGACACATGCATAGTCTGTTGTACACGGCGATACCCAAGTTTGAGGAGCTCAATAACGCCGAACAGACGCTGTACCATAATGATAAGAAGCTGTACGAAACCTCGGCTCGCAAGGGGGGGAAGACGCTGTACTTCGCGCGCTCGGGTACAGAGAATGAGACATGGGTGCCGTTGGTGGAAAAGGTAACAAGCTTATGCCTCAACCGTTCTCGACGACATCCACCTACGCACCCGATAGGCTTATGCCAAATTGCACGGTGATTACCTGTCCATCGACGGAGGCTTCTCCTGCGACGCCATTGGTGTGTGGTTTCCTGTTCGCCTTCCCGCAAGTCGTTGATTGTGATCTGGCCAGAGGATCTGACTGGGTAATAAACCCAAATGCTAGCTTTCTCCTCAAATCTTACTCATACTGACAGCGGTGTCTCCACTTTGTTCCGGACGAAAGTGAGCTCCACGGCTAGTGGTACCGCGCACAGACGCTGATGTCACGGCAGGATATTCTCGATACGGATATCTTCTGGAAAGACGAGCTTTTGTATGCGACGCGCGATCGGCTCTTCGGCTGCGGCTTTGACGGCCTGGACACGGCACGGCGCATGGCAGCGGACGACGAAGCAGTCGGCCTGACGGTCAACGGACTCATCGGGGCGCACGCTTACTCTGTGTTGCGCGCAGTCGAGTACAACGGAAAGAGATTCGTCGTGCTGCGCAATCCGTGGGGAGACTCGGAGTGGACTGGGGCGTGGTCCGATGGCTCGAAAGAGTGGACAGAGGAATGGCTGCCTGCACTCAAGGCGCTCGGACATTCATTTGGCGAAGACGGACAGTTTGTTATGGAATGTGAGTTTCGTCGTTTGCTCAGCCTACGATGTGTTCATTGAAGGCACAGATTCCGACTTCCTAGAGAACTGGAGTGTGGTCGAAAGAACATTGGTTTTCGATGACACATGGGTGATGTCTTCACAGTGGCTGCAGGTGACTGCGCGCGAGCCGACGTCGGCCTGGAGCTTTGGAGACATTTCCTGTAAGAACTCCTTCCGCATCACCCCCGCAGCTGACAATTGACTCTTGCAACAGTCACCATCTCTATTCCATCAGCAACCCGCGCTGTGATTGTGCTCTCCAAGCTCGAAGAACGCTACTTCACCGAGATGTCGGGCAACTCCATTTGGATGTTCGATTTTGTTGTCTTCAAGAAAGGCTCCAAGGAAATGCTTGCCCAAAGCAGTATCCCCCGATTTCATCTTCGCAGCGTGAATGTCGAGCTCTGGCTGCAACGGGGCGATTATGTTGTCCACGTGAGAGACCAATTTTCTCTCTGCCGATCCAAACTGAACTCTTTGCAGGTCCGACTCGATCGGCAGGTGGTGAACAAACTCACTGTCTATACGGCCGACAATGCGGATTCCCGCAAGCTTGCCCGGGTGAGGGCCGAGCGAGCCATCAGCCAGTCGATCGCATCGAGTAAGTTCCATGTGCCGTTGCTTTTCAGGTCATAACACTAACGGTTCTATACAGACTTCAAGCAGAGGTGAGCAGATCTTAGCCTGGACCAATTTCCTCCTTGTTAATTGCTCAGCACCGTCCTCGATAACTTGCCCATCCCGCTGGAGGTCCTCGCTGGCCAGGACCTTACCCAACTTGAAGTCAAGGCTGCGGAAGCAGAAGCAGCTCTGAGGACCCACGAACAGGGTCCAGTGCGAGAAAAGAAGTCGTTTTCGCTCTCGAACACAACCGGCTTTCCACCAACGGGACTATACAAGCGCGAGATGACGATGAAGGCAGCTCCGGCGACTGCAGAAGCCGAAGACGATGACGGCGACGAGAATTGGGCCGACGATGAGGAGGTTGACGCCGACCCCACGCTCGATGCTCCTCTATCCCTTGCGGACGAGGATCTCGGCGTCGATCAGGAAGAGGACACTGGCCCCGGTGCCGATGCCGAAGAGCATGGTGGTGCCAGGCGAGAAGACGAGGGCCTCTCGGAGTACAGCAACGATACAGTTGTCCTGGGACTCAAGGTGTATACGAAGAAGAACGCGCCAGCCACCGTGCAAGGCCAACTTCGTCACGAAATGGATGTGAGCTATGCTGCATTCGTAAGCGTCGCCCTCGAATGATGCGCGAACCCCATTTCATGCGATCGATGTCGTCTGCTCTACGATTGCTGAGCCAGTCCAGTTGGATATGATCTCTTATTCAAATTGATGATGTACAATGACGACAGTTACAATGTTCTTCAGTTTAGCTAACAGGGCGGTACTTCCTGTTCGTCGCAGCCTTGGTCAGCGAGTAAGCTCGGACAAATCACAAGCACACGCACTTGCGCCATTCGACGGCGGCGAACGGAATGGCAAGGCCAGTGCCCATGAAGACGGTGCACTTCACTGCAAAGCGGGCGGGGTGGGTGACGGCGCCGGCTTCGTTGAACGGCATGCGCTGAGCGTCGATCAGCCTCCGTCCGATCGTCGATGGAGGGAGCTAGACACACCTTATACTCCTCCGCACCATGACCAGACGCAAAGCGTCTTCCGGCACCACGGATGAGAGGAGCGCGCAGGGTAAGGCGGAGCATCGTGGTATGCGTGTGGGGGATGCGGGGTAAGAGTGTGGGGTTTGTGCGGGGGATCGATGTTTATAAATGGTGCCCGATGACAAGGCATGTGAGCAGTACGTAAATCACAGATTCTAGACTCTAGAAGGAAAGAACATATTCATTCATTTGTAATTACTCGCGCAGTTCGACGTAATTGGCTGAGAGGATTGAATAAATGCATATGGAGGGTGTCAAGGAGAGACATACCAGGGAACAAACCAATCTCTCCAGCACTGTTCTTGCCTTGCCACCAGTCATCCGATGCAGCCTCAATCTCGATGATCAGCTCTCCTTCTTTGAACGACAGCTCGTTGTCCTCGGCCGCATCATAACTAAGGAACGATGATGAACGTGATTCAGCACCACGTAAGCACGCTTACTCGTAGAGTGCGACGGCACTGGCTCCTACGTCTTGCTCGGGCTCAGGTGTAGGAGCTCGGGGAGGCGGTGCAGGCGCAGCCACAGGCGGTGGTGGAGGCGGGGGCGGGGGCGGTGGAGGAGCGGCCTCCGCTTCAGGCTCAGTAGCCATCAGCTCGACGTAGTTCGCTGATGTTGTGATCAGTGCATTAGATGAATCATCAACGTGAAGCTCACTCACCGGGGAAAAGTCCAGTCTTTCCGCCAGCGCCGATTCCGGTCCACCAGCCTTCATCAACTTCTTCCACCTGCTCAATCACTTCTCCCTCAGTGAGACTCATTTCGTTGTCCTCAGCGGCCTCGTAATCGTACATGACCATCGCACACTGGCCTCGGTCATGTGACGGTTCCGCAGACGCGACAGGCTGTTACAATAAGTAAATGATAGCGCATCAATGTCGAGCTTACGGGCGGAGGAGGCGGCGGAGGGGGTGGAGGAGCAGGAGCAGCAGCTTCGACAACGGGCGGCGGAGGCGGAGGTGGTGGCGGAGGCGGCGGCGGCGGAGGCTACAAAAATATGGACATGCTCGAGATCAGAAGCGGTAAGCACGCACCGCCAATTCTTGCTCTTCCTCCTCCCATTCTGGTTCTACGGGAGGCGCAGGAGGCGGGGGCGGAGGCGGCGGAGGCGGCGGGGCAGGAACGGCTGGAGGTGCTGGAGGCGCTGCCGGAGGGGGAGGCGGCGCTGCCGGAGGTGCAGCTGGAGGCGCAGCTGGAGGCGCAGATGGAGGCGCAGCTGGAGGCGCAGATGGAGGCGCAGCTGGAGGCGCAGCTGGAGGCGGCGGTGCAGACGGGATAGCAACCGGGGCGAAAGAGCGAGCGACAGATGGGCTAGAGTTGAGAGAAGCTGAGGCATCTCTGCTACGACTTTCTTCCTCCTCAGCAAGCTTCTTCGCTGCAGCCTGACGCTCGCTCCACGTCAGTTTCTTTGGGGCAGCGGAGACGGGGGTGGACACTGGTTGTTGTTGTTGTTGCTCACACGCGGCAAACGGATTCTTCAGCTTTCTCGGCGCGGGCAGAGAGACGGGGGTGTATGCGGTTCCAACGGGAGCAATACGGTCCTCCTCGACGGGCTTGGTAGGCACATTAGAGGCGGCGACAGGCGCTGGCGCCGGGACAGACACAATAGGACGCGGTGCAGTCACAACTGGCGGGCGGAGTGCAGTGACCACCGGAGCCGGCGGAGGGACCACAGGTGACGGGGCTGCCGCAGGCGAGTCCCAGTCTTCATCAGGCGCAGTCGTTCGTTTATCCACCGAGCGACCGTATAGAGATGCAGCTGAGGCAACTGGCTTCGCCCCGAACGCCGGTCGGGAAACAGTTGCAGGCTTTGTGGGAGCGCTACGAAGGGCAGCGATGTCCGGAGTCCCGATGGGTTTGTAACTGGTACCAACAGGTGCGATCGGCTCAAACTTGCGCGCTTGTTCTTTGTGGGTGGAATATTTGGCACCAGAGGCTGCCTCCACCCGCGACATGATCAGCGATGAGGATACGTCCGACTGCATTGCATGAGACAAGTTACATTCGGACCACGGAGGATGAAGCGGCAACTGTTCCGTACCTCGTTACGCGCGTTCAAAACGACGTGTGTGCCTCGAAGGAAGCTCGCCACAGCGTTGGAGTGGGTGTGGAACAACCCTTTCTTCTGCTCGGGAACTCCATCCCCACACCAGTTGATTTGAACGAACTTGGGGAGTTTGCTCTATGTGGTCTGGTCAATGATAACAACCGATATGGCTTTCGCATGACGAACATTAGGATCTAACACCCGCGCGAAAGCATATTGGATTCTGTAAGAGATTCAACCATCGAAATAGATCAGTACAATAGAGAGACTGACCTTCCATCGTGAAATTCTTCTTCGAGCTCCTCGAGACCACCATCTCCGGTTCCTTGCACCTTGAGATCATTCGTCCCACCCTCGTATGTGAAGAGTGCCCAATCAATTCCGTTAGAGTTCAGGACATTGAGATATGCATCTCGGATATCTTTGCTGGACAGGTTCACTTGCAGAGACATTCTCTCGCACTGGAAACTGGTGGCTGCGGGAGAGTTATGGTGATGTAAGAGATCACCGCCACTGTCAATACGCACCAACAACGCGCTCGTTCCTGTCTACGCCTAGTGCTTGCACTGGCAGGGTCCAATGCTTCGCACCTCAACCAAATACACACGATCAAACCCGGAACCGACAACACTCATCTTCTCTACGCTCAAGCCGGAGAAACTCCGGTTTTCCGACCGCCTCGACTTCGCAGGACGAAAATACCCATGCATTGCATCGCATAAAACCTCGGAAGGCGAGGGAACAGCGGCGTTACTCATGTACGACTACGTTCAATACAACTGGTTGCCGTTTCCTCCCCACACGAAAGGCTTTCTCTATTTCCATCGGCCTCCCGACGTGCCGTGCTCCGCCTGGGGAATCCGTTTTCGCATCTGCTCAGAGCCTGCCGGGTTTCATGCTGGCCACGATCTCCTCAACTTCAACCAGACACCGTGGCATCTGACCCTGGGGTCGATAGGGAGATCGTATCCGCTGCTATGCGAGCTTCTCCTGCGCGAGAAGCTTGTGACCCAGGCGGACGTGCAGCAGTCCATGGCCTTGTTTCCGCAGGTCTCGAAGAAGACACCGGCTGAGAACGTGCTGTACAGCTTCGACCAGCTTTTCCCGCTCTCCTTTCGCTCCTCGACGCGCTTGCATGTCGTACTTGAGGGCCATAGGCACCAGATGGTATTGCGCATGTTTCGGGACCAGCGGCTCAGGTCCAACAGGGGGTCTTTTGACTCTCAGCCGTACTCTGGTGTGTGGCCTCTCTGTTCTACGATCGTTGGTGGCCTGAGCCATCTGCAGGATCTGCCCTGGCGAAATTCGAGCACCAAGTATTCGAGGGCAAGAATACCGCCGTGGTCCGTCTGGTCAAACTCATCGACCCTCCCAAATTGCGATTCCCCGCTTACGATGGGCACGTCAAGCTTCCTGAGGAGGGCAGTCTTGTCCATGTAGCCTCACGCTCTGCGAAGGGAGGATGGTCGCCCTGGCGGAGAAATCTGGCATCTGAGCGATTCAGGCCTCTCCGCTTGCTGTGGGAAAAGCTTGGGATGCGAAAGCCAGTGTTATAGGTGCGTAATGGAAACACTTGCAGCCGTCGTGGGAAACCACTGTTATGATTAGACCCTGACACCGATCCCAGTCGCTATCGTTGTCGAAAACTTTCTTTGGCACGCAAGATTTCAAGGTAAAAGTATAGGATGTACATTAGAAGGCGTTGAATAGTACGACGTAATCTGGCGATTCGCTCACTTGGGGAGCCCCAGTCGACAAGATGTACGATTATGGCCTACTTGGCCGCACAAGCCACAGCATCCCTTGGCTCTGGGTCGTGGCGGAGGCTGGGGTGGTTTCGGTGTTTCGGGAAGTGGACACGTTTTCCGGTTGTGGCCTCGTTGTCGGCAATTCGTACATCGGTCTGTTTTGGTCAGCTGAGAATCTATCGGATGCAGCGGATGCACATACTGATCACTTTGAAAGGTGTGTTGGGGCTGCAATTGGGCGGCGGGGGCGAGCCGTGACTACTACCGGCCTGCAATCGTAAGATCCTTGGCGCCGCACATGAACCAGAGGCTGACATCGTCCGGCTCGCGAGAGTGGGCCGTGGAGGAGGGCGGTGGTGTGCACAAGAGCTGGCTGATTTTCATAGCGGTTTGGGGCTCAAATTGACCAACGCCGTTATAAAAGCACCGTTGCATGCACATCTGAATTCTCCGCGAACTTTGATCGAAGGCAATTACAGTGAGGCGAGGCCGAAAGTGTTGGAAGGCGAAACTTTTTGGGTGTTTGACGGACATTTTACCACACGCAAGTAGAGCCACGCCCAAAGTATAAATCCAGTTGAACGCGTTGATGTGTCACAAGAATTCAGAAGATCAGCGAGGAGTAAGTAAGCTGGTCGCGAGTTTTCTTATTCGAGTGCGTCTCAGGGTTGCCGGACAGGTGAACCGCACGGAGAAAAAGGTTAAAACAAACCGCCACGGCCCACGGCACAAGTCCCGTGTTCATCATTCTAGTTTTGGAGACCTGTCATCAATTAATTAGCCGGGTCGCGTTCCCTCTCTGGCCCCACACACCAAAACATGAACGGACTGTTTCCAATTGCGGGATCGAACGATCTAGTTCCCAGGGAGCGGTCCCGGCACCAAAACAAACGCACGACAATCAGTCAGCCCCAAGGAGGTACTAAAAGTGCCCTCGTGTTTTCCCCGATAAAAATGCTGTTCCGAGGACCGTGAGACAGGCGACGAGGATCATACGTTTCTGCGCGCCGCTTTGCATCTTGAAGCTGAGCTTTACGACGAGGACACACCTGTGTACTGAGTGGCAACGTGGTGGAGAGGATCGGTAAGTAAGGACACAGACCCAGGTCCTGGCCTGTCGCAAACTTTCGTTCCTAGCCGCCAAATTAGCAACGTATTTCCCAGGCTTCATCAGTTGTCGCGCAAGTGACAACACGACAGTGGGATGTCACCTCCAGAAATGTATGCACGACCCTGAGCTCCGAGAAATTTCGCCTCTTTCTGGGCGAAGCTTGACGGTTGTGGGTTGGACACACGCACAACATGTCTATTCCCAGGGAATTGGGAAGAATGGTAGCGTGTAATATGACCCGTCATCTTCTACGCCGGGACTAGATCCAGTTATGCTGGCTGTAACTGAGAGTTTTTCCTTCTACGGTTCCACCAGTGACGGTCGGGGAGAAACAATGGTGAATCGGAAAACGAGTCACCTCCAACACAATACCCCTTGCTTCAGCCGTAATTTTGAATGCTTGAGATGGCACCTCAGTTACCACCGCCATCACGCGGTTCTCCCCCCGCGGGGTACCTACTGGGTACCCTCAGACGTCTTGCTGAGGGTACCCAGTAGGTACCCCCTGGCGGGGGTGGGGGGGCCATTTAGTCGATTTTGTAGCGGGGGCATATGCGGGGGTCAGGAGGAGGGGGGGTGTATGTAGCATGTGACTTGTCGATAAGAGCGGGTAGCTGGGCGGGAAAAAAAAATCCAATCACATGACGCGCTGCATGGGCGGGATGGCGGGATAAAAAAAGCACGTGACAGCTGAAGTGATAATTTTTAAAATGTTGGCGGGGGCTGGCAGGGTGCTGGCGGGGTCATTACCGACCCCCCCGCATGCCACGGCGGGCGGTAGGCGCACATTCACGTGACCTCCTCCCATCTTTTTTGCCGCCATTCGGTGCGATTTTCAGGGCTCTCCACGGTGCACAATGCGCGGGGGCGGCGGGCAGTTTGGTCACGTGACCGAGCGCAAAAAAAAAACAAAAATAGCTGCCGGAAAAACCGGGATGCTATTCCAGTCTGTCCTGTGCCTCAAATATCGAAAAAGCGAAGCACTGAATGCAAAACCTGGACCGCTGCGCCCCCCGCGCTGCAGCAGTGATGGGCATGATCCCATCATCTGGCGGGGTCATCTGCGGGGTTGATCTGTTCCATATTTGTACGCTCACGCCGTAGTGCCGCTGGGTTCCCTGATATATGATTACTTTGTTTCCCATGACGATCTCCTTCTGCCTCTTCCTCCCAGGATGCCCCCCAAAAAGCCACCACCAAGAAAGCAGCCAGGAAAACCTTCAGGGCAAAGCATTCGACCCACCAGTCCAGTGAAGGGACGGCACAAGCTCCGAAACGTCTTGACAATACCCATGGGCCGCAACGCTCGCGCAAATCTTCTGGCTCAGAAGATGAATTCTTTGCTTGACCCAAAATCAGCAGATTTGAAAACCGAACCGTCTGGACAACGGATGGAGGAGCATATAATCCTTGAGGATCGAATGGAAGTGGATGAAACAAGCGCAATGAGCGAGGATCTATGGGAAGATATTGCACATGACGCGGGCCCTACCGCGGGGCCCGCCGCGGGGGGTGCCGCGGGGGGTGCCGCGGGGGGTGCCGCGGGGGGTGCTGCGGGGCCCGCCGCGGGGCCCGCCGCATGGCTGGGTGTTGGGGCTGGAATGCCGCCATTTATCCCTGAAATTCTTGCGCGACCACATGCTTTGCAGAGGAAGCCACGTGCTATGCAGGCCTCTTCTGTGTGGATCAATCTCATCCCTGATCTTGCCATCTCTCTGCTGGCATTTCGGAAATCATCCTTTGCATGTCCACCCGCATCACTCGCTGAAACCATTCATCAAAATTGTGAAAATCCTGCCTGTACCCCAACTAAAATTCGTGTCCTATGTCTCCACATCTCATGTGTGTTTCAATTTTGCCTGAACAGATTTGGCCTGACATTTGACCAGATTTTCAACATATCAATGTCCGAACATGTTCTTGTGTTCCCCCTGCAACTGTTCTACTGGAGCATGGTGCTCTGGCCACCTCACCTAGCAAGCCACAAATTGCTGTTACAGTCAATACATTGGAGATATACCAGGCATTGTTTCAACGCTCCTGCATCGCCATTCAAGCATTCACAAACGCTCTAACAACCCTCTATAATACCAGAGGATTTGAGCTGATGTCCAAAACCGTGAGTTGCTTCTTTCATTCCGCTTTTTTTGCACTTTATTTCTGATACATATTCCAGTTTGATGGTGAACATGCTGCTGATCCTCTTCGACAAGCCTTATCCCAGGCAGTGCATGTGTACAGCAGCATTCAACAGCATATCCGAAAAATGGTCAATGATGCCTTGGCCAAAGAGTATTGCCGTAGCAGCACCGGATCATCTCCAAGAGACTCCATAGCTTCCACCTGTGAAATTTCCCCTGCACATGCTGAGCCACATCCATCAGTCTCAATCACAGGACCTTGCGAGGTGTCCATGCTCGGTGCACCCCCCGCCGCACCCCCCGCCGCACCCCCCTTCGCACCCCCCGCTGCGTCCCCCCCTGCACCCCCCGCCGCACCCCCCGCTGGGTCCCCCCCTGTACCCCCCGCCGCGTCCCCCGCCGCACCCCCCGCGTCATTTACCCCTGCCAACCACACCGTCAAATCTGATGATCAACTCTTGCTGGTCCCTGGATCTGCAAATCGGGTTCTACAGAGCCGGTGTCCCCTGTGTTTTTCCCTGAAGGAATGGGGCCGTCCGCTTGCTATGTTCGATTTTCCTCTGACTCTGATCACCAGTGACTGACTTATATTCTCAGCGGTGGGGATGTCCAATTTGGTGCTGATGGTTGCTTCAACTATCGTCATCTCCGAGCTGCTGGCAACGGACCATCCTTGTTCAGTCAGGAGTACTTCCTGACACCTGAAGAGGTTCACAAGGTCAAAGAGACTGTGCTTTTGGCGAGGAAATCTCCGAAGCCTCTCAAAGAGTCTCTAATTTCAGCTGATATTGTGGATGCCTGTGGAGAGTCATGGACTGCCGCAAATGAGCACAAACAAAAGGGGGATCCAAAGCGCTATGACTCCACTGGCATCTTTGCACTGACATGTCGTCACTCACAAGTCCTGTTCATGTGTGATATAGACACTCCAGGAGAGCAGCAGCACTACATAATTGCGCTCTTGGAGAAGGTGGCCTCACTCCTGCCATCCAATGCAACCATTACGCAATGTTATGATATCGGTTGTGTTCTTGACCGGAGTAACAATTTGGTACGTGCATTCCCATTCACAGTCTGTCACTTCTATCCCCGCCGCACCCCCCGCCGCACCCCCCGCGACACCCCCCGCGACACCCCCCGCCGCACCCCTTGATAGAGTCCATATCAATGCTGACTATACTCCGAAGTTCCCCATCCTTTCTGCCCATTTGCGATCTCGCGTATCATTCTCTCTGAACGCGATGCATGCATTTGGACATCAATGGGCCTGCCAATTGGTCTACAACCCACGCATGAAGTTGGGTATGGGTCTCACTGATTCAGAAGGTGTAGAAAGACTTTGGTCAAGGATAAGAAGATTGATTCCTCTGACTCGTAATCAATGGGTATCCCTACATATTTCTGTTGCTGTTTATCATTCTCACACATCCACAGACCTCACGGCGCATAGCCACCCTAGATGAATTTGTTTCCTTTGTCAATCATGAAGGAATCATCAGTCTAGGTAGTTGGATTGAACGGCAACTCAATAAGAACATTCCCCAAAAGATCAATCAGTCCATGAGACGGATCAATGCTGCAGGCGTGGCCATTCATGACTTGCGATCACACTGGCAGGCTCAACTGAGTGCCCAGGTATCACTTCATTCAAGTATATCATCTTCCCTTGAGAAGGATCTTCACTCAAAACACTCTCCCAGGCCCCCCTGTTCGAGTCCAACGTGAGCTCGGCAAGATAGTCAGCCTTCAAAATCAAATTGAAGATATTGATGACACTCTGGAGCAACTCCAAAAGACTGTCGAAGATAGACAGAGCTCGGAGTCAGCACATATTGCGATCCAGGATCTGCAATCCACTCATGTCAAGCTCAGTCAACAAGCTGAGCATCTGTTCACTTCACTCAACCTGGAGACTCATTATCCAGAGCTGGCTGGACTTCCCTTTGAATTTGTGCAGATCCTGCTGCTGATGAGGGACCTCAAGATTCAGATTCGCAAACAAGCAATTGGGACATTTTTGGAATGGGAGAATTTAGACCGTGCTGTCCAAGGACGACGGGAGCCACTGGGTAAGTCCCTCCCCCATGCGCCCCCAAATTCACCCCCGCCCCGCGCGCACACCCGCGCGCACCCCCGCGCGCACCCCCGCGTACACTACGCCACCGCACTGACATGTTTCCATCTGCAATCTAGGTACGAAGCTTCATCAAGCAGCGCGTAAAGCTCTTTCGAAACGTCAGCCAACGCTGCATCGTCTTATCGACAAATTCAATTCCTTTTGCTCTCGACTGGAAGAGATTCAGCCTCCACACTGCTCTGTTCCCATCCCTCTCCCACTTCCTACCAAGCTAAACGAGCTCAAGTCTCATACCAACCTCTTCGAAGATGTATGGATCACTCCCTCGGAAGGGGATGTCCCATTGTGGCTCTGCGATGAAAATGTCCGTCAGGGAATTTCAAGTCTCCATGTACTGGACCGCTGTCATGAGGAAGGGCTTCGCCTGTCCCGAGAGAGCGAAAACATGCTGCGTTGGATTGATCAAGAGTCTTTGCTGCTTCTTTCAGCAAAGGATTGCATTTCAAGTGCGTTGTTCATTACTCTCTGTCAAGTGACTGGACACTTCTTATGCTAGATCACATTCTGCAACATGAGCTGGAGCAAGAAATCAACTTTCTTCGACGTGTTGCATCAAGATGGCGCCGTCAATTGCAAATTCCTCAACCTCGGCTGCTGGCTATGGACCCGACACTCTCTGTCAGCTCCCACAATTTCACCCCCACTGCGACCCCCGCCGCAGCCCCCGCCGCAGCCCCCGCCGCAGCCCCCGCCGCGACCCCCGCCGCGACCCCCGCTGCGCCTCTGAACCCAGAACCCACGATTGAGGAACACACAAACCAGGTGGAAGCTGATCCTCTTGAAGATGACATGAATCAGTCTCTATGGGTTGATTCTGAGGACATTTCCGTCGATGAGGTTGCAGCCTGTCCCTCAGACTCAGAAGAGGCTCTTGCCGTATCAGATATGATGGAAACAGATGATGACGAAGACACAGCAACACTTGAACGTGACAATTGCCATGTCAGAATATCCTGGGCTTCATTCACAAAGGTATGTGTAACGCTTCCACGAAAGCAAATAATGCTGATCTAGAACAGTCTCGATCCACTTGTGACAACAATCTCCTGAGAGATCTCACAGCACATGTTGCCAAATTTTCCGTGATACGTGATCTCCAAACTCGTGTGGTTGTCCTCCCTGGAAACCTGCCCGCTGTTGCAGTCTATCAAAGTGATTTAGCACTACTCACAGGATCAACAGCCCGATTAAATGGACACATCCTGAACAGTGTGTCAGCAGCCATTCTCTCATGGTGCATGCAACCCTTCTCGCTGCATGCCCTGTCTGCACAGAGATGCGCCCTTCTTTCCACGTATGATCTACATCGAGTCCGTTTCAATGCTCCTGATAAGGTTATCTGGAAAAATCTGGCCCCTACGGAGTATTGGAATAAGTCAATCTGGATTATTCCAGTCCACCGGCAAGCCCAGGAACACTGGGCTCTTGTCATTGTCCTGGTACATGAGCAAAAGCTCCTCCTCTTCGACAGCTTGGCTCAGAAGCGTCCGTGGTATACTGATACAAAGGTGTGTTTCATTTTTTTTCTCAACATAGGAGCTGAAAAAGACCAGAATGTCATGTTACTGGTGACCCGCATGACACTCCTGGCACATCGAAACGGATATGCGCTCCCTTTGAGTTTGGATGGGGAGGCCTGGACTGCAGAGCCCATGATTTCCACTGCAGTTCAGTGCAACAGTTACGATTGCGGTGTTTGGGTCCTTGTCATTATTGCAGCTGTTCTGCGCGGAATGCTGGGATCTAACATCGCTGAACCACAAATTCCGTTTCTACGGCACACTCTCACCAACTTCATGCTCACGCTTCCATGCGTGCCGGCCTGACTCTCTGCACGCAAGAGCCAGGGTGCTGCGGGGGGTGCCGCGAGGGGGGGTGCCGCGGGGGGTGCCGCGGGGGGTGCTGCGGGGGGTGCCGCGGGGGGTGCCGCGGGGGGTGCCGCGGGGGCACAGTCTCGGTGGCTACATACAGTCCAAGATTCATTTGCCCAGGAAGGCCAGATTGTACAGTTTCATGTAGCGCTTTGCTTCCCACTGTAAAAATATCTCCAGCATCTCGCTCTCACGTGAGAACTCATCCTCCTGGTAACGTCCCTGCTCTCTCAGCTTGAAGGCCCTCTCCCAGCGTGCAAGAGTAGCACTCGCATCCCCTGCTAAATGAACTAGCTCCCCGCTCTCAAACATTTTCCTGTTCTCTGCATCAACGGACTGCTGGATGCCAGCATGAATTCCATGCATGACATTCTTGAGATTTGAAGTATAGGCCTGATAGCCTGGGGAGTTGACGGGAGTTGTGTCCTCCATAGAAACGAAAGGAGGTTCACAAAGCCATCGACCACAATCCGACAAATCCAGCGCTTCAGGATTGGATAGTGCACGTCTGAAGAAATCATTTTCGGTTGGCACTGCCAGTGTCCCGTAGTTGATCAACTGCTCAGGGGGTATAGCAGCGTCAGGTAGGGTCTTTATCGCCCCGCTTTTCTGACTCTTCTTGGCCACTCTTGTGGATCTACGTTGGGTTTGGCCGCTGTGGATATAATGTATCAGGGAAAGATCGACTTCACCGATAAGGCCTTACCGCATGCTGGAGACATATTTGACGTCTCTGGCAGCCTTTGCAACTTTCCGATCGGCAACCGTAAGGGAAATTGCACGGCGACCCATTTTCGAGATGACGGTGAGTGATAAGTTCCTGTGAGACTTGAGTGCCCTTGACTCACTTTCGAGAATCAACTTTTTTCTTACAAAACTGCATGAAACTTCTATTGGGAACAAAAGGAGTGATTCATTCGAGACCATTCCGTACATTTCCGAGGTCCAAGCACCCTCTACTGAGCTGAAATTCATTTGTAGATATGTGTACGACGTTTATTCTCAGTCCGATTGGCTGCCTGGTGACATGTTCCGGGACGTCGAGTGTGTGAAAATTACGTGTAAGACTCGGAAGGAACCGCCATCAAGTGCGCGGGGGGTGAAGCTGAGGTGCGGCCGGGGTCGCCAACAGGGCAGCAATATAGCGGGCTCATGGCGGCGGCCGCGGCGGGGGGTCTGCCTATGACTTCACCGTGACACATCGTGATTGATGTGACATGCATCGCAATTGAACGCGCTCTCTTCCTGTCCTCCCACTGCAGCAGTACCCTTCCTGTAGGTCCCCATCTGAAACCCAATTCGCGTCTGCTGACCATGTCTGATCTGCTTAGCGCGCGTTTCCAAAAAAACCGAATCTTTTCTTGCTTGCATTCTGGGCCAAACGGGCCCTCACATCTGAACCACACGATTCACATCCGACAACCTCTCCTCTCGCCCTCAACTTAGTGACGCGTGAAAAGACTCTAGAAATGAAGACCGGTGGTCGCGACGGAGCTGGTGACGCGTTGAAGGCCGGTGCCTCTGGTGAGCACAATACCGGCTCCGACATGTCGACCAACACGGTCGACCCCTTCCTGAACAACTTCTCCTTCCCGTTGCCGCCTCCTGTAAACGACTCTGCCGATGCTTCGGGTGGCCGACCCGCCGCGATGGGGCCATCGCAGCCTTCTCTCCCCTCATCCAGTCCTGTTTCATCCATGGACGCGCGGTCTCCGCAGGCCATCCCCTTTTCCATCCCCGCTTCGGCTCTGCAGCAGGTCTCGATCTCTCGTGGACTTCGCGTCGGGACGAGAACTCCGCGTGGGCAGCCCAAGACGCCTCCTCTTTCCGTTCCACCCATTGCCACTCTTTCCGTTCCGCCCATCGCCACTCTTTCTCCTGAGGCCCCCCCCTTGGAAGCTCTCCGCGGGCTCTTTGCACTTCCGGGCAACGACAACGACAGCGAGGAGGTCCCAACGCAGGAGGGGGGCGGGTACGAGCTCCGGCAGAAGATTACCGCGTCGCGCAGAGGCCACAGTCTGGCTCAATCAGCCAACGCGGCACGACAGGCTCGGGTCCTCGCAAGTGCCGGAGCTGAGGAAACCCCCAACAGCTCCATGCCATCCCCTCAGGATGAGCTCACGGCCCAAACTGCTGGCGAGCATGGAGCCGCCTCCGGGGACCTGGCGCGTCCGAACGAATGGAGCATCTCTGAAATCGACGCGGAGGGAGAGGAAGACATTTCGGCCGGCCCCTCACTTTCCTCACAGGTAGCACAACCCTCTTTCATTGTGCGGCCGGTGGTGGGCATCGACACAGAGCAGAGGATGGCCCAACATTCGGACGCTCACAGGTAAGTCTTCAAGCTTCTTGATCCTCCCTTACATGTTTCCTTACAATGCAATTGCAGCGAAAACGTGCTCCGTATGCCGAGCCCACACGTCCCTTCTCTTGAGGTAGGCCCGTCCGCTGGCGCCGCTCCCAACCCTGCTCCCGCCGTGGCACCCCCTGCCACAACCCCCGCCGCGTCCCCCGCCGCGTCCCCCGCCGCGTCCCCTGCCGCGTCCCCTGCCGTATCCCATGCCGCACTCCCTGCCTCTATCGCTACCCCCGAAAACGCCGCTGCGGAATACGAGGAAGACGTGGAATTTGGGCGGGTCCTGAAGGAGCGGTCGCAAGAACAACGCAATCTCTTACTGGCAACTGCCGAAGAGATTGGGATGCTCATCACAAAGACGGCGAAGCTGACCGGCTGGAACGAGAATAAGGTTGAGGCCAAGCTTCACGAGCAGTACCCGCGGCTTTTCCCTGCACGAAACTACTACTGGAACGTCTACCAGCGGTACGCAAATCATCCCCGCTTCCGTGGCCGCGAGTGGCAACGACGCACTGGCGGGGATCTCAGCCAGTTCCCTGATCAGCTCCCCCCGGCCCAACGATCGAGCGAGCTCTCAAACTCGTGGTCGGAATTTGTCAAAGCGCACACTCCTGCTGCGCTGGTGGAAGTACTGGACACATTCGTTGAGTGGGAGCAGGTGACGGAGCTGCGTACCTTGGGAAATCGGCAGAAGCTGTTCGATGGATGGCTTGGTAAAATGAAGGCCTTGGTGAGTGCACAATCATCTTGTGATCTTCTCTAACTGGATTCAGATCAAGCGCGGAGAGGCCGGGGGCAACTTCAAGGTTCTGATGATTGCATTGGGAGGTTTCTCTTCGCACGAAGCCCGGCTTGCATCCATCGTCGCAAGCGGAGGACTGGACGATGTGAGCAAGCTATCTTTCTATTGGAACGATCTCACCAAAATTCCAGTTTCTGTCCACTCTGTATCACGGCGAGCTGAGTGACGAGGAGGTAATCAGCCGTGCTCAGCATCACGTTGCGTAAGTCCTTGTGGTTCTCATGTGGATGAAAGAGTCTGATCTGTTTCGATTACAGCAGCTGGATGATTCAGGACGCGGATGAGGCACGCGATGCGTTGCTTGCAGTCGACGACCATGCGACTGGCACGGGTGACCTCACCACACCAGCAATCACCCCCGTCCGCGCCTCCGCTGTCACCCCCGTCCGCGCCCCCGCCGCCACCCCCGCCCGCGCCCCCGCCATCGCACCGACGCGTTCTTCCACTCGGGCCGCTGCTCCCAGCTCATCTGCCAACCCCCTGGCTCAGCTGCGAGCACAGGTTCCCCCACGTTACAAACTCCAACCGCTGTACGAGGCTCCGCTGACGCAACGGGAGGTTGAGGAGAACATCCAGAACATCTGCGATGCGATGGAGGGGGACTCCAACCAGCGCTCCAAAAGGTCCATGAAGGTGAACCGTCTCTGGGACAATCTCCTCGATGACTTGAGTGCTCTGTCGATGGCCCAGATTGGCAGTGAACCCGTTGGGTCCATGACCAATATGAGCCAACGGACTTTCCAGTGGAAGAGCGCCGGTCCAGCCCTTTTCAAGGGGGGATACATGTTACTCGGATGGCCCCATCTGCTTCCCCTGCCGACCAAGCTCGGACAAACTGACAAGGGTATACGCTCGCTGGCGGCATCGCAGCAGAGCATACTTGCGACCGCCATCAAGTACTCGCTGAATGAGGTGTTCGAGGGGCGTGAGCCAGCGGGAATATCCTTCTTTGACAATGACTGCCGGGATCCCCGTGAGTGTATCTCATTCATGTGCCTTTTGCAAAATCTGACTTCTTTTCCAGGCATGCCCGTGCTTGCCGCGTTCCCCCAAGGCGTTGGATCTAACATCGCGTTCAGTGGCTCTGAATTCGTACTTGGGGTGACTGGCCAGGGAGACCCGTGCTACTTCAGGCTCAACCTCCTGGATCCAGACCCAACACGACGATATCTGGACTTTAGCATTGTGGTGAAGAACGAGTCCGGCGACTATGCTCTCCCTGCACCTCCCGCTGCCTCCCCCTCCGATCCTGCACCTGCTGCTCGTGTGTTGAGCACACCAACCCGAAAGCGCCGCCGTGGACACGCCGCCGCACCCCCCGCCGCACCCCCCGCGGCGGCCCCCGCGGCGGCCCCCGCCGCACCCCCCGCCGCATCCCCCGCGCCCAGCTCCCCAACTGACTTGGGGCTGTCTCCCACGCCAAAGCCTGCTTCACCGCCGCCTGCGACGAAGAAGGTCAGTGGCAAGAAGCGAAAGGCTGATACGGCAGTGGAGGCTCCTGCTCTCCGTCGCAATCCGAAGCGCACCAAGGCGAATACTGGCGCTCCATCCAAACCATCTCAACAAGTCGGTGGAGGCAAACAGCGTCAAGTTTCGACTCCTGGTTCGGAGTACGTGCCAACCCCGGCTGCTCCTTCGGACGCATCGGATGTTCAAAAGGACGCTGGTCAGTACCTTGCCACCCTTTATGGACATGATAATCGTCCTATGGGCTTTGTCCTCCCCCAGAAAAAGCGCCGATCTAAATTATTCCCAGTGGTTTTGACGCGCAAGGTGCCGCGACCGAACAAGCGCCGCTTGCAAGAGATGAACGCGCCTTCCCCTGAGCTCTCTTCCCCTGAGAGTGAAGAGGAAGTGGTGCAGGCGCCTCCCCCAAAACGCCCCCGCCCGCGCCCCCGCCAAGCCAACGCGGTCGCCAGCAGTTCGCGGCACACGCTTGATGGTCCCCCGGCGGTGCAGGTGCCCAGCGCTGCGATCGAACAGCAAGAGGTCTTTGGCTCGGGCCAGGCACCCAAGTTGGTGTCACAGTCGACAATCGCTCATCTGGAAACTGCGGCACCCCCCGCCTCTTCACCCACCGATGCCCCCGCGGCCAACCTTGCTGCATCCACAGCGACGAGTTCCACGGCAACTCCTGCTGTTGATCCCGCCGCCGCGATGCTAAGCATATTCAGTGCTCCCTCCTTCCAAGCAATGATGGCAGGGGTTATCCGCAGTGCGGTCCAGGAGGAGCTGGCCAAAAAATGAGTTTGAACATTGTATCCTGCAACAGTGTATTCTGCATCTTGTGTTTGGATGGTGGACAGTTTTCTTGCACATCTTCTTTGTAGATTACTTTTGGGATTGTTTTTTTACAATATCTTGTTCTGTATCTTTCATACACGAAATCGATCTGCCCTCCCCCCCCTTCCGGCTGTGGTATATTTTGTGAAGAATGTGAGAAATTTTCCTCAACCATGGTAAGTTTCGGTAATGCTTGAACAATAATCATATCCACACAAAATATTATCGATGCAGCAACATGTTGCTTGGGCCATGCATCGTCTTTGGGTAGAAATTTTCTCTTCAACAGACATCGAGGAGTGCACAGGGCATCCATTTCAAACTTTTACTGACGCGTGCCAATTTGCAAACAAAGTGTACTGTTGTATTGAAATGTGGCATTCGCCCTGAGGCAATAGAGGGCTCCACTTAGAAACCAAAGATTTCATTAGCTGATCCGGCATGTTCCAGCAGCAAGCCAGCCCAGCAGAAACCCAACAGGAAACCCGCGATCAGCTCCCACGTGCACCGGGCGGTGACCCCCGCGGCGACCCCCGCGGCGACCCCCGCGGCGACCCCCGCGGCGACCCCCGCGGCGACCCCCGCTGCAACCTCCGCGGCGACCCCGGCAGCAACCCCCGCGGCGACCCCCGCGGCGACCCCCGCGGCGACCCCCGCGGCGACCCCCGCGGCCACCACCACAGACGCCAATGGATCACGCGCCTCACCAATCCAATGATCAAGAGTGAGCTCAAATTCTTGACTTCATGGCTTTCGAACTCTGCTACTCACGTTGGATTATCACTAGGATCATGTTCAGTTTGGCCATTTGCCTCTGTGTAAACATGAAAAACTTCCTCCATGAGGCAGATGGCTACAGAGAAGAGCGGCGCATGAAACAAAGCAGCCAATTCTGCAAGGGATGTCCTCAATCACAAATATGAACCACAGCGTGAGCGTACAAGTATGGAACAGATCAACCCCGCAGATGACCCCGCCAGATGATGGGATCATGCCCATCACTGCTGCAGCGCGGGGGGCGCAGCGGTCCAGGTTTTGCATTCAGTGCTTCGCTTTTTCGATATTTGAGGCACAGGACAGACTGGAATAGCATCCCGGTTTTTCCGGCAGCTATTTTTGTTTTTTTTTTGCGCTCGGTCACGTGACCAAACTGCCCGCCGCCCCCGCGCATTGTGCACCGTGGAGAGCCCTGAAAATCGCACCGAATGGCGGCAAAAAAGATGGGAGGAGGTCACGTGAATGTGCGCCTACCGCCCGCCGTGGCATGCGGGGGGGTCGGTAATGACCCCGCCAGCACCCTGCCAGCCCCCGCCAACATTTTAAAAATTATCACTTCAGCTGTCACGTGCTTTTTTTATCCCGCCATCCCGCCCATGCAGCGCGTCATGTGATTGGATTTTTTTTTCCCGCCCAGCTACCCGCTCTTATCGACAAGTCACATGCTACATACACCCCCCCTCCTCCTGACCCCCGCATATGCCCCCGCTACAAAATCGACTAAATGGCCCCCCCACCCCCCGCCAGGGGGTACCTACTGGGTACCCTCAGCAAGACGTCTGAGGGTACCCAGTAGGTACCCCGCGGGGGGAGAACCGCGTGATGGCGGTGGTAACTGAGGTGTGAGATGGTTTTGTTCAATTAAGACATGACACAAGAAACATTGAGAAGAGGCAAGCGACAGTCAAGCTTGCCTGCGCACCAGTCACTTGGTGACCACTTACTGTAAAAGCGCTCAGCGGGGAAACAGCAGCATGAAACAGCTTGGCATCACCTTACAGTCATTACAGCGGTTCCCGAAAACCTTGAGACTCACGAAAAAAATATTTTGTACGCATAGACATGATCGATCTTTGATGCCCCCCCTGTCTGCAATAAGCGGCCGAAGCGAGTAAAGATAGTTCTGCCATCCTTGCTAGACTCGTCGACAGTCACCATCATTGAAGACAGGAATGTCGTCTGGACGGTGTGCATCCATTCCTCCCTTGCCATTTCATCTCTTGCAATCCAATCCACGATCTCGTCAAGATACATTTCTGGCAAGTCTTGAAGCAGGGAACTGATATGGTGGAAAGGCATTGAGCCGAGCCGAGCCTAGCTCGCTTCGGCCGCTTATTGCAGACAGGGAGGGCATCAAAGATCGATCGTGTCTACGCATAAAATTTTTTTTTTGTGAGTCTCAAGGTTTTCGGGAACTGCTGTAATTCAAACTGTGGGTGTCTTGACGAGAGTGTGTCACGTGAGCTGAACTTATTCAATCACAGGCAGGCAGGTGCAGATTGATGGGAGTGATGGCGTTGTTGGGAGGGGCTGTTGCCGGATGGTGTGGGATGCAAGGTGGGCTGCCTGTGGATGCTGTAAATACGGTAGGTGTTGGGGAGTTATTATATTTTTATTGCACCCGTGGGGTTTGCTGGGCTGCGCAAGTGAGTGCAATAGGTCCCTGGTAGCTGCCATGGCTGCGCGTCGCAGAAGGCCGAGCCTGTGATACGTTGTGCGGGCTCGGGCGTTCGGCCCAAACGCCCGGATACCCAGTCTCGAGTTCTCGAAGCCTAGACCGGCTTTGCTTTGCACCATTACGGAACTGACATAAAGGGTAATGCCCGGGGGCTCACAAGCTACTCGCCCATTCTGTTCATCAGCTCACTTCAGTGAGATCTCGGGCCGACCACCAGCATCTGATCGGCTTTCATAGCCACCCATTGATCGATCCGCATTATGAGTGATGCTCGAGTGGCAAGCAAAAGTCGAAGATAGAGAGCAGACTAGTCCCTCAAGGCCCCAAGGGTCATAAATTGAGTGGCAGCAGCACCTCGTAAGTCTATGCTAGCCAACGCCGAACGAAGCGCTTTTCACGCAGCGTCACGCCTCTCCAGGCACTCTTGATTGCTTGAAGCTGCCGAGGGAGAGATCAGTCTATCAGAAATTACATAAGCCGATAAAGGAATTCACGAGTGGATGAGCGACTTAGAATTGAGCCGCCATATTAGATCATCAGTCATCTCTCCTGCATGCCCCTGTTTGCATCGCCGCAGTCAAGGACACAGTCCTGACACCGCAGTCTTGATATCCGAAGCTTCGCGAGCATCCTCGACGATTCTTCGTTATAAACTGCTGCGCTCTACTCTTTGTTGGACTTTGGAACAAACACCTGCACGTGTAGCGCCTGCCAATTGTCTATGGTCATAATCTCGAAGGAATCAGAATGCAGGCCCTCCTCCTTAGACGAAGAAACCATGGATCGCCCAAGTGAACAAGACGTGACTCTTCCGCCATACTCCGAACTCTTTGACTCCGGCCCTCTTGAGGGATCGGCATTCCGAGGTGCGTGTGAGGATCTGTTGTTCTGAGCTGCACTAACACTACCCCGGCCTCTCTCTCTACTAGACGATGGACGCGTTGACCTCGACCTTGGCTCAAAGCTCGCGAGGACGTTATCCGTCCTCGGCCCCCCGAAGGTGCCAGACGACGAACCCACATCGCCCGGAGCATCAGCACCGCGCGAATGGAAGATCAAACTCAACATCGTTATCCAAGTCGTCGGAAGTCGCGGAGACGTGCAGCCCTTCATCGCGCTCGGAAATGCACTCCAGGCTTTCGGGCATCGTGTGCGGCTCGCCACCCACGACGTCTTCGAAGACTTCGTTAGGAAGTCCGGACTGGAGTTCTTTCCCATCGGCGGTGACCCCGCAGATCTCATGGCGTACATGGTCAAGAATCCCGGACTGATCCCGGGCATGAAGAGTCTCCGCGAGGGTGATATCCAGCGCAAGCGAGGGATGATGGCGGAGATCCTCGAAGGGTGCTGGCGCAGCTGTGTCTCACCAGATCCAATCTCGAAGAGACCATTCGTCGCGGAGGCGATTATTGCCAACCCGCCCAGCTTTGCCCATTTACATTGTGCTCAGGCCCTGAGTATTCCAGTTCATTTGATGTTCACCATGCCGTGGTCCAGCACGCGCGCGTTCCCCCACCCTTTGGCGAATCTCACTCACAAAGACAAGTCCTCCGACTTGAGCATGGCGAATTATGTCTCATATGCTGTCGTCGAGTTGTTGACCTGGCAAGGGTGAATCTACCGATTTATGCTCTTCGTCCCACTGATAAACTCGCCAGTCTTGGAGACATCATCAACCGGTGGCGACATTCACTCGACCTGGAGCCTATCCCTATGACAGAGGTTCCGTATCTCACCGAGACCCTCAAGATACCCTTTACATACTGTTGGTCTCCTGCCCTGGTCGCCAAACCATCCGACTGGCCGAGACGCATTGGTAAGCGCGATCGATCAGCACCATAACTGGGCTGACCAAGATAGATGTCTGCGGTTTCTTTTTCCGCAACCCGCCCCCGTATTCTCCGCTTCCAGAAGTCGAGGCATTTCTGAAAGCTGGCCCGCCACCCATCTATATCGGGTTTGGGAGCATCGTGCTTGACGACCCTGACCGGATCAGTAAGAGTATCTTCAGTGCGATCCGTCGGGCGAACGTGCGGGCTATCATCTCGAGTGGGTGGAGCAAACTTGCAGGACCTGCTTTGAACGATGTGTTGTTTATCGGAGACTGTCCGCACGAATGGCTTTTCCAGCAAGTTTCAGCTGTAGTTCACCACGGCGGTGCAGGAACTACAGCCTGTGGGCTGAGATATGGAAAGCCGACTGTTATCGTTCCCTTCTTTGGGGAGTGAGTACCTGCATTTGCATCTGATCTTTAGAGTGCTGAAAACCTTCAGTCAACCTTTTTGGGGACGCATGATCGCTGATTCGGGGGCTGGACCTGAGCCTATTCCCCACAAAGCCTTGGATGGCATGCGACTGGCCCAGGCGATCCTTTTCTGTCTGACAGCCAAAGCGCAGATTGCTGCTCAGGACATCGCAGCAAAGATGGCCTCCGAACGAGGCGTTGATGCTGCCGTTTCTTCTTTCCACAACAATCTCCCACCCGATATGCAATGCGATTTGTTCCCTGAGAGACCTGCGGCATGGACTGTCCGGAAGAAGAGCCATGTGAGACTATCCAAGCTTGCTGCAGAGATCTTGATCCAGAGTTCATACATCACTCCCTCTTCGCTGAAGCGGTCAGCCTTTCCCCAATCTCACTGCGTTCGAATCTGATCTTTGCCAGTGTTCGAACGAAGGTCATTCGTATTGTGAATCGACGATGGGATCCGGTCACGGGGCTTTATTCTGCTGCAATAGCGACTGCTGCAAATATGGTCGAAGCCACCGCCGATATGGTGGTGAAACCTTACGCCGAACTCAACCGATTCCGCGCATCTGCTCCTCCGGTGCCACCTCCCAAGGACCGTTTTCAGCTTCGCAACGATTCCTCCTCGCTAGAGTCCCGGGATTTGGATATGGCTGCACAGAGCACTTCCGATCTGTCACGATCGGAGGACCTAGGCGAAGGAACGAGCACTGGCTCGTCCAACAGACTGCATTTAGCAGGTGCAATGGCGGCGGCTTCTGGCAAAAGCTTCAGTCGATTCCTCGGGACCGGCCTCAGAGGGATGATTCTCGACATGCCTCTGGCTGTGACTGAGGGAATGCGCAATGTCCCGCGGCTGTACGGCGACGAAGTGAAGGACATGGGCCCCGTCGATGGATGGAAAAGCGGTTCAGTCATGGCCGGCAAGAATTTCGTCTCGGGTGTCTACGAAGGCCTGACCGACATCGTGGTCCAGCCGTACAAGGGAGCCAAAAGCGGCGGCGTGCTGGGTGCCACGATCGGGGCTGGGAAAGGTGCCGTCTCGCTCGCAACCAAGCCCATCTCTGCTGCACTCGGTTTGGTGTTTTATCCTGGGCAGGGTGTATACAAAAGCGTTTGGAAGGCAACGCATGCCGATACCAAGAGGGATGTGTTGGACGCATCTCGCGAGGAAGGGAGATGGTTGTTGGCGCAACAGCCGACTAATATTGACTATTCTTGGGTGATATCCTCGTTCAAGTACGGTGACTTGAGGGATCCCGATCTCGACGAGTCTTGAATCCGCAGAATATTCACATGCATCCCCTCGAAGCTGATAGAAAAATGTTCTATGTAAGTAGGAATAGAAAAAAGTCAAACAGTGATATGTTGCAAATACAGTGGAATCTACTAAAGGATACAGCGGATAAATTCGACCTCTCATTCTTCCATCACAGCATCTTCGTCTACTTGGGCAGCACTCCACCATGTAATCGGTCCCAGGCCTTGCTCTCCGATGGATGCCTTCAGTCCCGTTACCGCATTGAATATGTACTGGAAATGCCTGACTCACAGTAATTGTAAAAGGGGCTCGGGTCTGAGCTTCCTTGACGACTTGCACTCCTTCTGCCATCTTCGCTGGCCCGGGTTCCTCGTCGTAGAACTCGTCGCTTTCTACCCGTATCCGCATAATTTCGCCCTTGTCCATCCACATGCGTTCCACCAGTGGCGAATCAAGCAGCTCTCCTTCCCCGAGTTCAGAATTTGGCAACCAGAAATGAGCGCGTTCGTTGGGATCACTGTCATTTACGGATCAGTCGCAAGGGAATGCAAAGGAAGCGGTTACAGACAAGGCATTTGGTGTCGGGAGATAATGTACCGGCACGTATATGTCGTCGAAAAAGTCGAGAGATACTGCCGTGGCTTAGTCCAGAAGCTAATCGACGCGCAAACCGTTCGTCCTTACATCGGATCCCATTCTGGTCCGAAGACATGACCTTTGCAAGTAAAACCTCGGATTGAAACGGCCGGAAGATCACCATCCGGAAGACGACTTTGGAGGTCTCTAAGTCGGCTGGACTCTATAGACTGACCCACGCACCTTTGTACCATAGATATCCGTCCCCATACCTCACTTTGCCTTCTCCAGCCTCTGTCAGATCGAAGACACACATGCACAGTCCAACGTCGTGCAGAACGCGATTGGCATATTTTTTGTTGAGTTCGGTGATGATGGCTTGCTCTGCGGGACCTCCGAAGTCGAGAGGATGCACTGAGACTGTGTCCTTCAAGATGGCCAAGTTGAACATCCGAGTTCACCGTTGGAAAGGCTGCCGATAGATATGCACAACCGGTAGATTCGTTGAGACGCGAAGAACGCGCTTATGGCTGGCACGTGCATAATGATGACACCTCGATCATAAAATTTCGTCCATTCCGTGCCGACAATTGTCGCGTTCCACGACTCACTTCTGTACCGCGAAGTTACCCAAAGCCAACTAGACCTCAACACTGTCGACACAACCCTGCAGCTTTGAACGAACAACACCCTCTCTCTCATGGCTGAATCTGTTGACCAAAAACCGACTGCGGGGAGCTCACTTCTTCCCGCAAGATCATGGCAGCATTTCGTCGCTGGAGGGTGCGCTTATTTCCTTGCTACAACGGCGACAGCGGAAAGCTTAAATAGATGCCCTATGCAGTCTAGGAGGCATGTGTGGAGCTATCGTGACGAGTCCTTTCGATGTTGTCAAGACGCGGCTCCAGTCAAGTCTATTCCGTGAAAAGCATGCGACCATGGCAGTGGCTGGTGCAAATAGTGCCGGTACATTGTCTGCCCCAAGACCGGGTGGGGTTTTGTACAATTTCGTGGAAACTGGGCAAATTCTACGGTGCGTCCATCTGGCTCTTCCGGAGGTCTGGGTCGCTGAGTGCATCCCTTGGAACTCATTAGGGATATCTACCGAGAAGAGTCACCCCGTGCCCTTTTCCGAGGGCTAGGGCCAACCCTTGTTGGCGTCATCCCGGCCCGATCTATCAACTTTTTCACCTACGGAAACGGCAAACAGATCATCGCAAATCACTTCAACGACGGCAAGGAAGCTACCTGGGTCCACCTTGTTGCAGCAGCTTGCGCTGGGGTTGTAACAGGAACGGTCACGAATCCGATTTGGGTCGTCAAGACGCGATTACAACTGCAGTCAAATATGCAAGGTAGCAGCGGCGATCCCTTGGGTGGGAGCTGGAAGACTATCAAGACGATTATGGCCGAAGAGGGTGTCCGTGGCTTCTATAAGGGTCTCAGTGCCAGCTATCTCGGCGTCACCGAGGGAACAATACAATGGGTCTTGTACGAGCGGCTAAAGCGGCTCAGCGCCAACTCCGAAAACAAGGGCGGGGTGATGGAATGGCTGGGTATGCTGGGAAGCGCAGGAACCGCGAAATGTGTTGCCAGTCTGATCACGTATCCTCATGAGGTGAGCCCGAAATTTCGACTCTTCTCCACGCAGAAACTCAACGTCGTTTCCCTAGGTCATTCGTACTCGACTACGACAACCCAAAGTCAATGGCGTCATGAAATACACCGGTCTGGTTCAGACTCTTCGACTGGTCATTGCCGAGGAAGGTGCTCGAAGACTTTACGGCGGGCTCAGTGCCCATCTCATGCGTGTTGTACCAAACGCAGCTGTGATGTACTCGATCTACGAGGGCATTCTGCGCTGGGGTAACTAGAATTCTCCTATCTCCCTCCAAAAGTGGTCTGGTCATGTAGACCTACTTACACCCCACCTCATTTACGCCCTGTTAACATCAGCTTTCTGTATCATACACATCATGCTATTCCGTATTGTATAACTCTAATATTGTACCTCTAGCCTGCACTACTTTTGACATAGACGTATACCCTTTAAAGCACACTGCCAAGTCTTAGTTCGTGAGGACTTCAATTCCCGTAACCAGAACTCGCACGGGACTGGAACGAAACAAGCGCACACATCGCGTCTCTGCTCTAATCACCACGATGGCCGACCGCTCTCGACGTGAAAAAGTGTCCAAGCTCGATAAGCTTGCCGAATACAAACTTGCTAGGCAAGGTGGAGGTCGCGTACGACGGGTTAGCTGTCATAATATGCCTCTATCTTCATCTGCTGACGCGCGCGGTAGACCGAAGACGTGGACCTTTATGACGAAGTCTCCGAGGAGCAGTACAGAAGCATCGTACGTGGGCGGCTGCAGAAGGACGACTTTGTTGTGGACGATGGCGTTGATGGGTACGCGGACAATGGCATTGAGGACTGGGATGTACAAGAGGAACACGACTACGACTCGGAGGAGGAAAGCGCGTCCAAGAAGAAGAGCAAAGGTTCTTTAATAGGTGATCATGCAGCATTGAGCGCGTTCTGACGTGTTTCTCAGCGAAAAACGCGTCCAACAAGTCGAAACCCAAGCTTCCTCCTCCGAAGCCAACAATGGCTGCTTACCGACCCGCCATCTCCAAGGAGGATGAGAGCGATTTCCTGGCCTCTCTTATGGGAGAAATGGACTCTATGCCTGTCGAGTTACCGCTTCCGCCACCAAGATCGCGCAAGCGAAAACCATCGCCTGCCTATCGTCCTACGTACTCGTACGCCGACATGTCTTCTGATGGCCTCGTGCCCGAGCCATCGAGCGACGACTTGGGATTCAGTCCTCAAAAGAGAGTCAGGATAGATAACGACGATATCATCCCTGGAGTGGATCGCCTGGCCGTTGACAGTGGTTCAGAAGGCTTTGATGACATCGACATGACTTCATTCAACGACTTCGACGACCTTGACGATGACTTTGCCATGGAAGTCGATGAGAAGAAGCCCCGACTTCACATCCCCAAGGTCGTTGCCAAGACTTCTGCTGTAAAGAAGGAGGAGGAAGTGACTGCTGCATGGCTTGCTACATATCAATCTCTGTCGGCCAACCCCCCTGACGAGATTGGGATTTCATCGAGCTCTTCCGGCCCCAGTAATGTCGATGCTCTTGAGCCTGACGGATCGCTGCGTTTCTTCTGGCTGGATTACCTGGAGAACGATGGACGTTTGTACTTCGTCGGCAAACTCAAAGACAAGACGACGCAGAACTGGGTATCTTGCTGCGTCACGGTCGAGAACCTGCAACGCAATATCTTTGTCTTGCCTCGCACGAAACCGGACGAGTTTGGCGACGTTCCAGGTCTACAGGATGTGTACAACGACTTCGACATGTTGCGGAAGAAGATGCAGGTTTCTTCATGGAAAGGCAAGTTCGTCAAAAGAAATTACGCGTTTGGAGAGGTGGATGTACCGAGAGAAGAGACTCAGTGGCTCAAGGTTGTCTATGGATTCAATGGTGAGCGCGACAAGAACTTCCATGTCCGGCCGTTCTGACTCAGCAACAGAACCCCAGCTGCCTATCACGGATGCCGATCCTAGCCCAAACATTGCACGGATCTTCGGGACTAACACAAGCGCGTTTGAGCTGCTCGTGATGAAGCGCAAGATCATGGGTCCATGTTGGCTTGAAATCAAGAATCCTGTGATTGAACACAAGAATGTAAGTATGTGGGTAAATCTGACTCGAATCGTCTGAACCACTGCACTAGTTCTCGTGGTGCAAACTGGAGGTCACTGTTACCGATCCCAAGGACTTCAATCCTTTTGCGAAAACAGACCAGAACGCACCTCGAGAGACTCCGCCGTTGAACGTGACGAGCCTGAGCGTGCGGACAGTCGTCAACCACCAGGAGAACAAACGCGAGGTCGTCTGTGTGACAGCCAGGACATGGCATAACTGTAGGTTTCTTCCACGCCTCCGTTTCACAAGCATTCAAACTCAAGTCCAGTGCTCATCGATGATCCAAAACCTCCAGAGGAGCTTCCATGCACAGTACAAACGTTTGTCAGGCCATTGGAGAAGTTTCCGTTCAGTTTTGAGGCTGCCGCGAAAGCTAACGGCAAGGGCGCTATCACGACTGTCAAGAATGAACGGATGCTTCTGAGCAGTCTTTTAAGTAAGCAGGTAACACGCGTTTGAGCAAATTTCTGATATAACTCTAGATTCGCTATATCGATCCGATCCTGACGTTATTATTGGGCACGATTTTCTCGGAGTTTCGCTCGATGTGTTATTGCATCGTATGAAAGAGCTAAAAGTGGACCATTGGTCTCGCCTTGGTCGTTTCAGGCGATCAAGGTGGCCCAACATCGGCAAGCAAGGCTCGAACATCAAGTTCCTGAGTGGTCGACTGCTTTGTGACTTGGCTAGCGATGGAGCGAAGGTGCGCCACGCGTATATCTGGCCCTGTTGTTTCTTATCTTTGTTTATCCTGTGCTGTGTAGTCCATGATCACCTCCACGACCTGGTCTCTGACGGAAATGTGCAAGACACATCTTAACTCTGTGCGGCAGGACATCGACCCTGACGATACGGCCAACTACTTCGATGGTGATGTAAGCAGTCCGGAGAGGCTTCTTACATTTGTACGGCACTGTGAGCTAGACGCCCACTACCACATGGCGATCGCGGATAAAGTGCAGATTTTGCCGTTGACCAAGCAGCTCACCAGCCTCGCTGGCAATTCATGGCAAGTTCTGGGAACATCTCAGCAAAGCTGCGCTGAACATCTCACAGGAACAAGACGTTGAATGGCGGTCGTGCGGAACGAAATGAATACATTCTTCTGCACGAATTCCATAAACTCAAGTACATCTGCCCAGACAAGATCTACGGCAAGAAGATACGCGTCGAAGATGCCGAAGACGCCGAAGGCGGCGGGGGTAAATCCAAGAAGAAGCGGGACAAATACAAGGGCGGTCTTGTGTTCGAGCCTAAGCGAGGGTTGTGGGACAAGTACATTCTCGTCATGGACTTTAACTCGCTGTACCCCAGCATCATTCAAGAGTACAACATAGACTTTACGACGGTCGATGTCGAAGAGCAGTTGGTGAGTTTATTATAACGCATCTTGTCATGAGATCTGACCTTTACCGTCGCAGAATGACGAAGGAGAAGAGAAGATCCCTGATCCGCCATCTCCGCAAGTGGGACAGGGTGTTCTTCCCCGTTTGATCGCCACTTTGGTTAGACAGCGACGGACAGTCAAGTCTCTCATGAAAGACAGGTCTACTCCGCCGGCCAAAATGCTACAGGTGAGAGCCCTGTCGACCGATCCCCTTCGCTGTTCCTGATAATGTGCTGCAGTATGACATCCGACAACAAGCCCTGAAGCTTACTGCCAACAGCATGTACGGCTGTCTCGGATTCGAATACTCGCGCTTCTATGCTCGGCCGCTGGCTGCGCTGACGACTTTCAAGGGTCGTGAGATTCTGACGCACACTCGTGAGCTTGCTGAGAGCATGGATCTGGATGTGGTCTATGGAGACACCGATTCGGTGTTCGTGAACACGAACGTGCTCGAGCTGCCCCAAGCAATCAAGATATCAGCGGATTTCAAGAAAGCGGTCAACGAGCAGTACCGACTGCTTGAGATTGATCTGGACGGCGTGTTCCAACGTCTACTGCTGCTGCAGAAGAAGAAGTATGCCGCACTCAAGGTCGAGGAGGGATCTCGGACATCAGTGGAGGTCAAGGGTCTGGATATGAAACGTCGAGAGTACTGCACGCTCTCCAAGAATGTGTCACAGTATGTTGTCTACAGTCCTGCCAGCGACGCGAGACTGACCGATAGCAAGATATGTTTTGGACCAGATCCTCTCTGGAGATCCGCAGGATGATGTGATTCAAAACATCCACGACTTTTTGACGAATATCGGCCAGAATGTTCGGGACGGCAAGGTCAAGCTGGAGGAGTTTGTCATCTTCAAAGTGGGCAATTGATCCAGCAGCCTGCTCAACCAATCTCATTATGCACAGCGTCTCGGCAAAAACCCGGAGGATTATCCTGACATTAAATCGCAGCCGCATGTGCAGGTAGCACTGCGAATGAAGCTGCGTGGTGGCAATGCCAAACATGGGGACGTGATACCTTACGTTTTCTGTCTGTCTCCCGGAGAGCAGACGGCCAAGACTGGGCAGGCAGACCGTGCCAAGCATCCCGACGAGTATCGGAAGGAGGGGTCTGAGCTGAAACTGGATGTCGAGTATTATCTGGCACACCAGGTTCTACCACCCATTGAGCGGCTGTGCGATCCGATTGATGGTACCGACCGATCCCGTCTTGCGGAATGTCTTGGGCTGGATCCAACCCGGTACAGGACAAGCTCGTCCAGTGCCTCAGACGAGCCAGCATTCGCGGGATACGATTCCTTGATGCCGGACAGCGAACGCTTCAAGGATGCGGTGCCTCTCGTTGTAAGATGTCGAAAGTGCCAAGTTGAAGTCGCGTTCGGCCCGATCCACGACCGAGATGTGCGTCTTTTCCATCCTCGGTGTTCGACCGAGTCATCACTGACTCTTTTCCTTGCAGAAATGTATACTGCAGACAGAAGGGCTGACCTGTCCTGAATGCAAACAAAGTATCAGCCACGGCAGTCTCCAGATGCAGCTTGAGACGCAAATCCGCAAGCACATCAACAAATACTACGAAGCTGTTACCCGTTGCGATGAATGTGGGCGAGAGACCCGTCGAATGGGTGTCAGTGGTCGGCATTGCCTGCAGAATGGTTGTAGCGGCAATGTCAACTTGCTGGTACGCATTGTGTCTCGCAAATTCACGATTGCTGTATCCTGATGCTTGCCTAGTATGACGACAACATGCTATACAACCAATTGCGTTACTTTTCATCGCTGTTTGACATGGAAAAGGCGGAACGCAGTGCTGTAGGGTCGACACATAGCGGTGAGTCGCTCGGGCTGTGCGAATTTATATGTTTGCTGACTCTGCTGTCAAGATCTGGTGGCTGCTGTGATCTCGAATAATGCTGGCTTTCTGAGAGCAATGATGGCCTGCGTAGAGCGATATCTGGATCAGTCGGGGCGGCGGTGGGTTGAGCTGAGTGCCATCTTTTCATGGATGAATGTCGACGAGAAGTAGCTGTTGTATCTGTACTTAGCTCATGTAAGCATGTATTTTCTAGAGCCTGAGATGCCGTTCATGGGTCTTCAGAGAGCCGAGCTCGCCGATTTCATAACATGCGGGCCCAGTGTTGTGGCTGGACTTCCCGCTGAAGAAGCGATTCCTGGCCTACCAACGTGATTGAGGCAGCGCTCACGGGATCAAATCTTTGACGTATTGATTGATGACACTGCTTCGCAATCGAGACGACGCTGTCAATTCATTGTCAGTCTTGACTCTCTTCCATTTCCAAGGTTCCAACTGTCCAGGATGGCCGCCTCGTCGACTATCTACATTCCTATAGTCTCGCCGCCCACTCCTACTGCGTCTCCCGGCCCAGAATCAGACCTCACGCAATGCGCCCATATCCCCATCGCTCTACCCCAGAACCCGGCACTGCGACAACGCTACCTCGCGTCCATCCTGCATTCCCTGACCCCCGCTGAACTTTTATTCGTCTCGACCACAATCGCCCCGCTGCTCAAGCGAGACTTCCTCTCGGAGCTCCCCACCGAGCTTGCGTTGACCGTGCTCAGTTTCATCGACGACCCACAAACGTTGGTGACCGCAAGTCGCGTGAGCAGGCGGTGGAGGGACATGGCTGCCGACGACTGGATATGGAAGGGCATGTGTCTGCGTCTCGGGTTCACCATGCAGGAGATGCTCGACGACCAGCTCTTGGACGACACGAAGAGGGACGAAGATCCCACTCGCTCGATTTGGGCGAAACAGCTGCCGAGGGGGAGAAGTCGCGAACTCGAGCAGCTTCCGCCCGCGATGTCGTATCATGACTATTTCAGGAAGTCTTACAGGACCAGTGAGCAGTCTCGTATCGATCTCCTGGTCAACCAGCCTCATTTAGCTGCATCTAGTGATGAATTGGAAACACGGGGGCCGTCTTCTGCGCTGCCACCGAATGGCACCCACGCCCGCCCCTCCGAACCACAACGCCGGCGGGCCTCTGAACTCGCTTGATGTCATCACATCTGTGGCCCTGGATAGTGACTGGGTCGTTGTTGGACTCGCGAACAGCAAGATCCACGTCTTCAGCAGCCGGACCGGGGTCCTCGCGCGGACCTTGGTCGGCCACGAAGCAGGCGTCTGGGGTGTCTGTCTCGTCAGACACGGAGGCTCCTGGGTTGGGGATCCCATAGTGCCTGAACCCACCGCCGCAAGGGCTGCGGCTGCGTCATCGGTGAAATGGCGGAACGCACTTGGTCTGGATCTGCCATTTGATTCACAGCCAGCCCTCTTCCCCGGAAAAAGATCGTCGCCATCTGCTGCTTCGGAAGGCTGGGGTCAGCCGAACGATCTGGTCGTCAGCGGGGGGTGTGACAAGGTGCTTCGGGTATGGGATGTTCGAAGCGGGTCTCCCATTCATGTGCTTTCCGGGCACACTTCGACTATCCGATGCCTGAAAGTTTTGCACAATCGGCCGTTGGCGGTGACCGGGTCCCGCGACTCGACCCTGCGGGTATGGGACGTTCAACAGGGACGACTGGTGCGGACGATGACAGGCCACACGGGAAGTGTCAGGTGCTTGGATGTCTGCGGAAATCGAGCGGTCAGCGGAAGCTACGACGCGACCTGCCGTGTCTGGGATCTCGACTCAGGGGAATGCATACATGTCTTGCGAGGACATTTCCACCAGATTTATTCGGTCGCGTTTGACGGAACGCGGATTGCCTCAGGAGGACTGGACACTAGTGTCCGAGTGTGGGACGCACTCTCCGGGTGCGTGTGATTGTTGTTTGCATTTGATTTTGTCGGTTGACCGGCGTGTCCAGACAATGTGTGGCCCTGCTGCAAGGCCACACTGCGCTCGTCTGCCAGCTGCAGCTCTCGCAGTCGATAGCGACGACGCTGAATCCGCACCCGGACCCGATCCTCGTGACCGGCGGTTCCGACGGGCGAGTCATCACCTTCTCGCTCGCTTCGTACACGTCGCTGCACCGCATTGCGGCGCACGACTCGAGTGTGACTTCGCTGCAGTTCAACGACCGCTGGCTTGTGACCGCGGGGAACGACGGGCGTGTCCGGTTGTGGGAGATGGCGACCGGCGCGCATGTCCGCGAGATGACGGAAGTCGGGGAAAGTGTGTGGAAGGTCTGTTTCGACGGCGGCCCTGGGGAGATCATGTCGATCATGTGCAAGCGTGGTGGGAAGAGTGTCATGGAGATCTGGAGCTTTAGGCCGGAGGATGGTAAATTGCAGGGATAATTATCGTGCCTGGGTTGTATTATCAATAAGTACTAGATCATATAAATTCACCTAGTTTCTTCGGCGACTGTTTATGACATGCATCTTGGATCTCAGAAATGAAGTTTCGATTCCTGCGATTCCCAGCTCGCTCGGTTTCAAGGACGTTGAGTCTCGACTCTCAGACCAGGGCCCGTGCTTGGATCTGCGATCATCGTCTTGTTTGATGCGGTCACGTCAACCGCAGCTGAAAGTTGAACCTTGACACAATGACACTGACAGTTCAAGTCCAACTCTCAGATATGAATGAGGCTTTCTGCCTCTCACTGACAGGTCCCCGACGGCCATGAGGCGTCTTATCAACCTCTTATCGATGAGGGACTTCTAGAGGATATCTTGTCGTGCTATCCATCTGAATCACGTTTAATGGCAAGCGTGGGCTCACTTCTACCGGCTCGTTAACTGCTGCCTCTCCAATCGCACTCGTGATGCCGCTGGAAATGGCTTATTTACGGATGGACTCTGCGCACCTGAGTGCTGCTCTCTTGTTGGCTGTTGGGGTGCTTGCCGGGTCCGCCTTCGCGTACAGGGACGATCTGTGGTTCCTCCGCAAGAAACGGGCCAGTGGCTCGGCCACGAGGCAGACATCCGCTGTGGCTAGGGCCGCGCATCGCGCCGCTGGTGGTCCGTCCTGTCCTTGTTAGCTGTGCGCTGTGCGCTGAGGAGCCTCGGCTTATCCGGATGCAGAATGGGAGCCCCAGGCGTTCAGCTACCCCGCTTTCGACGCTTGTGCTGTGCCGCTCGATGAGATACGGCCCCAGATGTACCGGCCGTTCCGGTGGGGCGAGTACCAGTGCGTGACACGCACCCTTGTCTGCACTGCCGTTGTCTGGCTGAGCGCACGAGCAGCGTGACCATGGGCATCAGGAACATGCACTGGGGCGAGTGGATCGAGGTGCGTGTGCCATGTGATTCTCGCGAGGACGGGGAAGGCCGACTGGACGCAGCTGGACGGCAAATACGAGACGTACCGGCGCATCCGCCGCGAACGCCTCCGCACGAAAGGACGCGACGTGCTCCAAGTCCTCCCGGACTCGGTGCGCGTACACGACGGCGAAGAGGCTGTGCGCGTCGGCGGCGGGGCTGCCGGCGCGATTGAGCTCGCCCACGAGCTTGCTGAATATTTGTCGCGCCGGTATCCAAAGACGTTCGAGGTCACGCGGCATGCAGCAGAATCGACTGAGAGCGTTTATCCGTGCGGGTGGGACGGGTTGCCGCCGGTGGAGAGTATTCGCAATGCGGTATCGGACGAGCGATATTCCCTTCCGCTGCCGCTTCCTCTTGATCCGCACAAGGTCGTGGAGGATCTGGTGCAGCAGGGAGAAGAAGCAATGCGTATTGCAGCGTCGCTTGTCCAGGACGATCTTGCTATCATGGTCGAAGGATCGAATGGAGATTACTATTTCCAGGCTGGGGCGATCCTCGTCGGCGGTATTTTCTTCAGATTGAGTGCACTTTCTTCCGCTGAATACTTGAAATAGGATTCTGGCGGATGAAAGATAAACTGGGCAGACGAATGGATGAAATACATCTCAGTGGACACGTTCCTCAATGTAAGTATCCTCATCCACTTACGCCCTGTCCTTCTTTCTGAAGGATCGCTTCTCTGCAGACAAAGAGAAACTGCACACATCTCTTTCGCGCTTCTTCCGACGCATGGCTGCGGACAAGCCGGTCGTCCGCAACAACTACTTCGTGCAGATCTCACCGCCGGCCACCGCCCACTCGGATGCGGTGGACCCCGAGGAACTTGCGTGGGGTAAAAACGTGATGGGAGAGGAGGATGCGTACGGTAAAGGGGGGGATGGGCGCGGGGGCTTCAAAGCCGCTGCCTCGCCGCTCACTGCTCCGATTGTCACTCCCCAGACCCTGCGGCTGCGCACGGAGCGTCAGACACTTCGGCGGCTTCCGAGGAGCGGGGCGATTGTCTTTACCATCCGGACGTATCTTGTGCCGGTCGAAGAGCTGGCTTGTGAGCCTGGGGTGGCCGCGCGGTTTGCCAGTGCTGTGCGCAGCTGGCCTGAGGATGTACAGGAATATAAAGGCCAGGGGCGGTACCGAGATGTGTTGCTCACGTATTTGGATGAGATGGCAGAGCAGCAGGAAGAAGAAGTTGCAATAGTCAAGCCATATCCTTTCTAAACAGTGATCATGAAATGCGATCATAGGCTTTGATAAGATAAGATCAATCATGCGATCCGTTGTTGCGGCCTAAGTCGATGATGGTATACTGTAAAAGGGCATACGGAAAACTGTTGTAAATAGAGTCAGCCGGCCATGTTCTTGGCGGAGCCCGCTGATTCTTCCTTATTGAGACCTTGCTGCGACTTTTCGCTGACTCTCATGGGCCATTTTCGCGGGTCTCGGCGGGTCCTCGCTGCCCGACACCGCTTATAGTGGTCAACTCGGCGGATTATCGCCGCTAGGGAACAGTATCAGCCTCGCAGCGAGTTTTCGCTGTCTGTTGCCCTTTCACCTTGTTCGGCGGTTTCCCGCTGCCCTGTCACCTCGATACACCGTCTGCGATTTGTCGCTGCCCTCCTCCCGTTTCACCTTGTTCGGCGGACTCCCGCTGCCCTGTCACCTCGATACACCGTCTGCGATTTGTCGCTGCCCTCCTCCCGTTTCACCTTGTTCGGCGGACTCCCGCTGCCCTGTCACCTCGATACACCATCCGCGACTTCTCGCTGCCCTCCTCCCCTTTTGACGCGTCAGCGGATTCCCGCCGACTATGCCCATTTTCGCGCCGTCTGCGATTTGTCGCTGCCCCCTCCCCTTCACAGCGGATTCTCGCCGCCCTATTTCCTGTCATAGCCTCACCGCGACTTCTCGCTGCCCTCCTCCCCTTTTGACGCGTCAGCGGATTCCCGCCGACTATGCCCATTTGCGCGCTGTCACCGAATCTTCGCTGCCCCGCGCGGCTCCCAGCGCGCTCACCGACCCTTCGCTGCCCCACCCTCAATAACGTCGCAGTCAGCGAAACCTCGCTGCTGGCAGCGTTTTTAGTACGTCCTCGCCGATTTCTCGCTGCCTCCCTCTGATTTTGCCGCAGTCGCCGAACTTTCGCTGCCCTCCCTAATTTCGACACCTTCAGCGAGGTTTCGCTGCCCATGGTCGTTCTGGTATGTCCTCGCCGATTTCTCGCTGCCTCCCTCTGATTTCGCCGCAGTCGCCGAACTTTCGCTGCCATCCCCTGATTTCGACGCCGTCAGCGAATCTGCGCTGCCCCCAACTGCTTTCGTACGTTCTCGCCGGTATTTCGCTGCCTCCCTCTGATTTTGCCGCAGTCGCCGGACTTTCGCTGCCATCCTCTGGTTTCGACGCACCCAGCGAATCTTCGCTACCCTCCCCCACACTGGACACTGTCACCGAATCCTCGCAGCGATGAGGCTCTTTTTTGGCATCCTCAGCGAATAACCGCTACCTTGAGCGGCTTTCCGTCACGTCTGCTGTTGTGTACAAGCACGAGTCGTTGCGCCCACTCTCCGGAGTCGCTCATTTGATAGGGGGGGATAGGCTGGCGGGGTTGCGGGCTTGAATGGCAAGTTTGAAGACGTACGCGGAATCACACATCGCTATTCAAGGCTTCAGCGAGCATGCGCTGCGGCATGCGAGGCTTCAGCGATGATTCGGCACAATTTTCAGTTGTATCAGCGCAGTTTCGCTGCGTCCTTCGGTGGCCCTTTCTGCTGTAACTTGAATACTATCCAAACTGAAGAACTTTGTTGAATGCACTACAGGATTATACGGCATCAAGCTAACAGAAATCCTGGTGCTCCAAGCCCAACCCCTGGTCCGCCTCTCTGCCTTCGGCGCCTGACCCACCTCCGTCTCCACCTTCGGCACCTGACCCACCTTCACCTTCGAAACCAACATTTGCGTTCTTGCCGTCCTCAAGACCAGGCTCTCTGTTCCAGCCATTGAGGCCAAATCCGCCATTCCCCATTCCGCCTCCGCCTTCAATGCCCTCCATATCCCAGCCCCTGCTCGTTGCTTGTGACACTGTCGCTGCAACCAAAGCCAGATAGGATCGCGAATTTTCAACCATCTGTTTCAAGTCTTCGAACCCTGCTGGCCGATCAGCCGGTGCATCAATGGAGATATTGAGGCGTTCAAGGCGTCGTAAGATGATTGTGGTGTCCAAACGTCTGCTGTACTCAATGGAGCCATAGGTCTCGGTTGTATGGGGCAAGACATCATCAAGCGTGAGGCCAGTCCATTGCTGGAACGTCTGGAGAAAGAATTCCCGGTGCCGAGGAGCAAATGTGTCGCCACGTAGGGATTCCTGTGCCGCCTGGATGGGGAATGTATCCTGGAATGGGACAAGTACGTCCCCTCTGATTGTCTTGCGCTGCTTGATCATCATCGTTCTAGAAAAGAAGTAGTCCCACATTGCCACTTCGGGATCGCATCCGCAATTCAAAATCCCTGTCGCAGCAACGTCTCGATCCTTTGTCGGCTTTGGGAGGGCCACAACCCCTTCAAGATAGAACGGCGAGCTGGTGGCTCCGTCACGATACTCCGGATCGCTTCCCTTCTTCTTATGCCAGTGTGTCAGGCACTTGGCATTCCCATCCTTGGTCGTCTCTGCCTCCGCTGCCTTGCTCTTTTTCCCCTTCTTCTTTCCCTCAGCTGGAGCTTCGTCATCCTTCTTCGCAGTGGAGGTTGCTGTCAGGATCTGCATGATCAACGACCGACTGGTAGGAACAAAGTCCTCCATGTAATCTGACTTGCTTCGGAGCATCCTTCGTGTCTTTGCTGGTACTGGTATTCCTTGATTGTTGAAGGCATCGATGTCAGCCTGGCCTTCATCTTCGAAGTTTGAGTTCACATTTTTCACAGACCAGTATTCTCAACGCGTACCTTCAAGATCCTTTCGCCATTGCTCTGGCCCCTGTGGAAAGGTTGTTCCGACGTACTTTGCCTGCTCGGTGAACGACCAAATCCACACATCTTCAACATCTTTAGGGGCGGTTTCTGAAGTGTTCCTTCAGCTTGAGCATGGTAAGCATGTCCACCACCTTGTGCTTACCACGGTCTGTAACAGCCTGTCTAGGACGCCGCTCATTGATCTTGCTCTTTGGGAGGATGCGCTCATAGAGATTCTGTCGGTCTTGGATCTCCTTTTGGAGCGTCTCATGGTAAGCATTCTTTGACTTGCCACGCAGCAGGCCCTGACGTGTTTTCCTCCATTTGATGGATTTTTGCAGCGTTGTGTCCCAGTCTTTCCCTTCTGCCTCCTCGCATATCTTGTTACCGAACTGGATGACTGCTTGCCTGATGACCTCCAACATTGGCTCCTCTTCAGCTCGAAGTTTATCATCTGCAGCAAGACGCTTTGCATCTTCAAGCTCCCCAAACGTCTTTCCTTGAGCCGATGGAAGTTGGATCTTGGTGCGCTTCTTCAACCCTTGGTTGCTGTCATCGTCCGTATCGGATGCCTCTTGGTCAATCTTCAGAAGACCATGCTCGATTCCGGGCTCAAGACCATCTGTGAATACAATTCAGTCCATATCTGTGAGTTCACAAGTAATATACCTGGCGCATCCTCCTGATCCACATTCATTTTATCGTCTGTGGTCTCTTTGGTCTTCTCATAACTCTTTTCTGGACTAGTCGATCCCAGATCTGCAAGACTTGGTGAGCCAATGCATGAGTCAAAATGTCTGACTTACCTCTAGTCTCATTTCCATTGTTCGTGTTCATCATATCATCCACCAGCTCACTCCTCTTATCTTTGACAATGGGCTGATCTTCGATGACAGGCTGCTCTTCGATGATGGGCTGTTCTTCGACAACAGGACGCTCTTCGATGATGGGCTGCTGTTCAACGATGGCCTCCTCAGCCACAGATTGTTCTTCGATGCATTGCTCATTGATGACAGACTGCCCCTCGACATCAAACTCTACGAGGGCAGCTTCAGCAAGACTAAGAACATTCAATGCTTGAAAATGCTGGTTCATAGTATCATCGTAGTCGCTCTTCAGCTTCTTTCGCTCTTCTTTAGATAACACTTTAGCCAGTGTGACTTTGTGGAATAACATGAGACCAACCTTTCTCTGCTTCTGTTCGATATCTCTTTCCCTTCTTTGAGAAGTATAGCTCACGGGTATTCTCGAGAGCTGCTTCACTGTCACTTTTTTGCCTTCTTGCAATCTCAAGTCCTATAGTGTGCTTTAGTACTGGAATGTTGAATTGATACAATCCAGGTAGCTACGGATGACAAGATCTTCTCGGGATGGCAGTGGGCTCAGCCTCTCGTTATCAAACGACATGGTTGGGTGAAAAAGACAGAAGTAAATGATTACTGGGCTTGCTTACTTCAAAATCACGATCACATGATCAGTTGTCAGTCTTAATGAAAGTTCCTGAAGACCTTATTTGTACTGTTTGAGACGCGCCGGAAGCCACATTCTACACCGCAGACCCGGTCTGACGCCCGAATGATGTTGGTCACCAACACCGTTTGACATTTGTTAATGATGTGAGGTAGACATCTTAATGGTGATCAGAATCAAGTCGAACAGCTAATCACTCCGTTGTATCTCTGACCAGGATGTATTTCTTACATCCAATACAAATATCAGCTTTATGTATGTAGAAACATACTATTCTATTCAGTGATGATCTTGATCTTGTTTCTTGGATATGTACATGGCCCTCAGGCAAGATGTCAATGCGACAGATGATTTCGACTTCAATATGAGATTTGGATCATATTTCTTGGTACACAATGACTATCAACTAAGTACTCGACCCAGAAGCAACACCAAACTCAGAGGGTACCAGGCTTGCACCTCGGGATGAAGGACGTGTCCCATTCTCCTCCTCCTCCTCCTCCTCCTCCTCAAGTTCCTGGCGCTTGCGTTTCTTCTGACCTCGGCTGAAGCGCTGGACTTTGGCTGCCTGTGCCGAGAGAGTGATCAGCCAAGCGGGACACTCCTTCGCTAAGGCCGATGTGCCAATTTTGCATTTGGTGGTCACAGGATCTCCATACTTCTCGATGTCGTCTTCATAAGCTTCTTCGAGAGCTCTGGGGCCGACGCAGAAGAGTCAGACTCAATTAGCTAAGAACTGTAAGACGCAACTCACGCAACAAAGTCCATATCCCCGATGTCTCGCAACTGATTCATCTCGCTATCGAGTATGTCCCAGTGCTGCTTCACGGGATGATTCTGTTCCACGTGGTAGCGCTAAAGAGGCGGATACATCAATGAGGGGGACAGCGGGCTGAGCAAAAAAGACTTACCAGATATGCCATCCGCATGAATGTGAATCGCGTTGCACAGACAGATGGGTCAGCATGTTTCAGAATTCTCTCGCAGAGATGAGCAATGTTCCTCATCTCCTTGTTCTTGAGTTTGATCGATTTCAAAATCTGTAGAACGGTCAGGAGCTGCAACAAGCAGAGACAGTCAATACCTCCCTCAGCCTTGAGAGCAGAGCGGATCACACTGACTGCGCGACCCAACCAAGTCACAAAGAGACCATATTCCTCTGAATCAACGCCCGGGACACGCTTAACTTTCATGAGAGTCAATGTCGTCTTAAGTAGAGTAGTCAGTGGTGCTCAAGAGCGGTCACAAGCCTCACCAGAATCGCCGTTTCGATGGTTCCACCATAATACGTGAGATTCGGGAGACAGAGAATAGACCACACGTATTTCCGACAGATCTTCTAAAAAAAATGTCAGTAAGACATGAAGGCGATGTGAAACTTGCATGCAGCTCACAGCCAGTGACGTCTCCGGAGCCCATTCACCTTCGTGACTCCCGGCCGTATCAACTAAGCCGCGAACCATATCCTTTGTCTGAAGGAGATGCATGAACGCGATGGTGTCACGTTCGTCCTTGTTCGAGGTCTGAGAGACTGTCAGCGCAAGAAGTTTCCATTGATGTGAACTTCACCTCGAAGTATCGTCTAAACTCTGCTTCACTGTCGGCAGAGAGGCTGGCATCTTTGGCAAGACGTTCTCCGAAGCTCTTCACGCTTGAAAGTGGGAAGCGTGGCTGAGTCAGAGGAGGAAAGTCGGGAGTGCTGTTGTCACGGTTGAGTCGAGGTGGAAAGTTCTCAGGCGGAGCAAGTGGAGAACTCGGCACAGGCGTCGAATGTCTGCTACCCTGCTGCGAAGCTGCACGGGCAGCTTCTGCGCGACGCGAAGCCCTTTGAATCAGTGACTCCGCCATGAAAGCAAAGGGAGAGAAAAGGCGATGTCGAATTAATGTGTCAACAAACAAAAACTGCACGGCTGTGTTAAGTTCGAAAGATTCTCACCTCGAGAACAGACCTTACCAGAAGTGGGTATTCTAAAACCCATATAGACTATTGCACAGAACTGGAAATGGCACCGACGCGCTGGGAGCCGCCATCGGGTATTATCATCGGCTGTGCGCAAGAGAAGGTCAGAGCTGACTGCCACTTTAGAACTGAGGCCGCACCTGGAATACTCTCCAAAGAGGACTCATGTTAGATGCCTTCCCTGTCTTGAAGAGCGGAAGTCGGGAACTGGACGGTTCATAGACCGCAGAAATCTGAAGGCGCATTTGGAAACAAGCACACATTCTGCAGCTTGGACAAACCATCAAGTGCGCGCTAAAAACCGAGAACCTGAAATCGCTTCTATGGACACCTCATACACTGCAGATGCTCTTCAGGACATCGTCGGGCTCGAGGACAATGTTGCTATGTTGGCTTCGACACGTCTTGGGATGTTCTCCGAGTCTTCCACGAACTTGAGCCCTGAACACCCAGATCCATCGTTGTTGGCGAGAGGCAGGGACGATTGGTCGGCTCCGGTGCCCTTGTTGATAAGCGAGTTGGGCCTTGGCTCGTCGGATTTGTGTGAGGCAGACACACCCGAAAAGCGCAGAGCGCTTCTTGCACACCAATTCCAGGAAATCCTCATGGATGCAACGAATGCCCAAACACCTCTTGACTTGCTGAGCGACGAGGATTTTTTGGGGGATGAGATCAACGAGATCATGGCTCGAGAACAAGGAGATGAAGACGATGACCTTTGCTTTGATTTTGATGCACGCGCTTCATCGGCATACAGGCCGTATCCGAACAAGGCCGTGAGTGGAGTGCTCAGTTTATTGGCACGCTGGAACTCATCTAAACGTCTCAGATGATGCTCCTTGATATTATGGACAACTTGCCGCGCTGCCGCTTTACAAGCCTTCAGCTCTCCCTCATAATACATTTTGCGAAACAGCTTGGGGCTCCGGATATCCCATCTCTGAAGAGCTTTCGTCAGTTCCAACAAGTTCTACAGGAAAAAACGGGCCACAAACCAGTTCGATGTGTATCTCAATTTGAGAATGTCTTTTACATGAACGATATCCGTGATGCCATTGCTCGGGATCTGGCCAACCCGTTGGTTGCGCCGCACCTGCATTTCTATCCGGAGGAGCCATCAGGTCCCATTTCTGAGGTGTATCAGGCCGAGCGATGGTTTGAATACACGGCATCACAGTTAACACCGATGTACAGTCGAGGTCACAAGCGGTGGTGGATCGAGGAACTGTCTCGGCTTTATGATGGAACTTTCGTGATTCCGCATACCTGGATTGTTCGCCAAGGAGTGCTTACCGCCGACGCATCCGTTGTCATACACAACCCCGATGGCAGCTGGACCATATCCTCCGAGGAGCGGACAATCCTGGCCGCTGACCTTGAGCTGGACTTCGGTGATATCACAGCCTTATTCGGTCAAGATTTTCAATGGACGGACGTGAGTACGGTTCAGGTGATGCCAAATGTGCAGCGCAAACTGGTGGATGAAGACGAAGACTTGTTTGTGGTCATGGTCTCACCCTGGGCCGACGATGTCTCCGGTAACCGATCGAAACAATACAATAAACACATGAATATGTATACAGGCAACGGTTGCCTCCCTGGTCGTCTCCTCCAGCAGGAATTCCACATGCATTTCCTCTCGAGTTCACCGCATGCTACTTCACCTGAGCAATTCTCCGCATTTCGAGACCAAGTGAAGGCCACCGAGACTGATCCCATCCGATGCTTCAATGCAGCGACTAAACGAAAAGCCCGTGTCATCCTTCGAGTTCCATCGTTGCCTGCGGACAACCCACAGCAGTCCGAAGAGTCTTCTCATATGGGAAGTAACGCGAACTTTCCATGTCGAAAGTGCCATTGGGGCGGGACAAAGATCGAGAAGGAATCTGATGAACTCTATCATCGGTGTCACTATCCGGGCATCATGCGAAACACAGCTGAGATACGCACTTGCCTTAGAAGACAGCTTGAGCTTGCAACTCGTGGGGACTCGAAACGAATTGAAGAGCTTCAGAGAACAACGGGGACGAAAGACAAGATTACACAACACTGGATTGGTGTACTGCTTGACAAGTTCAAGTTAATGAAATCAAACGTTCCCCGGCCAGGGGTGGAAGATATTGCTGTCAAATTGAATCAATGGCTGGACGAGCAACCCGGGGACAAAATGAACCCATTGCTTGATCTTCTTGGCCTTGATCCATCGCAGGATACACCCATCGAGCTGCTGCATACAGTCCTTCTCGGAATCATGAAATACATCTGGCACTTCATGAATACCAAAAAATGGTCCGATGAAGATCGACACTTACTTGCGATTCGACTCCAGTCCACAGACTTGAGCGGCCTCAGCGTTCCGCCCATCCGGGCAGCATACATGATACAGTACAAGAACAATCTTATCGGGAAACATTTCAAGACTTTGATGCAAACCCTTGCTTTCCACGTCCACGGCATCGCAACACCCGAGGAGTTTTCCCTCATGAAAGCAGCTGGGGACCTGGGTGCTCGTTTGTGGGTCCCGGAAATCGATGATATGACAACGTACCTGGCCGAAATTGAAGTTGCTGTTGCGAACATTCTTGATGCATTCGATGCTGTGGACCCATCACGGATTTTGGACAAGATCAAGATACATCTGTTGACTCACATAGCAGACGACATTCGACGCTTTGGGCCCCCCATCAGAAGCGCGACAGAGATCCAGGAGTCCTACAATGCCGTGTTTCGACTGTGCTCGGTTTACAGCAACCGTCAAGCACCGAGCCGAGACATCAGTACAAAGTTTGCTTCGATGGCGCGCATGAAACACTTACTGTGCGGGGGCCTCTGGTACAACGCTGACCGGGATCATTGGATTAATGCTGGAGATGCTGTTTGTCGGGTCCTTCAGGATGACGCTACATTCCAGCAGTTCCTGGGTTGGACCAAGCCAAAAGATGTTAGCCCAGGATCCATTTCGGCTATGCCAAAGAGGATTCCACTCCGAAAATGGACGACGACGCATGCATCAAGATACCAAGACTCAACCTTGTCTGCGAAACTGCCAAACGGAAGCACAGCAGAGATGTGGAAAGCGGGGCAAACCTTGACAGCGCAGAGTGGTGACGCGATCCAGAAGGGAGGCTGGGTTGTTGCATTGGATCCGCACGCCAAGGTTGTCTTTGGTCGGGTGATCGAGCTTCTCCACTCGCCAGTCGCAATCGTCACAATTGAGTGCTTTGTGATGGGTGAGAAGCGACATCCAGACTTCAAGTGGCCAGTCTTACGCCGTCCAACTGGCCAGGAGATAGTTGCAGGAGCGAAGAACTTCTGGGTCCTGGAGGGAAGTGCCGTTCAACTTGCGATTTCCGTTCAACATGACTGTCGAAGGGGGGGCTGCGAACCGAACATCGTTCGCAAGGAGAAGCAAGAACGTGAAGAGACGAACCAGATTACCAAGTTAATCCAGCACTCTGACGATGACCGCTTCATCCTCAATCTCTCCGCCTGTCATAACCATGTACAACTGTGCCGCATCCTGCCTCCAGAGATGACCATGCTTGAACCACTCCATCCGGATCGAAAATCGTTCCATACCCTGATGTCATCGCAAGCCCAATCGATCAAGACGAAAAAACGAAAAAGGACAGCCGAGAAACGACGAGCTACAGCGGCAGCCAAGCGCGAAGATGCAGATAGGGCGGAGGTAGAGGCAGGAAGGGCTGAGAAAGTAATCGATGAAGAGGCAGACGGGGCGGCAGATAGTGACCTAGAGGGTTCAGACGCTGGAGGATCGCCTGGGATGGAGACAGAAGAACTGGCATTTGTGTCTGTCGACTTGGATGAGCGACCGCGAAAATGGCGCAAGGCAGCCATGTGACTTGATGGATGGATGGATCACCGGATGTGATGTCTCCGCTGGATGTACATCTGATCAGTTGGGAAGATTTCTTGTGGATGTAATCCTATAGTTGAAAAATACGTCTAAGTCACTTTATCATATATACATGTGCAGAACATCGGTTGAATATCCGACGAAGATGTAATCTGGATGTAAATACTTCACATCACCCTAGCATCAGGCCGGGTTGGTGGTGTAGTTGATCCCGTTATCCCAATCATATGTAAGTCTACTCCAATTATTTTGGTGCCCTGTGTACATGTGTGCTAATCAAGATGCATGATTTCATTCAGGCATTCAGAACCTGAGGTTACGCAGCAACAGATGGAGCACTATACAGCTTGCATTCAAATTACGAGGGCACCATGATCTGAATATAACTACTGAAAGACTCTTCTGTAGAGGTGTAAGCGCTCTTGTAGTCCTCAGCCAACACCAAGATATAGGAAGAACTTGATATAAATAGAAATACTATGCACCTGTAGAGGCGTAAGCACTCTTGTAGTCTAGGAATGGTATGAGTAAACGGAGAAAGAGATAGATAAGTAAGCAGACACATACCCTCAGCCAACACCAAGATTTGGGAAGAACTGAGGGCACAGTCCTTGTTCTCGCTCCTACATATAAGGAGCAAGAGCAATTGAATTAGTATTGTAGTGCCCAAACCAATCGCTGTTTCCCATCCGACGCCTTGACAGATCCTGCCTCAACATCTTCCTGTCACCACACCTCATGAAATACCTAGCTGGAACAAGACTCTTTACAAGAATGCATGGAGAACTTGTCGTGGAAGATACACACACATCCGGCTGACATGAAGGAGCAGGTGGCTATACTTTTATATTTAATAGCTTGCACGCCTGAGCAACTGGCCCTGACACTCCCCAGGCCAAACAAACCTGCCACAGATCCACACAGATCCCGTTAGCCATAAAGACGATATAACTCAGACTTACAGAGAACAATAGAAGGAAATAGGGATACAATAGAGAGCCCAGTGTATCCCTACCATATCACACACGATCACGGGAAATAATAAAGATGACTTTAAAAAAAAGCAAGGGTTAGACAATGTGTAATATAACATTTGCAGCCATGTACGGTGATAGAGGCATTTTGAAAATCTACTTGGATTGTCCTTGGGCCATACGAAGCCGAATCCTATACGACTCCAACTCCAATTCCTTTGCACGCAGCTCCTCTGCTTGCATTTCCATCTGTCTTGCAGCGTCAGCCACATTCTGCTGTGATTGCTCCAACGCAGCTGCTGCTTCCTTCTCCTTCTCCTGTGCTTCAGTTAGCTTCTTGTGCAATTCCTTTGTCGACTCGTTCCGAGCAGCCATGAGTGTCTTGAATAGCTTGCTGAAGTCGTTGGTGATTCGAGTCATATCTTGTTTTGCTTCTTTCAGTAACGCAGGCGATGTGTAATGGAGAAACGGGTCTGCGGCAAATCGATGCTGAGCAGAGAAATGAACCCAGCTGCCGGTTTCAACAGACAGACGTTCACACTGTAGAAGGCATTGAGCTGAGAGGACTTGGAAGCAAGACATGCATACTCGTTCAATGATGTCGGCGCTCAGACGCAAGAAGCGAGCGCTGGCCTCGGATTTGACTTCGACTTTATCTCGGAGCGCTTTGTTTCTGAGTATGGCTGTAGAAACGTTTAGCAGAATACGAAGCTCAACAAACAAAGAACATACAGATATGCTTCGATCCTCTCATTGCACCCTGGACCTCTCCAAAGACCGGATTCTTCTTGGTAACGCGATTCCTGGGCTTTCTGGACCGTTCCGAGGTCACAGCAGCGGTCAACAGTGAGCCTTCGGGCTCGGAAGTGCATATAGGAGAGGAGGATCGTGGTGGACTGCTGCTTGGCAACTGCTGAGCCGCAATTTAGCAGTAGCAGTAGATGTATCAGTGCACAGAGACTTACCGGCGGTGTTCCAGACCCCAAAGACCGCTCTTGGCTGTTGAAGTGCCAATGGATTGGCTTGTAAGTTTGGTATGGTGCCACTCGCTGATTTGGAGGTGTTAGCCACTGCCGATACACAGCGGGAAGAGGCGTCTGCTGTGGCTGAGTAACACACTGTAAGCCGGGCGAGTGCAAAATGTTTGTGGTCGTACCTGTATTTGAGCAGGTGAGTGGTCCGACGAATCCCCAAATCTTAGAAGCGAAGGGAGAGGGCCGGGCTGAGGAGTGTCGGCCATGGTTAAAGGGTAAGAGGAGAAGACACACAAGCTGAGGCGGAGGCACCGAGATTGCGCTGAAAACCTGGGTGCGTCGACTGGACCTTGATGGCTAACTCCAATTCGGACGATGAGCTCATTCTCCTGCAAACTCCTCCTCCATCGCCACCAGCCCTCATCGTTCTTGGTGGAACACCATCCTACCCAAACGTCTCTCAAGCCCTCGATTCCCGGACTCCAACACGAAAGCGACGCCGAGTTGAAGAACAACCACGAAATGCCTGGTCGAAGAGAACAAAACTTGAGGATTCCGAGCCTGCCAATGAATCTGAGCACGAAATCTCGTGGGATGAAGCCGCAGATGCACTGTTGCTTGGAGGCAAGCCTGACGGAGATCCCCCGCCAATGCGTTGTGCTGAGCAGACAGGTGACACTGGTGCGATAACGCCTGGATACGCAGCATTCTGTGACCTCATAGTGGAAGACGGGGGCGCGTTCTATCAAATTACTGAGGACTTGTTTGTATCGAGCGGGTGGGATCCGGAGAGGAAGAGTTTGAAAGTAAGTCGACGTCTCCATGATGGGTTGACTGATGTCCAGTGATCTCCAGGCTTCATGGCACCATCTACAACGTTCTATCATTGGAGATTCTCAGGTCGTTGTCTGCCAGTGCCCTCTAGCTCGCAACAGCGACTCTGGTGTTTGCGTACACACTCGGTTCTTGGATGAAGAAGGACAGGAGCACTTTCCCGCCGAGCAAGATCATTTTGGTACTGCTACTCTCTGGCACTTACAATGCGCGTGCTTCAGCTGACGTCTTTCAGACTCTGCATCCGATGCCACACTCTTTTCGCGACAAGAGACTGGGGAAGATACTTGGCTCAACGTGTTCTCCTGCTGTTTGCAGAATGCAAGGTCTCTGAATGGCCGAGTCATTATCGAGCATCTGGGTACAAACAATGGGGCTGGTAAATGGACCTGCTCGAAGGATAGTGGAACTTTGCACTGTTTGCATATCCACAAGTGCCGGAATCTTCTGCAGAAGTTGCTTCGTGTTGATCCCTCTGCCCGACATCGTGCTGGAGAGAATGAGTTTGAAGCAGCGGGATCTGTTGAAACAGCTAGTGAGTGCCTCATGAGTCATGCCAGAGATATCAGACAGGTGCTGAAACAATCCCGAAGACCCCATCCCAACTTTCGAGGCGCGCGGAACAAGATTTCAGCAAGCCATATCACATTTACCTGTACTCGCGCCAACGTGGGCTTCATTGACATCCGATCCCGTCCTGTACCAGCGGAGCGCACCTGCAGCACCCCCGGAGATAATCAAACTGACCGAGACGTCGTCTTGTCTATGCACCAAACCGCGTTATCGCTTCCAATTGGCCGCCCCCACACTTTCGCAGTCATGCATTGTCTATGGCCTATCCTCATCTTCGCGGGTCACCATTGAGCTGCAGCGGTGTCAAAATCCGCGCTGTTCACATCGTTTCATTGGGCCGGATTGTCGGGAGCTTGGGATTTTCAATTACAACAACCAGCGACTCTTCACACATGAATTGCTCGATGAATATACCTCAGCCTATACATCGTCTGAGACCCCGTTCTCTGCCTGGGTCTCCGTTGTCTCCCGCCGCTATGCACTTCACAACAGCACACACACATTTCCCAGCCCTGACATCTTCCGGTCTGCATGGTTCATGTACGTGTCGCTACAATATCTCGACAACAGCATGATCTGTCCACGATGCGGGCCGAACCCGGATACGACGATTTGGGACGGAGTCACGCTGGCTTTCAATAAGAAGCATCTGCTTTCGAGCCTGGAACCACCTACAGTCTCCCAACTACACTCCTTCGAACGAAAATCGACGCGATATCTGCCAGGTCAGCAGCTCATTTCTGCGTCCAAGCTTCGTCGCATGATGCGCTCGGTCTTGGTCGGTCCGCCGCTGACGAAAACGGAGTTGGACAAGCTCATGCAAGCGACGCCGGTGGCCGAGAGCGAAGACGAAGAAGACGATGAGGATCATGACGAGGAGACGGAGACGGCACCAGTTCTGAACCCGAGAGGGAAGAAGGCACTGGAGAAGGCAAGGAAGACTTTCCTTGAACGACTAGAGATGTTACCGATGGTGGTAGAAGGATTAAAGGTCGTGGATGAAGGGGTTAGTCGTTTATTTGACAAGTGTTTCGGGCCGCTGTCTGTTCTCAACACGCGCCCTACTGCGGACGTGTATCACCGCTTTTTCCTCCAGGTGCGCTCTCACATCCTTTCCAAAGTTCTTGCCAGCTGAGTTGACACAATCAGCTCGCCGCAGAGGAGTCGGTTTTACAATTTGCGCCTCCCGGAGTATTCAGTACACTTCAGGCTTTCCTGGACAACCCAAACAGACTCACAGGCTCCGCACTGAGCGAAGTTCCGGCACTTCACGAGGTTCTTGCGCACGAGAGAGCTCAGCTCAACGGCAACATTTCGGAGGAAATAATTCATACGAGTCGCTGGTTACTTGCCAGAGGTCGGGCCGTATTCAATGCCCTGGTACGGGAACCGGCGCAGCTTCCCGGAATCACTCAAGTCTACGAAAAGTCCTGGAAAGAGGCAAGCGAACTATTGCACATTGCATACTTTCTGACTCAGTTGTAGACCGGATGCTACTATGGTCTTCCCAAGGTTCGCGAACGACCCCAATACCCAAAGCTGAAGTACGACGCAAGCAACGAAGTGGGAGGGAAGCGAGGTGCAAAGTGCTCGAAGTTCTATTCACAATACGGCGAGCGTCGCTTGACGGGAGGAATCATGTGCGTATGGTGCACTCATAGTGTCTGCTACGGATTCCACTGCATCCCGAAGGGTGAGGGGCGAAACGATGTATTCTCCGCGCTCATCACACGATGGGAGAAGGCACCAAAAAGAATCATCTATGACTTCGCCTGTGCACTGGGCCCATACTGCATGATTCGCGAACCATCCTTCTTCGCGAACACTCAATTTCTTATCGACGACTTCCACTCCGTTGGGCATACAAAGTGCTCTGAGGCCGCTTTTCTCAAGACCTACTGCAGTGTCGATCCGAGACTGTCTCGTATCAACTCAAGTGCCGGAGAATGTGGTAATAGCGGACTTGCGCGTATTCGAAAATCGGTCAGCTACATGTCTCAAAGTCGGGCTATCTTGTACACACGGGTTTTCTTATGTATTTGGAATCGGTTGCGTATCAGGAATATGGCTCGGTAGCTTAGTTATTATCTAAATCCCGTCGAACGAAGTGAACTTGAACGCAGTAAAAACGTCAATGGGAAAGCAGCGGAAGGCACAGCGAAATTGCAGTGAAACCCATTGCAGCAGTTATTGGGCGAGAGAAGCCGCCGAAGATACGGACATCCTAACGCAGCGGGATTTCGGCGAGGGTAGCGAGGATTCGGTGACAGTGTCCAATCCGTGGGAGGGCAGCGAAGACTCGCTGATGGAGTCGGAGCCAGAGGAGAGCAGCGAAAGCTCGGTGACTGTGTTAAGATCAGAGGGAGGCAGCGAAATACCGGCGAGAACGTGCGAAAACAGCCGGGGGCAGCGAAGATTCGCTGGGTGCGTCGAAATCAGGGGAGGGCGGCGAAAGTTCGGCGACTGCGGCAAAATCAGAGGGAGGCAGCGAAATACCGGCGAGAACGTACGAAAACAGTTGGGGGCAGCGCAGATTCGCTGACGGCGTCGAAATCAGGGGATGGCAGCGAAAGTTCGGCGACTGCGGCGAAATCAGAGGGAGGCAGCGAGAAATCGGCGAGGACGTACCAGAACGACCATGGGCAGCGAAAAGGCGTCGAAATCAGGGAGGGCAGCGTAAGTTCGGCGACTGCACTGATGTTAGAGGGAGACGCCGAGAAGTCGGCGAGGATGTACTAAAAACGCTGCCAGCAGCGAGGTTTCGCTGACTGGGACGCTATTGAGGGTGGGGCAGCGAAAGGTCGGTGTGGGCGCTGGAAACCAACCGCGGGGGCAGCGAGACTTCGGTGAGCGCAGCGACAAGTCAGCGATGGCGTCTTTTTGTGGAGGAGGCAGCGAAGATTCCCCAGTGGTAGCCGTCGAAATCACTCAGGAGGGAGGGAGGAGGCAGCGCGATATCGCCGAGACGAGGGAAATGAGGTGTGCTGTGTGTGGAGGTGCAGCGGGCTGTGTTTGTTTACAAGGCATGACCGTACGTGTTTATACAGCTGGTCATCTCGTGGTTATCCGGTTGTTGCTAGGGCGTTGCTTGGTTACGTCTTGGCAAGGCTCGCGTGGTTCCTTTGATCTACACCTCTATCCTATTTTGCACTCGAGGGGTAGCTAGGATCCTCAGTAAATCCACCTCGCATCGAGCAAGGACAGTTTACGCCCTGGACGAACTGACATTCATGTGAGCTTCCCTAGGTAAGGGCTTTTCCCTGACTCGGTGGATGCATAAGGTGCACATGCCACATTGTGCAAGCAGCAACGGAGATAATTCTTCATCCCATTCAGCCTCCGAGTCCCGATCGAGGCGGTAAGCGACGGTCCTTCAGCCACCGAATCCCGATTGGCGGGTCCAGGATCGCAACTGCACTGCAGGCCCTGGTATAAGAATGAACGCAGGAACGTGTGTTCTGCATCCGCCGCCTTCCCCCCTCTCCCTTCTACTGCAATGCCCAGCCACTCCCCACTCTCCTTCTTCTCTCTGCTCGCGCTTGTCGCGCTGCTCTTCTCAGCCACGTTTGGCTCTGCCTCGCCCGTGGAGAAGCGCAGCGCCCGCACGAGCCCTCCCTCTGGAGCGGTCGTCGTGAATGTTGCGGGCGGAAGTGGCGTGCACACCACGGTCTCCTCGGCCGTGGCCGCGCTCCCGAACGACAACTCGGCGCGCACGATCTTCATCTACCCTGGCACCTACAACGAGCAGGTGTTCATCACCCGGCCTGGAATGACGACGGTGCGCGGCTGTTCTGTGCTGTGCTGCTTGGGCTGACGTTGTTTTGGTGGTGAATGCAGATCTACGGTTACACCACCAACAACCTCGACCATGCCCAGAACGTGGTGAACATCAAGCACTCTGCGTCCGCGTCGGCAGCCGGTGGCGACGATCCCAGCGGCACGCTCCGAGTGCACAAGGACAACTTTGCGATGTACAACGTGAACGTCTATAACACGGTCAGTCTGCGCGTTCCTCCTAGGTGCATCGAATGTGTCTGCTGACTATGGGCTGCGCAGTTCGGCCAGGGCCAGCAGGCGATTGCCGTCAGCGCCTACGGCAGCAAGCAGGGTTACTACGCGTGTGGATTCTACGGGTACCAGGACACGCTCCTCGCCGAGCAGGGCACCCAGTTCTACGGCTACACGTACATCCAGGGCGCCGTCGACTACGTCTTTGGCCAGCACGCGTTTGCGTTCTTCCAGTCCTGCACTCTGGCGTCCTCTGGCCCCGGTAGCATCACCGCCGCTGGACCCTCCAGCTCGTCCGATGGCATCTGTATGTTTTTCTGTTCGTTTTGTCTACTGATCCCCGCCCTGACCTGGTCATCCACCAGACGTCATTAACAAGGCGACCATCGAGGTTGCCCCGGGAACTGGCACGTCTTTGGCCGGGAAGGTCTATCTCGGTCGCCCCTGGTCTCAGTTCGCTCGGTGAGTCCGGGCCTGCCTTGTCCAGTCATCTGGCCTGGGTACTCAGATCTTCCGCAGCGTAGTCTACACCAACAGCAACATTGGCGCACACGTCAACGCGCTCGGCTGGGACACCTGGTCCTCCGCCTCCCCCAACACCGCCCACGTCCTCTTCGCCGAGTTCGGCAGCTCCGGTGCCGGAGCCGCTGGCAAGCGGGCCTCGTTCTCCAAGAAGCTGTCCTCCGCTGCTGGCTACACCATCTCCGATGTTTTGGGCAGCAGCCACACCTGGGTTGACTCGGGCTACGACCACTAGGAAACTACTCATTACTACCACTTATTAGCCTCTTATTTGACTTTTAATACAATACACTCTTTTTAACACAGTTACACGAGAGCATAGAAAGATCCAGCGAAGCATCATCAGCCCAGGGCAGGGCTTTCGATGCGTCTGACAGCTTATCACGTGGACGTGAATCGATCCCACCCTCCGATCACTGATGCGACTTTTGAGCACTTGCACTCATGCAACGAATATGCATCCTCAGTAGTAGAGCCCGACATCCACCCCTCTCTCTCTCCAGGGGCGTCCTTCGGCGCCTGTCCACATTCACACCCTCCTACGAGTACAAGAATGTGCCGGCCTTGACAGCGCCCCAGCTTCTCAAAGTCTACAGCCAGCTCTCGAAGTCGCGGCTGAGCCTGCTCGTTGTGTTGACCGCGATGTCGGGCGTCGCCCTCTCGCCCCTCCCCGCGACCATTCCCACCCTCCTCGCGACGGCAGCCGGGACCGCCCTCTGCTCCGCCTCCGCGAACGCACTGAACCAGCTGCAAGAGGTGCCATTCGATGCGCAGATGGCCCGGACGAGGAACCGCCCGCTGGTGCGCCGCGCGATCACACCGCTCCACGCCGCGGGCTTCGCGCTGGCCACGGGCGTGTCGGGGCCCCTCCTCCTGTTGACGATGACGAACCCGACGACCGCCGCGCTCGGCGCGTTCAACATCTGGCTCTACGCGGGAGCCTACACATGGATGAAGCGCAAGTCGATATACAACACCTGGCTGGGGTCAGTTGTAGGTGCTATCCCACCCGTGATGGGATGGACGGCCTGCGGGGGCCATATCCTCCCGTCGGCCGCGTACCCGGTACACCTGTTCCTCCCGTCCTTCCTGTCCTCCTCCCCCGCCCCCGTGGACCTGGCGCTGGTCGACAACCCGCTCGGCGCGTTCGCGCTGTTCATGCTGCTGTACAGCTGGCAGTTCCCGCACTTCTTCGGCCTCGCGCACCTCGTCCGCGCCTCCTACGCCCAGGCCGGCTTCCGCATGCTGTCCGTGACGTCCCCGCCCAAGGCTGCGCTCGTGTCCATCCGCCACGCGCTGCTCCTCATCCCCGTCTGCTCCGTCCTGATGCCGATATCCGGGCTCACCACCTGGGCGTTCGCCGTGACGTCGCTCGTGCCGAATCTCATCTGCGCGCGCGCGGCGTGGCTTTTCCTTCGGGTGGGCGGGGAGAAGGAGGCCCGGGTCCTGTTCAGGAACTACTTGTGGTACCTGCCCGTCGTCATGGCCCTCATGATGCTGCATAAGCAGGGCCTCCAGTGGGGCCGGTGGTTGGGCCTCGAGGCGGACGAGGAAAAGAAGGAACTTGACAAGGCGCTTTGAGGGAAACGATTATCGTATCGTGTAGAAGCACTACCGTCAAATATCTAAAACATCAATTCATCTCAATCCAATTGGTTGGGGAAGAGTGTTGTAAGAAAAACAGGACAACAAAAGGGTTAACGAGGAGCGAAAAAAATGACATCTGGCCAACGTGGGGATCGAACCCAAGACCTTCGCGTTATTAGCACGACGCTCTAACCAGCTGAGCTAGTCGGCCGATGACGTACAGTCAAGAGGTATGTTTACAGCGCGCAAGGAATTTTGATACAATTTGCGAGGTTGTCTACGATTGCCATAATGCGCAACCTTGGCGCGCTCGTTCAAAAGCGTTGGCCTCATCTATCTGCTGCAGTCCTCCTTAACCCCGAATTCACAACTCGAACCTATACGACGTGCCCACAATCGGGCAGCAAACAGTCCTTAGCACAGTCCCTGCGCGCCTCCACCGCCCTGTCACGCGAACTATCGTACCTCCTCCGGCACGGCGCAGAGCGTGAGGGGCTGCCTATCCGTGTCGACGGATACGTGAGCGTGGACTCCCTGGTTCGTTCATCGGCTCTACCCCGATCGCACGGTCTGGCTGGGGACGCGGCCTGACGCGCCGCAGCTCAAACACAGGGCCTTCCGGGGCACGACTCTACAGGAACTGATGCACATCGTCGAAACGGACGGAAAGGCGCGCTACTCGCTGGTGCTGGAAGACGGGCTGTGGTGGGTGCGCGCGAACCAGGGCCACTCGATGCCAGTTGAGTCCCCGCGCGTAGCGGATCGTGTGGTGCGCTTCGTCGTGAGCTGACCGCGTGTGCGTAGGGTGTGGTGCTGGATCTGAAGCGGATAACGTCGGCGGCGGAGGTGCCGATGGCCGTGCATGGGACGACACTGGCTGCATGGCGGCAAATATGTGAGTCCCGCGCGCCGTTTCCCCATCGGACCAGGCTCGAGCCCCCTGGCAGCTTCGGAAGGCATCTCGCGCATGACTCGCCAGCACATCCACCTCGCGCAAGGCCTGACGGGGACTGTCATCAGTGGTGAGTAGGTAGAAGACAGGTGTAAGGACCGGGTACCGACACCACAGGCCCCAGGGATGCGAAGCTCATCTGAGATCGTCATCTTCATCGACGTGGAGCGCGCCCTCGACGCTGGTATCGCGTTCTTTGTGTCCAGCAACGGTGTTTTGCTTTCTCCGGGAAACGAAGCGGGATATATCGCTCCTCGTCTTTTCTCGGATGTGCGTCGGGCCAAGAGCAATGGGGCAGTCCCTAGATGGCCGCGTCCATGATTCAATTATCCTAGTAGGCAAATGAAGAACAAATGTGCATAAATTTGTAAATAAAAGGAGAGGGCAAAAACTATGAGTTTGTGACCAACTCGCTCCCCAGCGCGAACAGACAACAGATCCTGATCTGCGAAGACTAACTCGGCGAGTACCGCGGGCTGCGCAATTGCTTGCCTGACCCGAGAGGTACAGATTATTCCGAATCCGTGCCACGGCTTCCGCAGTGGAGAATTGCGAACACCAAGTTTTCTGCAGGGGATCTGTCTTGAACCAGCGCACTCAAGGAGTTTACCGATGATGGAACCAGTCACATTCCCGACTGAGGGCCATTACAACCACTACGCCATTGTGCCATAGGACGCTGCAATTGTACTGCTATTCAAATCACTTCTCAGGCCACTGCAGCTCAGCAAGGATTCCCTTGCCTTTGGCTCCAGACGAGCTCTCGAGTCTCGAGACGATCGGCATCCGATGGCATCAAACACGCCCATGTGATATCCTGTCAAGCTGCAGTGATCAAGCGTGTCTTGAGACTCGACCAACATCCCGCATTCTCTGCGTTGCTTTACTGGATGCAGCAACAACCGAGACCATGTCCGCACAAGTAGGTAACAAAGGTCCACGAATCTGGACGCAAAGACCAGGTGCCCCCTCCAGGCTGCAACGCCAAGTCCTCCTCTCATAGGTACCCTCCTACGTTTGACTTGTACGGCCGCATAAGCTTGGATAACGGGTTCTGTATGCAGGCAACGGAAAGACCGTGGCTCGAAGTTGACGCGTCGTCAAGGGGTGAGTGCTGATCTTCCTGTCGTGTCTCATGGTCAGCTCACGCGTCTACACGACCCGATTCTTTTCAGCCGCCACTGGGGCTCGCTGATTGTGCACGTGAGTCTGCATGTGCTTTGAACCTGATGCGCTGAGATCGCCTTTGTTTCTTGTGCCCAGCGCTATGGCGTTTCTGTCGCAACAGAGATCCACATTCGGCGCTCGGGCGTTATTGAAGCTGATCTGACGCCAAGATTCGATACTGAGATTCTGGGCTGCAGCTGTCCTTGTTACCACAGGAGGGTTCAAAGTCATGCTCTGAGACAGCATGAAACTCAAGTTTGTGGTCTGTCTAGACACGGGTCTACGTGTTCTAATGTCTGGCCCCTCTGTAGCTTGAGAGACTAGCACCCGACGTGACTGGGGAAGCAAACAAACGCATAGTTGTACATACACACAATACAGCACAATACGATACAATTTCAAGTCCTACAATTCAAAGCAGACATAGGGAAATCTGGTTCTCCAGTGCAGCGGATTGGCCAACAAACAGCTTCGCTTTGTCATAGATTCCTTCCCACGCATTACGGTCGACTCCGACCAACTTGGTGGCCAGATACGCCATGGCAAGCAGCGTCGCAAGCACACTGTCGATCAAGCTGAGCTCATTCCGAATCGTGTCTGCAGTGATACCGGGTTTGAGTTGGATGACGTCCAGAACTTGGAGGGTAAACCCGCCGTCAAAGGCCTGGAGCCGGGCCAGAGCTTCCAGAGCGTCCATCGGCTCCAAATCTGCCACCGCAGGGCCGGCCATGGCTCCAGCACTCGAAGCTCCATTGGACATGGCTGGGACCGACATCGAGCCGTACAGCTCTGTTGATTGCGGCATCGCGGTCTTCTGTCCCATATCTCTACGGGAGAGTCGACGACGTTGAGTAGGACCCGGCGCCGCGGAGAACGATCCAGTCTCTAGAATACCCGAAAAAAATTGTGACTGAGGAACGGCTGCCGAGATCGAGGACGCTGCTGCAGGGGCCATAGGATAAGACATCGGGGAATAAGCACTGGCCACTGGCAGCTGTGGCACAGGGTACGCCCCCTGGGACGGAGGCGAACCGGACAGCGAGCAAATCTGGCTCGAGTAATTTCCAGCATTCGGAGCAGACCGGCCGCGATCACGGCTATATGATGACCTAGCGCCCCCAAGGCTCAACATGATGCGGGACGAGCCCCGGACGCGTTGGGGCTGCATCGCGCTTGGAACTGCGTGGAATGCGTGGCCGGTGTCTCGGGCAGCCGTCCGGTCCGACTCCTCAACAGCAACAAACGATGTATGCGTCGATGCGATCGAGTACGTCGTCCCCAGCCGCACAACACTGGCTTTCACAGTCCGCGCGAGGAGATCGAAATCGGCAATGCCTGTTCCGAGCGCGTGCCGTCCGTCCTCCAGGTCCTGGATCAGCTTGCGCGCAGCCAGCGAATGAATGGCCGGCGGAGCTCCTGGGCTGTTCTGCAGGTGGCTCACGGACACAGTCACCGGAAGCTCGATCTCAGCACCGTCGAACGTCGTGCCGCGGAGAGTGACCACTTTCGGGATTTCTTTGCCTGCGACTCGATTAGGACGGTGACAGAAACAACCGAAAGCACTGACCTTGGAGAATAGCATAGGCGTTTAGTCGGATGTGAGGGTACAGACTCTTGATCTCAAACGGAGCTTGTTGAATTTCAGAGAAGGGCGCAAGAACAACTGCCGGAGGAGGAGGCGGGGCACCAGACGCAAGCGAGTGCTCGGCGCTCTCATCGAAGATATTCAGCGTCTTCTTCTCCTCCGGTGCAGCGCTCTCAACCACCTCAAAGTCATCATCCTCGACATGAACAGGGGTCTGCTCCCGCACACGCCGCCCCCAATCAATCCGAATGTCGGATATCGGCGGCGTCCTCGCAGCCTTCAGCATCCTCGCGACCTTGCCCATGAAACTGCCCTCGTCCTCGCCGACCATCATGCACGTCCCGTTCCCGACTCTGGCAATCCCTTCGCACATCGCCGTCGACGCCGAGTTGCCGATCCCCAGCACGGAAACGCGCACAGGCGCGTGTTTGTCTTGCGGCGAGTCCACGGTGGCCTTGATTTCGTTCAGCACGCCATCCAGATCCCAAGCGTCTCCGTCCGTCAGAACCAGAACACTCATTGGCCTGTCCTTCCTCCGCTGGGCAAAGCACGTCGCAAGCGCGTTCCGAATCTCGGTTCCTCCATAGTCTGCAGCCATCCTGTCAACGTGCTGGGTCGCCTCCTCCAGAGTGGCTTGATTATACGCTCTGCTTCCCGACGGCCACAGGAGAGATGTCCGGCTTCCAAAGGACGCGATCTGGAATAGACAGTCCTGGTGCGGCAGTGCCCTCAGCATCACCACAAGTGCCTTGGTGGCCGCCTTCATACGCTGTCCACGCATAGAGCCACTCCGGTCGACGAGGAAGACAAATTCCTGTCGCGACAGGTCGGGAAGAGTGAACCGTGGGACTAGCGTCAGTCCCAACGCGACTGTGTTGTGGACAGGATGCATTTCGGCGATGCATCGAGGAGTGTCCAGTCCCGCAGATTTGACCGTCAACACAAAGTCTCTGTCCAATACTGTATCCGAAAAGAGCGAAACGCGCGCGAAGTTTGAGAACGGCAGCTCTTGGTGATTAGGCAACAATGGATCTGGACCGAGTTCCGTCGAGATCGTATGCGAGGGACTGCCTATTTTCGAAATAGGTGACGCTGATTCAACATCCGTGGTGATGGTCAAGAAAGGGTCGGGGGAGGACTTGATCCAAACGTTTTGTAGTTGATACTTCGGAGCTGTGGGCTGCGGGGCAGCGCCGTACCGAGAACCAATGTGCACCGGAAGATGAAAACGGATGGAATCACTGTCTTCGTCCTCCGTGAGCTCCGTAGCATAGACAAGCTCGATCTGGACTTGTTCGTCGGGCTGGATATTTCCCACCGACACATGGAATGCTGATAGGCAGTATCCATCAGCTATGCCTCCAGAGATGACGCCGAGGCTCACTATCTGGTCCCAACTGCTCTAACAAGCCTGCATGTCGCCCCGACGCAAGCGCATCCTCATACACCGCCCTCGCCTCCTGCTTCTCCTTCACGTTCCCCACGATCTTGCTCCCATCCTCCCGCACCATCGTGAAGCTCGACACCACGGCACGGTTCGGGACGGGGAACACATACCGCGCTTCGATGGGGACGCCGGCGTCGTTGGCGTACGTCTGCGTCAGCGTTACTTGCGCGGCAAGCTCCTTGATCTGTGCGGACGCGTGCACCGCGAGGAGCGGAGCTGAGATCGCCTGATACTCGTGGTAGTAGAAAAGCCCATAGATGGCGGTCATGCTGTGAGTTTGCGGGTGGGTTGTAGGTGCGTGGCTTTTCTGGCGCTTCATATAGATGGATCGAAGGCCTGCGTCACAGCAGTGCAGTCATTCTACGGGACCGCGAGTGTCACCCGTCACGGGCTGTGCGTTCACCCCTCAATGAGTTTGCGGCTGACTCAAATTCCTATCAGAATTCGAGACGTGGGGGGTCGCAGTTGACGGGGAGATCAAGTGCCATAGAATAGTGGGGTGCGGCAAGAAATCTACAAAACGCCTATGCGTGACAGATAGCATGTGATGTGACTAGAACGCGAGTCGCGTCTTGGCATCATCGTGGCACCACCTCCCGCTGGCAGTACCGCTACGTCTGATCACACAATACAGATACTAGGCCAAGTATTACAAGGATAACATTACAGAGAGTTCACATTGTCCCGCGGCAGAAGTATCAGGACGACCACTCTGGGATAGTATCTGTCCGTTCAGTGCGCCTCTTCCTCGAGTGACACCACCAGTATACCAACGTGCTCACGATAATCGACAACCCGACTCCACTGCTCAGAACAATGCCTAGCGCCTCCCCGATTTCGGCACGATGTGGAAGGCCTCGCGATGCCGGGGAAGACGCCGACGCAGATGCTGCGGAAGCAGAGGAGGACGCCACTGTCGCGCTTGGTGGAAGTGACTTGGTCGGCAGGAAAGATGCGGTGGTGTCCCTTAGAGAAGTGAGTTGTTCATGCGCCACACACGAAATGCCGGGCTCACGGGTCCGTCACAGTCAGAATAATCGACCCAATGTCCAGTCGCGTTGCGTTATCGGGAGAGGGAACGAAAGTGACGGTCGTCATCGACAGATTGCCTTCGTTCAAGTTGACGACGGCGATGAGCCCAGTGGACGTGTCGACCTGCCGGCTCTCGGTAACTCCCCCGGAAGACACAGTGAAATTGGCCACTGCATTGGATAGAACGGAAGTCGACATATACAGCGCCGACGCTACGTTGGGTCAGAAAAAAAACAGAATAGTCAACGATAAGCGACGAGCAGGGGCCTACTTACCTCGGAACGACATGAACATCTGCGGTACCAAATTTCCGCCATCGACTCCCGGTCCCGTTGAAGATACCGTAGGGATGTCCCCTATCTGTGTAGCATTCCTTCCCCGATTCAGTCTCACTCCGTGTCAAAACATCAGACACACCATGCGCCTTCGCACCCCGGATCTGCCGCCAAACTAGCCGCCGAATCACATAGGAACGGAGTGTAAATGATTTCCGGGGACGTATTCGACACTGAAACATTCACAGACGTCGCACGGAGACTGGAGCATAGTGACAAGAAGAGCACAAGATGAGCCCCAAGCCGCCGATCCCATGAACGCAGGCGCATGCCTTGTCGATGCAGCACTGGGCAGACGCACTCGCTCGTGGTCGTCGTCAAGCACCAAGTCTCAGCAACGATTCGAAGACCTTCGCAATCTATCCAGTTGCAATCCGGAGATAGTCGGCCGGACTCTCGTCACAATGCCAACTGCTATTCAGCGGCGAAAATTAACGGGTGTGAAATGTTAAGAGTATCGTGGCAGCATAGCTATGAAGCAAGGGTCGGAAGACAGTCTGCTCATAATCAAGCTGCATGATATTCAAGGGAGGACCTGATTTGGGTGATTCTCATCCATCGAAGAGTGTCATACTCAAATGCACTCGTGAAAGACGTTAACAGCGATCACACCCACATACCAATGTCAGATACCATCATGCTCATGTTCTTAAAATACGGCATTTCCCAGGAGCGTCGAATGAGCACAGAGCGTGATTGTCTATTGCAGCTCTAAAACAAGTACTAGATCGACTTGTTTTTAACGAGCACTGATTCGAGTGTGTATTGGTCAATATGCAAAAGAACAAGAATAGAAACACGCACGCTCTATCTCGGCAACCGCACCCATCAAAATCTCCTTCTGAGTCTTCTCATCTTTCGTAGCGGCGAGAACTTTGTCAATGACGGTCTTGGTCAGTTCGGCTTGCTCGCTCTCCTTGAGCTGCTGTTCGTAGCGGACCCAGCTGTCGAGAACACCCTTGATCTCGGCAGCAATGGCTGCTTTTTGCTTTTGCACGAAAGCGTCAGACTCGAGAACGGCGGTCTCCTAAGCCAGCGTCAAAAAATAGCTTGGAGGAGCCTTATACGGGGACCGACTTTAGACAGCGAGAAGAGACCTTTGGTCAAGGAGACTACGTCCTTCATCTTTGCAACATTGTCGATGCGGTCCTTGACAGCCGAGGTGTGGTCGTTGCGAGCCGCATCCAAGATGCCCTTGATACGAGCGACTTGCGCGTCGGCCCAGTCACTGTACGGCTGACGGATAGCCTAGACGTGAACCAAAAATGTCAGCGCATGCACGATGTGCGTGAACGGCACTCGGAAAACGTACACGAGCCACCAGCGTGAAGAAAATGAGCGAACCAGCCAGGAGGACGGTCTCATCGCTGAGGACGTACAGCTCCGAGGAGATGGCGGCAGCAACGACACCGGTACCAAGGATAGCGGTTCCGGCCTTGGTGATGTAGTTCGGAGAAGAGGGGAGCTTGTCGATGATCTCAGCGGCACGTTCAGAGGGAGGGGTGGGGTTCGAAGAGCTCGCCATGGAGCGGCTGGAAGCATATATCAATTTGTGAAGGTTTTCGGCGCCTGCAAAGTGCCTACGTTTGGAAAACCTGGGGGACGGCAGCAACCGCTCGCGGTCGTGCTAACGAAGCCAAAGAGTTTGAGACATATTTCAGACATGCTATAGGCAGGGCGCCTACCTGCGGCTCTCAGGGAGCTGATAGCGACTCTGGAGGCCATGGCGCGAAGACAACAGGATGAGGGCGGTTTGGCTCGGGTCACGTCACAGTCACGCGTCCACCGCCTGATCCGAATATCTACGATCAGATCATCAGCTTCTTATCCTTCTCACCCTGCCCTCCCCCAAAATTAGCAACTGTGAAGTACTACTGGCGACCATTCATTTTCACATCTTCATCTCCTTTTCTGCACCGCCTACGCTGATCTGCTTTGCTTTGTCCGCCCTCCAATCAAGAAAGCGCAGCTCCTCAGAGAAGATCTCAGTGCACAGCCATCTCTGTAGACTTGCAGCGCCCGCGTTTCAAGACAGCGCCCCCGCGATCACTTTAAGCGATTGACAGCCCATAAAAACGTTGCCTAGAACCTTGCTAGAACCTGTGAACCCCCCCACGTCCTTGTCTCTCCCCCTCCATCGTTATCTTCTTCGTCGTTCCTTCAAAGCCTTCCACAAGTCCTCATGGCCTACGTGCGTCCCTGTGAAGCTCAGACTGAGTTGAAACCTGAGCAAATTTTCCAGCCTCATGAGCAAATTCCGATGCAACAGAAGCAGCCCTTCCTTGTGCAACAACCGGGACCCACCCTCGGCATGCAAATGGGCGGAGGAGGTAACCGGAATGCTGCCGGCAAGCCTCTCAACAGCAGCGGAGAACGAGAATGGAGCAACGGGCTGTGTGGCTGTTTCGAGGAGTGCGGCACTTGTCAGTCGTGCCATACAATCTCCGCTCAATGGCCCTCTGATCTGACGGAACATAGGCTGCTATGCACTGTGGTGCCCGTGTGTTGTACACGGCAAAAACAAGCAACGTCTGGACCACTTGAACAACAAAGGTTTCCCCCATCCCGATGGAGGAGATTGTTGCTCGGGATCTTGTTGGGGACACTGCTGCTTGAGCGGCCTAGGCTTCGGCTGGTTGCTACAGGTGCGTTCACACAGCATTGGTAACACAGCATTGATAACATTCTTCCGAATCGTGTCTTTCTCAGTGCTTCAACCGTGGTGACGCTCGCCGACGCTATCACATCGAAGGTGGAGGATGCGGAGATTGTTGTGCGACCTTCTGCTGCGCACTATGTGACCTTGTTCAGGTTTCGCGTGAGATCGAACTTGAGGAAAACAGTTTCGGTCCTAAATATTGAGCATTATCTCTATTCTCACCGTGCTATTGCCTCTGTACACTGTTTGTAACTGGCTGTGCCGCACACTACATGGATATGATGTACCAATTTTGGCTCGAGACGTCGCCCAGCGCCATTCCTTTCAGAGGCCAAATGATGTCAGGGAACGACTCAATATTAATCAGGATCATTGGTGAAGACACTCAAGAGTCGTCCGAGAGCAGGATGCGTATTAAGGTCCAATACGATACTAAAGACTGACGATCAATCGACATGACGCTTGGGCAGTGCATTTAACAGCGAGGACTGCGCAGCATGTTCATGTGTTACGAATGGTGGCCCAAACTGTAATATAGTCGTGATCGCGGACGGAGAGGAGAGGGCATATAATAAATAATTGGCTGCTCAGGACTGTGTCCGAACCACTGAGTACCGATTTCTCAAGTATACATCGACGGTAAGCAGCGGTAGGAATTAAGAGACGAAGCCGGACGCGGTGTCCATCACATCGCCAAACAAATTATACACTCCAATTAACTCACCCACCCTACTTTCCGTCATCATGGAAGTAGAGGCGCCTTTGGTCGTTGACAATGGAACCGGGGTACGCCAGATCTCAACTAACGTGCTACTTTCTCTGATAATCTCCTCAGTTCGTCAAAGTCGGTTACGCAGGGTCCAACTTTCCCGAGCACGGTACAAACGTTCTCAGTACCCTCTCTGTCTTGATGCTCAAACATATCTCTAGTGTTCGCTTCAGTCGTCGGTCGCCCAATACTCCGTGCTGAGGAACGCGTCGGCTCTGCCATCATCAAGGACATCATGGTCGGCGACGAAGCTGCGGAGAACAGGAACTATCTACAGATCACGCAGCCTATGGAGCACGGGATCGTGAAGAACTGGGAGGACATGAAGCTGCTGTGGGACTACACCTTTGACGAGAAGCTCAAGGTCGATCCGCGTGGCAAGAAAGTCCTCCTCACCGAGCCGCCCATGAACCCGAAGTCGAACAGGCAGCGGATGTGTCAAGTCATGTTCGAAGAGTATGGGTTCGACGGAGTATATATCGCGATTCAGGCTGTGCTTACGTTGTATGCGCAAGGTGCGTGATCTTTTGCTCGCCTCTGCGACTTCGCTGACTGCATCAGGTCTGACGACTGGTGTCGTCGTCGATTCCGGTGATGGCGTAACACACATCGTGCCTGTTTATAGCGGATTCGCGTTGCCCCATCTGACGCGTCGGTTGGATATCGCTGGACGAGACGTCACTCGCTATCTGATCAAGTTGCTGCTCATGCGCGGGTATGCATTCAATCGCACGGCGGACTTTGAGACTGTGCGCGAGATCAAGGAGAAGTTGTGCTACGTCAGGTGAGAGCAAAATCATTGGTCTGCCGTCAGGATGGCTCATTGTCTCAGTTACGATCTGGATATGGACACCAAACTGTCGGAGGAAACGACCACTCTCGTGGAGAGCTATCAGGTGAGTTACACGATCGGTTGCCCAAGGTCATCGAACTCATCGATTTCAACCAAAGCTGCCAGATGGACGTGTCATCAAAGTTGGGTCGGAGCGATTCGAAGCTCCCGAATGCATGTTCCAGCCTCATTTAGTCGACGTTGAGCAGCCTGGCATGGCGGGTATGTGAACTGCTTCATTGTTCCGACTCTCCGACTGATTGCATGCAGAAATGCTATTCCAAACTATCCAGAATGCTGCAGTCGATACTCGCGCTGAGTTGTACAAGCATATCGTGCTGTCGGGTGGTTCCAGCATGTATCCCGGCCTACCCAGTCGTCTGGAGAAGGAAATGAAGCAGCTCTATCTCACTCGGGTGCTGAACGGCGACCCTTCACGACTCAATGTTGGTTCCATCTCCATATTCTTTCGATGTAATTTGACATGGCTTCTAGAAATTCAAGATCCGGATTGAAGACCCGCCTCGACGGAAACACGCTGTTTTCCTTGGCGGAGCTGTTCTTGCTGACATCATGAAAAGCCGGGAAGACTTCTGGATTTCTCGGGAGGAGTGGTTCGAACAAGGTGTCCGTGCGATGGACAAGTTGGGTAGAGGAGACAATTGAGTTGGTCCACACTTTGTATAACCAGTACAGTATCCGGAAGCAATTAAATAAAGTTCCTCTATCGGAGATCTATTTCACATCTATTCCGACCTCCAAAATGAATCCCAAGAGATCATCTCAGGGCATTCAAATCCGATTCCACGGATGATGTCCTGTCCCTGGATTAGCCGCAGTTCTCGGCCCCGCATCCGCAGGCTCTTGCGCAGAGGAGCCGCAGCATCTTTCTCGTCGTCAGTGACCTGTCTTTCCTCCTCCGGTAGCAATGCAGCATGCTCATGCGTCAAGCGCAGCATCGCATGCGTCTTGGCTAAAGCATGCGATGCTGCACGCGACACAGCATCCGAGGCACGTAAAACCTTTTGAGGCTCGAAATGGGCGAGCAGCAGGGCGGAGAACAGATCTCCCACCCCGGAAAAGTATCCCGGCAGTTGCTGCACGATTTGGGCGTGCACCACAGACGACTCTGCTGTGGCAGACGACGCAATGCAGAGGAGGTAGTTCAGGTCAGAATCGACAGCGGATGACAGTCTTGCGGGAAGGGCTGATTTGAGCCAGTCCGCGAGAGGAATGGAGCTGATCACCACGTTCGGCACTCGATATGTTTTGTGGAGAATGCGCAGAGCAGAACGCAGAGACTCGATATCCTTCAAGGGTGTGTCTGTCAGAGTTCTAAAGTGATATGTTCAGTGTATCAGGCGACAAGACACGACTCACTCGACTTCAAACCAGTTGGGAGTTATGATGGTAGACAGCGGTAAGATTCTGCGGTAAATGGGAATGACATCGGCAGCAACATAAAGATGCCCCGAGTCTCCTAGAACCGCTAAGAATAGGCTTGAAAAAGTCTGTGATAATAGTGATGATAGCCATACGATCGAGCAGGTAGATAAGATCGGTCCTCTGCGTCTTGAGCTTTTCAACGAGATCGGCCACAGCGGAGATCCCTTCAGCACCCGGTACATAGCCTGAGATGGGTCTTCAACATTTGTTTCAAAGGATCAACAAAGTTCTTGGGACCTGTGAGTAGCCTGTCTGGCAGAAGAAGCTGATTCATCTCCATGCCCTGGAAGATTTGGTTCAACTCGGTTGCCGTGGTTCTTGTTCCCCCCAGGCGCCCATAACCTGCGAATGGCTCTCAGTCCCATACTACAAAAGTCTCCAGGTCGACAGACCAGAATGATTCGAGAAGTTGACCGTATTTACTACCTTTCAAACTTGTTAGATGGCATATGAGAGGTCTGGATCTCTCACATCAACGTCGTAGCCAAGACATTGCAGCGGGAAGACGGCAGCCTTGCCGCCAACGTAGCCAAATACGACATGTGACTGGATACTGAGAACTCGAGACCCCATTTTACGAGCGAAGGGTTCACAAAATGAGAGCACAAGACGAGTCACTGTCAGATTGCAGCTTGATCGGCTTGCGGATCCCGACCTCGTGACTGCTTACCGGGGATATTGTGCGTGGTGTGCCATTAACGCGTTCTTCAGTGCTCTGCTCTGCATTGCATTGGTTTCTCTACGCAACTCTCTTGACACAATCGAGTAACATGTCTGATGGCTCGAGGTGCGGGAGCTACTCTATATCGGCCCTATTGTCTCAATTTGTGTGCGCAGGCTAAGGCAGTCATGGTACGACGCCTTGAATGGCGCCGAAACGCATTTCCGTCAAATGCTCACCTCTTCCTCGTCTGCGGAATGGAAGAGAGTATCGGCCTCCACTGACACTTCGCCCTCGAAGAAGGGCAAAGCACGAGCTCCGTCCATCCCTGAGCCAAGCGACGTGATCATCCACCGGAACTCAAGTAAAGCAGGAGGGGACGTCTATCGTCTGGTCCTCGACGTCCCTACAGGCGACGAATACGTATCCCTCGAACCTTGGAAGGCTGTTTTGACTACGCCCGAACTGAGGACGGAATGGGATCCTGCGGTGGAGGAGGCGCATTTGGTGGAGATTTTTGATCATAACACACGCATATGCAAGACGAATTTTACGCTTGGTTGGCCTGCAAAGTGCGTCGGGACGTCTTTTCTCAGCGAATGAGATGCCTGACTGACAGGTTCGCCCAGTCCGCGCGACGCAGTGACCATCTCACGATCCTTCCATGACGCATCTACATTCATTGACATCTCAACCTCTTTGCCGCGGTCACCCGATGAACCTGCGTACCTCCGGCCATCGCCTCCGTATGTCAGGTCGCACGTTACGTGTGCGTGTCGCAGCTCTCTCGCATGTTTCCAGGACACTGATGGAGCGCAGTATTCGCGTGGTGCATTCAGCACTTCGGCGCCGCCCCGCTTGTGGCACCTTCTACATCTGGTACCACCGACGTGGTGCAACGTAGGCGCACATCTGCGGGAGGCCGATTGCGGATTACTTGCTTCTGGCAGCACGACCTTCGCACGGCATGGACCATTGGCTCATCGGCCTCGGCGGCCATGCAGCAACTGTCTACCATGGCGCTCGGCTTGCTGAAGACCGTCATGAAGCGCGGAAATCGAATACCGAAGATCACAGGTTACGGGAATGGGGTTTCAATTGAACGAGTTCGATTTCAGAACGATCGAGAGGCGTTGACCATTGATTACGCCATCATTCCGGATGAGGACGAACCCTCTGCGGTGAACCACGGGATCGACGAGCTGCATGCGATTCGGGAGCATCGGCGCCTGAGGAGGTCGATTGAGTGTGTGCTACCTGCGAGTGAAGGATGGGACGTGCAGGTGTCGACGAAAGCGTCTTCCGAGGATGTGGAAAACCTTCCGTGGACCGCGCGTGCTATCCGCAGCAGCTCTTTTGCATCTCCCCCGACGCCAGAATCGGAAGAGTCGCGGCCTCTGGATCAAATCGTTGTTCGTTTGACGCACTCGCCGCTCATTGACGAGCACTCGGTACTCAAAGTTCGCGTCGTCGTGGAGATCTCTGGTCCCACAGCGGGCTTGAGATTGAACGGGCTCCCTCAGCCAATCCAAGAAGTGGAAGAACGTGACCCATCGTCATATTTCATCTCTCAGCAGATACTTCAGGATGTGTCTAGCACCGCGGATCTGAGCTTCAACACAGTGTCATCGCAAAGCAGCATGCATTCCAACAATTCAGGATCGATAGCTCCCAGACCACCGACAGAGCGATCGACCGCTGCAGAGAAATCGATACTATCCAGGGTCAAACGCAACTACATCTATTTCTCGTCGCTGTTACAGGAGCCCGAGGCGAAATGGAAGCGAAGTAGACTTGTCATGTCTTTCCGATTGCACTATTTTCTTACGTCTCGGCAGCTACCGAAGCCAAAGGAGTCTCAGTTACGCAACTCGATTCGATTGATCCTACTCTCGTTGTCTACCGTGCAGAAGCGACCTTTGTCGGGGTCCCGTTGTGGGATCTGTACTCTGCCGTCATTTCTCCTGGATCTCGTGTTTACTGGGACAAACAGCATGAAGACGCGATTTTACTCGAGGATGTCAATGATCTAACTGAATTATGGCACATCAAGACCAAACCAGCCTGGCCAGTCACGTACGTTAACATTTCATCTTTGTTTGTTTGAGTTCAATGGGCGTTGTCACAGTGGTCGTGATTCTGTGGTGCTCCGGACGGTGTACAAGTCACCCACAACAATACACGTCTTTTCTTTTTCCGCCGACGAACCACATCTCTTTCCCAACATTCCTCCTGTTGATCCGACTGTGATCCGAACACAAATTGATCTGCAGGGTTGGGCCATTGAAGCGCTCTCTCCGACCACGACATCGTTGACGCTGCTGGAGCAGTCCGACCCCAAGGGATGGACGAACAAAACATCTATCCCGACGATGATGATCAACACTCTAGCGGGAATCGGCGAGTTTGCGATCAAATGCGGAGGGCCACCTGTGGTGACGCGCTTGGCCGGAGCGAGGGCCAACGAGATGAGATATGACCACGAACGCTCCAGCTTCAAGCTCGAATACGAGGCGTCCACAAGCAGACAAGGTGGCGGTGGCTCTGAGGCTACGAGCAATTCGATCGGGTCCACTGGGATGCCGGTGATCGAGTGCGAGCTGAGGTGCGATATGGACACCTGGGCGCACTCACTGGACATAGTTGTGGATCCACCTCCTCAGTCTTTGTCTTGTCTTCGCAGACACCGCCTGTCGACCGAGGGTGGTGGGTTGTGGCTGAGCCTCACTCACGATGCGGTCTTCATTGACGATGAGCGGCTGCTGGTTTTGGTCCGCCGCGCCCCTGGCAAAGAAAAGGGTCTGGTGATGGTCAATGGGTCCAAAGTTTCTGTCGATGTGGACGAACTACCGGACAGTGAAATCAAGTCGCTCTCGAAGAGGAAACGAGTCAAGCCAACTCGCATACCACTCGATCAGCCGCCGGTTTTGGGTGTGGTCCGGCGGCGAAGAGCAGAGTGGGATGCGGACTCGGACGATGCTGCTGGTGCCGACTCCCAGACTCGGTCCAAGACAACTACTCCGCGAATATCCAGTCCGTTGTCGCGCTTTTTCACGTTTGCAGTGGACCAAGCGGCTGCTACGACCCAGCAGGCCGTCGCAGCGATTACGCCCGCAAATATCGAGGAGACAGTTCCGTCATCAAGCAAACAGCCGATGCAGTATGGGCTGGAAGCATTGACTTGGATGCAGCAATCCCGTTCTCGTGGCTCGGCCGAAGGCTGGACTTCGCTCAACGACAAGGCGCTCTCGGTCCATCGAAAACATTGTCCCGAGATATCACCGTCTATCCACGTTCACAAGGGCGAGAAGGTCATTCAGGGGGTTTCTGCCGACGAATTGGCCGCGATTGTATCCGAGTTTGACTGCCGGAGAAAGTGGGACGATCGATTCGACAATGCTACCGTTCTCGAGTCGTATGGAGCGGGGTGCCAGACGGCTTTCGCCGTGTCCAAAGCCGGGTTTCCTTTTCGGGACAGGGGCTTCTATCTGGCATCTGTCCTGGCGAGGACTCATGTGATATCAAGGAGGCCGACGGGGGATGTTGCCGAGCAGTCGAATGGACCGCGCAATGCGGTGTTTTACGTGTCTGCTTCCTTCAGCCCGGAATCCGCATCCGCGTTTTCCGCGGCAAAGTACAATCCTAATGGCTTGCCGATCGGACGGATATTCGTTGATGGCTGGGTTTTGGAGACCTTGGATCCCTATACGAAGGAGAACTACGCAATCCCCTCGACCCGCTGCACACGCTTTGTTGCCGTTGACTATGCGGGCTCCATCCCTGCTGCGTTCAACTCGATGAATAATGCAGCCGCAGCGCGATCGATTCTGGCCCTCGAGAGCTTCTTCAAGAGCATCTCCTCGCTTCCCGTTACTCGTCTTCCGCCTGCGGGGCTTGTCATTTCCGACAAGTTTGACACACACGAGTCCATAGCTGATCTCTCATGGAAAGTTCGACGGCGAGACGACCATCACTCTCTATTGAATACGACATTCGCACCCGAGAGTCGTGTCTATCAATCGACTATTTTGCTCAGCCTCAACTCTAGCGGTGTGCTGCCACCCAACATCTCTGATGTGACTCCTCGTCCGAGTACCTTCAACCTCGGTTCTCCCGATTCAATAGACGCACTTCCTAGCGGTGATTCGGGTCTATCGTCGGGTTCGCCAGTTCCACAATTGTCTCCCTCCTCGACCGTCACACCCTCCGGTTCGCCTCGCCAGCGGAGCGAGTCCAATGGTTCCAGCAGGAATCGGTCCGTCAGTGCCTTCACAATGAAAGGTGAAGTTCGCCAACCCTCAGATCTGCTTGTTGCGGAATTGGTCGTCGATTCGAAGTTGTACCCGGAGGGCTACAATGTCGTGCTGCGATCCCGCTTCCGGGTCGATCTTGTATCTGGGTCGCACATTCCTTTTGTCGTCGAGGATGAGGGCCCCGGCTCGACCGATGCGCTTCCTTTGGCAGCAACCATACATACCATGCCGTCTTCCCCGCTGCATTCTTCTGGTTTGACAGCCGACAGGCCGACGAGACATCTCATCAAGCTGACGCTCCCGACTGCGCAGTACCAAATCTCCACTGTCCGGGATCCGCTCACGGATGAGCTGCATGGAGCGCCGCCGAAGCCGCCATGGTTGCTGTCTCTGGAGGAGGGCGGCGCTATCGTGCAGATGGAGGTCCGCCCTGGCGGCAAACGCGGCTCGGTGCTGGTCGATGTAGATGGGAAAGAGATTGCAGTAGTCAACGAGAAGGAGGCGCTGACCAGTCTGGGTCGGGAGGAGCTGCTGGACGATCGAATCCCGAGGATGAGTGTGCTTTCGCGGTGAGCGTCGTGCTGTTGATTTGAGATTTGACGCTCAAGCATGGGCAGTGTCTCCAACGAGTCGGAGGTCCTCTCTGAACAGCTCAGGGTTCCCACAGCCGTCGCTGTCAAATTAATCGAAGCCCCTGCATTGGAAACGAGCCCTGTGGCTGACCCTGCACACTCGACAGATTCCGTGACTGCAAGCGACCAGGAAAAAAGCACAGAAACGGCTGGAATGGCGCGTTGATTGCTCATTAGTGTGCCCAAATGAAACTAAATTTATGGCAGGCTGTGACGGATGCTGTGGTCCCGGCACCGGTTTTGGCACACTCGTCGTCGAGCAGTGGTCTGCTGGGGTTTATGACCCGGCTGGGAACGAGCTCCGGGTCAGGAAGTGCGACTCCTCGGATTAGGAAGGTTCCGGGAGGATTGACCGATATTGACGCGCCGCATCCAGCGGCGGCATCGTCTGGAGTGCCGGTCTCGACCGTAGTCATCATTGCACTGATCGCATTCCTGATTGGCTCGCTCCTTCGGTCATTGCTCTCACCCGCTGACTTTATCTACCTCGTGAGAGAGCCTGGAGAAGACGAGGAAGCAAGAGGATGGCGCGAGATCCGTCGCCTGATAGAGCTCAAATATGTTGCCTGGGGGTATGATATTCACCTCGCCCTCGTCCGCAGACATGGTGGGCTCGAGTAGTACTAGATATTTTCCATAATCGACTGGTGAAACGAAGCTTCAAGAGTTTGTGATCAGTATTGTTTGTTTGTTACAACTGTCTGTCGTCCACTTGTCAGACCCGAGAGCATTCTGATTTTCAATTCCCCAATCTACCCCCTTCCCTTTCCTCTTGTACTTTATCTCCCTTCTCCACTGGTCCCCCCGGGAACTAGAACGTGTCGACACGGCAAGACACTGGCCGAGCCTGGGATAGGTCTGGGTATATCGCCCTCTGACACCTGTCTCCACACCTGCTCCGTTTTTCTCGTAGACGCGCCATCGTCTCTTGCCTCAAGCCACCATTATGGCAAATGTCGCGCCTCCAGCTGCCATGCAGCCCTCGCAGCAACCGCAGGACACGCCAGCACCTCCATCAAGCCCGTCGTGGGACGGCGACAAGATGTGCGTGATGCCTTTACCCACACTCTCGACTCCCTCGCTGATACGCTTTGCGTTAGGTTCAACATCTACATCTACGACTATTGTCACAAGAGAGGCTTCCGCAAAACGGCCCAGGAGTTGGTCCGTGAGGCTGAGCTCCCGAGCGAGTCCGCTCCCCCGATCGACGCACCGCAGGGTCTTCTCTTCGAGTGAGTCTCGCTTGCTGTGCTTCATCATACTTTCTCCCCTCCTGACTTCCTCGGCTCAACGACTCTGACAGATGGTGGAGTGTCTTCTGGGTTTTGTTCACGGCGAAGGCGAATGGGACCGGTACGGAGGACGCCATGCTGTATACTCAGGTGCGTCGTCGACGCCACCCTCCCGTTTCCCGCGCTGATGTAGGGCTCTGCCTTCATCCCATCTTTCTCCGCCTTCCACCTCCCACCTTCCTCCCGCTCTTCCCCTCGATGTCACACAACGCAGCATCAAATGAATCAAGCCCAGTTGAAAGCCCGCACGGCTCAGCAACAGCAGCAGCAGCAGCAACAACAACAACAACAACAGATGCCGATGGGGGGCATGCCTCCTCAACCCTCTCAAATGGCCGGCAATCGCGCACCAGTACCAGGGCAGGGACCACCCGGACCTCCCAATATGAACGGAATGGGCGTGCAGCCGCGCGGACAGATGCCCACGGGCTTCCCTCCGAACGGGCATGCGCCAATGGCGAACGGACTTCCTGGAGGCCAGCCGTCCGGTATCGGTCCAGGCCCCGGCTTCCCTGGTGGCCACCCGAACGCGATGATGAACGGGATCCCTCCACCAGCGATGAGTGGTGGCCCTGGCGGGCAGCAAGGGTTCATGCCCCGACCGCCTATGCAGGGTCCCCCGCGGCCTCAGAATGGGATCGGGGTTGGCGGCCCACCCTTTCAATCGCCCACCATGGCACATTCTCCGCCCCAGACGGGTCCAGGTGGTCAGCCGCCGCAGCCGCAGAATGTTGCTCCGCCGATGAGTCAGCTGGGACCCCCGCGGGGAGGCATGCTTCCTCCGGGCCAGCAACCTGGGATGATGGGCAGCGGGCAGCAAACGCCCCAGCCGTATCCGCCAATCGGCGCATCAGGGCGACCACCGAGCAGGACGAGCACCCCCATGATCAGCGCCAGCCCTTTAATGGCCAACCGGCCCCCCCAGATGCTTCCCCTCGATGTGCGACAGCAGGATATGCTCCTCAACAACGAGATGCAGACGATTCCTCCAGGGCTGCTCGGCCAACTGAAAGCCGAGTTGAATTTCGGTGATCGCAATGCGCAATCGCTGTCTATCAATGAGAAGGTGTGTTCGATTGAACAGCAAGTTTGCTCGATGAGGACTGATGTCGACTTAGCAACGGATCCTGACACTAGCAAGGCAGAAAAAGATGGGGTCGACACCCAATGCAGCAGCAGGTCCATCTGCACCTGCACAGCGGAGGAACAACAACAAGCGGAATAGCACATCGCCCGGTGAAGAGGTATGACGAGCTTTCAATGGTTTATATGGAATCATTTGAATAACGACAGACGGAGCCTCTTCAGTTGGATGATGGAATGCCGCGAAATGGATCCTCTCCGCCCGACCGGAAACGTATGCGACGATCACCTACGGATCCAGCAACAGGAACAGGAGGCGTGCAGATACCTCCGGGATACACTCATCCTGGAGGTCAACAAGCCCCTGGGGCGATGGTTATGAACGGAGGAGGCATGATGCGACCCAATTCGATGGCGAACGGATTCCAGCCTGGCATGAATGGGCCGGGATCAGCCCCGATGGGGATGTTAGGCATGAATCCCATGGCGCCGAACGGCATGCCGTCGAATGGGGGCATGCCACCGAACGTGATGGCGCCCGGCATGCCGAATACGATAAGTCCCCAGATGCATCCCCAAACCATGGTTCGTGCCTATCGATTCCAGGTGCAATCGCTGATGTCACGCAGTACCGGCAACAGGGCATGCCGAACATGCCGAACCGAATGCCGGGAGGAATAAATACCGGCTCTCCTGGCCCTGAGCCTGGCTTTAATCCGGGGATGGGAATGCCTCCTGGGGTGCCGATGCCTCCACAACCAGGAGCAGGCGGTCAATTTGCCCCTGGAGCGCGTCTGACTGGGCCACCGAACGCAAAAGCGATGTCCATGCTCCCTCCGCCGTCACCAGCAAAAGATCAAAACGCGACATTGAAGCAAGAGTCGAAACCCAATGGGCATCCGGAGGGTTCGCCTCGCAACCAGCCGCTGACGGGTCCTGGTCCTCCAACCGCTGGGCCAGCGCCGGGGCCAGGCAATGTTCCTGGGACCAGCATGGCACCTTCACCGGGGATGATGATGAATGCGACTGCGACAGACACACTGTTCAGCAACGACTTCATGCAGAGCGTGGCTAGCGAGCTGGACGAATTCGACGTCGGCATCTTCCGCAACGACGGAGACCTCAATTTCGAGAGGGATTTTGGGCAATGGTTCAACCCAGATGATTTAAGTGGGGGGATGGATCTGAGCAAGCAATGAAACAACTGATCTCTTTGCCCAAATCCCTGGCTCTGCTTTTGTTTCTGCTGTGTCTCATGCCTGTTCTTCGCCCCCGGTCCATCTAGATGATCGTTTGTATTGCTCGTCTCTCAGTTTTGTCGCTGTCCTGTCTCTCGTAGCCTATGCTTCGCTAGCCATCTCATTCTTTCCTTGGTATCCTTTCTCGTCATTTTTTTTTTTGCTCTGCTGCCTCCTTTTTGAACGTTACCCCCTCGCTGCCGCTCTCGGTTGTTATAATAGGTCTTGTCATTGTACTTACATTGTTGAAACATAGCTGGATGGAAAGCACTCCCAGTCGGGCCGGGATGAGATGTGTTTATTTTCCGATTCTACATTGGAAATTATCATACAGGTGAGGAAGATACAGGTAGCGCGTGATCGTATCGGCGTCGTATAGATGAAGCAAAATTAGTCCGTCAAGCAAATGGGGCGGCGCTGCTCTCAGGCAGGCCGAACGGTCGCATCAGTGGACTCTTGTGTGTGGTCAGAGGTCGTTGCCGCAGGCGTGTCGGGTTGTTCAGCAGTCGCAAATGTCTGCAGTGACATGTCGCTGGCACGGGACTCGGAACGGGATTCGGTCCGGGAGGGCACGGTCAATGCGACCTCCTCAGCGTCGTCTTCGACCGACGGCCCGGCGACGGGGAGTTGGTCTTCCCAAGCAGGCGGCGGCACTCCTTCCAATTCCAGATCGAGGCGACTGGAGCTGGCGTAGGCCGTGGCAGCATCTCCAAACGGCATGCCAAATTTGGCCAATCCTCCTTCTTTCGTCCCGCTGATCATTTTGAGTTGGTCAGGTGTCAGACCGCCCCGTGGCAAGGCGCTGAATTCCGTTTTGACCAGCGTATGTGACAGGGGCGCAGAGATGGATGCGAGAGAGATCATCGAGGGCGATGTCAGATTGGCGCCCGAGAGAGACGTGACCGATTTGTTGCGCCGCAGGGAGAAGAGCGTGGACGTCGATGTCGACGGACGGTGGCGTGACGCTGTTGGCTCAGGCGACGATGCGCCCAGCCTGGTCGTCGAGCGCGTCCGCGTGTGTGTCAACGAGAGCGGCTCGTCTGTAGGGGGTACAGGAACGACCAGTGGCGCTGGACGGAACATCGCAAAGAAACCGGACCGCCGTTGGACCGATGGCGAAAGTTCGGCTTGGGGAGGCGCGACAGAAATACCAGGGGATCCAATACCGGGCGGGTATTCTTCAGAGTACGCCGGAGCTTCACCCCGCAGATCCTGCACGTCCGTCCCAAGCAAAGGGCTGTCGTGCGGAGGATGGGGCATGTCCGTGTATCGTGAGTTGTCTAGAGTCGAACGGCGGGGAGCAGCTCCGTCTTCGTGGTCTTCGTTAGATTCGTCCTCTTCCTCCTCGTCTACAGAGGCAGTGGGCATAGGGACATCTTCGCCGTCCGGTCCTCTCGTTACGACCAGTTCCTGTTCGCCGGGTTCTTTCATGTAAGCGGGCAAAGAGACCGTGCTGATCTGGGACGGCGTTCGTCGCGGACGACGCGGACGACGCGGCGGAGCACCGGGCGCGTGATTAATACTCCCGACCAGCTGCTCCGCAGTAATCTCTCGGCGGGCTGTGGTCGCAGTGGCGTCGCCCCCAGCGCCCCTCCCGAGCGACATTATACGTGCGCGGTAAGTTTTCCTTGAGCACACTATAATAGACAGCACGACCAGGATGCCGAGGACGACCGCAACAGGTATCTGCGCGAAACGTGAACAAAGAAGGGCGGGGAAAGGGGACTGGCGCTGACCCATGTGGACAGAGATGCATGACCGGATGAGGAGTTTCCGGTTCCTAACGCCCTTGGAATGAACATGTCGAGCAGCGAAGGTAAGAGGGAGATGCTGGCTCCGTGCAAGTCGTTTCTCGTGTCCAAAAGGCGGTGTCCTGGTGCCGATCGTCTTGGGTGCTTACGCGCATTATCCGAGTCAGCTAGTTAGTCGTCCATAATTGCGTTGCTCCGGAAGGCTCATGCCGCTGGGCTCGCTGCTTCCGATTGGCACAACCGGCGTTTTTTGAGCGCCACCCTCTTCTCGGTGCATCGCCCTTTGAAGCTGGAACTTGTGAACGGGATATCATACTTTGCGTACTCATCGGCTCAGGAGGTTCTAATTGATAGCGATTAATTTGAAGCCCCGTGGTCTCGGCGAGCGAGCGAGCGACATCGGATTGCTTCTGGGCCAGGCAGACATCGCATCGAGATAAAGAGATGGAAAGAAAACTGCATGGTTGCTGGTGCTACAGTATATTTTTGACTCCGCGCAAGGAGAACCGGGGTAAGTTGATAGGTACATATATACACTGCACAGATGAAGTCCGTTTCTTTGTTTTTGTGTTTTAAACGGCAACCAGATCCATCCGACCGAGAGATCCAAGGATATCGATGTAGCTGTTGTCGTCGAGAGGCCCTGAAGAACGAATGTGGGGAGGAAGGAGAGAAAAGCAAAGGGGTGAGAGTGGTTGGTATGTTGGAATTCTAGGCGCGTAGAACAAGAAGGTGGTGATCCAGGAGTACAGCCGCAAGAGCGTAGTGGAGAGTGAACGTACAAGAGGAAAACAGGACGAGAGCAGATCAGAAAACAAAAGATTGAGGGCACCAGGCTCAAGGGCCTGGACCCCATTTTAGGCTTAGCGATTAAGAGCGCCACCTGGCGCAGTCCTCTGCGAGCCGGAAATATTGCCCATGCGGCTCACTCCAACATGGGCCATGCCGCTTCCGCTTCTGGGCCGCCCGCTCGAGCTTCCAGACCATGGCCCGAGACCAGAGCCCCCGGTGTGCATGTTGTACGCACCGCCGCCGAGAGGGGCACTATCGCTCCGAGCCCGGCTGGCTCTGGGCTTCGGAGGAGACAACGAATCCATCGAGTTGGCATGGTGGGGATGGGGGCTGGCTGTGTTCGAGCCATTCATACCCGAATGCTGCTGTCCGCTCATTCCCAGTCCGGAAACATTGACACTCATGGATCCCATCCCAGCTTCATCTGCAGACATCATCCGCTGTCTCTTCCGTCCGCTCTCCCCGTGACCGTCGCCGCGGTCATCAAACTCAACATCAACTGACATGCTCATCTCACTGGGAGATGCCGGCAGCGGAGAATTGTCACCAGCAGACCCGGAGGATCGGAAGAGATGCGGGAAGGAAGATTGTCTCGACAGGTGGGGAGTCGGAAGCGAATGGGAATGGCTCGGGGTTTGCACCGAATGCGATAAAGAATGCGAGTGAGAGTGCGGATGCGGATGGGAATGCGGATGGGAATGCGCTGAGGGCTGGTATTCAGTCGCCGGGGGACTGGCGTCATAACCAGTTCTCGGAGAGGTCACGAAGATGTTGGGCTCAAGCATCTCCATCGGGAATTGAGGAACTGGCGCGATTCGTTTGATATAGAACAAGAAAGAGGGGACCTGGACGTACCTGTCCCGGGCGCAAATCCTTTCCCAACGATATCCCACAATTTGCCGACGACACTAATAAGCCGCTCTACGCGTCGCCGCTCGGTGTTCAGTTGTTCCCACATGCGCTGGTTATCTTCCCTCATAGAGGACAGCTGAGCGGCCACCTGCCATTCAGAAAGTAAGCTCAATTGCCGACAGGTGCTGAAGAACAAACCTCGCCAGGCAACTCCACGCGATGTTTCTGAGCAGGATCAGGCTCAAGCGCTTTGCGTTTTATCTCATCCAAAAGATCCGGACGGCCACGCAGGAACTGGGACAGCGATGATCGGAACAAGATAGGACGCGCACAAGGCACTACACACCTTGTGGTGAGAAAACTCCCACGTTTGAGCATCCGACGTCGTCCGCTGCGCCCTCGGGGTGCGATTGATCTTGTGAAAGCCATACATATTCAGCTGGCGCACGAACGACGAAAACTGAAGGGAACGTTCAGCATCAATAAGATTTCCCGTCGCAGAGAGTCCCTCACGTTGTTATGCTTGAAGTGACTGCCCAAGATGCTCCGACTAAACTCCCCGACGTTGCTCACGACGAAGGAAGTCCCCAGCTCGGTCCACGCAATGAAATGCGCCGATTTTTGGTCGTTGATCATTTGATACAACTTGGTCACAAAGTTGTTGGTGGCCAACGGTTTCCCCAAGATGCCCATGGCCGGCACCAGGCTGGGGACGATGATTTTGCCGCCGCCGGCAGAGGAATGGGGCATAGAAGACATGGACTGCGGTCCCCCGGAGAGCATTGCTTCCTCCCCACTCGAACCAGACCCATCGATCGGTGAAGACGTCGCATCATAAGCAGACACGAGTCCGAGATCCATGTCATCGTAGCTGGCGCTCGTCGGGTGCGCGCTCGCGACGGTCGGCGACGACGCGCGTAAACTCTCCGTATCTGTCGTGATGCGTAGCGACGGGGGTGCAGGCGGCCCGGAAATGCTGATACTGCTACTGGGGGTGTGCGACCGCGATGTTGACATCGGCCCAGGCCCGGGGTCAGCGGAAAAAGACCGCTTGCGGGGCAGCGTGGAAGTCGTCGAGTGCGGCGAGGAAGGGACGTTGACACCCACCCCTTCGTACCCCGCGTTCGACTCGTGCTCGTACGGGTGTCCGTGATTATGGCCGTCCGGCGCGTCTGATGGCGGCACGAACTGGTAGGGATGGAGGTGGTGGCCATGTGTGTATGTCGCTGGACTGATGGGTGTTCCACTGCTCAGCGCTGACGTCGCCCCGGAAGAGGGAACAATCGGACTCAGCGCGGTCGGTGACGCGACGGACAGCGAGGACAGGTTGAGCGATAGTGAGGAGGACGTTCTATGGAGCGACGTCGCTACACCGGGGGAGATATTTGGGCTCTGTAAACCAGGGCTGTTTAACCCGCTCTGGAGCCCGCTCGACTGGATCCCGCCAGACTGAAGACCCGATTGTTGTTGGACAGCGCCCGACGAAAGACCGGACTGCTGGAAACCGGGGTAGTAGTTTGGCTGCGGCGGCGAAGGCTGGGTTTGGCCTTGCCAGCGCTGGCTGTATTCGTAGTCCATGTCAGCCGCAGAGCAGGGGAGCAGTATGGTAGCGTTGCGTTCAGACAGGACCAAGCCCAAATCTAATCGCGCTAACAAGTTGCTTCCGTTGATTCTCACGGTCGCATCTCGAACCTCTCTTCTTGTTTTCGTTTGATACGTGCTGTCCTCTTCCGCAGGGCTTCTTTCAACATCCTTTCTCCGTCCATCCGTTCTGCTCTGTCGAAAATGGCTGCTTTTCGCGACCGGCCTTTTTTTTACTTTCAGCTGCCGTCATCTTTCTGATCGCCGTCCGGCATCTGCCAGCAAAACGGACCGGGAGCGCCCGAGTCCCGAGATTCCCCCCCGCAGCCGCTTTCCACCCGATGCTCATGCTTTGCTCCCGAGCAGTCCTCCAGCTAGTCCACATCCTGGACTATCCACACTATGAATTTTGATAAACGGCGCTATGCCGGATTCTAAGACGCCACCTCTGGCCGAGCAGAGCCTACATATCAGACCGAGATCGGTCTACGCATGTGATTCGTGAGAGTAAATATCCTCGTGTCCGGGGCATGGCGCATCGGCAAACAACATTATCTGCGACCGGGCGGCCGACTCGATCGCGACTTGCGAGTGCTATGTCGAGAACGGACAGTGCCAGCTTGGTTTCTGCACATGCATTCCAGAAGTCAGTCAGTCATGGATTGTACACTCACAAATGTCAATTCCACGTCGCTCCCGCTCTCGAGAACGCGTCGACACCTGACAAGTGCATGTTTAATTCCGCCTGAACTGCGGAATGCACTGGCGAGTGGCTGATCACAATGCCCTTATCTTTGCACACTACCAGATCACATGAGCGGCGGCGGCCTAAGAAACCACACGAAGCACATTGTCATGCACAGATGTAATTATTGTGATTATTCAACTAATGCTAATGAGGGGACGCAGGCCAGAAAAACATCTCTGTAATCTGCCGCATACTCGAATTGATAAGGGAATGCAGACTTGGACAAATTCAACGAATTCAGGGTCCATTGGGTATACCGACGCTGCTCCATCTGCATCAAGAAAGCACCCTGCAAGCGACGGTCAGCCAAAGATGACACTCAATCGAGTACATAACACTCACAATCTGACTCTCATCCTGCTCGACACTGTCGTAGTACAGAGGAAGATCGCCTTCACTGCTGACTACGTCACGCACGAGCAACTCGAGGCGCTGCAGCGATGGCAACTTCTCGGCGAGAAGATCCACCAGCTCAGGACTGAGCGTAACGGTCCCGAGCCGAAGTATCTCCAACCGAGCACCGCCACGACCTGCACGCCGCATCGCCTTGAGCAAGTCATCGACACAGTCGTAGGTGAGATGCCTCCCAGTGAGCATCAGCGAACGAAGTGTATGTGCAAATCGTCCCAGACACATCACAGCAGTCTCCACAGAGAGCAGGCCCAGACCGACTTCCAGAGTGCGCAGTTTCGTAGGGCCACTGATGTAAGATAATGCGTCGTTCATCCACTCGGAAAGGGGATCTTCAGCGAGCGTGAGACCGTCACCATTCAATTCCGAACCGCGAAGAACTAGGTGACGCAAGAAAAAGCGTTGCCGATCCAAAAAGTTCCCCAGGCCAGATGGGTGGCCCAGATGCGGACGGGCGAGGGGAATCGAGACGTTCAAGTCCTTCAAATGAGGCAGGCTTTCGAGAGTGTCGAAAAGCGGTGTCATGTCATACGGTTGACATAAGCGGAGAGAGAGCTTGCGCAAGGATGCACGTATCCGGTTGATCGCGGGAGCCAAATGGCCGACGAGAATCCGATCGTATGTCTCCGCCGACAAGGTGTGATCGAGTCGGATCAGCAGGTTCAACTCCTCCAGTTTCTCGAGCCGTGAAGAATATGCAAGGAGATCGACAGTCTTCTCTAGTGAGATCTCGAGGCTCAGTCGGCGAACTGAAGGCTGGAAACCCGCTACGAGGAAAGGAACAGGAACGTCATGGATGGCATGCAGGCCGCTCCACGCAATGTGGTAATGTGTTACGTTCGGTAGGCCTAGAATGACCTCGACCATGGTCCGCACGAGCTCTTGTGGCGTGGATAGCCCAAGCATAGCTGGAGCCCGGGCATGACATCGCGGTAGTCGTTTCTGTTCGCGAAACAGGTGTGCAAGTTTGAATTTACCCCGGAACGAATGGTGATGGGGTGGAGGGAAAGCAAGTTCGTGAGACTTTTCGAGGACCTGCTTGACGAAGTAGGGATGAATATGTAGTGTACGGACACGGCGCGCCACCAGAGGATCCCTAAGCACACAGAGAGGAGATGAGTTGTACATTCGTCGAGCACGGGTATTGCGCACCGTAGTCGACTCAGATCTCGTACCATCCCACGATTCACGAATGAAAAGCTGATCTGTCGGTAGCGAGCATCCATCGCGATGTCGAACCATTGACTGTTAACGGCGTAGAGTTCAGAAACAGTCTGCGCCGGAAGATGCTCTGCGACGAGCAACCAAATCTCGGAGGGCACAGCGAGGGATGTCATGGGGGAAGAGATGAAGACGACAAGTCAAGGAGTTGCGTGGCACAACAATTAGTAGCTTTTCCGCGACAGAGTTCATCGCCTGCTGTAAATGCATCTGTCATCGGGTGAGATGTCAAAGCACGCCCGATCAAGGAGTGATGCAATTTGACCGGATTTAGAGTTCATTCCGGCCCGGATGAGTGCCGCATCTCTCCATATGCGGAAATCGAGCGGCACTGCTCCTCCTCATGAAAGCGGCGAGGCATTTTGAAGTGACATCCTCCTCGCCCTAACTGCAGCCCTCTGAGGAATGAAACAGAGGGGGTGGTGAATAGGCGTTACTTTTTTCATGCGCACCTCATGGGTATGTGGAGTCAATTTGAATAAACATGTCCATGTTATTATTAATCCTTCCCAGACTGTAAAAATATTTGGCTCCGCGGCGGACATAAACGCGACGTGACGGCCCCCGTGATGTGACTTGACAGTGCTTGGCCGTGTCCGCGTCCGCGTCTCAGAACAAGCGGTCAACCTCCCCTAATCATCAAACAATGGCGCCCTCATTGGAAGTCGCACCCATACCTCAATCTGGTCTTCCTCAGTCGTCTCCCAATCTCATGCCCTTTCATGTCGAGCACAACGGCGCAGCAGCCATATCTACCTACATGCCAATTGAAGCTGCTCCAGACAACGTAGCTAAACCAGCGGCAACTACGCCTGACGCTGAAACACCAGAAATCGCGGGTTCTCGGCCAGAGGACACACCCATGCCTCTAGAAACAATACCTACGCCGGACACAGCGACTCGTTTCATGACGTCTTTCCGAGGACGAACTATGCACGGCCTGAAGGTACCGCTTCCACAGGGATATACCGGTCTTTTGCTCAATGGCGACGGCGTTCTGAGCTCCGGGATCAAACCCAGCAAGTCAGGCGTCAAGATCAAGCCTAAGACGACGGGACGAAGCTCGCGGAGTGTCACTCGTGCCGACGATGTCGAGATGGACAGTGATCAACCCTCAACAACAACACGGACTCTGCTGCCCGTGTCTGAATTCTCATCTTTTGTTCTGTGGCAACCAGACATCCCTGTGGACGTTGGAGAGATGAATATGCACGATCGCTAACGGAGTGGGTGACGCTAGCCAATGAAGTACGCACATCTCGCTGGCTTTCTTAGCCTTTCTATCCCTAATCACTCTGCACTCAGATTCACAAAATCGAATGATGCTCACGTTCGCGACGATGGGCAGGCTTCTGCAGGCTTCTGCTTGACATGTGTATGACAGACGCTGTGTTTTACTTTCGCAGCTTTCGTTTGCTTTCTTACAGTGCTACTGTCAGTACATCAGTAAGTCTACTAAACGTAACCTTTTGAGGTGCAAACTTCAGTACCCTGTTGTGATGTCTTGCCTACGTAAATTCGGTTTTTCTTCTCTATGACAATCATCCTGTTTGGCTTGCAATGTAGTTCTGTGGCAGTGCCCAGGAGACTTGTAACAAAACAATGTCACAACGCATCCCCCCTTCCCAACCACTCGACGGAAATCTTTGTTCCTTCATTTATATTACCTGACGCTCGTTATTTCCACAAAGACTCCTCGTAGGTTCTCCTTATGATTCATTTCTATCTACTTAACGTGGGTGCAGCCACCACTCATGTTTTCCACCATCGTTTTCGCCACCGTCCTCGCCGGCGCTCAGCTTGCACACGCAATTGTGGGACCCAATGAGCCAGCTCCAGGCGATACGTTCAACCAAGGCACAAACTGTTCTTTCGCTTGGAGTGCCGATGATTCAGGGACCACTGCTTGGAAGGGAAGGAATGGCTGTGGAACTGATGACTGGAAGCAACGAACAGATGGTTCACCTGACCAGTAAGAGTGCCAGCACCGCACTGCAGAACACTCCTTCTGAATCCTCCTCCCAGCTGTCGCTCAAGGCCTTGACGCTCAGTCGCTGGCAGTTTCTCCTATGCTGGCGACGTGACCCCGAACTCCCATCTACTTTTACCAGTTCACGTCTGGCGGAACCC